AGGCCATTCCACGCCTATCCCGAGACAATATCCATTGTAAAAGCGTCTCCTCCTCAGTAATTGTCAATTTATGTCCGCTTGGACGTCTCTCGATCTGTGCAATCGTACCACGAAGTCGGTTTTGAAGGGTAGTAAAAGGGACATCATAAAGACGCGCTGCTTTGCGAATACTCAACGGATTCTCGCGATTTTTTTATGGCGGAAATAGCCAATAGGATTCTACCTTCTTGCTGGGCCAAATTTTTTGAATTTTGACGCGCTTTTGGTGGCATAGTGGCGCGTTGAAATTGGTAGAGTTGTATAGTATTTGAAGGTGCGGGTGGGTGATCGGAGCGACCGGGTGATCGGAGCGGCCGGGAATTACGTTAGTCTTGGCACCCCTTCAATTTGGGGATCGGATCGAAATTCGGTGACAAGGCTTTTGGCAGATGGTCGGCTTGTGTCGCTGATACTGCGGGCATGTAACGGGCTATCCTACTCCAAATACACTCCTTGGAACTCAGCTGGTCCAAAAACTCAGATGTCGTCAATGTTGGCGTCGGTTCGGGGATATGGGCTCGCAGTTCAGGGTCCAGCTTGGTCCATACTAACATCAATTGCTCCATGATAGAATCTTTGCCCATTGCTGTGGCATACCGAAAGATTCTCTGTGCAAATGAGCGAACACTCACTCCTGCTCCGACGTCTGCCATGGAATAGGACGCACATTTCAGCCTGTTTGCAGCTTCTTCCTTTGTGAGCTGGAATTGTTCGATCAGAGCGCTTATCCATCCGTCTTCGAGGCTCGCGAGACGCAGCGACCGCCTCTGATGTTCGGATAGCTCGACGGAGTACCAGGTCAAAGCTAGGCCACGAAGGCAAACCCAAAGTTGGTGTTTGACGGTATTTTCTCCTCTAACAGCCGCTACTTCGCGTACGCGATCAACGAAGACATGGACGTCGCGGTAGCGTACCTGGTTGTTAACTACCCCAACTGCGGCATCATCCTCATCGGCCAAGTCCGGGTGGAAGTAACCGAGCTCTTCTCCATTCCATGGCTCTATCTCAGGAACTGACGATTTGCATTGTTCGCTACGCTCTTGGAGCTGGGACAGACGTAGGGGCGAGCTTGATCGTGACCGGCGTGCCGATGTTGACAAGAGTTGTGGAAGAGTAGCGTTTTGGGGATCCTGCGCACCTCGCGCGTCCAGAGCTGATTGAACTGCCTCTTGGATCATCTGTTGGATTACAGACTTTTGAGTTGGTGTAAAAGCTGACAGCTCCTCTTGCGCCATGCCTGCAAAAGGGTGGAATGACCTGACTTTTTATCTTCTGATTGATCAGTATAATGCTAATTTGTCATTCCGACGGCGGTAAGTGGTACCACCTGATTGATTTGACGGGCCTCGCCTGTTTAAATAGCTTCATGCGCTGATAAATTGGTGGGCTGATTTGGAGTACCTAGCCCTAGAGACTCGGTTCATCGACGCGATGTATAGCTGGAGGCCAGGAGATCTAGCAGGTAACAGGTCTGAAAACCCTTCACATGTGAGGCGATGAGGGATGCATAGAAGTCTAAGAGAAGTGATGGGTTGTCTGCACCGTCAATGCAGAGAGAATGGAGGATGCATGAGTGAAATGAGGAACCAGGAAGCTCATGAGCTCTCAAGCTCTCAAGGCTGTGCCCTTACCCTAAGAAGATATGGCTGGCAGATGACCAGCAATTGCTGGAGAGTCATGTGAGATCACACTGCAGTAATCTTTTTATGCAGCATTTCCTTACTGGCTTACTACACTCATACTGCTGAATTGGACAATTCTGAGTCTTGCCTTAGCCGACATGAGGAATATCTTAGGATAGAGAATAATCTAAGGAGAATGCTTAATTTTGTAAATCACCAATCCACTAAACTCTCCAACTCTCAACTCATACAGAATCTGGTAGTATGGGCTTCACATTCTTTGTGCAAACGCTTGGAGTTATAAAGGAGTCACCAGCAAAACATAACTCTGACCAAGTTCAATACCGTACATTAGAGGCTATTCCAGTGTGGATCGACTGGTACAAGACTTGGCCATCTGTCTAAGTAGGGCTGATTGGAAGGGCTCAATGAGAATACCTGTACCTCTGCCTTTTGCTGCAGTCAAGAGCCTGTTGCAGGCCAAGTTTTCCTCATGAAGATCTTCTGTTGCAACTTGTTCCTGCTGACATTGTCCTGGAGCTGACTGGGAAGTGTTGCTATTGTACCTGGCAGCTGGTACGTTTTCAGCAAGTTCTCTTGCCAGCGCCGATCTAGATTTGGATGTGTCATCATGCTGTTTCTGACTTCAAATCAAGAACAAAGCTCAACCTCTAAAGCCTTGGGAGAAATTTCGGATCTCCGAATGCCTGAATCCACTCTGGCCACGATTCACTCTTTGCCAACGAGACCGGGCCTCGAAAGTGCAGCTTCTCCAGGCTCTGTGGAAGTCTGGTATATAGTTTTGTGAGATCTTCTGGTCTCTCACACTCATAACCCAGAACGAGTGTCAGAGATTTGAGCTTTCTGAGCACACAGAGAACATCCCTGAGGCCTGTCCTGTGGGTGTAAAAGTCGTAACCATTGGTGGAGCAGAAGTTGAATGTTGTGAGGCATGTGAGCATCTTCCTTGAACAAGCCAACAGTCGAATCAGGACATCATGTGCGTCATTCTCGATAATTTCCAGTGTCTCCAACTTCGGCGATTGATGGGCCTGTAACGCGTCACTGCCATTGGATACCAGACCTTGTTTCTGTTCCTCCGCAATCTTTGCCTCCAAAAACTTCTGACCCATTTCGCGGAGAGGAACTCCTTCAGGACCATAGATCTGGGTAATCGCTGGTTCTTTTTTACATAATTCCGCGTTTTTCTTATGAAACTCCTTATTTGTTGGGCTGTCGAACCTCAACTCGAAGGTGAATGCCAGAAGCAGATGCTTGACTTGTCCGTGGATAATGAAGGGTGTATTCACTGCCTGACCGGATATGTCAACTAGCGCCAGCCGTTTCAGCGGCCAGTGAGGAGGGATATTGTCACACAAATCTTCTTTGGAATCGAATGAAGAATGGAATGACAGCTTGAGATCTGTAATGCGGGTCAGATGTCTTCCTATGAGCACCCAGTCCTCCTTTGAGGGTGTCTTTTTGGAGATGATGATGGATGTGCAATCACGAGGAATATTGTCCAGCTGTCGTTTGACACAGCTGCCATTGATCGTCTTTGGGGCAGTGCTGCCTGCCTTGGCAGAGATTTGTCCCACTGTCCATGGCTTTCTGTTCTCAGTGACAACAGCCTGGTATTGATGGTGATATAGGTCGATTATGAGGAGCAGAGATGATATCCTGAAGGGATGCAATATGTTGTTTGGTGGACGAGAGTGAGAAAGAACCCAGTATGTGGAAGACTTAGAGAGGGATGCATCTCTGAACGGCGCTGAAAGTGTCATAAATATGCGTCTATTCTTGAGTCATATTTGTGTTGTCACTGGAGATTGCCAGAGTCCCGCAGTCGTGAAAGCGCCGTCTAGATAGGCTAATGGGCAGGTAGCCCGAAGGACTCGGTCAGCAGAGCTAGGTGGCCTGAATTTACAGGGAGATAATGCCTGGGCTGTATAGGATCTATACAGAGTGCTCACACTGACGAAACTGAACAGTCCTGCAGCGGGATGACTGGAAACAGAACCGTGCTGCAGTATGATGATGAACGGTGTCGCGTCGTCGACCACGGACACGGTCTATATATATATACAGCAACGAGGCAGCCACTGGCCAACGTGACCAAGAGGTAATCGGGGCTGGATTGCCTACTACAGCATCAGTAGTATGAGCACAGAAGTGCGTGTAGTTATCTATCTCGACATGAAATAACATTTATGAGTGGTTTCCGCTCTTATTCCACCTCCAGGACGGAGCACTTTATCCCTGTGAGCGGTCAATCCGGCGGGAACGTTGCCGGGGAAGGAACCAAGGGAGTTCCGCATCCTCGGAAGGTGGGGTTCCCACGTGGTTGCTTGCACCTAGCGCCGAAGGATGGGCTGGCGCTGGGTCGGCGTCTTGCGTCGGCCTCTCAGAGGAATAGGCGACACAACGTGGACAGGAAGACCTTCCTCACCAACTAACAAGAAACTCGCAGGATGGACCAGGATGATTAGCGATAACCAAGATATAAAAGTTGCCCCAATCCTCGAAATGTGGTGGCCACCGGTGGACGTTTTCTTGACCTTCCCCAATCGGTGCCCTTATCCGTTTCAACTCGTCGATCATGGTGCTGTCGCTGATCCTCAGTCTGGGCTTGGTCGCCAGCGCTACGGCGCTCGCGATCCCACAGCCTCTTCGTTTTACCAAGGAGGGCACCTTCCAGCTGTCGGTGTTTTCTGATCTTCACTATGGCGAGGGTAGAATCATCTCCATTTCATTTTATTCTTTCCCCTTTTCCTCCTTCCCCTCCTTTTTTTATGCCGCTAATTGAACAATGCTGACTGGTGTGATGTGCAGCAGAGAACCTCGTCTGGGGCCCGCAGCAGACGTCAACTCAACGCGGGTGATGAACGCTATCCTGTCTGTGGAACACCCGCAGTTAGTCGTGCTTAATGGCGACCTGATCACGGGCGAGAACACTTATCGGGAGAATTCGAGTTGGTATGTAGATGAAATTGTGGCGCCGCTCGTCGAGCGTGGTCTCCCATGGGCATCCACCTATGGCAACCACGACAGAGACTACAACCTCTCGCGAGCAGAGATCTTCGCTCGCGAGAAGAGGGACCCCAACAGCTTGACCCAGTACATGGTCCCGGGCTTCAATGCCGGTGTGTCGAATTATTACCTGCCCGTGTTCTCGTCCGATGAGCAGAAGCAGACACCCGAGGTGATCCTCTGGTTCTTCGATAGCCGTGGCGGCAACTATTTCCAGGAACTAGACAGTAATGGGAACAAGGTCCCTCAACCTGGATGGGTCGATGAATCGGTGAGTTCGGCTTGGAACTGTACTTCGCGACTGTATGACATTAAAAAATGAAAAAAAAAAGGACAAGAATGAAAGGAAGGAAAAGGAAACGAACAGTACGAGAGGAAAAAAAAGAGAGAGACGGAAACCGCATTCGCGCAAATGCCTGTGACCCGAAAGGAAGCTGACAGCGATACTTTAGGTTGTCGACTGGTTCCTGCAAACAAATGCAGAACTCACAAAACAGTACGGCAAATGATCCGAATCTTCACAAGAAGGCCTGTGTCGGAGAGCATAATGAAGCGGAGGCTGCATGAAACAAAACGAAGAATGAGGAGCAGCGCCGTGAGAATATCGATCCAAAACTTCTCCTGGTTCCAAGTATCTGGAACAAGGATATCGAGGCGAACAGTGCGAAGGACTTTCATCCGATTCTTCCTAACGAAGCGAACGACAATCAGGATGCAGAGAACGAGATCGACAACTGGCTGGCCAAGATCAAGGACAATGCTGAAGAGAGGGATGCGTTGTGGGAGCTTTTTTCAGCCATCTTTCTCAACTGATACTGTACACCTGGGTTGTGTGAACGCAATGGAAAGTCGGAGTCTGTTCACGAGGGGCCTGATGGTTGAAGAGACAGCTGCGTGCTACTTGCATTATCTATTGAAATTTTCAGATTATTCAACATCGGGTCGTTCTTGGAGCCATTGGTTGGATTTGACTGATTGTGCCTTTCTAGAGCGACTGCAGGATCTGGTCTTTTTTTTTAACGTCTGTCTAGCAACAATACAGTTGATCTACATAACTAGACAGTAATACAGCTTCTCACCAGAAAAAAGAAAGTCCATTCATCTTAGCCGTGACTGCTTCGAAGTTTGAACTGAAAAAAAAAACCTCTCCTCAATGACAGTTTTCTCCTTCCGTTTCCGGTAATAACTACTATATGCCATAGATTGAGGTGATACGATATTACTCCTCAGCATTCGCTGACCAGCACATGCGATAGATAGTGCCTTCTGTACATCCGGTTCTTACTTCTTATACCCTTTACCGGTGACTGATTTTCCGTGAACCGCGAAGGTATAAAAAAAGACTACGAAGATAAATGCGAAATCATGTGTCGCAACGGTGACACCGCTTGCTTGCCGCCACAACACCTGCGTAATGACAGTCGTCAACGCTGCACCGGGTGCACATCGCACAAATAGCAGGTCGAAACCCGCAGAGAGTGTGGCCAATGCGGGCAAAGAGCCTCCTCCTGGAAATAGCGCTGAGATAGAGTTTCCAGAGTTGTTGGACTGGATAATATATATAGAAGCAGATGTACGATAAGCCAATAGGAGATTTACCCGATTAAACCGTATCTGCGTAATGAAGCGGTTCCATCGATTCAAGAGAAGACAGGGTTCGGACCTGATCAGATAAACCCCAAATACCCTGATTCAGCCGTCAGCGGTACGTCATGCTGATGAGCGCAACCAGGGATAATTGGCCCACCACCTTACCACTAAAAAGGTCCTCATGATAAGTACATTCCCTGCGTATCTCAATCTCAACATTCTGTTGTTTGTTTATCTCACCGTTGTTGCTGCCAGTTAGTCACACTTCCAAGTTTAGAAGTCCATTTCATCGAACATCAGGATGGCGGATGTGGCAGAACAAGCGAAAAGGAACAACGAGACCTTTAGGCTCTCCGAATTGTACAATGTCCGAGGCAAAGGTATGAACTATCCACGAAGCTTCCTTCGTTTCACTGGTGCTTGTCAAATCTAACGCTTGCAGTTGCCCTGGTCACGGGTGCGGGCACCGGGATCGGGCTGATGCACGCGCAGGCGCTCGCGGTCAACGGGGCCAAAGTCTACATTGTTGGGCGGTCGCAGGACAAACTGGATCGGGTGGCGGAGCTGTACGGGAAAGACATCCCGGGGCAGATCATTCCTATCACGGCCGATATCACAAGCAAAGAGTCCATCAGACAGCTGGCGGACGAGATAGCGTCCCGCGAGGACCATCTCTCGATCCTGGTCAACAATGCCGGTATTGCGGGCCAGTCGCAGAGCGTTGGTCATCAAGACCCGAATGAAATGCGCAAGAGCCTCTTTGACAGCGAGAATTCGACTATCGAGGACTGGGAAGCTAGCTACCGCACCAACGTGTGTCAGCTCTATTTCATGACGACCGCCTTCCTGCCTCTACTTCAGAAGGGCACCGAGAAGGAATACGGCTGGAGCAGCACGGTGATCAACACCAGCTCCATCTCGGGCATTATCAAGTCCTCGCAAGACCATTTCGCCTACAACACCTCCAAGGCGGCGGCAATCCATCTGACCAAGATGCTGGCGTATGAAATCTCCGCAGCCAAGATCAAGATCCGTATCAACAGCATTGCCCCTGGTGTCTTTCCCAGCGAGATGACGGCCATGGAGAGTAACGAGCGGCAGAAAAGTACGCTCCAAAAAGATATGATGAAAGACATGGTGCCGGCCCAGCGGCCGGGTCATGATCGAGACATGGCCAGCGCCCTAATCTTTGTGGCAACGAATCAGTATCTCAATGGACAGATAGTATCTGTGGATGGAGGGTATACTTTGGCTTTCGGGACAGTTTAATGAGGGAGAATGGTCCCAGAGGCAGCAACAGAGACAATATGTTATATGTACTGTACCGGTAAAAAGTTGTTGATATTATGAATCATATATCTCCTCTCCAGACCAAGAAACGTTACTAAAAGCCCATTACGCAGGATTTTCCGTGCAGCTGCCCTCACAGGACCTTTGTTATGTACTTAGCAGGCACAGAATAGCGAGATTAGCGTGATGTCCTCGCTGGTCCCGCCAAATCCGTGCCTCCGTAATAAGGTGAAAGTAACCCAGTCCCGACAGATTCGATGCCCAGTGACCTTCGACATGACTGGTTCGACGTATTCCTAAATAAGAGCGCGAGAGTGGGCAGGCAGAGGACAATTGTGCTAAACCATAACTCGAAAGAGCTCACGAGAGCCATGGATGATAGTCTGTGAGCAGTCATTCTGGGCGGCTGGATCGAGAGTAATTTGGAGTCTCCACGCCATAACCCCAACGACCCTGTTAAACCATCCCATAGTCAGCCGAGAATGCCGTCAACGATAACCGATATGAAAACTCACACGAGCCCCATGCCAAACATGATACTAGTGGTAATCGTGTTCCTAAGTGTCATTTAAAGCCGCCACAGCAGTGGCATTGGCAGGATCACAACGGGGCCTGGTTGAGATGGACGCTTTGGCGAAGAGCGAGACCAAGACTGAGGCCGTGTCCATGGACACTGATTTGTTCACATGGCCCAGTTGTCGATGCCATTAATCCGAAGGAGGCGTTACTGATGGTTTTCTGCTCCAGTCTAGCTTCCCGCCAGCTTTCTGGTCTGGCTGGCTAGTGGTGAGGCACGCGTTCTCAAGGGCCGAGTTGTGTGGGCAAACTGGGACGTGGACGAACTCCGAGGAGACGGCGTCTGGGTGGCGGTGGACTGCTGGAGTCACGGGATGGCCCTATCAGCACACGGGATAACAGTTATAATCTCATTCTTCGTGCAAGTCCCTTTGCCTGGTCTTTGTTTCTAAGCCTGTCTTCGCATATATCACTGTTACGGCTAGATAGTTCATTTAAAACCATAACAGGAATGCTTGTAGACACCATCCGTCCGTCGTCCGATTGCTCCATAGAACTTTTCAGTATGTTGACTGCAAATACCGTTGCGGTTGCTTCGGGCGTTTTAGCCCATAGACTGGTCTAAGCCTGTGGGGAATGGCATCTGCAAGCACCTCGGGTGGTTTTCGTCCATTTCATCCTCGGCTTCGCGATCTCTGCATGGAGATATCAAAGTATGAGGGAGGCTTTTTCCCCGTGCAATGAGTGTTATTGCTTGTTACCTATTCGCTCTCCTCCTCGAAAGGTTAGGGTTAGGTTTCGGTATATTTAAACCTAAACCTAAACCTAATCTTCCAACGATAATAAAAAACCATAAAATTAACCGTTAAGCCACTGGGGCAGCCCTAAAGCTGTTAGAGTTACTTAAAATAGTCAGACAACATCTCCTGACTCGGTAACACATGGACCTTATACCTACGCTTGTTAAGCAGCCTTCCTAGGTAGTAGTCTTCATTGAAAATATTCAATTATCGACTATTCATTAGTTTATTGTTGAGTACTAGATTAATATCTCCTATTTCTGATTTGTATGATCATCTGTTCCTTATACAAGGTGTCTACTGTGGACTGCGATGTAGTATAAACCACAGCCTTGAGCGACGAAGTCCTACTGCGAGGTAGTGGGCAGAGCATGCATAGTGATAGAGTGGAAACGCTCACTAGACCGGGATAATAATACTCCGTATGGATTACTGGATAAGATGATGATCAGATCGATCATGCGCTTCTTGGCTGACATCGTTGGCGACGATTGGCCCTGCAGCTGCCCCTGCCGATTTGGCCCCCATGCAGGTAATTGATGCTATCGCAGGCCTATCTCGATGCCAATTGTGCAGCTCGGCGGATGATCGTCCCCCACCTGACGCCGGCCCCGCCGTCCACCTTGCTCCGCACCCCACTCAAGCACCTTTGTTTATTGACCGTCTCGATCTTATCATCTTTCCCCAGCTTTTTGTTCTTCTTTCTACCTACCTACCTAATTGAGTAGGAAACTCACAAGAACTGGCAAAAAATGAAGAATCCCATCTCGTCAGCGCTCGCTCAGGAATTGGCGTCCCAGCTGGATGCCAGCACCCAGCTCGTGACCCCGGATTCCCCCGACTATGAGGCCTCCATTGCACGGTGGTCCGACACGGCCATAAAACGTGCGGTATGAACCAACGCCCGAATATCGAATCAAGCCTCCCGCTGATACGTGCTGTCTGTGTAGGGCGCCGTGGCATTGCCGCAGACCGCCGAAGAGGTTTCGAAACTCGTGAGTTTTGCCTCCAAACACCAGCTGGAAATCGCAGTGAAAGGAGGCGGGCATTCGACCGGCGGCACCAGCGCGTCTGAGGGAGGTCTCGTCATCGATCTCGCCAAGATGCGTCAAGTGACCGTGGATCCGGAGAAGAAGATTATCGTCGCGCAGGGAGGCGCCCTATGGGGAGATGTGGACGATGCTGCCGCTCAACATGGACTCGCCACTGTAGGCGGGACCGTCAGTCACACGGGAATCGGCGGTCTTACGCTGGGCGGCGGTTTCGGCTGGCTCAGCGGGCTGTACGGGTCGGTCATTGATAATCTCGTCGGAGCGAAAGTCGTCGTTGCCGACGGACGGATCCTCGACGCGTCCAACAGCGAGAATCAGGACCTGTTCTGGGCCATCCGTGGGGCGGGACACAACTTTGGCGTGACGGTGGAATTCAGGTATCAGGCTTACGAGCAATCGCGTCCCGTCTATGGCGGCACGCTGGTGTTCACCCCAGATAAATTGAACTCGATCATCGAGACGCTCAACGAGAGACACCGGAATCCGGACCCAAGAGGCGCCTTCCACTGTGTGTTTGCCAAATCGCCGGGTGCGCCTGGCCCCGTCGTTATCGTGGTTCTATTTTTCAACGGAGACGAGGATGCCGCCAAAAAGTACTATGCTTCCGTGCTCGACTTGGGGCCGGTGGCGGCCAACTTGGCATCCATGCCATATCCTCAGATGAACCGGCTGCTGAACGACATGGCCCACCCCGGCGGCCGCAAGGCGTTGAAGGGAGCAACCTTCTCGCCTCCGATCCGAACGGAATTCGCGCAGTGGCTGTGGGAAGAATTTACGACTAAGATCAGCCAGGAGCCTGATCTGGAGAAGACATTCCTCTCCATCGAGTTCTACGACATGACCAAAGCCGCTGCAGTCCCCGTGGAGGCGACAGCATTCCCAACGCGAGGCATTTACCAGGCCGGTATCCTGGGACTGTCGTGGACCGATCCGACCAAGGACGAACAGTTCCGGGCTTGGGGGCGCCATCTGCAGGCCAAATGCAGAGAAGAAATCAGACAGACGGTCGTGCAGCCCAAGTCTGGAGCGATCTTGGAATACGCCAATTACAGCGAACGTAAGATTTACAGAGAACCTTCGTCTCGACGCGACGGAATTCCTGCTAACACTGAAACAGCCGGCGACTTGACCTACACAGCACCATTCGGCACGAATCAGAAGCGACTGACGCAGCTGAAAGCCAAGTTCGATCCGCAGTGCCTCTTCCACAAGACCAACCCGATCACACCGGAAGTGGCGTGAGAAGATCCTTGCCCAGATTGGCCATGATATACCTTTTTCAGTGTCGCGTCTGTGCGTTGAGTTTTGTTGATACCATTCTGAAGAACAACAAATAGAAACGTTTCTTTGATGGCTATGATGTTGTAAATGAAAACAACACTTGACTTTTCACGAAAATCAAAGAAAGGTCCAAGCTTTTTATACAAAGTCGATGGCAGCAGATGCAGCTATATCGGAATGATATAAATCATTACCATGATCAGATTATCAGGCAGGATCGATTTAATTAGAAGAAGAAGATACAAAATGATCATTTGACATAACGGAGTAGTTATTCTACATGCACTGTACAGTACAATGCTCAGTGGCAAGTCAGCGGGTGGCATTTCCATCCCGCCTTGGATTCGCCAGGACCATGGGCAGACACAAGGTTGACACGCGAGACGCCAAGGGCTGCAATCGACGTGTGGTAATGCCTGTAAATGGAGGTTGTTGCGATTGAGGCTTAGCTACTAACACGTTAGTAGATCTTGATCGGCGATGGGCGCACTTGATTCGCTGCGTTGCATAGGTCCTGCTATTCTGAGCATGACGTTCTGAGCAGTCTGTAAATGAACAAATTATTGGCCACAGAGTAGGATATTGCTGTCTATTAGGTACCAGGCCCCAGGTAGTATACTGGGACAGAGCAGATACTGGTGCCTGCGAGTAGTCCGTTGGTTTGCCACTCAGCATCATCGTGGGCACCCTTTTTTTGCGGCGCTCTCCGACTAAATCACTTCCAATACATGGATCGGTAAGGCACACTGGACCCCTCCGTTATGAGTACGCACGAAGACGAATAATGGGCTGTCGGAGACCTGCCGGACAAGAATTCTAACCTGACGGCGCCTGTCGTTGGGAGGCCGTTGGCTGTGACGTTGACACTTTCCATATCGGGACTAGCTCTGTTGCCCTCCATCTATATCAATTGTCTTCACCCCCAGGTATTCTCCAGCTTGTTCCTCGTCAGATAGCTGCTAAGCGATTAGACTCGTCGAGCTGCGAAACTCATCTTTGTCAGTTCTGCGACCTGTACATAGAGCTTCCTCGACAGGTTATCGGATCTTTGCCTCATATCGACCTTGCAGACGCAACGGGCTCTTGCCCTGCATCAAGACGAACAACAGCAATTAATCCATCATGACTATTACCTCTACTCTTGAAGACGGCAGAATTCAAGCCGTTGAAGGAATCATCGGCTATCGATTCGTCGATGAGACGCTGCTCCGAGAAGCACTCCAAGCCGCGGGCTATTCGTACCCCATCGACGGGAACAAGAACTTGGCTCTGGTTGGAGATGCCGCTCTCAGGCTGGTGCTTGTTTCAGATGGGTATAAAAGACATGTTTTCAAAGGTAGGGAAGAGATTTCGGAGAGGGGTATGTACATTCGTTCGTTGTGAAGGTATACTAACACTCGCCAGGAATGATCAATAATGTCCTCTCGGCCACGGGCAGTAATGCAAATCTGGCCCAGGTCGGTTTCCAGAATGGCCTTGATCGATTCATCTACACCAACCCGTCTCAAGCTGGCGTCGTCTCCAAGGGTGTCATGGCTACAACCATAGAAGCCATCCTTGGTGCCGTCTATATGGACAGTAATTCGGATATTCGCATTGTCCGTGAGGTTGCAGCGGTGCTGGGATTGTCTTGGCCTGATCTGCCGAATTAAACTTCGGCTCAGGATCGTGATGACTGCGCGATTTGTCGATAATGTCAATCCGGGCTGGCTGTTGAACAACTCGAAAGATACACTCCGACCAGACATTGACTTACAGATACAAGCATGTAGCAGTCTTGCCGGGGGTTCATACGATTGCATGTTGGCTTGAGCCTGGATCGCGATGTCCATATTGATGTCTGAAATCTGTCTTCCTTTCCTATTCAACATATACATGTACTTAGACACTTCCCATGCTCTCCATACTAGATACCTCAGGACGAAGTAAAACAATTTGTTCTGACTCAGATTGCCATGCCTGTCTCTTACTGTAGAAGTAACACTATAATCGGGCGTTTTCATTTCCTGCCCCCTGAATCTCAGCATGAATACAAAATTATCGCTGCTAGGTATCACTGCAGTCTGTGAGATAGGTGACAGTTGTCGCTCATTGATTATTACGGTCTAGCAAAAACTCCAGGAATTACTAGGAAAGCAGACTCCTTCCTGCCTAGGTAGGTATCCGGTTATTAACTTTCGAAGTCACTTAGGTCTTGCAAGCAACAAATCCTGCAAAAACTGTCTGAGATAATACAGACAAACAAGAGAAATAGCAGGAAGAGAGGTTTTTCCTCATTTTCTCTCTATCTCTTTCTTTTCTTTCACCAAAAACATCCATGAATAGCAGATACTGCCCACATACCTAGGCAGCATACCTCCCTCCCTCCGTCTATCCCTCTGCCTAGCTACCAAAACCAGGCAACAACCACCCCTTCAAAATGACTCACACCACCGCAAATACCTGTTCCAACCTCCCTACCCCTACCCTTCGACCAGCGGACGAATAGTGTACTTGGTGAAGGAGACTGATTCCTGCCTGCCAAAACGTTCAGTCTCCTGCCGGTCCGGGTACATAGCCTGGTCCCTGGTTCGATTCCCCGTTTATCCCTACGTGAAGAGGCGGGTAGGTTGTGTAAAACTCCCTGGCGAGAATTGAAAAATAACATAAACAGAAAAAAAAAGACAGAAAAAAAAAGACAGAAAAAAAAAGACAGGAAAAAAAAAGAACAAAGCAGGGGTTTTCGTAGGCCCACAGGCACCATAAACGGGCTGATCTTTTTGCCAGCTGAATTCCCTTTATCGAGTAGAACAGAAACTACCTATTAAAAAGTTATCTTGAATTAATGACGATACCAAATTAGTCTTAGAAACATAACTATTAACTGTCTCCATGGCTGTGCAATACTTTCCCGTGATTGATAGGCATTTTCTACAATACCCTTACAGCCGTGTGATATGGCAGATCGCGCGAGCTGAAGCCGACATGCACCGAGATATTTCCCTCAGGAATCCGCCAGTTCTGAGACTCCACATCCCAGGAGCTCACGTCCCGTCTCGTTAGGGGGAAAGAGACCGTCTGGCGTGCCCCTGGCTCGAGATAGATCTTCTCGAATCCGCGGAGGACCCTGACTGGTGTTCCGGACGGGACGGCGTCTTGTGGCAGGGAAACGTATAGCTGGACGACGGTCGAGCCGGCAATCGATCCCGTGTTGCCGACCGTCGTCGTCGCGTTGAGGAGCTGCGTCCACAGAGCGGGGTTTCCGCCTGCAGACGTGTTGTTGTTGTTGTTGATTGTGGGGGGGAATGGCGAGATTGCTCCCCTCGACGTCCGGGACACGGACAGGCCGTTCTCCAGCGCAAAAGTGGTGTAGCTCAACCCGTAGCCAAACTCGTACAGTGGCGTGATGTTCTTCGCGTCGAAATGGCGGTAGTCGATAAACTGTCCTTCGGTGAAATTGACCTGCCACGCCCACGACTCCTCCGCCTCCGGACCGGTGATGTTCAGGATCTGCGTGTTGTAGTCTGCCTCCTGCTGGGCGATCGTATAGGGCAGTCTGCCAGATGGATTGACGTCGCCGTACAGCACGTCCACGATGGAATTCCCGCTCTCCTGTCCCGGATAGTGCGCGGCGAGGATGGCCGTCACGTTCGGGTTGGTCGCCCACGGCGTGGTGTTGATGCCCCCCGAGTGGGTGATCACGACGGTTCGCTGAGGGCATCGCGCTGCGACATTGTTCACGACAGCCGTCGAGTCGTAGTCCGCCTCGAATGCAATGCGGTCTGCTCCCTCGCGCGACCACGTCTTGAGGAAGACCAGACAGACGTCCGGCGAGGGATACACGCTCGTGAAGACGTCCTGAGCGAGCAGGCTATTATCAGTGACATAGAGCACGCGCGACCCGTCCTGCCTCGCCCGCGCTTTGATCGCCTCCAGCGGCGACACGATATACGGATTGCGGCCGCCTCCCGACCCCCCGCCGATAGTCAGCGTGCCGATATTGAACCCGAAAGGCGGAGTCAAAGAACCAGTTGACCCGTCAAAGGCCAGACCGTCAGACACGTCCGCTGCATCGTTGCCAAATACCCCGATGACCTGTGGAGAGCGCAGCGGGAGGGTCGAGTTGACGTTTTTCAGCAACACGGTGCCGGAAGCAGCCAGCTGGCGGATGAGCCTAGCATGGTCGCTGCGGACGTTTCGGCCGGACGGCGTAGGAGTGTCGACTGGCAGCAGACCGTAGTTGGCAGCAATGACCAGCTCGGTCGTCGGGTCGACAGAGGGATAATTTTTATCCTGGCCGAGATAGTAGTACGGCGTCAGGATGCGGCGGAGCATGTCGTCCATGCGGGCCTCCGATAGCGATCCATTCTGCACGGCGGAGACGATATTCGGACCAAAGAAAGTCTCTCCCAGGTTCGTCTCCGCCGTTGGGCCGGGCATGTCCATGTCGAGGCCTGCCAGGACAGACTTGACGCCCGAGTGCGTGGCGAAGAAACCCGACATGACGAAGCCGCGGAACCCGAGCTCGCCTTTGAGGATTCCGTTCAGCGAGTGCGAATTCTCACACGAGTACGTCAGGTTGAGCCGGTTGTAGCTGCACATCACCGAGGCCACTCCAGCGCGGACGGCATCAGCAAAGGGCCACAGGTAGAGCTCGTGAAGGGTGCGGTCGTCGATGTTGGAGGAGTAGCCGTCCACGTTCTTGCCGTCTGCAGTCGTCGTGTTGGATCGTTGGGTTTCTTGTTCGTACCCGATGTAGTGTTTTGCACACGCCTGGACACCGTTGTCCTGGACGCCACGGATTGTGAGGTCCATCGCAACGCCAGTGAGGTAGGGATCGCGCGAGAAGCCTTCCCAATTGCGTCCCCCAAGAGGGTTGCGACCTAGAGGGCCGGCAACCGGACTGACTATTTTTAGTTCAAGAAATTCAATGCTAGGTTTATACCTACCCCAGAGCAATATTGGCGCCCTTGCCACGGAATTCTGCCCCAAGCGCCAAGCCGCGCTGGTAGAGAAGATTTCTATCCCAGGTGGCTGCAGCAGTTAACCCCGCAGGCAAGACACTCGCTTTATCAGCCAGGTGTATGGCGGCTGGGCCATCTGCCAGACAGAGGCCAGGAAATCCCAGTCGCTCTATCGGAGCCACGTATTCCAGGCACGTCCCGGTGAGCTCGCCGGTGACGATACCCGCTTTTTCGGTAAGATTGAGTTGGGAAATGAATTTGTCCGCCTTTGAAGCAGCTATGGTCCATTGTGTGGAGTTGATGCCGGGAGCTACGATTGTCAATGACACAAATTAGCTAGGACAGAATCGACAGGAGGGAGCGTCACGTACGAAGGAGAGCACCGATGGAGACATTCTGAGCGACGCCTGAGGTCAGGAACATCCAGATGTGCAGGAGGGACAGAGCGAGGATAAACATGACGACTCGTGAATCGTGCCTTGTTCAACCAACTTGGGACTTTCTCATTGATCTATCTTTCTCCAGATGGAAGAACGGCCGGTTTTATATCCACGAGATACGCCATTCTCCCCTTTCCTGGCAGAGCCTAGAATACAGCAGGAAATGAAGCTATTCGGGGTCATTTCCGCCAAGACAGATGTTTCCCACGTTTCATTGGCTGAATTAAATTTCATTCATGGATAATAACGAGGAGAAATGACCATACTCCTGATGAAAAGCGGGGGAGGAACGTGCCTGGGATTAGTAGCAATATTAAAAACGGTTCCTTTGCAGTCCCATACTGCATTAGCTATATTTCAGACAATAATACGGGGTAGCCTGTAGGAACAAAAAGGAGGGGTCAATAGTTGAGAGAATATCCAAGTGGCTGACGACGTCTGAATAAAGTATAGGATACGAATACGAAACCGCCAGAAGCCGAGCATGCGGATTGACCCTAATCGGGAAGATGCCGGCAGATGTGATCATTCACGTGCAGCCAGAGTATTGATTAACTGATTAGAGCTGTGCGTGCTAACTGCAGGAAAATTTAAAATCCTGGTCACTCTCAAGTCTGTAGTTAATTTCTGTCTTTTAATGTAATCAGTTAATAAGGTGTGGTGGGGGATTGCAACTTCTTTACCTTTTTTTTTACCTACTCCACAATTATAAAACTGCATACTAATGCTAATGCACAGATTGTGTGCACAACAACAGGCTTCACATACAATCTTACTTCTTATATACTTGCTGTTGACAAACTTGTCCCTACAGGGTATGTAGCCGGGCCAGATCACCTAGCCAAAGACCATCATCCACTGTACATTATTCCTATTATTGTAGCGATTATTACTGTGAAAGGTATAGCCTACTGGCCAGTTTATCTGCAAACCAGACTAATTACTATGGCGTAAACAAATAAGTTGCATCCTTCTTATGAGAAATCTGTCAACAACTCGCCACGTGGGAGATCTGACAGTTTGATAATAGACCGAAACAGACAGTTGAAGCTAAGAAGTGGGCCATTGGCATGATAGGTCTCGTCAATTACTGTTAGTTTATCTTTCGACAGTCAATGATCTGATTATTCCCACATATATACAACAGGGGCCAGCCTTTGTAATATTAACAATTATATAATTCCATTATCAACAAAGCCAAACCAATCGAAGAAAAAAACTTTCTGGCTTGACAGGCCAATAACGAAAATGGATAATGAGTGAAGCCATTGACTTTCTATTGATGAAACAAGAGGCATCATCGTTCATCCAGACGTCATCGACTATGCAGTAGACAGAGTAATTTAACTCATTGTGGTCAGCTTATTACCTCCTTCAGTTTGTTAATGAGATAGGTATGTAGTTATTTTGCCACTTCAATGACAGGCCTGGGAAGTACAGAAAGTCAGTCGTCTATTTTATTTTCTTATCTTGACGGGTCATCTTGGCCGTTGGATTTAGTTTAGGTCCTACGGTTCGATTCCGCCTGTAGTATGCAGTATGGATCTACAGAGAACTGCGCAGAATAAGCACTGTAGGATATCCGATTTCCTATCGGGGTTAGTCGTCGCGAAGGATTCTCATCCTGTGCCTCGCCAGTAGTGCAGACATTAACCAATGGAACAGATACATCGGATCTGAGGCTGCTACTGTCGTAACACAAGCCGTGATATTGATACCTCAGGCACAGTAGATACTACATGTATTCTATACTGTTACAGTCTAGCACCTGTCAAAAGAAACGCTGGGTTGCATTAAGAATTATGTCTCATTCCTCACAGAGTGAATATGCCTAGCCACTTTCTGTCGATCACTGCACCATAATCCGCTGCCGTCTTGTGGGGTCCGAGGATCCCGACCCGACGTTGCATCCTTCAAAGAGTTCGAAGATATATACGGAGGAAAGGGGCTGTTTTTAATAATTCAGGTACATACAGATGTTCATTCAGTCATTCTTCTTGACACTCTGCTTTCCCGCCGATATTGCAGTTTTTCGACGAAATTGATTTGAGAACGAAGCAAACATGGTTTCCGTAAGTCTTACTCCCATTCTTTTTTTTTGTACACTTTATAATTTTTTTCTCCTCCCATACTAATCATAATCTATCAGAAACTTTCCATCGTCGCCACCCTCCTCACTCTCACCACCACCGTGCTTGGCGCCACTCCAACCCCCTACCCAGTGATCTCCTACTCCATCTCGACCGAACCCGGCTGCCCGGAAGTCTACGACACGATCAGCAACAACCAGTGCTTGAAGTACGGGGACATACCCTTCCACTCGATCAAGTTCAATGAAGCCACAGACCCGGACTGCTACGTTGCCGCCTGGCACGGGCACGTCTGCGACGAGTATGTGGTTGGCAACTACACGGGCAACAAGGGGGACTGTGTCTCGTTCGAGGATGGGGCTTCGAGCTTTGAGTATGTCTGTAAATGAGTTAGTCGTCTGCTCGCTAGACGGGAGAGTTGGAACAAGCAGGTACCAGAGATAGAGAAGGAGATGGGGCTGATATACCGTGACAGAAGTTGGGTTTATGCACAGCCTTCCCTTCATAATTTTGATCGTCGCTAATTATTCTCACTTGGTTCTGTTGCTTTAAAAAGTTTAGTATAATAAAAGTTCAATTAGAGATACCCACAACTACATGACCAGGTCATTCAATTCTGGCATGTAGGCAGCTGCCTAGCTTGTCAGGCAAACAGGCAGGCAGAAATCATCCGAGAGAAGAATCTCAATTATCTATGATGATTTCCACAAGATTCAGAAGCTGGATCTCTTGCAGCTTGAGTGCATTTCATCTTGTTATGCCTACTTCTAGGCATATTTCTGATATTCAATCAAGAAATGCGAAGGATTAAAACTAACCAATGGGTCCCTATGGAACACGTTCTTGTATAGTATCCCTAATTTACGTAATATTTACGGGTCGAGAAGGACATGCAGGTTCGCAAAGAGGCAAATGCCATGCATTCCTTTGGACGAGTTTGAAACAGTTGCTTATCATTTAATAAATGTTGTTCTGTCATAAATTACCTTCTCTTATCTCGCTTCTGATAACATGTCGGCAAGACCAATTCCTTTAGATGTGGTCTTCCTGTTACACTACCTAACGTATCTACATTAACTAGTGGGCTAGTCTATATACATCAGGTGTTATACGGCAGCTACACCAGACTGACCGTGTACTTTCCTCCCTTAAGGTTGGTGACGGTGATAGTTGACTGGTTGTTCGGAACATCTCTCACCTGTCTCCCTCCAGGCCCATTCAGGACTAATCGCTTTGCCGGCTCCGTCACAGGCAGAGTCAATGTTCCGCTCGTCCCAGGCGGAGTCTGGAATTCTCCCTGCAGCCCGCCCGTACTATTCGCGCTCCAGCTGGCGGAGAACTTCCCCAACGAACTTGTGTATCCCGCCGACAAAATGCTCAACCCACCCAGCTGGGGCTTGACAAGCCACGTCTTCCCCCCGGCAGACGTCAGCTGGAGCCCCGCGCCGAAAAAGGTCAGCGCCGACGTCGGCCCTGTTGCCCAGCCGTGCGCGTGGCTCACCCGGGGGTCATTCGAGTATGGAGCGTAGTGCAGACTCCCGTCCGTCGAGTACCCCTCGATAAACGTGCTGTTGGTCATGCGCGGATCGTCCAGCATAAAGTCGGCCCACATGAACTCGATCAGCTCGACGGCGCGCTCGGGGTGGCCGGCGAGATAGTGCGCTTGCACCTCGAAGCCAGACGCGAAGGGAGACACGGTGGCTCCGGCTTCTGGGGCTGGAGCTCCGTACGGACGCACCCAGCGTGCTTGTAACGCGGCGCTGATGGCGCTGGCTCGCGACGGCGACACCAGGCCAGACACGATGGCCCAGGCGTTGCCGTCCTGCGGGTGCAGCGACGTGTTGGTCGTGTTGTCCCGGAACAGGTTGGCCGACTCGTCCCACAGGAGGGCATTAGCAGCCTGCTTAATTCCCTGGGCGGTGGTTGTCCAGTTGCTGACGACGCTGGTGTCGTTCAGAACGGCGGCGAGTTTCAGACCAAGGTTGAGATTGTAGTAGAGGATCGCATTGGCCTGTTGGCAGTTAGTAAAGGTAACACTTTATTATTCACATTGTCTATCTGCAGAATGCTGCACGTACCTCAATGTTGTGCCCACCCATGCCGAAGCGCAACCAGTCCGCGCTGCTCGTCACGTTGGCGAGCTTGGAGCTGTCGATAAACTGCAGAATGTACGCCATACCCAGCTTGTACTTCCCCCAGACGGACTTCAGATACTCAACATCGCCCGTGAAGAGATAGTAGTCGTAGATGTCGTTCAGCGTGTGGAGATGGTAGGTGAAGCTCCAGAGGAAGTTGCTCGGGTCGGTACTCTGAAAGGGAATGCCAGAATACGGCAGACGACCGTCTGGCAACTGAATGGCGAGTAGCGAGTCCAGGCCGCTCCGGATCGCGTCCAGCCGGTTCGTTGACACGAAGATGGATGGACCTGAGATGACGATGTCGCCGGGCCAGACGAGGCGGTCTCGTTTGGCGCCGTCGACGAGCACGGCCGTTCCGTCTGTCGATTGTCAGTTACATGACTAGACAGAAATGATGAATGGAAATGGCAATACGTACTAGCGATGGTATAATTGTAAGCCCACCCCGAGAGAGGCAGTCTTAACGCGCTGCCCGTCGACGAATCAATGGAACACAATTGATTAGTATAGGCACCCGCGTACCACACTCGGTTGAGCTTCTCGCTGCTGCTGTGGAAGTAGCCAGTATAATCTCTAGGATCGGACATCTGGGGCACGGCGGTCCAATTGACGGTCAATGCCGACAGACTCACGCTGCCGGTGGAGTTGTGCAGCACGTTCAGATACCGAAAACCACCGCGCTGGTGCGTGATGTCTGCTGTGTAGGTGCCCGGGCCGGAGATTGCGAACCATAGCGGATCGTCGAGACCTTCGTCCTGCGTAGCGTCGCATTTGTCGGGGCTGATCCACATCGAGCTCTCCGTGAAGCTGATGCCGATGTATTCATTCGAGCCGGAGACGGCATCGACCTGGAAACGAACGTTGCCTGCGATGTTCTTGCCAAAGTCCAGCGTCACAGAGGAATTGGCGCCGACGAAGACGGCAGAACTGTTGGAAGTCCTACTCGAAGCACCAGCTGCAGTCAGAGCGGCAGCATTCCGGACGGTACCATTGACCTCGTGAACGGTCGGTGCGGTCAGTGTCCGCGAGCTGGGAGCGAGAATATACTCGCTGTAGGGCACTGACGCGGCCGTCGCGAGGAGAGGCAAGCACCACGAAAGCAGTGGTAGGCGCGCCATGATGCCAGCTGTTCCCAGGGTTTCCTGAGAGTCCTGGAGAGAAATAGAGAAGGGCGTATCGTGTTGTTTACATACTGCATGCAAACCACACCGACTGTCCAAGGCTACACCGAGGTCGACTGAAACCCAGCTGTCGTCTCGGGGTAATATCCACCGAAGAACGACACTGCCATCGCGGCATTCCATCGAATCATCGCCAATCCCGCGATCGCCAGGCTGGGGGAGACACTGTGGGGAAATGCGGAGAAGCGGGGGCGCAATCCGGAGTAGTCTAATGAATCCACTCCGAAGCCATTATCGACCTTCCCAACAGGTTCAAGACTGTGCTGTCGGTCGTCTGTTGTCATTTTAGGGCAGATTTCTTTTCCGCAGTTCCAAGTTGAGGGCAAAGCTGTCTCTCCAACGACAATGCCCCTAGTTGAGATCTGAAAGCCGCTGGGATTGTTTTTGGATGATTTTTGGTATAATGAACGCGATAAAAAGAGATAAGCGGCATGGATTGTCACAGCAATACCGAACCAGCATCATCGTGGACAAAGGCGACATGGGATTGCCAGCGCGATTAGCAGTGAATAACGGGGTACAAACGACAGGTTGTCCTGCAGAATATCGGCATCTGTATTTCGGTCTGGCACACAAGAGTCGTCTGATCGAAATCCTCGCTATTGTAGTGATTGGAAGTGTGCTTGGTACCTTGGATGTCCACCGGGCCATAGTGGCGAAGGCCAACAATGTTACCCATTAGGTGTAACTCAGTAAGCATGATGGCCCCAAATCAGTTCGTAACAGCTGCGGCTATCCGAATTCCGTCCGTCTCCTAATTCGATATCGCGGACACTAAGATTGAATTCCAGGCCATCAACACAATGCAGGGATCGAGGACTCTCCACGAGGGACTGCCCATAGAAACAACAGAAGGCACAATCTCCGCTTCGCGCAATGAGGACGGATGGTTCGCGTACACTCCTGGGATCAACAAAGATTAACGAGTGGGAATTCTGACATCAAGAGTTCGTCCATAACTCCATTACTCATGTATATACCTTCTATATATTATATGCATCACTCATATCACTCCATAACGCAATATGCCAACATGTCTCTATGAGTATTATATATTTCATCGCAAATCTAGCCAAATGAAGTACCTCGAAACGCGTCCAGAGGTTCCACTGATTAAAATATATTATGTTGCGTTGTTCGCACACGAGAAACTGGCGCTGCTGGGGCTATCGTGGATCGCTTTGCCGGAGACATACAGTCCGAGGCCACACTGAAGCCGTCAGTTAACATCGCACGAATACAGACCTCCATCACAGCAAGAGTTAACCTACCAGACAGCCACCGATGCCAACAATGAGGAGGTTGACAATGGTGAGGAAGATCTTCCTCGGTGACGAAAAGTACTTCCCCTTGTTCAGGAACAGCCAGAAAACTCCACTCAAGCCATCTGTTTCAAGTTAGCAACACTCCTCGAGAGCGATTATGGCCAGATCGGAAACGTACAGGTAAACCAGCTTGCGAAAAGTGCCGTCTGGATTGTGACTTGTTAGCCCGTATGCATCTGAAGTAAATCTAAGCAACAGCAACATACAATCAAACTGAGGAGATTGTTGAATACAGGGATGGCCTCTGCGATGATCCACGCGATGACCCAGAGGACCAACGCTATGGCCACCCAGGATCCCAGGGACAGCAGACTGCGCTTCTGCATGTGGTCGGTGCCGCGGAAGACCCGGACGTAGATGTACTTGCAGGCGACGTGGCCGTTGATGACACCAGCGATAACGATCTGATGATACGTTAGACAGGAATTCTTCCTATACGAAGTCACATACGTACGGTCGGAATGGCAATTCCGTAGGCCACTTTGCTCATGATAGGACCGGTCGACCCGAGGGCCGGCGATGCGACGCCCTTACCGCCGTACCGGTAGATAACCACGGCAGCCACCAGGTACATTACTGTGTCGGTAAACTGCAGCATGAACAGGGTCTTAGGATAGTCCGTGGGCTTCTTCATCTCTGAGATGAATCCGAAGAACGCGACGTGACCGGCTGTCATCACTCAGTCAGCAGTCTCCTCTTTTAAAACCACGCTTGAAAAATGACGAGACGAACCATATGCAAAGACAATATTCGTCACAGCCAAGAAGCCATGATAGAGATTGGTGTGCAGGGTAGCATCAACATGGCCGTCGCCGGGGCGCTCCACGCCGATGGCGATCATCGTGATCATGACGGCGGAGAAGATGCTGATGAAGGCTAGATCGCACTGTCAGCATCCTAGTCGTCTTCGGAAATACGGAGCGGTCCTCACAGGCAATGGAAAACCACGACACCTTCTTGAGGGTGCGAGGCAGGCCGAATAGAAACGATACCACCATGCCGACGACACCAAACACAATGGAGCAGGTGCCATGGTCGGTCAGGGTGTTCATCATGACGGAGAAGGTGAGCACGTGGCTGCCCATGATGAAGATTAGGAAGAGTAGCTGCGCATTGCCCAGAAATTCACGCCCGAACCGGCCCAGGAGCACTTCTCCTGCATCAGCCATGCTGTGGACGTGAGGATACCGCAGCTTAAACTGGCCGATCACGTAGCCAGTATACGTCGCGACCGCCGACAGACCGATAAGCAAAATGATGGCGCTAGCGATCAATCAGTATTGGTTCATGTTCACCATATGTACCCGAATATTTCGAGGGAAAAAAAAAAGGGCGACTCACGGGACCAGGCCCAAACTTGCGACGGCCGAAGGCAGCGACAGGATTCCCAACGACACGGTTTCAGCAATCATGACTGCACCAGATTCTCCGTCAGCAGGACTCTAGCAATAGAAAGAGAATGGCGATGCGACCGTACGCATTCCACAATGCCTAATGTTCGCGTTCAGTCAGCTACCAACACCTCTCCGTCCCACGTTTTCAACTGCGACACTTACCACCACTCCATAGTCCGGTATTTCACCTCGGCAAACTCCTCGTTGCCAAAGGGATCCTCATATGGGGGCGTGTCGCCCTCGACTTCCTTTTTCACATCCTGGTCCGGGTCGTTGTATGCGCCGGGTTCCAGATCTTCCACCGCAATGTGCTGGTTGTGCGACGCCATTGTCCACGACGGCTCTGATCAAAGTGAGGTACTCCGTATAGAATGGCTGTTCGGGCAGTCGTTTTCGAAGGATTCAGTCGAATTGAGCCGTGTCGCGGTGGACAGGCCGGGGATCAGACACGGTGTCGCGTGCCAGCACACAGAGAACACCAGCGAGAAGGGCGCACACAGATTTCGAAGGAAAGGCCATTGTAGTCAGGGCCTTCATAATAAGGACATGGCGGTTGGACCGTGGCATGCATCTGTCCCGCCACTCTGGGGCCATGCGAGGATCGGCAGTGGGCCATGGGCCTTGCGTCGGGACGAATCATGGATCAACGACGTAACAGAAACCGGGCGAGAAGCTGGGGAAGCACCCACCCGGCCACCAAAACGGCTCTGGAGGCGTTCTGCCGCCTCCGATGCCGGCGTCCCTGCTGGCAACGCGATGAAGAATGACAGAAAACGGGCAAAAACGAGCGGCCATTCCATCGGTGTTTTCTGGCGATGTTCGTCAAGCATTCCGTAGGGCTGGCATGCCGGCAAATCTCTGCTCGGCCCCGGCAACCAATCAGACGGCCGGTTCGGCATGCAGCAGCAGTTGCTGGATGCGGGAGGAGCCGATCCAGGAAGCCGCCACCCACGCCGACCGTCCCTGCCGATGCCGGCCGTGTGTTGACGTAACGACCAGTCAGATGCCGTGATTAGTATTGCAATTATCTCGCTCCAATCAGCAGAGAAGGTTAGCAGTGGTCCATTTTCCGCGCGACGGCTCAATTACTGGAAGGGAAAATTCATCTGGCCCTGTCATGGCGTCTGCGGAAGATATACCATGTCAGGTGACTTGTGCATCCCGAGCATAGCTGAGTCAGCAGCTGCACAACTCCGATCTCCATGGATCCACAACCGGCCATCACTACGGACTACTCAATGTCAAACTGCATTTCATACGACCGATGTTGCATGACGCGTATACCGGCTACTGCGGATGCAGCTTACTGTACAGTAGTCCCAGGTCATCTAGCCGATTACTTACTGCCGAAGTATCATGCGAACACCTAGGCTAATGATTTGCCCAGGACTACCTTCTCACTTCTACCTACCACTGCGGAGAATAATGTCTCGTAATAAGATCCACACTCCACCGTCGACTGGCCTCCCCATGGGGAAGTTTCTTTTACTCTGTTGGTCAGTTCTAGTTATTCAACGAGAATTACGTTATCAGCACTGGCAAAACTGGGTAGTCTGCAGTCTCGCTTGCGGGGGTACCTTCCTCGTGTTCTGTCACATGATTCCGACACATCCTCAACTTCATCTGTTTTCTGTGCTTCCACTTCCCCTTTTCGAGAATCGTTCTCCCTGTCACAGCACAGAGAGAAAGGACGTCGGCTCCTTACAAGATCTGCGTGTCTACTTCAATTAGACCGGCGAACCAGGCTTGCCTCGGTACAATGTGATAACAGCGTCCATATATAGCAAAGAAGCAAAGCAATCTAACATATTACTCTGAAACTGTTCAAATCTTGACTGGTCGATTCCACGAGACTTACCATTCCGTCATGTCCTGACGGGGAGCGTTCTCGTCACTCGGAACATCCGGGTCCAATCCAGCCTCATATCTTCTAAGCAGTGCCTCTCTCTTGCGATCCGCAAAATCCTCCAGATACCTGTCTCGTAAAGTCATGTCCTTAATTCTAGGCCGAATTTCAGCCAAAACAGTCGTGCAATTCCTGTTCCACCAGTTGCCTACTGTTCAAACATCCTCGAAGCCTCCCGATTCGCTCGTACAAGACTACCGCCCTGTGACAGTGGTGAAAGACAGCATTGCGAAAGCGGTCCTCGAAGTAGTGAACTAGGGTGTCAATAAACGAAGTACGTGCTCATCCCAGCCTTTCACTGTTAGAGACTGGCTCATCATCATTGGATGCAATGTTCACCGTCAGAGTCTTGATGACTATCCCCTTGTCTGAAGATCCGTTTCTTCGCGCGCTACCAGGCCCACAGCAGACGAAACGCTTCATGAGCTCATGGAATGAGGCCACAATGCTTGGGAACAAGCCTTCACGCATCACAGACTCCAGGGATTCCAGGGGGTCCTCGTAAGAACCCATCCGTATCGTTGCCACAACCTCGTCTACACACAGCACAAGGGCTGGCGCGAACAGCCATGTCGGTAACAGGCGCCGTCCAGAGACAGCAAGGATATCAAGAATGTACGGTTGTCTCAGAAGATCTGCCTTGTTCTTGCGGGGACGGGCCAGCGCGCGTCTCGTGTCCGCTGCAAGCTTGCGGTTGACACGAAGAAGTGGACCGCTGGCGGTGGCGTCCTCCAGATCCTCATGCAGAACCCTGTTCGTCCAGCGTTCGTACTCGGAATCGGTACAATCATGCCGATTCACCCGGCCCTCTAACGCCGTGGCCTCGTCCTGTGGCGGAGCGCGTTCCGTGAAGAGGACCAAGTCTAGGATTATATCGCGAAGTTCTTGGGGGAGACCCAGTAAGGAAGGCGTGCCCATACTGAAGGTCAGTACAAACCAAGACTGTTAAATTCACAAGTTGTGTTGCTCAAAAAGAAAGAATGGGGTGTATATGCTCGAAGAATGGTATCTGCCTTCATGAGCAGGTTCACTGCTTCATCCGGAGCCATTTATATTTCGCCGCATGGCTATGAAAGATATGAAATTGTCGGACGTTGATAGCATAGTCGATGGAAAAAAACCGATTATTCGGCGATTTCATTGGCAGCCATTGACGTGATAGTGACAATGGCCTTTATAGAGACCTCGCAAAGACTGGGTGACAGGGAGCTGCCTTTCCGACATCGATCGGTATAGAGCAACAAGAATGATGAAGGTCTCATGCGCCTTATTAAACAAGTATATATAGAATACGTTTGTAGTAGTCAACACTGAAAGGACAATCATTTTTATATGCTCTCGTATATAAAAAAAGAAAGGGGGTTGGGGAAAGAAAGAAATAAAGGCAAAGAAAAAAGAAAAAAGAAAAAGAAGCATAATGAGTATCTGGCAAAGGAAAAGAAGAGAACCCGCAGTAAGGCGTTGTATCTATGGCGATAGGCATTAACGAATTCTTTATTAGCAAGGCTGCTAGTATATGCCTATATTCATTGTTAAAATTGTTCAATCTTCCATTTTCTTGTCGTGGCTTGTTTCACCTCCAACAAATGTTCCAGTTCGTGTCTTTGTTTGCTGTGAGAGTGTCTGTCCAAGTCTGCTAGCAGAGTTCCGACGGCGAAAAAAGAAAAAAAAAAGTAGGTCAACCAACGTAGTCAATGAAAAAAGGATCTTGATCTAAATTGAATTCTAGTTGCTGTGGTCTCATTTCTCTGATCAAAAGAATGTGAATGTCTTCTGCAAAATCACTCAAGTACCTAAATACTTGCTCTGGGCATCAATAAGTCCTTCAAGAATGGAAAGCAATGATATCTCATTGGTGTCTATTAACACAGGAGTCAAGAGAGTGAGATCAAGAGTAATTTCTACCAGTACTTCCAACATAGGACGTGCCAGTCTTCCCACCTTTTATTGATTGTTCATTTCCTCTCCTCATCCACCTCCTTTTTTTTGCTTCCAAATACAAGGCGATTCCGAATTTCTGACCACAGTCTTCTGCCTTGTGTTCAGCATAGCTTGACCCAACATGACCTGACCTTGTGTCCAGATCTCTTCCATTGCGCACACTAACAGAAATATGACTTACTCAACAAAGTAGGTTGTTGGATAGGTAGTTAGATGAACACGCTCCGTACACTATAAGGCAAGTCTTAATGCATTAACTGGCACGCACAAATAATGTCTGTTGTCAATTCGCTATCAGGACGTGTCTACTGAGGCTCTCTCTCCTCCCCTTCTCTATTATTCTGTCACTTTATTTGCTTTTGCTTGTGATGGCTTTCTCCCAGCCAAGAGGAGTAGTGGTTTGTTGACCAATTAGGTAGGAGGCATTCCGCAGAGATCACTTCCTGGAAGTTGCACCTTCCTCAACCACGTTCACTAAACCAGCTGGTCTTATAAGTGATTCCATTCACTGATTCACCTTCAATCCCTCGACATCCTTCTGACTTCCACAGTGCTTTCGCTAAGCTCGAGTATTTCTTAACCTCACATCTATCTCTCACATATACGAACAAACAAGTCCTTCTTTCCACAATCAAATCAATTAAGACAGCCTATTTATTCTTCCGACAGTGCTGCTGTTATGAAAATGTCCTTTGGTTATCTCGACCTCGATGGCACGCCGCTTCGCGGCCGCCTTCTCGGCGTTGGGGGTTCGGGTGTGGTCGTCGAACGCGATGGGACTGCGTTCAAGCTGCCGCGCAGGAGGAGTGGCGATAGTCAAGAGCAGATCGCGCGAAATCACCGATTCATTGAACACGAAAAAGAGGTTCACCGACGCCTGCAGGGCTGCTACGGCGTAGTCCGCTGCCTCAGCCTGGCCAGCCCCGGCATGATCCAAATGGAAGTAATGAGAAAAGGAAATCTATATGCCTACCTTCGTCACGCTCGCATGACACGAAACTATCCGTCTCGAGACGTTCAACTGTCATGGTTCCGGGATTTGGCGCGGGCCCTCGTGGGCATCCACGACCGGCGCGTCATGTTCGTCAGCTTTTTCACTCGAAACCTTCTCCTCTCGATGGACCTAACGATCAAGTTTAGCGACTTTGGTCGCTCCATCCTCCTGCCTCCGGAGATCGACATGCGTACGACGGAACGATACGGGTATTCGATCTCGATGGACATTGGACAGTTTGGGATGATTCTATACCAGGTTATCACTGGCGGGCAGTATTGCGACTTTGGCTTCGTCTTTGCAGATGACCATCCGGGACCAGAGGAGCCTGTCTGGCCGGCGAGAGCAGCGCTCCCTGAGACGTATGATCTCTGGCTTGGCCCGCTGATCGACAAATGCTGGACACAAGGAGCGTTTGAGGATGCGCGGAGCCTGTTGGCAGAGCTGGAGTCGGTGAGCGTGGATGACATGGCTGGCTACAATGAGTGCGATAGCTATCGAGAACCATCTCCCAAATGGGGAAATGGAGTGCGAGCTGATTCAGAATAATCGGAGAATCGCTGGCAATTATCGAGTGCTGATACTCGACCGATAAATACCGTTTATTTGATTCCTTCATTCCTTCTTGTTTTTACTTAATGATTCGCCTGTCAGACATGGATATCATTCATTATGGTGAGATACCAAAGACTCTCGTTAAGGTTTCTGGTCTCCTGGCGGTCATTGCAGCTATTGCAGTACAATACGTACCTGTGCATGTGCTTTAGTCGAACAAATCTCCGTTCTATAAACGAGAGTAATTCTTTAGCAGCATTTCACAATGGCAAAGCACAAGCGATTGTGATAATGAAAAACTCTTCCTTGGTATAGGTGACTATCACAATCTCAGTATGCAGGTATTCCACTCGAGATTCGCAAACAGAAGAGATCACGCAATAGAGAGAAGCGAAGCCACAGAAGTATAAAAACACTAAATACTGGATCTACACTTTTCAGCACAGCCATCTATCAACAAATGCACACCCTCGAGACCACAACCGGCCGCGGCTGAACATTCGCCGCCGCATCCCAGCGATACCGATTCCCGAACTCCTTACACTCCTCCTGCAAGGCATCCAGATCCTCGCAGCGCACAATCCCACTCTGCACGAGCCGCAGCAGGACAGCAAACATCCACACGCGACACGTCACGCCGGGGATGGAATTGACTGCGTCGTCGTACGATCGCATAATCCTATCCAGTTCGTCTATTTTCGTCTCAGGGATCCCGTCGGTGATCCGGATCAGCACGCAGAGGAAGTTGGACTTGAGCACCGCCGTCGTGCGGCCGTGGTCCGCCAGGTACCACTGACGTTGTTGACTTGGTACTGTATACCACCCTGGGCTGCGCTCTTGTGGAGGTAGAAGGTCCAGTGGAAGTCGTTTTCCGCCGGAGGGTCGTTGCGGATCCAGAGGGCGATGTAGAGTGTGGTCTGTAGTATTCCACTAGAAGCAGCAGGAATAAATCTTCACTTGGTGCTCCTATCCCTGTCCAATTCTGAGCATTTATTCCTGTCTTCCGCTAGCGTCTCTTCTTTGTCTTGATATTAGCGCACGGACCATATCTGGTCTATCGCGTCGCGCTGCTAAGAAGTCTAAAAATAAACAGCCTGGCACAGAAGCATCCATGTTGATACCTCTTCTCAGTAATGTCTTTCAGAGAAGTCCATTTCCCCCCCCCCCCCCACCACCAAAGCTGTTCTTTCTATTTGACAAATATCAAAACTAACTGCCTATACTCTTAAGACTCTTCATACACTTCTTTGTCTCTTGTTAGCTGAAACTCATCTTCCGCAAGATGCCTCCTAGAAAAAGCTGCGGTCGCAGCAAAAGCCAAAATGGCAGGAAAGCGACCCGCAGAGGAGACTGTGAATCCGCCATCAAAGCGGGCCAAGTCTTTGCAGAAGAAATCGTCTACAAAGAAGCAGGCTCCTCAGAAGAAAGTTCCTCAGAAGGAGGCTTCACAGACGAAGGCTTCACCCCAGAAGGTTTTACAGCAGAAAGCTTCTCAGAAGGCTCCTTCGCAGAAGCTGCAGGGCCCAGCATCCAAGTCTTCTGGATCTGCTGGACCTGTTGCAGCGAAACCCATCATTAATACTGCACCCATCTCCCGACTGGACATCTTTGTCTTTGGAGAAGGTGGTACTGGGGAACTAGGATTGGGTGTCAAGAATGCCGTCAATGTGAAGACACCCCGTCTGAACGTGAATCTCCATGCAGAAACTGTTGGAGTAGTAGACATTTGTGCCGGTGGAATGCATGCAGTCGCTTTGACTCATGACAACCAGGTTCTGACCTGGGGTATCAATGACAACCACGCCCTTGGTCGTGATACGACCTGGGAGGGTGGAATAAAGAGATCAAGGAGGAGGATGGAACTGCTTCAGAGGAAAGCCGTGTTGATCTCAATCCTGCCGAGTCTACTCCGGCTGCTGTCCCGAGTCATAAGTTTCCACATGGCACAAAATTCGTCCGTGTTGCTGCGGGAGATAGTAGCACATTTGCCCTGACGGAGGATGGATCTGTCTATGGTTGGGGGACCTTTCTGGTTAGTATACATTTTCCTCTTCAAGTGATAAAGTCAAAAGCTGACTATTTCCAGAACAACGAAGGGAATGACGGATTTTCTCTGGACAAAAACCAAGTCATCAAAACGCAGAGCGATCCTTTACTGATCCCCAATCTCGAGAACATTGTGGCCATCAGTGTTGGAAGCAACTTCTGTTTAGCACTGGCCTTAGACGGCACCGTATACTCATGGGGCAGAAACGAGCAGAACCAGCTAGGCCGGCGGATTCTGTCGATCGTCGTCGGACTTTACAAATTGGGAGACTAGGTACTGAGCAGCTCCGGAGCAACGCTGGTCTTCTCCCTGGCGTTGTGCCTCTGCCTCCGAGGAAGAAGATCGTCTCAATCCACGCGGGTAGCTATCACGCTTTTGCCATCGATTCTCACGGTGACACGTGGGCCTGGGGCCTGAATAATTTCGGACAGACGGGCATTGCAGCCGGCGCAGGGAACGGTGGCAGCACGATTGTCACGCCGCAGAAAGTTGCTTCTTTGGCTGGGAAGCTAATGAAAATGATCCAGGGTGGAAACCATCACTCGATAGGTATCACTCGAAAGGGAGAGTGTCTCGTTTGGGGCCGCATGGACGGTGCTCAAATGGGCGTTGATGTCAACAAGTTCGAGGAAGATGACCCTAGAGTTATTTGCGAACGTGGAAGGCTACGCGTTCTTCTCGAACCGACTGTGCTGTCAGTTGCTGATTGTGCCTATGCCGCTGCTGGGTCGGATCACAATATTCTGGTCACTAGGGATGGAAAGGCGTATTCTCGGGGCTTCAACCTGAGCTACCAGTGCGGTCAGGGCTCAGACGATGAAGAAATAGTGCTCCCAAAGCTGATCGACGATTCTGCCGTCCGCGATAAGATGCTGTGCTGGGCAGGAGCCGGTGGTCAATACTCGATGCTCGCAGCTCCTCACGAGGCTTAGCCGGCGTGCCTTCAGATCATACACTGAAGGATCGAATTCATACGTGATTTTTGCTATACAATAATGTTAGCAGATGTCATGAAGGGGTAAATTACAATGGAAGGGAATACATAGGATACGGTATTCGGGTTGGCGGGATTTGTGACAAGGAAGGAAGCATGGCGGCACGAATTTGGGATCGGGCAAGGCATTTGTTCCTGTATGAGTGATTGTGTGTTTCCGCATCAGAACTGTTTCATTGCAAGCGCAATGTTTCCATGAACTTCGTGTTGTTACTGTTGATCCCTGAAAAATGTCAGAGTTTAAGAAAGCACTGAATTTGAGAATGAAATGGCAAGACATGTTTCGATATATGTGCGATAGCTCCTGCCTTAAATGACAGCCTCTCCACACCTAGGTTTGTTTGGGATGAAACTGTAGGACATCTATTAGTGATGTCGTCTTTATCAAGCAGCAAAGGAATGTCCATTTTGATTGAGAACTAAAAGTCCTACTTGTCATGACAAACAAACAGCAGTTCAAGATCAGAACCATGGGAAATGATATGAGGATAGGCCATAGTTTTGAAGGATGATGCGATTCCATCCAGTTCTCGCTCATATGGTTTTTCACTTCACAGTGAGATCGCATCAACCCTGAACTTCAGCTGCTGACGTGCTCCCACAGGTAGTCTTCTGGCAGCCCACCATATCAGATACAGTCCACAACCAAAGGAACATCATGACTAAATATCACGACTAATTGACACCATGACTGAGTATCTCTCAGGGTAATTCTTATCAGGAGGCTGGCATATAAACAAATAAGATTGCGTGATTTCTACCACGTTCACTATCCACCTTTCCTCATTCGGTCGTCCAGTTTATGTCACGTTCTTTTATCACTTTTCTTTGTCTGTTTCATCTGATCTTACCAGCATCAAAATCTTGCAAGGGAAACAACATCTTCGGCTTTGTCTATCCATTCAAAGCCTGGAAACAATCTCTCTATCTCGATATCCGACGAATGGAGTCGAGAACTAAACCTCAACCACTCTCCACCAAAGAGACTGGAATGTCAGCTCTCCAGGGCTCTGAGCAGGTCAGCGACGCGTCGAGTCTCATCCGTCCCATGTCCTCATTGACGGTTACTCGCCGTCTAGTGGATTCTGATCCTGACGAGGTCTTCGAATTGATACGTCTGTTCCAAGAGGACAGTAGCATCCAGAAAGTAGATCTTGGCATCGGCGTCTATCGCGATGACGACGGGAAGCCGTGGCCCTTGCCCGTGGTGAGCAAAGTGGAAATGAAGTTATTTTTCGACGGCGGCCGCCATCGCCATGAGTATCTTCCTATGAAGGGGGACCCTGAATTCATGAAGCTCGCTCAGGATCTCCTTTTTGGGTTCGACGCCCCCCTGGCACAGATTAAGTTGACAAAGCTGACTTTAATAATAGACCGGGTCTCGACGACATTCCTGTTCCTGAGACTGATGGCCGAACGCGCATCGTGTCTGTGCAAACGACCGGTGGTTGCGGTGCCAACACCGTTTGTGCCAAGTATATAGCCAATCATTTAAAACCAAAGCGTGTTTGGCTGCCCGAGTTTACGTGGTCTAACCACCCCTCGACCTGGAAGCTCGACGGTGCCGCTCTTGAGACGTACCGCTACATCTTGCCCGGACAACCAGTGTTCGACGTTAATAGCATGCGTTTCGATCTGGAAGAACGCGCCGAGCCGGGCGACATTGTCATTCTGCACGCTTGCGCCCACAACCCGACTGGCTGTGACCCGACTGAGAAGCAGTGGGAGATGATTGCGGATGTGTGTGATCGCCTGGGGCTCGTCCCGTTCTTCGACTGCGCCTACCAGGGCTTTGCGAGTGGTTCGGTCGACCAAGACGCCTTCTCTATACGCCATTTTTTCTTGCGTAATTTTAAGACTGGATTTTTCGTTGCGCAGAGTTTTTCCAAAAACTTCGGTTTGTATGGCCACCGTGTCGGAGCTCTGCATGTTGTGATGCATAGCGACGCTGTGTCTGAGCGGGACGCGGTCGAGCAGCAGCTCTCACGCATCATCCGTGACGAGCATTCCATGGCCCCCCGTCGGGGAAGTGATATTGTCAAGAACATCCTGCGTTACGAGCACTTCACAGCTGAATGGCTTCGAGATCTCTCAACTATGGTTTTTCGTCTGAACGATATGCGCCAGATGCTGTACGAGCACCTCGTCGGAATGCGGACCCCGGGAAACTGGGACCATATCGTGGACCAGGTGAGCAGAAATCCTTCCCTTCTTCTCAAGAAAGGAAAGGAGAATGAGTTGTATCTGACAGTCAACAGAAAGGAATGTTCGCCTTCACTGGACTCACCAAGGAGCAGGTTATTGCTCTTCGCGAGAAGCACCATGTCTATCTCTTGTCCAATGGACGCATCTCCCTTAGCGGTTGTAAGTACTTACTGAGCTTTCTCTCATACGGTGAAGAAATACTGACTGATTGGTAGTGACTACCAGAAACGTCCGCTACGTCGCCGAAGCAATTGACGATGTTGTTCGCACCGTTTGCCCTGAGAAAGAGAGCTGAAGCAAGGAGTAAGCGTTAGCTGAATCGAATATTGGCGTAGTTTTGACGATACGTTACACGTTCGTCTACCACCGCACAGCGTTACATTCGAATGTCTTTGGAATGTCACTGGGAGTTTCGCTTTGAAAAGTCTTTCTCGTGGCATACGAGCATGCATTAGCTAGGCTAGAAGAGAAGATAGCGTAGAAATCATAGTTATCTGTCAACTACTTTAGACAAAAGTCTGGAGCTGTGAAGTCAGTGAGAGAAGCAACCAGGCAGCAAGTCAGTTTCATCTGATGCAGTACTCTAGAATAGATACCTATGGAGGACATACTATGTAGACATAGGCGCTGACTGACAAATCGGGTACTCATTGTCGCCCCAGTTGCGGAACAATTTTCAAGCACTGCGTTGACGGCGATATAGCTCTCCGAAGATTTCTGTCGCTAAGGAGAATTGTCCTTTTAACTTTCTACTCCAAGACGAACAGAATTTTTGGTCGTAATCTATATCTTCCAGGCCAGTTAGATGATGGCGATGACTGTCTTCCTCTAATCGTAGCTGCATCTGCCGTTATCATTATATGTGTGCTGTTCATGAATTGGAGATTGCTTCGATATACGAGACCTTCATGAGCTCTATATCTGGTCTTCTCTCGAGTTTCTCTTCTGTTATAAGAGACTGTCAACGCCTCATCACTTCATGCCTGGGAAATGAACAGGATATTTCCTTCATCTAGGGCCAGCACCAGCGGCAGAGTGATCAAGTCAAATTTCTGCTAGGTATTCGGGAAGTATTTGGAGGGAGTAGTTTCGAAATTCATCCTTCCCGGTATCTTCTTTGCAAGGGTCTAGGGATGATCTCCTTCCCGATAACAGTTCAAAGTTCATTCAGTTCGTAGCCTGCAGGTCGACAAAGTTCCTGAACAGATTGTCAGGATCATACTTCTTTTTCAATTCTACCAGCCGCTCATAGTTGACGCCAAATATTTCCTTGGGACTCAGTCCCAAACCTGCGACGCGTAAGACACGTCATGAACCTCACATTGAGTGGTTGGTAACTCACCATCATAATTCGAATAGACTCCCACACTCGTCTTCGTCACTTCATCGACACCCTCCTCCCTCTTCCTCCGCTCAAACTCTTCTCCCACTTTGGCGCTGAATTCCCGACACCAGTTCCTGCACGCCTCGTCGTTCTCCTCCTTCGTCCACGTGGGGATAATCAGCACATTGACCTGGTTGCCTCTGTCCGGAAATGCTGTCCCGGTCTGTCCCACCCGCATCGTCGGATAGGGGTTATGAACCTCGAACGCCACCGTCGATCTCTGCGCATCAGGCACTGTCTTCAAAAACTGGGCGAAATCATCAAACATCCTGTCTAAAAAGACCGGATCCAACGGGGCCATCGCTGAACTCCCGTTCTCGTGTTTCCTCCACTCCTTGCCTTGCGCAGAGGCACCTGCTAGCCCCGACGCAGAGAACGGCACCATCTTGGTCGTGTTCAACGCTGGCTGCAGATCCAGCAACGGCGCAAAGAACTCCTTCGCCTTGTCCTCCGGGCCATTATACCACGGCGCCACCCATATCTCGGGCTCTTTCCCACGACCTGGCAAGATACCCCACCCCACGCAGAGCGCCGCCTCGCCCTGGCTCTCTCTTGCCAGTACCTTGTTGCAAACTTGCACGATGGTCGCCAGACTCTCTCTGCCAAACAGCAGAATGCCACTCCACACCGGATCTTTCTGTTCGTATCCCTGCAGCACAAACTCCGTCACCGCACCAAAGAGACTCCCTGCTCCCTTCATTGCCCAGAACAGATCCTCATTCTCCGTGGCGGAAGCGCGTACAAGTGAACCATTGGCGAGCGCAATCTGCATCTCCAAGATATTATCCAACGCCAAGCCGTGCGCGCCCGTCAGCCAGCCATATCCGCCATGGAGCGCGAGGCCTCCGACGCCGACGCTGGGCGAGATGCCGCCCACGGCAGCGAGACCATACTTCTCCGCCTCCACATAGACGTCTGACCAGAGAGCGCCTCCCCCGACGATGATCCGCCTGCTGGCCGTGTCGACGGAGACGGCGTTCATTCGGGACAGGTCGACGCACAGACCGCCGGTGGTGGACGAGCAGCCCCGACGACCGTGTCCGCCCGCTTTGACGGCGATGTCTAGCGCATGCGTGCTGGCGAAACCCAGCAGCGTGGATACTTCCTGGGCGGCGGTCGGAAAGGCCACAGCGCCGGCGTTGCGCTCACCCAGGGAATTCCATCGGGTGATTGCGCTTTCGTACTCTGGGGAGTCGGGAGTGACGATGTGCAGGTTGGGTAGTAGCGATCGCAACTCGGCGATCTGGGATGGAGAGATTGGTGCCATGCTGACTTGGTGTATTAGTTTTGATGGCGATAATATGGTAGACCCTTGATGGATTATAAAGACAGGAATATGCCGTTGTGCTGGCCTTATCTCGTAGTGGGGAATTCGCCCCCAACTCCCACCGTTAGGCTGTCAGGTGACTAGGCCTCCTGCGCAGAATTCATACAGCTTCAATTGATTTTCCTTCTACATGGACCTTTCAAATAGCGGAGGAGGAAATTTGAATTCTCAGATCGCTTCCTGTAGTATTGGGTTTCTGCTTTCTCAGCCTCCTAAGCCTACTGCATGACCCATCCACATACTTCGTTGAGAACCACAATACGTAATTATCGGCATGCGCAGCTGCATCCCCCTTGTGCACGAAGAATGTGGATTGTATGGAGTAAAGAATGGCACTATTCCTCTTTGAATTGAAATCCCAGCCTTCAGCCTTATGGCAAGTTAGTGATTCGAGATGTAACGCGGGGTAGCGAGTTTGATAAGTTATCGCAAGAAGGGGCAGCCTCCACATCGTTACTACTGAAGACCGTCTAACGCTCAAGTATCTTAGTAACTATTCCCTGCATTACTTCTACTAGCCACTGGCGTAGAATATGAAAGGCAGGAAACTCTCGCTGGATCTGCACCACCTCTGTATTTATCCTTCTCATTCCGTGGTGCTGGAATATTTCAATCATCACTGACATTGCAAATCATGCTGACTATCTTTTCACTACTTTGTAAATACGCAACTATCTGGAGTAGTAGATAGATACATACCTTGCCTAATGTGGGATGTGGGGTTGTCAGGTTAGCATTTAAGGTCGCCCTTGTCCCAAGGACCTCTCTTCCATATTCAGCATATCAACTCACATCATATTTATAAGCTGGGAAAACAAATTTTTGGCCATTCTCACTCAGTTCGTAGATACATATATACACGCGTGACAACCTTGAATCGCTAGTCATGTGGCCCTGGCTAGTCACATGTTCCTCGAACCAGGGAGACCAACAGGGAAAGATCGTTCGCCTTCGTCCCTCTTCCATGCTCTTCTCCCATGTCCAGAATACAATTCCAACCATCTCTCGTTCCCAATACAGGCGCGTTTCCGCAGCTTGCAGGGCTTTGTTTTTATTGCTTACTCTACACTGACTCCAGTAAGTCAAGTATCGGCAATGTCTGAGTATTGAGAACTGTAGTCGTGGACGATAGGTTCGAATTCACATGAAAGACATTCATTTCACAGTAAGAACTTCCCATATGACCTGAAGGACCTGCTATTCTAACGCCAAGAACGACATACTTAAGAAACTGTACCCCAGTGAACGCCAGGTTCATCATTATATTCATGTTTCTCGTGTTCGTCTCCCGGTCCAAAATCGCTACTCCCCAAATAAAGGCAGCTGGATCAGAATGTCTTCGATTCTTTTCTGCCGCTTCCGTCGACTTCTCTCCTCATCATCCTCCTCTTCTTCGTGCTCTGTGGAGAAATGCTCCTGGTCACTGTCGAACCAGAAAACGGGCGACGTCCGTGACGTCGTGAGGGCGTCCAGACTGAAACCATTTCCATCGTTCTTCATCTCCAACGCCCTGAGGCCCGGAGATTTCACTGTCGACGACGATTTCGCCTCGATAAAAGATGGAGGACGTGGCGATCGGAACAGCGGAAACTCCTTCCCGGGAATGATAGGAAAATGAAGTAGCATCGACTCCTCCGTGAATGTCTCACCCGTCGAAAGGGCATAGTCCAGAATCGCCGCCAGGCGGAGGTAGACGGTTGGATGTCGATAGATTATGTCGGAGTAACTCGTCATCTCAGTCTTGGCGCCGGAAGATCCAGCCCTAGATCCAGGTCCCGGTGATGAACGGATAAGCAGCTCGCCTTGTGAGGACTCAAACGCCCGCAGCAGCCGATGCATGCAGTCCGTTGGGAAAGAGATTCCATGTCGCAGATTGCATAGCCGGCTGATCTCCGAGTAGAAGCGGAGCGACCGCTCATGACGAGCCTGGTCCGACGACGTGCCAGACAGACGAACGTTCAGTCGCAGGAATGCTTGCGGCAGGACGGTGTAGGCGACTGCACTGATAGGCAGATGCTTAGCTGTCCCAGTCATGATGAAGCACTTCACCTTGTCGGTAACGCTGGCAACGGCATCCATCAGCTCGGGCCGGCACTCCTCGAGTCGGCCGTGGTCATCGTCAGACTGGTCGTTTCGGCTCTGCTGGCACTTGAGGAGGAAGGTGACGTGATGGCACAGTGCCAGGCGAGCCGATCTAACAAACAGGAGATCAGTTTAATGCATCACCAAGTATCAACTGGAGGATCAAACTTACTGGTAATAAAGTGAGACGAGGTGTGTGTAGGTCGTCACGGACGAATGCGTGTCTGCCTCTCGTGTGGGCAGCCGCACCATGCAGTTCTTCTCCCAGAACTGCAGACGAGCCTTCGCGTCGTCACACCGCGCCAATGCCGACGGTGCATCGTCGATCGAGTACTGCAGTCCTGATGGGGGATAGACGATCATGACCAGCGTCGTCACCGCTGCGGCGAGCTGGCACAGGCTGGTAAGGATCTTACACAGTGCGGTCTTCGTGTCGGGGTCGTAAACCTCGGAGTGGTAGATCTCGTCGCCCAGGTCATCCATGTTGAGGCCCTCCTGGCTGAAGTCAAAATCGTCTGGCGTTATCTGGATAGACCGTCGCACGCCCAAGGCGATAATACGATCTCGGATGATGCAGCACCACCACAGCCGTTTCAGGTCCGACCTTTTGTACCGACCCTTCTCCGGCAGCCGGTAGTACTGATGGGCGTTGACAGCACGTGCTTGCTGAATCGCGACGGCCAACCAGGTAGAGTTGGTCAGCTGTTCAGAGTTGGAGAGGTAGTATGTCAGGAGCAACGTCGCCTGAGCGATTCGCAGTGGATCCTTTTCGACGCCAAAATCGTACAGCAGCTGCAGGGATTCATTAGCTGACATATCTACAATCAGAATAATAGACAGCGAGTGCATACTTTGGCACGCCGATAAAGGGCCTTGCGAAGTTCGACGATCGATCCGTATCCGGCGTTCTTCGCCACGTCGAATGGGATGAACTGCAGCGGTTAGCACATCTCCTAGCAAGTGTGCCTTGCCTGGTCGGGACGACATACGCTAGCGGCCGTGAACAGCATGGCCTGAAACAGAAGGAGCGAAAACTGATGATGGCTCTCATCGCCATCATCGCGGTACATGCGCCAGAATTCGGCCTCGTCAACAACGGGGAAGCACGGGTGCACGTATAGAAAGAAGTGCTTGACCAGACTGTCGAGGAACGGCCCAGCAGGGACATGCAGACTGCGTTGCGACTCGAGGTAGGCCACATCCTGCGGCTGGAGACGGCTCAGGTTATTCGCTTTGAGGAATGGATAGTACGAGAAGGGGAGGTGGCTCCAAGAGGGTAATTTTGATTTGTCTGCTACACATTAGCGAGGGCACGCAGACGGGAAAACAGCACGCTGATTTTTCATGGAAGGGATTGCTTCGTTTATTAAGGCATCCGCCTGTCGAAATGAAACTCACCTCGGACTGAACCGGAGTATGGCGTGGATTCGGCCGAGTGGGCAACATGGCCACCGCCATCGCTGGTCGCGGTACATGTACACTTACATGCACAATCTGACCTTGCCTTCATCATGCACGTCTTCTGCTGCTCAAGGGAGGATGCTGGCTGAACACCACTCTGTTGGTCCGGCGTGTCATGTTCGTTGCCCGCGAGGGGCGGAGGAGAAGAACTTGTCACGGTCGAATGTCTACCGTCGGTGTGGTCGATTCTGGTTCCCCCTCGGGGTTTGGTGACGCAGGCACAGCCGTCGAGACGGCAGTTGGTGCATGGAGGGCCATTGATCGCAAAATCGCAGCGGACCTTGCGGCGACGACAGGACATGCAGGCAACCTGGGAGCGTTTCAGCCGGCGAGACTGCCGGAGGGACTTGAAGTCCACATCGCGGTCGAAATTCATTGTGCATCCATAAATATATGGACAGAGATATGCAATTATGTTGTATAAAGTATGGTATCTTTGTCAGATACGCCGGTGGTGTTATGAATTCAGCAAAAGCAATTGACGATTTGCGCGCTGGAGGAATGACGATGGACAATCCAGGCTTATCGGGGAAGACGGGTTAATCTGGGGGAAATGTAAAGCACGCACTAACGAGACTTAGGTAAGCCGGGATGCAATCGCAGATCATTGGTACGAAATCTGACTGCGCAGAGTCTATCCAGGATAGAGGCACACTGGATGGTTCCTGAAGATCGAGCATACGCGTCGACCCGGTCTGGCCAGGATGCGTGGGACCAACAGAATTGTGCACGTACAGCCACAGATAACCCGTGCACAAGTGATCCATTTGCTAAGGTACCATTGTAGGCATTGTGATGCGATTCGATGATATCATCCGGATTCCGGACCAGCGGAGAACACCTCCGCATTTCCTTTGCCGGATTTACCCCGCACTTCTCCAGCTTTACCGAATTCCGCGGGCGGGAAGCGATTACCTAATCAGAAATGGGTGGGACATTGGAACCCGTTGTCTTTTGAGAGATCTTTGGCAAAACAAAAAAAATACTTGTTCCATTATCATGAAAAACAATAAGAGGAAGATAAAACGTCTGGAGAATACATACGGAATACAATTGTGGACCTATTATATAGAATATCTCGTTATCTGCGATAACCTGCCAGAGGAGATTATTAGATTAATGAGTTTTTATTTAAATTTTAATTTGTATTGAAATTTGGTCCCGTTGTCATCACTGTGACTATTATAGACAGTTTGTCTTGTCTCCATCCTTCAAGTAAATAGTATTCACAGTTAAATACTCCAAATAAAATATCTAGAAGTATCTCACCTGACCGGACCGGACCGGACCGGACCGGACCTGACGTTATGAACAGGGGGGTGGGGAAGAAAACTCTTTCTCTCTGTTGGTCGATCTGAATAAGATTGTGTCAACCGGCAGATATCAGTCAGACTAGGGGTTCACTAGATAACCTAGGTTTTTCTTTTGTGCCCCAGTCTGTTTGACAGATTGGCATTGGCTTTGTGATTAGGATTATATCTTCTGGATTATCTGAGTTTGGAGATGGTTGGTAAGAACAGCCTCCAATGTGTGTATATGTATATATCCCTCTGTTTCAATCGAAGTAACCAACGGAATGATTGTTTCTCCAGCAAATGAGATACTGTTGCTCCTAGGTGAAGACGAAAATATGTACAGTACAAACTATCACATCTGATACTACATCCACTCAATCTTGTGCAAGACATGCTCGCTTGATCTGCGAGCTCAACAACGCAGCCCCCTCTCCCCGCACGATCGTGAAGTGATTCGACGTCATCGCCCTCTCGATCGTGATCTCTCCCTCTATCAATCTCTCCCACCCCCTTGTTCCGAAATCTGTCTTGTCGTCCATCAGGAACCCCAGGTCGGCATCCTCCTCCGGCGTCAGTAAATGTCGGCCCGTGAAGCCCGCCAGGTTGTCTGTTCCCTTGGCGGCCCAGACAAGATACGTTTTGGGCGACTTCCCTGCTGGCAGCGGACTGGCCACGTAGCCGCGGAGATTTTCATTCACTGCCTGGAAATGGTCCATCAGCCAGGGCGGCAGCGGCCGGTCTTCGACGATGCCACCGGGCTCGTGGATCGTCCGCCAGTAGTCGAAGAAGGCCTGAGGGAGCTTTCCCAGGCCAATCGGACAGGGCGCATCGATCAGCAGCAGCGATCGCACTTCTTCGCCTGCCTCGAGCAACACCCGTGTCGCGTAGTGGGCGAATGCGCCGCCCGCGGACCATCCGCCCAAGTAGTAAGGGCCCTTGGGTTGTCGTCGACGAACCTCCGCGAGAAGGATGTTTGCGATGTCCTCAAAGTTTCCCTCCCAGTCTTTGGGATTCGTCATGTACGGACAGTTCAAGGCAATGACGGCGACGTCCTCATGTACACGCGGCAGGTGCATGTAGGAAGTCGCGGACCCGGATCCGTCTGGGAAGAGGAACATCGTCTTCGTATGCGGCTTCAATGTTCCCTGGAGGAGGATTGAGGTTGACACAGGTGCTTTCTTGGGGGAAGTACTTTCATGCTTGCCCTCGCCTAGACTAGTTTCGGCGGAGACAGACGTTGCCCGTGTCGATGCCGCCGAGCTGCTCGTTGGCGTGGCTGTTCCCGAGTGAGATGTAGAATCCTCCTGACCGTTGAAAAAGGCCTTGATCGCGCCGATTGAGTTCACTTCCATAAAGAAGTTGGCCGACAGATCTAGCTCCAACTCTTCGCGGAACCGACTCGCGATGACCAAGATGAGAAGCGAGTCAATGCCGATGTCCGAGAGGAAGTCCTCGTCCTTCAACTCGCCTAGGGCAATGCCAGATTCCTCCGCAACAATGGAGAGCGCTTTGTCTAGCTTTGAAGAATCACGTCCATCTTCACGCAAAATGTGCTCTTGGACCTCGACCACGGTTGCTGGCGTGTCGTTCGACAGCGTACTCGCTGCGGCATCTGTCTTCCGTCGGAACATGACGTCCATCAGACGGCGTGGGACACGTTGCGCTCGCACTCCTTTTATACAACCAATAACTTCTTTGCCTTTCATGATGGCAATGTCTCCCACAGAGACGTCTTTGTCCCGGGCCGTCATCTTCACGTAGGTCTCGTAGCGTTCCTCTGGCGTTAAAAGGTCATCAAGGAAGACACTATCCCAACCACGAACCACATAGACCTCCTCGTCGAACTTTGAGTTCTCATTGGAATTGAGAACGAAGGTTGCCAGTTGCAAGACCGAGTCGAAGACGCACGGATGAATCGTGAAGACGCCTGGAAGCCGATCGTCAACGGCCGACTGGACGAGTGCACTTGCCTCGAGGGTGGTCGAATTCATGTAGACTGCTTTCACGCCTCTGTGTGACGGATTATAGTGCGCAAGTGATGCTACCATTCGATAGGCCATGGAGGTCGTGAACCGTTCTACCAGACCGGATTCAACGCTGTTCTTCAGGGTCTCAATTTGAAAGCCTGTCTCGGCCATCTCCCGGCGGAGAGTCTCGCGCTCCTGTTCGCGGCTGGTGAAGGCAATAGTGGCTTTTGCATGCGTCTTGCTGATTTTGCCGTTGTTGTCAACAGAGCTGATTTGAACTTCTACTTTCTTTTCTTGCCAACTGCAGTTTGCCTCGATGCGGACGATCTGGGGTTCTGCGCTGTCATTTACAATTAGCGCGTCTTGCATATCCATATCCTTTAGTATCATCGCAGTGTCCGTCGTGTCATCTTGGAAAGATTGCAAGATCGCTTTCGCGCTCGTAATCGCCATGTCGGCGTAAACAGACTATATATTACAAGTTAGCTCACATCAAATAGTGATCGGTTTTTGTGAGAACTTACCCCGATGCAGACGGCCACGCCGTTGACTCGATGACCAGCCACCACTTGTTTGAGACTCTCCGATTGTAGATCTGAGTCCCAGACAGCATGGACGGTGTCACCCTACAGCGGAAGTAAGCACGGTGGCTTCAGGGAAAAGAATCGGCGTATTACCTTGAACTCCGCATGAACAGTCTTCTGGCAGCAGGTCGTTGCTATCTCCAGTTTCGATGCCGCGGCAGACGCTGTGATCGCTGGCAAGGGATCACCTTTGCGGAGAGACCAATCGTGTACATACTGGATCCAGTAGTTTTTCAGGTCCCATGCATAAGACGGGAGCTGGAGAACGGAGTACTCATAGTCTCTGTAGTACTGCGCCCAATCGATATTGCATCCAACACGATACGCAGTGGCAACGCTGCGGCTGAGTACCAGCCACGAGTCTTGATTCGGGTCGAGGGACGGGATAATCGTCGTTGGCCGCTCGATAGTACGCTGGATAAGTCGAGCAAGGACCATCCCCGGTCCGATCTCGAGGATGTGGCTCCGATCACTGAGGATTCCCGCTGCTTCACCGGCCTGAACGGCGCCAATAAAGTTCACAGGCTCACGACATTGTTGGACAAGATAGTCTTTGCTGATCTCGTCGCCCGCTTGGATGACTGCAGACAGCAAGGGACTCAAGATCGGGATTGTTGGAACTCCGAATGCTGATCCGTCCAAGACCCTCGAGAAGTGGTCGAGAATGGGCTCTAGTTGACTTGAGTGGAATGCATACGGAACCTTTATCCGATTGCATTTGATTCCTTTGGCCTCTAGTATTTGGGCTGATTCATCGATGTCTTCGTTCGCACCACTGACAACAGTCTCACGAGGACCATTGATGCAAGCAATCTCAACAGGGATCCCCTTCAAACTGGCGATAACTTCATCTTGCTGGCTGCGCACGGCAAGCATTGCATGCGTCCCTGCATGGCAATAGTCCTCCAGAAGCTGGGCTCGCTGACCACAAATCCACAGAGCGTCAAAATCAGAGAGCAGGCCAGCGCAGTTCAACGCCGCATATTCTCCTAGACTGTGACCAACCACTGCCTTCGGCGTAATGCCCCAGCTTCTCCATAAACGGGCCAGTGCCATTTGGAGCGATACCTGGGCGAGCTGCACCGTCGAGAAGGATGCTTCGTTAGCTGCCTCATCAAGGCCTCGCAGGTACGGCAGGATCGAACCAAACCCGAGGTTCTGTACGATCGCATCAAACCGATCGAGGTCCGAACGGAAGGTGGAATTTGTCTCATAGAGTTGTTTGCCCATCCCAGCGTGGTTCGATCCTTGTCCCGAGAACGCAAAGATCATCGTAGGTGGCCCTCGAACCTGTTTTGGAGGATTTGCAACATCTCTTTCCAGGCTCTGGCATAGCTCCTCAATCGATCGAACAGCGTAGGAACTGCGGAAATTGTAGTGCATCCTCCTCGCGGTGGATGTGTAGGCTAAGTCGGGCAGAGACACGCTGTCAGAGTTTTGAAGGAAATCAGCCATGGAGCGAATGTTGGCATCCAGGGCCGTCTGCGTCTTTGCAGACAGAGTGATCACATGCGCTGGACGCGTGTCGAGGCGATCTTTTCGAGCTGGCTGTTCCGGTGCATCCTCTATCAGGAGACAGGAATTACCGCCAGCAGCGCTGAAGTTGTTGATCAGTGCTCTTCGAGGTTTCCTGTTTCGGTGCCATGGCGTTGGCTGCATTGCAATTCTGACGCGCCGCTCATGAAGATCAGGCGGAAACGCCTGATTGATCCTTGTCTTGATGCCACAATGAGGCGGGATCTCGTTCTTCTGCATCATCAGCAGGACCTTGATCAGAGACGTGACCCCTGAAACCGATTCTCCATGTCCGACATTTGCTTTCACAGAGCCCACATACAAGTCATTATCCCGACTGCGAGGAGCACCCTGCGGCCACGGGGCGAATGTCTGTGAAACCGAAGCCATTTCTCTGCTGTCACCAGCCTGGGTGCCGGTTCCGTGCATCTCCACATAGCTGACTTCATTTGGATGAACACCTGCGTCTGCCAGGATTTTTGAAAACAGTGCTTGCTGTGCTCCAACGTGGGGCCGTGTGATGGATTCGGCTTCTGCAGAATGGTTGGTGGCTGCAGCCAGAATGCAGCCGTAGATCGGGTCATTATCAGCCTGAGCATCTTCCAGGCGCTTCAGAATCACGATTCCAACGCCTTCCCCGCGGCAATATCCATCCGCTCCGTCGTCAAAGGATTTGCAATTTCCCGTCCGTGACAGAAAGTGACCGCGATCCAGACCGGCGGTGACATCCGGATTCGTTAAGACGTTGGTCCCTCCCACGATGGCGGTGTCGATCTCCTTTCTCCAGAGTGCATTGCAGGCCAGGTGGATGGCTGCAAGGCTGGAAGAGCAGGCTGTGTCGATGCTGAAACTGGGCCCGCTAAATTTAAAATAGTAGTTCAGCCGCCCCGGGATGAATGCGCGATTTCCACCAGGGATAAAGTAGAAGTCGACATCTTGCGCACTGTTTGTCTCACACCAGTCGTTACTGGTGACGCCAATGAATACCCCGACGCGGCTTCTCATGGTAGAAGGAGTCGCATCGGGGACAAGGCCAGCCATTTCGACAGCTTCATATGCACACATCAGCGCAAGCCTTTGTGCCGGATCCATCTGAGGAGCTTCCCGTGGTGATATGCTGAAGAAAGAGCGGTCGAAGAGACCGGGATTGTTGAGCCAGCAACCCCATGGTGTTGCGCTGGTATTCTTGCCCTTTAACGTCGGGTCAACATGTGTCTTCACGTCCCAGCGACTAGGAGGCGTCTCAGAGCATGTGTCAACCCCGCGATGAAGCAGATCCCAGAATTCGTGGACGTTCTCTGCTCCTGGAAATCGACCTGAAAACCCAGTGATTGCTAGCTTCTGCTGTCTTGCAGGCTGTGAGCCGGCAGTTTGATTCAGAATGGCTTTATTCTCCAGATAAGTAACCTCAGCGACGCCGCTCTCCTGGATCATTGCAACAAGCTTGGAGCCCATGTTTGTGCCAATGGAAATAATCGTGCAGGGTTTAGCGGTATCAGGAAGCACAGTGTCTTTGATAGATGACAAAACTTCGTCTGTTGCCAACTGTTCCTGTAGGATGGCCTTGACAGCCATGGCAAGCAACGAATGCAAGGTCTGGGAAGGCACCGTCTTTCCATTGAGTCCTGAAAGCAAGGTGAACTTGGGACTCGCATCCGACAGGGTCGGCGGAAATGATCGGACAAGGCGGTCCACGTCACGGTCCGAGAAGATCGCAGATCCATAAAAGGGAGCGTGTACGGGCAGATAAGAGGCTTTCAGGTGATGAGTATCAACCAATTCGCGGAGCAAGGCCGGGCTTCCGCCGATGAGCAATGATCCTTGGAACACCGCGCACAAGTACGGTTTCGAACATGTCGGCAGACGCTGGGTTCACGGTTAACAAATCCATTCTGTGTTGGTGGGTATGGATTCAACCTTTTGGATAGAGAATTCCTTCAGCTGTTCTAGCACATCATCGCTCTCGTCTGTCTCGATCTGGACAATCCACGATGCGAGGCCCTTTCTGTTGACATTGATCTGATCCCCGGCGTTTGCGGCCAGGAGGCCGACTCGAAAGCCGATAAGGACCGTTTCTAGAGCGGCTGGCAGCAGTTTCTCCGGTGCTGGACAGCAGCTCACCACGGTGGCTGCCAGTCTTCCCGTGCCAAAACCGACTGTGTAGCCGACATCATCGCCATGCGAATCTCGTTGACTGGTTCGAGTCAGTATCTCAAGAGATGAAAATATGTATATGAAAGAAATGCGTCTCGAGTCTTACCATACGTAAAGTCCAAAGTGATGGAGACAAGAAAGAGCTAGGTGCAATGCAGGGTGAAGTGGTTTGGATGCACCGATCGACAAAAGATCCAGCAGATTCCCAAAGGAGGGCAGCTGTTCTCGTTGGGACCATGGCAGAGACTGGATCTCTCTTTGCAGAGACACAGTTGCTTGGTCTATCAGCGTAGCCAGCAGAGCGTTGCTCTTCACGAGCAGCAGGGCTCGCAGATCATCCTGGAAGTCGGCGGTCTGATCGCCGAAGAGATAGACAGAAAGAGAAGCAGCCATCGTGGCTCAGTCATGTGACTGAGAGAAGGCATATTCCTCTCGCCAGGCAATGAGTCTGGGTCGATTCTTATATTCCATCTAACAGCCCTTGTGACACATGCTTGATCAGTCATAACAAATGTCCAGCCCCCAATCAAGATATCTTCAACCGCGGCTTGTCGCAGTAGGATTGCCACCCTCAACTGCACCCCTGGGAGCAGTTCAGACTCTTTAGCCTGAATCCATGCTTCTCTGATCTTCGCGAACGATTGATACTGTATGAACACTCATAGAATGAAGGGCATCTATTCGATGACCAATCATAATGGTCTGCGTGCTCAATTGAGATGAGCTTCTGTCTTAAGACTTAGGCTAACCACCGATTGCTGATACCGCCCTAATTTTCCTAGCTTCTTTCCAGCAATAGCAGCTGATAAGCCCGTCATACCAAATTCGGGACTGTTCCAGGCCTTAATGCTATTGAGGTGGGTGCTCCGTCTTGGAAGGAAGGTAAGGCAGAGTCCACTTCTACTAAGTTACATCTAGGCCAGATATATTAACTATATATAAGTTAGGCAAGTCTAGAATGGAGGGATTTTTTTTTCTGGTGGAGAGAAGCAGACAAGATGCTGTCCCGGGTCCAGCCATGGCCCAAACAGGCTTTCATCGTTTACTAGAAGCCATGATTTCATACTCTGCATATGCGGAGTTTCGGTTGCGAAAACAAAGTGTATCGTGTTCGCACGGTTAGACAATAAACACGTTTCAAATACCTTAATTAATCAATTGGATAACATTACCGACGTAGATCTAGTTGAGGCCTAAATTTACAGATTGTTTCCTGTAAAACACAAACAATAGTCCTACAACTAGTCGCACTAGTCGTTACGCTATTTGTAGTTTCTAACATCATGAGGACTGCTTCTACTCAGAAACCAATTCCATACTGCGTCGTGTCGTAGGCATATCATGCATTGTCAAGGACGTGAATGTGACATGAGGATCGACGGCCCGGGGGGCGTCGAAGTGGATCATGGCCGATGATACGCGATGCCACGCGCGGATGACATCACGATGGTCGTATCAGCAGCATTTGTCAGAAGGAGCCGAGTGGGATAGTATCTCCGAGAGGGAGCAAGCCCTGCTGAGCCTATTCGAGGATCGCTAAGGGAGACCAGGAAGTCCACAGTTTACCTCTTTCGGGGTCGATCGCCGGCTGTTATTGAACGGCTCGGGAGGGAGTATTAGTGCTTCATTCGGCCCGATACAGTATCGGCGGAACTTGCCTAGCGTAGGGGGCATCGAATCCTTGTCGAAGGAATGGATGGACTGTGGGGTGTGGGGAGATTTAGAGGCTGGCCTCGATACCCGGTTAGGCAGTACGTGGACGATAAGTATTGCTGGTTAGCCCAGATAGGCAGTATGGGCATGGCTCCATCAAGAAGGATTCGACGGCTTCGACTTGAACGGTACCCACACCGCGTACCCGACAGGCAGATGATACCTACGGTGTTCGTTGTGCCTTGGTACTTTGTATAGCCAGCAGGATAACCTTGTTTGTTGAACATGAATGCCGAACGCCGCCTTTGTGGCATGTAACAGTCGTGTCCGAATCTTGCAAGCCAGTCCGATAAGGATATCAGCGCTACAATGTGGCAAAATGTCGGGGAGGGAAAAAAAAAGGCTTATTTTCATACCGAAAAGTTATGTGTACACAAAAATGTTATTGTTCTGGAGGAAAAAATAAATACGCTCACATATGTAGGATAAGGGAAGTGTTTACACAACGGTACTAAAAAAAAATATAAACTCTCATGGTATAAATTTCAATGACTATTTGCAAAAATATATATATATTGATTTATTTATGAGCATTTAAGATTAAGATATATTCTATATATTGATGGAATTCTATCTAGCCTCAGCCCCGTGAGTTAACAATAACGAATTCGTCATACGACCCCATTCACTGTTTCTTTCTCGTGGGAAACATCGTTCACGGTGGTGCCATTCAGCCTGCAGTCCTTTTGGGCCTCTTCCAGCGCCTTTCGAGTCTCCGCAAAGACATCGTAGCCGAAAATAAACTCGCGGAATGGCTCTGATAAAGGCCTGGAACCCGGCGGCGGCAGCGGTCTCGTCTCGTCCCAGAACGGACGGATCTTTTCCAGCATCCACGGATAGCCTTGCGGCCCCAGGGGCATGTTGGAAAAGACGTGGACCGGGCCGCATCGGCCCAGCCGGAGCTTCTCAAACTGCCTCAGCCGGGACGGCACGTCATCTTTGCTGGCTCCGGTAAAGAGGACCTCCAGACAGCCGGCGGACTCCATGGCGATCGATGCGCCCTGACCCTGGTGCTGCTCCTGGGTTAGCGAGGGTTTATATGTGGCCGTGGCCAGACTTACCGGCTTCATGGTGTGGGCCGCATCGCCGATGACGACAGCCTTGCCCCGGACGTAGTTCAGCAGCGGATCGCGGATCAGCAGGGAATGGGCGTGGACGTCGGTCTCGGGGGCGTGCTGGACGATGGCACGGATGCTGGGATGGAAGTCTCGGGTCAGGGCTAGCAGCTCCTCGCGCGTCACTCGTGTCTTCTTGCCCTCTGCGAGGCGCGGCGAGTAGATGTTGACGGACCGCGTCTTTCCTCCTTCGCACAGGTACGTCACGATTGATATGCCGGCGGGCAGGTGGTGCAGGAAGCAGATTTCCAGGTCCTCCTGGTTCTCGAACAGCGGCCTGATCTCGGGGTCCTGCATGATCTCGTCGTCCGGCACGAGATAGCGATAGAACGAAAGGCCCGTGTCCTGCAGCGGACAGTCCTGCCCCGTGACCTGCCCGAGAAAGCGGCACTGCCGTCGTCAGCTGAAACGAAGCCAACCGCGATGGAAAAGACTCACGTTCACCCCGTTGGCGATCACGACCAGATCTTTTTCAACCACCCGCCCGTCTTTCGTCTGGATCGTGCCCTTCTCGCAGTCGACCGCTTCGATGGCTGTCTCCAGGTTGACCTTGACCGGCAGCCCTTGCGTCGTCTCCAGAAGCCGGAGGAGCCCCGCGTGGACGTCCCCATGCCGGATAAAGCAGAATCTCGCGCCGTATTTCTCAGGCACGTCTTTTAACGAATTGTGCCAGGTCATGGAAGCGGTTTTCCCATCCAGATGACGCACCTTCTCACAGTCAACAGCGCCCCAGACCTACATGAGCCTGCTGAAACATACTTGGAATGCTTCAAGGCCACCAACCGCCATCAGATCCAGTCCCCAGCGGTGGCACACTCGCTCGCCATTCGGGGCGATCCCCAGCGTGATGCCAGCTTCATTCGTTAACGCGGTTCTCTCAAACAGCTTCGCAAATCAGCCTCTGCCTGAGTCACACAGAGCGACTGGCTTACTTCGACCTGATGGCCGGCCCTCTTCAGCGCGATGGCGGCCGAGAGTCCTGCAAGCCCTCCGCCAACAACCCCAACTTCCAATGGACTTTGTCCTGCCATGATATACGTACAAAGACAAGAGTTTCTGGTATTGATCCTGGAAATTCTGAATAAAAAACGAGTTATTCAATCTGATGGACGTGCAGGTCAATTCACCTGTCTGCTGCTCCCTAATGTAATGTACCGGACGCAAATGGTACTATACGAGTCAATTGCGTAACGTGAAATGAGGGATTATTTCCAACTTCACCAAGAGATTGATAAGGACAGCGCCACTGATGTGTCAGCTCCATTGGAGGTGTGGGATTGATTTGTTCTCCACCTAGCTTCAGCCGCTGGTGTTTCATTCTCTCTTTGGGGTCGAAATCGATAGCTAGGTGAGCTGTTCGACCCGACAGTCGAGACCCCGGATTGGCATTGCACGTCTCGTCATGACGAGCGATAAAAAGGATGAAAAATTGCCTGATTGGTGGACGATTTAGACAGTGACGATCTAGGTGGGAGGATTGATTCCCTGGAGGCGCTAACTAATTATCGACGAAAATTGCTTCGCAACGGCCGATCATGCGATGTAACGGCACAGTTAGCTACACCCGTCACGTCATTCCCCATCGAGCACTATTCCCGGTCCAACAAGAGAAACCAAATACCAGACTCAGAGGTTAAGGATAATGGGGAAACACGTACACGAAGAACAGAAAGCAACCGGACGAAGAGGACTTTCTCCGGGCTTCGAGATACCAACACAAGAAAGTAAAAAACACCTGGATAGCCCGAAGGAGATATTTACCAATTCCTAAGACCCCTATCACAATCCCCGTACAGCTATGGCAACACCACCAACAGACCTCGTGGCGCTGGCGGCGTCCTGCCTGGACGCGGCCAAAACCATCACGGCCTTTTTGGAGGCTAATGGCAGTGGCCAACTCGCTTTTGATCCGCAGGCTCTTCCCCGGTTTCCTCCCTGTGACGAAGAAACAGAGCGTGCGAGAAGCACCCTTCGAAATGCCGCGCGCACCATGTACGATCTGGTCACCGGCCCCGAGGAAGGTCTGATGGAGTCGTCGTTGACATCGGTACGCAGCAGTCATATCAGTCAAAACCGACGGAACAACGCTGACTGATAACAGCTTCATTACATCAACTCCATGAGATATATCTGCCACTTTCGAATCGCGGATTTCGTTCCGGACACGGGAGACATCGACTATCAGTCGTTGGCCAAGGCCGCGGGAGTCGATGCTGTTCAGTTGAAACAGAACCTGCGCTTCGCCATCACGAATCGAATTTTTTGCGAGCCCACTCCAGACCATGTGGCTCATACCACCGCATCCATTTTATTGAAGGGAGACAGTCCAATGGGACCCTCTGTGCAATGGCTCACTGAAGACTGTGCGCCCATGGTCGCCCATCAGATCGATGCGATCGAGAAATGGGGGCACGGGTCGCAGGAGTTCAATCAAACCGCCGTCAACTATGCATATGGCTGCGATGGTCCATTCTGGGAATTTATCGGGAGTGATCCCGTTCGGGAGCGACGCTTTGGAATGACGATCAAACGCGTCGCTCACCAGCCGGCATCGTCGCTCAAACACATCGTCGCCGGGTTCGACTGGAAGTCCCTCGGGAAGGCGAGCGTAATCGATGTGGGCGGCCATATAGGCGACTCAGCCGTGACGATTGCCGAAGCAGCGCCAGAGCTGCGGCTGATTGTGCAGGAGAGACCAGAGGTGGTGGCGATGGCGCAGGATGCTAAGACTACAGTTGTCCCTGCAGAGCTCCAAGATCGCATTTCGTTTGAGGCCCATGATTTCTTTCGACCGCAGAGGACTCCAGCAGACGTGTATTTCTTCCGCAAAACGTTGCTCAACTACACTGACAAATACGCCACTCGGATCGTGCAGGCGCTTGCTCCGGCTGCAAAAGCAGGCAATCGACTCGTGATCATGGATTTCATCCAACCGGACAGACCTGTGGAGGCGACCGTTCGAGAGCGATATTTTCGAGCGGTGGATCTGCAGATGATGCTCTACTACAACTGCAAATACCGCACCTTGGACGAGTGGAAAGCGTTGGTGTCTGCCAGCGATCCTGCTTGGGAATTTGAAAGAGCAGTGACACCGCCGGTGAGTGCTCTGGCGGTGATCAGCTTTATTCGAAGGTAGTCTAACGATGAGCGACCTGTATGTAATTAGAGACTAGAGGGAATTTTCGGTTTGAAAGTCTTTGGTGGGAACATGAGAATATATAACCGATTTATCAACCAGTATCCTGACATGCAGCATCTAATGTTTCTGTGTCATGCATTTATTGAACATTTTATGCCCCGTTTCTTTCTTTCTTTAATCGGTGTTGAAGTCCTACCGCCAACTGCCTGGAGTCGGATTTTAGAGATAAATAGAAGAAATATAAGCGGAGAAAACTGGCATCATGCATGGCGTAACTGATCTATCTACGTATGTCTTACAAGCATGAATGTACAGTATACATACATAGCAGCGCAGCCTTCACTGCGACTGCAGCCGGCCCAACTCGATCTTCATCCGCAGCTTCTCAACCGTATGCTCCAGCTCCGCCGTCTCGTCCTCCTTGCGCCTCAACTCCTTCCTCAACTCCTCATTCTCGGCGCGCAGCCGCTCGATCTTGACAATGAAGCGCTCTCGGTGGCGCAGCGCGCCTTCGAGTAGCATCTCGAGGCTGCTGGCGTCCAGGTCGCGATGACCAGGACTGGCGTTGCCGGATGTTGAGAGGTTATGATTATTGCTACTTGTTTTCGCTGGATGCTCCGGCTCTGAACTGCTCGCCAACAGCGCCGCGTGGGCGCGCTCCAACTGCGCCCTTAGATCTGTGTTGGCTCGCTCCAGCTCGAGGACCTTCTGCTCCATGGCGGCGAGCTTGGCTGCGCGCCAGAGGTCGCTTCCTTCGGAGGACCGCGAGAGGGATAGGCGCTTTGGCTGCACCATCTTGTTTGGTGTGGTTCCTGCGGTTGTTGTCATTGCTGAGGACTGTTGTTGTTGTTGTTGTTGTTGTTGTTGTTGTTGTTGTTGTTGTTGTTGTTGTTGTTGTTGTTGTTGTTGTTGTTGTTGTTGTTGTTGTTGTTGTTGTTGCTGCTGCTGCTGCTGCTGCTGCTGTTCAGGTTTTGCAGATGACCACGTCGCCTGCGCAAGTTTGTGTCGCAGTTCAATCACATTCCGCAGGTCGTCGTCGCGCAGTTTGCGCATCGCCTCGTGTTCGTGCCGTTCGTGGGCCAGCATGTCGCGGACTCGGACGAGGTTGGCGACGTCTTCGTCGCGGAGGGCGAACAACGCCTCGTGGCGTTGCAGCCATGCCTGCTTCTCGGACTCGAGTTCTGCGACTCTTGCTTCGAGTTTCTGATACTCTTCGGCCATGATTGTTGGTTGATTTCTTTCTATTGCGGAGATTTTTGACAGCAGTGATAGGAGCTGTCGCTCCAAGGGTCCAGGTGATGATGATTTTGTTGCTGACTGCTCCTGCTCGCTGGCTGCAGTACTAGAGGTGGAAATGTGCGATTCATCGTTCTGCAGCTCCGGACTTGTTGTCTGCACAGGAGGACTCTCGAACACGGCCTTTTCAACGACCTTGGGAGTCTTCAGATCTGGTTCCATGGCGGAATACTCCTCTGCAAGCGTTAAATGTGAGTTGTCCGTCTCGCCCGAGATCGATTCACGGCCATCTCCCTGCACTTCGCCGTCGGCTTCCTTGTCATGGACCTGGACGAGGCCGTGCTGCTGCTCCGGTCGCGGGAAAGACGGTATCTGCCAGGCCTCAATACGACAACGCGGCGATTCTGTCGTCATTCCGTGATCATTTCGCTCTTCTTCCTCTTCTTCCAGCGCTGCGGACGACTGGCGCGACGACGACGATATCGACTCCGACCGGACAGCCACGGACGATTGGATGGAGGTTCGGGAACGCCTCTGCTGCCTCCTGGTCATCCACATCTCCGTATCAGGCGGGAAGGATTTCGTCTCGAGGGCATTTTCGTCGTGCCGCATGGCCGAGCGCAAGTCGATGTTTTTGGCGCTGGAGCGCGTTGACGATGTCGGACTGTTGGGAGCCCACATGGTGAGTGATGTCGGGCAGGTTGGAGGATATTCAATGTGGTGTCGACTGGTAGGTGACGAGATAAGATACCTGAAGAAGGGTTTCCCAGGTTAACACTGAGAAATACATAGAATTTATAATACACCATTCCAAAGGACTTTCACAGGGGACGCAGTCCTCGAGACCACCATCTTGCGACGCGCCAACGCCAGGTCTCACGCCGTCAAAAACGAAGGTTTCAGAGGAAACGTTCCAATCGCGCTTCGACCACATACGGAGTACATTTCGGTGTCTGGGCATAGTTTCCTCTTGTCTGAAAAAAAATATTATATTTTGAACTTCTGATCAAGCGCTGTGGCTGGTTGTGCGACACTCGTGCGGATGTCGATGGTGTTGGGGTATTGCATGGTGAGACGGTCCTGCGACGGTGGTACTTACACCCCTGTATCAGATTCTGAAGTGGGAATCAGCAGCGCGTCTGTCGGTAAACTGAACTATTTGTTTTCCCTTCTGAAGATAAGTCATCTAGTGGGGAGAAGCTGAAATGCTGAAGGAAAAAAAACGAAGATCGTGTGCACGACGCTAATAATGCACATATATATCGTAATCTTTAAATGTCAAAGCCTCGCCCAAAGAGGATAAAAAAACACGACAGAATTGACTCTGCAACCAACACCTTGTTGATATCGAAATTCTAAATTGCTGCTGATATAGTAACACCAAGACTCCTATTAAATACCATTCTCATGGCGTCTAAACCAACAACAGCATATAATACTATGGTTTGTGGAAATTATGAAAATACCATTCAGTATTGAAAATCTAAAGTATGTTTAGGATGAAAACCAAAAATTGACCGCCAAATGCATGCTTTCTTTGATGACACACCTCATAAATAATATCGTGGTACCCTCCCCCCTGTTGGAAGTGACGATAGCCACTTCATTAGGATAGCAATAGTGCTCTCTTGTTGTCCAATCGCTGTATACAGAGTAGGCAAGAATGACAGTCTACTAAAGCAGACTTCTCGGAGATGCCTCACTTCCAGCGACATTACTTGAGTCCAGGTTGCTGCTCCTCCCGTATCCTATAGGCAAAATGGCAAGTCCAAGCGAGCTTTGAGCCGACGCGCCCTGTACCCTGTGCAGAGGAACGGAAATCCTGCGAGCCCTCGAACGGGCGGGTCGACTCGTCGCAGCTCAATAGCACGTGCCGTCAGTGGCGTTCGCATCGCGGCTTAATTGAACCTCGAATGCAGTGCAATCTGCAGCTGGACTCTTTTACTGATCCTTGATGGTGTTTCTATAATGCAGGACTACCTATAGGCCTGGAGGTAACGTGGGATTGTTTTGCTAGTAAATTTCTCTCTACTCTTGTCACTGCTAGGTTATTTAGCGTCCCGACAAGGTGTATGGCTCCGGCTTTCCAATGGCATTTGTCAGTGTATATCAAGCAACAGGTCACAGTCATGAAGCAGGATAAGCAGGATATCAAACGCGTAACCCAACCAACGTCCTTCACTACACTATCCAACTCGTGAAGAGAAACTTGGTAATGACATTCTTCAGCAGTCTTGTTGCCGAAGATAGATTCCTTGACAAAAGCTAAACGCGTCCGATACGCGTGGAAGATGGAAGTTATTAGGGCCGATATTCAAGACCTCTGTCCATAATGATCCTGAAACTCATGTAAACAAAGAAGATGATGGGAGTTCTCTGTTTCCTAATAACGATAGCCAAACACTTCATTTCCGATGGTAAGAATAGTTGAGTGAGCGATGTGAGGTTGATGTCCGGGGGAGCCGAAGTCACATGAGCTGGATCTAACGAATTGACAACCTGCTCTGGATTTCGCCCTCAGAAATGGAACAACACCGATTTTCTGCTGGTGAGAAGGTTTGTATGCTTTGAATCAATAACACACCTCGCCAGGGGGTATGATTGCAGAGCGCGGTTGCTGCAGCAAGGCACAATAAGGCTACCAGAATGAAGGCAACCTGCCAGACAAATGCTGCCTGCAAGGCAACCAGCTAACACCCTGGTCTGCAATCTTATCATCATCCTCTCATAATGTGATACATCATATTCTGCCATTAAGAATTCAAAAATGCAAGAAATAACGTGATTATGTCGATCCACTTCAGAACCCAGCCTCCCCAGTGTAGCGGAACAAGATCGGCAAGTGAGATAAGACCGAGATTATTCCACTGCAACTTGCGTGCTTAAAACACAAGCACTTACAGTGGAACATGCAGGTGACTGTGTATTGGATCTGCAATGCAAGCGCCCTTGCACTGTCAGCTGAAATGCAGAACTAAGCAGAGATTCAACCCTCCTAATCTATGATTTCACTGCATGCTCCTTTCGATCCTTCTGGCTATAGTGCAGAACTGAGACGACGTGGAACACGCACTGAGATGATAGTCACGCAAGCGTCATCCTCGAGAACCCAGATCCAAACAAGCTGAATCTTATTTCGAGTCATCTACTACCTACCTAAAGGCTAAGTTAGTGCTGTATGCGACGAACTGCAACCCATGATTGCGGCTGACCTAGAGAAAATGAAATGATCGTTGCTAGATCACCAAGCAGTATGGACCCCGGGAAACGTAACTCTGAAGGGACCGGCGGATGGCAAGTCCAACCTCCGGATTACAGTCGTCACCTCCTCCACGACCCTTTGTCATTGTTCCACATTTTTGTTTTCATCAGCCAAAGACTGGGGGCATGGAAGTATTGAGGGGCTGTTGCTGCTGATTAGTTCAAGTTTGCCAACTATAATCTCTCAGATATATTGTTGACACATGCTCCAAAACAATCAAGCTTGTCTAGGAAGAGGCGCAAGTTAGCATGGAACCAAAATGAAGAGGGCTGACCTCTACTGTGCCCAAGTTCTTGCTGTTGTTTAATGGTCACTATGGAGATGATTAGCTTTATGCTGTCCTACACGGGGAAGTCAGGATGAGTGACCCGATTGCTCCAGAATCTTCCTGGGCATTGTGCATAAGCCATCGCAACCAGCTGTAAAGAATAGGTGGGGTTTAGTTAGAGCCACGACAGGAAGGACAATTCGCGAATAACATCGATTTGTTCTTACTATTTTCACGTTGCCAGGTTGATACGGGTCATAGTCCCTCGAAACTGCTTGCCACGAAACTGGTCTCCATTCGTAACATAGGAATAATAATGCTCTGGAGAAGGAAGCCAAAGAGTTCGATTTCGGCATGGGGGTGTCCTACAATGCCTCATACCTCTTCTTACCGCACTTCAACCCTCATCTGGCGCGCTACCTTGTCAGACTAGGAGTACTAACCTGACATTACGGAGGCCTGAGCGCTGGAGATCGCACGGAGAAACCGATTCCTACATGGCGACTTTAAAACGGTCAAGATAGGTTAAAGTTTGGCATCATTATCGCTTCTGTAATATGGCTATCTCATTAAATTAGCCATTTGTGAGCAAGAACAGGTTAAACTTACGTCGGAATATGTACCCAGAAACGCTCTATGCCCACTTCGTTTCACTGGAACTGATTGGCGATGATCGCCCAGCGGCGAGACCAGGAGTGATTTTCCCTCTAGATCTATCTACCTACTCCGTAGGTAGAGAGAAGCACGCTAATTATCGATTCGTTGAACCCCAGAAATATGCACCGGAGATATTCTCCACTGGTACCTGACAGGACACCCCACTTGTTTAGTGCTGTGGATAATGTGCCGGAAGTCTTCCCTGTCCCCGGCCGGATTCACGATTGCCTGGTGCCTGGCCAATAGATGCTGGTAATTTCCCAGGCTCTCCTCGTGCCATGTAGCCTTCTCGACTAGTCGTGATAAGACTCTCTCGCAGGGCCTCCACAGAGATTCACTTGTGAATGAGGGACGGTGCTGTGGGGTAAAGATCACGTTTGGATTCGATTATAGAGGGATTGTCAATGGCGATCACTACCTAGCTCGCCATTAAAGACGATGAGTCAAGCTGAATTTGCAAGAAAGTGGAGAGGGAGGGGTGGATACTCCGTACATACGATATACCACAACCGGACACATAATACCATTGTCTTTGTATCGTTGACTTGAGGCGCTACACATGCCATGTGATCTGATGCATTACCACGAGCAAGATCTTTCCTGGGGGTAGGAAACGGTTTGCCGCAAGGATTCTTAGATAACAGGCTTGCAATGCGACAAGGGTCCGTTAGCGGCACATATCATGAGATGACATGGGAAGGTGTTCTTGCGTTCGAGATTGCAGCTACTCAGATGACTCACTGAATGCCAATAATGAGTCCTGCAGAACATGGATCCCTCCGCAACAGCAAGGCCCGACCCGGCGAGCCTCGAAGGCACGGGATCGACTGCGCACCGGGCCGCAACATCCACCGCTACCTAGTAATTTAGATTAGATGCACGCCTCTTACGTGATAGTGATTGTCTCTAGACAGAAAGTTCAGTCATGTCGTACATTAACATTACTTGTCGACAGAACCAAAATTCGAGTAATGCTGGTGGCGTGGAAGAGTGAAATTGCAACCGCACGACCAAGTAATTTAAGGTATCCAATGTTAGATCGGAGTCATATCAGTCGTTGCAGAAGGCCCTAATTATCATCATGGATTATTCCCAGGAATTTTGGAACAGGACCCGAGAACCGGGATTATCTAATTACACGGTGGAGAGATGTTGTTGGCATCGAAAACTCCTACTGGTAGCTGTTTCCCCCTGTTCCCTGTACTAAGGGCAGGGTGGTAATAATCACTCGAGTTGATAGGTCCCCGCTGACGTCGTCCTACAGGAGACAAGTTCGAATCTTAACGTTTGATAAGCTTCATATTGTGGGACAGATTAGCTGAAGAAATAGTGCTGTGCCTTGGCATAATTTTCAGTCAACGACGTGGAAGACGAGCAGCGTCCATTGTCGGCAGGTCCCATGTGGAATGGCCGGCCAGGGCCCAAGTAATTTCTTTTGTCCATCACCGGACTCGTAAAAATATTTAAACATCACGGAGGAGCCTTCAATAGGTCTTCTCTTGCAATAGCCAGCCCGGCCGATACCATCTCACCAAGATCTTTCTCAAAGCACTAAAAAGTATCAACGAAGCTGACAATGCCTGCGTCCACCGACCATTCCTCGACTAAAGCCAACAAAGGGAGTCAATGGTTCAGAGATGTCCCTCTGCGCTCTAGATGATGCCGTTGCTAACAGGATATAGTGGCGACGGGGACTATGCCAACGGCAGTGGTCAGGGTTCGTCAAGTACCTCAAACAATGCTAGGATTCAGTTGGACCATGAACATGACGTCCTATCTTGCGGAGATTGGTCTCTCGGGTCCCTTTCAACCCAGCCAGGCCACTCAAGTGACAAGAACCGGTTTATTGTTTCCAAGGGTAAAAAATAAACTTGGAACTCGCACAGCAATGGTCCAGTAAGACATCACCATTCCTCGCCCCTTATTAACAATTCATCGTACCAGACAGATGGAACTTAGTTGCGCTGACAGGAAATAGCACCAAGCTATCGTCACCCTGTTACGCCGCAACCGACACCACCCGTTTTCAGATTTGGTGACTTCGTACTTGAGCGCGAGAGCAGGCCACCTGTTGCTTGTTAAGGATAGCTGATCACGACTAAAATTTTAAGAATTGCAAAACTGGATGTTGTGGTTAATCAATTGCAGGGAACGGTGGCTAGCACGTTCCCTGTCAGTGATCATTTCAACAACATCGAGCCTGTATTGCCAGAGTATAGCGCAAATAAATTCACTTAACATGTGATGCGCGTTGTTCAAACGTCTGTCAATCTCATGATACCCTGATTGCGTCGCATGAGCTAGGATTTCGAGACCTTCCCTGCTAGCTTGTCGTTTCCTGGATCTCTAGGTCTCTCGGCCTATTATCCAATCTCATTAATCCTTCGTATTTCGAGCAGAGTGGAGCCCAGCTCGAGTCCAGTATTATCATCCCCAAACGTTCCCGTTCACAGCTTAAGCTGCAAACGATGTGGGCGCAACGCGACAGGACCCAACGGTTGGATGTCTTCGACTAACTACGAGAGCAATGTCCTGGACCGCCAAGTTAGCTTGTTCCCATTATAAATGAACGGCAATACTTGAGCATATCCAATTCAAGGGCAGTCAGAGAGAAGATTACGCTCGCCATGGCCGTACACTGACTCCAGCAGACAGTTGCCGAGGCGAACTGAGTGCATGGAGAGGTATGGCATCCGACTAAGGATGACGATACAAGGATTCTCATCATTTATTGAAACAGGGAGAATCAAAAAGAATGATGATGAAACTTACCCGTCCTTGAACTAGGAATATCCACCTTGGGAGTTTCACACCATATTGGAAGTCACTATAAGATGACGCCGGAGGTGGATCTCTGGACTGTCCGTTGCGGCATCAAAACGAGGATATTCTGGAAGTGGACATTCAGGGCACAACGCGCTACAGACTGGATGGTGAATTTTTCATCACACGCGTCTAGTCGTCATATGAAATGATCCTTCGTCCAGAGAAACTAGGATGGTACGACGATGGGCCCACACGTGGTGCAGACCTCTGGGGAGTCTCCTCCTCGTCATATTGCATATCTTCATAAGTTACATCGACGTTCTTCGCGTCATTTGCTCCGGTCTTCGTCCTCTTTCGTGTCGAGCCATCTGCGTAACCTGTCTTCCTCTTCATTAAGTTGCCTCTTTCAATCTGATCAGATGACATCGGAGGCTCCGGAGCGGCGGGTGAAGAATCTGAGTCGTGAGGTTCTGGAGGCTTGGGATTTTCTTCGCCGTTGCGTTCCCGTTTCCGTTGCCTCTCTCGTAGAAGGGCGTGAATCTCGCTATGTCGAAAGATCCTGATCTGCTCATCGGTGAGTGTTCTCTTCACACCATCCTCATAGTATCCAAGTCCATCAGAATCTTCGTCTTCTTCCACTAGATGATCTTCGTCCGGAGGCGCGAATGAGTAAAGTGGCACTGGGTACGGCACGTCATGTGGGAAGTGTTTGGCCTGAAACTCAAGGAGATCATCCTGGGCCACTGAATTCAGCAGACGGTCTTAAAGAGGAGAAAACTCGACGCACTATGGTTACGGTTGGGATCCGAAGCTGGGCCATTGGCGACCTCTCAGCGAACGCGTGCAAGCAGGAACGGGGCAAGGGCAGGTGTCGTAAAGAGCACCACTTCTGCCAAGACAACAGGATGTGCTTATTCCCATGAGATAAGTAGGCGTCTCCTAGGAGAAGAGCTTGATGAAATGCATCGAATTATCGCCACGCGGGGATGAAGCGCGCTGTGTACAAGGAGAGTGCGCGTGTTGACAAGTGAGAAAACAGAGTTGAGAAGCCCAGCGGAGCTCTAAGTAGGCCCGCCAACACGGCCAATCAATCCGCGTCGGGTCCTTGCCACCACAGCGCACTCGCCATGACCGTCGAGTAAACATTGCCTGATTCCCATACGACACTGAGCAAATGCAACACATAGTATGACTAAGGCAGTCTGCAGCAGCAATGAAGCAGTCCTTTATATTATCTTTTTTTTATACTTGACTGGTTTCCTGGCTTCTAGCGCTAGAACTGCACGAAGTATACCTACTCAAAGTCCCCTGAAGCCGCTGGTCTCTACCTTTCGCCCAGGGAGAGCCACGTTTAGGACTGTGTTTCCGATCTTCGCCTTGACGCTGCTAAATGAAACTTTCAGGGTATTGAGGGGTCGGAGGTCTACATCTGCGACCCTCTTTTTGTCTTCTGGTGACGGTTCGTGTAAACACCAGGCAATGGATATGTGAAAGCAGTGCGAGTAATCTACAGCAGAGCTTTCGGAGGTTCTAGAGGGCTTTTCGGCCTGCTTATGGCCTCGTGTACCGGTTTTCTCCTTTCTACCCGGCTGTGACGATGTCACGGCCTCCTCATAAAGGGGTGGCTGACCAAATGCAGCTAAAGAGCGGTTTGATATTCGCAGCAGGCGGTTCAACCCATCGTTTTCTGGCCTCTTGACCCTGACAACCAAGAACCATCGTGTCCGTTCGTAGTTCGAGACCCAATCCAAACCATCCGGCACCACTTCGAACCTAGGTATCCATTAGACCTTGTCAACACAGGCCTCTCATCCACACACGAGTTGTCATCCCATAAACTTACGGACAAACCTCAGACTCCTCAATCGCGTGTGAAAAGAGCTCCGAAAAGGGCTGTTTCTGTTCTGTGACCAATACGACGGGCCGCGACAGGCTAATGTGCAGTGGCAGTTGAACCCCCAGGTCACTTTGCAGGAGACTATGGATCTGCCGTTCACTGTCACCGAGGTTTGCCTTGCATTGGGAGAGAATTCCGTCCAGGACGCTCAGCTCGGTTCGTGACGGATACCCTTCATTCCATCAGTTGATGCCGCAGAAACCGTAGCAATTTGATGCTGCTTGCCTACATTCGAGGTAGATGTGGGTGGGCCAGTTCCCCTCGACGTGGGGAATTACACGCTTTCGGCCCCCATGGAGACTGGGATCGTCGCGCACACTCACGCGAGTGCTCGAGGCATAAAGGTCGTGGAAAGTCGACGGCAGCGGAGGAAGAGAGGCGTCGCGATCGACAGTCTTCGACGTATCCTCCTCTCGACGGATTTTCTTCTTGGCTGGAACCCTCGTAGATGGCTCGTCCTGTTCTGTTTCTGTCTCAGAGTCCGAGTATTGGACAAGAGCCATTACACTGAGTAAGGCATCAAGCAGCAGCCACCTAATCCGGGAAGACTAATTACCTGACGTATGCTAGCTTGAGTGATGATAACCCGGCGTGTCGGTGCTTAGACGCGCGCCAAGAAAATTTGCGATCGTGACACGCCATGCGCGTCTGCCTTAAGAGAACCTCAGCGTTGGCTACTCCGTAAGCTGTACACCGACCACGATCGATTTTCTATTTGCATTCCTGTGAAATTTGGAGTCGATAAGTACCTTTTGACGAACACAGAACCCAATGCTACATCTACCTTAACTAACACAGCCTCGTATCTAGCACACACAAAATCAACTCCAGTGTAACGTCCGGCGTTTATCTACACTCCTACTGGCGCAGTCTCAACTTATCACAATCAGAGGACTCATCCTCGCCAGTGTCCAACCGCTGTTCCGGAAGATTGCCTCTTTTCACAATGCCGGGATACGCGGACCACTGGGGCCACGGATCGTCGGAGGACATACTCGAAAACTCCACCAAGAGGCTTCCGTGCAAGCTTGTGCGATATGTTTCCCAAACGACTGAAGAGTGACATGCGAAAGATAGGGAATAGTCTCACGCTCTGTCAGAAAGAAATCGATTGAGATGGTTCCAGGTGCCGTCAGCACCTCAGATGAGATCCAGAAGCCATTATTGCAGGCAAGAGCTAAAAGAACCGGCGAATGCCTACTTTTCGGCCTCTCTGCCTGTCTCCAACGGAAGCGTGTCTTGGCAAGCAGCACCGGTTACCAGTCCTTTCATCATCTGTCGATTACATTGACAGCGGACTGTAGCTGTCATCGAAGTCAGCGATGCCAGCCTAAGGCGACCAGGCGCCAACCGAGCGAACATTCAGGCAGCTGCTCCAGGGACGTAGAAGAGTCATCGAGTCTAGGCTCTGCGGCGGCAAACCGTGGGCTCGGGCAGGTGATTTGCGCCGGTTGCGGCTGCCTGCGGACGACTAAGCCGTTTCGGGGCAACGCTTTGCCCGAGTGGGAGCGCAGCCGGTGGAGCGTGCATCGCCAGTCGCCATCAACGCCGATAAGGCTTGGGTACGCAAGCACTCCATCCACGTCATTCGACTCCGCTGCATCAGAGCCTACTCAATCTGTGGAGGCGCGACGGGGTATTTCTTTGATCGCTGGTCTGCTGTCCTTTGCTCGAATTCCTCTTTCTTCATCCATCGTGATCTGCGCTTAACAAGAATACGCTCGTCTCAATCGCTTCAAACGAACTCCATCCAGCTGCAACAGCCATTCTTGAGCTGTTTGCCGCTGATCAGCTTTATCACATTCCAACTTCAGGCCGTTGGCTACATCCTCACCCCGCTGTACGGCCAACGCCATCAGAAATGGACGGCCCAGGTACCCATTTCTACGTCGAGGATACCAATCCGTTCCGCAACCGTGCTGGACGTCGTCAGCGATCCAGCACCTCTCCAGCCGCGTCTTTCGACAGGAGTTACTCCGAATCCAGGGCTGGAAGAATGGTCGACCAGCACAAGAAAAAAGCTTCGTGCTGCCCCCAGGAGCACCATCATCACCACCACCACCGCATGTCGCGAGTGTATCCCGACATCATTGACCAGCTGGACAATGTCGGCTCTGTCCAATATCACCACGAAGGTCCCTATGACGCCGTCTACCCCGAACGCAACCGGTGCAGCCTGGGAAGTCCGATCGAAGCTCTGAAAGAATCGAACGAAGAGACGCTCCGGGCGACCCCGATGTACAAAATCGTCGACAGCATTCGACACCACCGTCCCCTGGATGGGGTCGCCTACTACCCTCCGGGCACCACAGATCCCGAGGGTCACACCTACCAATACACAGAGGGAGACAACATGATGGCGGAAATCGAAGGGAATTTTGTGCGAGCCCCGGGAATGGTAAGTGAAAAAAAAAATCTTTCATATGGCCCGGCCCTACCAGACCAGTGGCTAACCTTCCCGTTACAGAAATTCACCGACGAGGATTTCAAGAACGACCCATTCTACCAAGACCAGCAACGCCCACCCCGACGCATGGGGAGCCTGCGCAAGGCTCTCGGATTCAAGGGCCGGTCCCGAAAGAACACCGCCTGACTATCCGTCCGTCGATTCTCGCCACATTAATATTAATAATAACGGTTGTCTTCTACGTTTCGGATCATTGTCTATACACGGTCTCGGTACACGGTCTACGTTTACGGCTACGTCTACGATCGCTTATTGTGTCTACGATTACGGTTATGGGTATCGGTATGGGTTTGGTCTGGTTTTGAATTCGGCATTCACTGGTTTTGATTTGGGACATATATCTGGGTTTTGGATTCGAGAAAAAGTTTGACAACGGAGTCTACGGGTTTAGACTCTCATTCCGGCATTTCCGACCTGTTATCGTCATGTGCATGTACTACTGTACACGGGTGTACAGTGTTCCAAAAAAAAATCGGGTTGGTCGGGTTACCACCATCATCGGGTAAATCGGGTACGAATCAGAAAAACGAATTCGAGCGTGGGCAAAAAAAAAGCAAAGACGAAAACGATAGTCCAACAGAATGAATGCAAAGGATTACCCCACGGACAGGAGTCCAATACTGTACTTATTCTTACGCTATTCTTAACTTTATTACTATTGCATGCTGCCACTGAAGTATTACCATTCAATGAGATGGACCAAAGTCTATATTCTTTTATCCTTCTATTCATACGATATAATATAACGTAATACTTCTACAGGGACATAAGCACAATAATGTGTTTTTCCATAATCGATTTCGATCATTATGCTCATCTTATATATTTCTTACACGAGAACTAGCAAACAATCTAGGATTAACTGACTTTCCCATTACTGGATACATATCTCTAGATAGAAATACCTGCGGTCTATTAGAACAGATCGTGTACCCCTGAATACTCTCGAAACATTATCTGGTTTGATGCTTCGCCTGCAAATGCATCCATTCCCGATTCGAAGTCCGCTGTAACTCATAACACATAGGCCCCACTCACAGATCACTGGCGAATTGTCAAATACTAAGTGTAGCGTGACCTAACAATAAGCTCAGCAATTCAAACTGTAGAGGGTGACGATCTTAAACGAAACGAATACAACTTAGCTGCCGTGGGGTAGGCAATACACCGTCAACTCAACAGTGACGGACTCCAAGGAGGCCTGGGAAGCAGCAGCCTTGACGGCTGGCACTCGTCATCTCACTATTCATGATCTCAAACTGGACTCTGCCTCCAATTTCAAGTACGATCAATATCTCCTTCTTCGCGTACTCCGGATATCGCAGGATCGCACCAAATTCGAGGCCGCGCGCTTTGGCCTTGCGGATTTGGAAAAGACTGCCAAGGATGCGTTGGGTAAATATGAATTCTGGAAGAACTACTGCCGCAGCTTTGAGCTCAACATGCATGACAAAGAAGCCATCCCTCAACTAGGCACTTTCTCCCTTGTGAGATATTACCAATTCCAGGTCACAAAGGTGCAGCAGAACGACGACGACGACCCAGGCATTATCGTCTCTCCCGTTGCACACCGGACACGCGGGAGACTGAAGAAAGAGGAAATGAAGGCGGAGCTGGAGCAACTGCGCCTGCAGATGCAGGAGTTACTCCTCCAGACCCCTACAAAGCAAGCCGATGAAAGCCGACCGTCTCCAAATGCAGGATCTGACTCTGAAGAGTCAGTCACAATGCAACCTCCGTCACTACCGGCCACCCCTATTTCCAAAGAAGCCGAGCGTATACTCTACGCCCCGGCAAAGGATGAACAGATTGTGAATGCGGCCCTTATTCTCCTGCTGAATGCCATTACCATCCATTTTCCTCTATCCAACGACCGGACTCTCCACAGAAGAGCATTTACGGTCAATTTCAAAACGGCTTCGTTCCAGGCACGGACCGATGGTTATCTCGGAGATAGAACCAGCGGCAAGGTCCGTGCTCTCATCGAGGTCAAACCGTATGTCAGGAAGAGAGGTCGGGGTCGGATACAGATGCAAGAGGCTGCTCAGATGGTGGCATGGATCTCCGACAACAAACAAAGACCAAGCCAGTTTCCTGGCCGGTAAGTTCATAAATCAGCCCTGCTTCTCCTTCACCGATCCACCACTAACAGGGTATGTAAATGAATGCAACAGGCATCTCCATATATCTCAGGATCGGCATGAAATCTTCCTCACCTTTGCCGAATATGACGAGAGCTATCTCAAGTACCTCAAGGAGGGCCTGTCACCCGGTGATCCGGAGCCGTTTCTGACTCTGCATGAATTTGGTCCCTGGGATATCAAGGATGCGAGACACATGCAGGAGCTCGGCCCGATCATTCTGGCATTTACAATGCGTGCCCACCAAGATCAGCAACTCGAATCCCGTTCGTCAGCTGGACAAGGAAGGACCGGAGAGCAGAAGAAAGGACTCTTCACATGAGACAATACCAGGGTTTAAACGGCAATTTGGAGGTGTCGGGTGGTAGTCATGGAGGATTTGCTCTTTTTTTGACCGCTCACCTAGGATTTGGGCCTAGTGGTACCTGCAGGCTCTCACCAGGCCTGGAAATCGTAGCTTGGACTAGGAAGACACGCTCTCCGGGCAATGGTCTTTGAAAATTCATCCTACCGCAATTCCACATAGTCAATTTGTGAATCTAGATAAGGACAGCGAAAATTTGAAACTGATTTCTAATTAGCATGGAAGTTACACGGAGACAGGGCCAACTCACTTGTCCTCTGACTTCGGACCACATCCCTTGACTTCAATTATAACGCAATCTCCTCCCGCCGGCCGCACGCCGTCACCTTGTGGCATCATGGACTTTTCCTGCTCCGGTCTTTCGGGGCTCGACTGAAACTTTTTGGTGTGAAGTTGGAGGAGTATGGCTGTCAAATGCTAGAAGAGAGGAATAGGAGCTGGAAAGTTCAAAGGAGTATCTACATATTTATATTAAACAAAAGTACATTACGGCATTTGTTCACCAAAGACCGGAACATCTTATACGGCTTCTGTATGTACAGCTCCACGAGTCAAGAATGTGGTTCAGGCAACCCCTTACCAAAAGTTTTCATTCTGCAGCCGAGTGCGCAAAGCCCTGTCCAATGCCTGCTATCAGAGTCTATCCAATGTTGAAAACCGACCATCCTCACACTTTGCTGATGACAGCTTCCAAGGCACATCCTAATCCCAGCGATAACTAGTGATTATATAATCGTTTCTTTTTGCAAGTCGACCGAGTTGCTGTCGATTGAGAGTGCCTTCTATATCCATGGTCTGAACCTATTCCACGTTATTTATATAAGATGTCTCCTGCGGACTAAAATATTTCAAAAGGCTGCACTTATTTTTTTCTCAAGAGTAGAATCATTGTCAGATTCCTTAAACTTTTTGTGTAGTTTGGATGCAAAAGCACACACGCGAATCATCCGAAAGGAAGTCTGCAGCCCACATGCAGGCAAGCATGAAACAACGCATTTACTTAGATCATACATAGAAGACTAAGTGACAGACAACCTACTTGAATTGGATGGTCCCATTCTTGGGTAGATGGTCCAATATGTGGCGCTGAATTTCCCTGTTCGACATATTCGGAACACTTTTCCACCTTTTTTTTTGTTTTTCGGGAAAGAGGCGTACTCAGTATACGGGCTTCCAACGAATCAAATACTGAAACTCACGTGATGTGAGCATGTCAAGTCCTGCCAGAACTTTCCAGCTCTGGCAGGTGATCGTGCATGAAGCGTTGCCCGTGCCCGGGTATCAGTTATGGAAGTGAGCGAATCCCCCAAACCAGAGCTAACTTTCCACGTCTACAACTGTCTGAATAGAGTATTTTAAGTGTATTGTGTAGTGACAATGCAATAGTCTCTCCTGTTGGATGCCCAAACAAGTCTTTCCTGCTTTTCGGGCTGGCTTTGGGTCTTAAACGGATCACATGACCATGTGACTGACGCTGTTCAACCCCTCCTTTATAAGCTTTGTCAGTTGCTCATCTTGTCCCTGCTATTTTTTTCTGGTCATTTTCCTAGAGCTGTTGCTGGCGTTGACCTGACTGGAAGATTGCTTGATTGAAGAAAGACATGAACCCCACCAATCAATAGCGTCCCAGTATCGCGAACTTCCCACCAGCCTTATGAAAACTTAACCCCGCGCTACTTCTCTTTGACTCAACAGCCAACAGGTCGCCAGCGACATGGATACAACAGATGTCACGTTTTATTCTAATCTTGCGGCTGTCATCAGCGCTCGGAGTGAATTTCTGGATTTAGTTGAGACTACAAAACGGGATATCAACGAGAACGATGCTGAATACATGACGCCCTCCAGATCGAGGCTCAAGATTCCTCCGAGCTTTCAAGCGCTGTTACGTGAATACCAAATCTCTTACCATCCGAAGGCAAGCACCATTCTCTATCAACGAAGCGGAAGGGCTAATCCGGAACAGATATTCAACGACTCCATGCGGTCTTTATTCGACAAAACCGAGGTCACCAGATACACAATACCGCAACTATACAGCTGTCGAAACGGGTACTTCACTTTTCAAGATTCTGCGGTCCTTAGCGTGTTTATAATGCTCGATGCGGACCCAAATCTAGATATCAGGGTGCAAAGGAAAGGGAATCCGACTCAGTCCGCCTTAATTAAAGACAGAGGTGTGGCATCAATCTTAATCATACCCGGAAACTGCGATCTCAGATTTACTGGAGAAGGGAGAATCATCGTGGCCAATATTACATATCAGAGAGAAGTACCTGTTGTAGGAGAAAAGGACAAGCATGGGGGGAAAGGAACCGTCCAAGGTGAGGGTAACAGATGTTGATGACATTAGCACTACACATACACCTTGACGAGTTCATCGCCAATTGTAATTTACTTTCATTTGCCTTAGTTTGTTCTTTTTATTGGTTATGAAACGAAAATACATCTCCTTGTGGGAATGGACACCGGGGAATTCCAAAATCAAATACCTCAAAATCGGCAGAATCACCTAAAGTTTGGCAATCTGAATGGATAATCGCCGAGGAAGGCACGCCATAGTCGAACACCTCAGGATTGTTTGCACTCAGACCTGTAGTGGGTTGAGTAATCTCAAGGTCATCGCCAGGGCGCAGGCTTCACTATATGGATGGAGAAGAACGGGAATAGATTGCTGGTCTCTCTCTGACCCCGCTGCTGCCTGCCTTCAATGATCTGTCGATGAGCCATCGAGGCGATGGTGACGATGTGGTGACAAGCAGATGGCGCTAACCGCTACAGTTTGGGGGTCTAGCTTGTCACCTAGCGTCGGTATCTAATCAATGAATGCCCAAAAGGAAAATACTTTAAATACCTCAGGGTTCCATCTTTGAATTATACCATAGTCCTAATCGCGGATGTAAATAGGAACGAGTCAATTATTTTGGCGCAAGAAGTACCATACAGCACAGCTTGATCGTGCATTTCTATTATAGATCCTATTCATCTTATTGGATATCAGGACCGTCATCATCGTCGCCTTCGTTGCGGCGGTTGGCGCTGCAGCATCGCCCTCGGCAGATGATTATCCTTTAACACCGTGACTTCATTCCGTAACGAGTCATTTTCCTCTTTTCGCTTGTAGATGTACATCAGCGCGTTGGACAGCTCCTCGGATTTGTTCTCTTGAATGTTGCGTGCTGCCAATTTCCCTGTTGTTGTTCAGTCCGATTTTCGCGGATGATGGCGACCTGGCTCGACAACGCCAAAGAGTGGTGTTGCAAGGCTCTAAGCTCAGGATCTGAGATGACCTTGAGCTCGTCGCAGAGATCTGTTGGCAAATCGTTGCTAAAGAATTGCGAGCCGGCATGGCTGGCAGGGATATAAGCCCGACACCAACAAGACGGTTGATCATCAAATCAACCTTCATCCAGATCAGCAGTCGCCATCATAGTCTTCTGTTCCCCCGTGATTCACGGATTACTTTAAGCATCTAGGAAGTATCTCGTAGGCTTGTATTAAAACCTGGACTGGATGGAGATAACTGCTTGTTTCCATTCTGGGTTTAGCTTCCCCCGCATTCACGATGTATGCCCGATTGGGCAGGTACCTTGGGTGGGCAGCTTCCCAAGATCTATTTTCGCTTCTAATAGCACTTTCGAAGTTGTCGTTCCGTCTCATTCTCTGGCACCTTGTTTCCTCAAAAGACAATCTAGCCGAAATTCATGACATATGCATTCATGTTCGATGTATAGAACTGGTATGGGACAGTTAGAGACAGCCATTATATATTTTCGATACTCCTATCGTCATCTAACAGCGACATTACTAGTACAACACGACCCCGTGCCCTTTTCACCATCTGCATTTTTGGTGGACCTTCCATCTTCCAAAGACACACTTGCCTTCTGAGCACTAAATCCAGCGTTGATCTTCCGCAGCGCGTCAAGTGTGCGCGTGAGAAAGTCAACGTTTGCAGGTCTAGAGGTCTCGACATCGTCTGTCATCGCCACCTCTGGGACTATTGGAAAGTCATACAACATGTCCGTCTGACCGGAGAACTGCATTGGCGTCGGGAAATCCGTTCCAACACTCTGGTGGGATGAACGGCGGAATGGTGGAGTTATACCACTGAGAGACTCCGGACTGGACGCATACGCATCATGTTCGTCCGCAGACGTGAGATCGACCAAGACATTTTCCAGCTTCTCCAGAGCACTCCACACTTCCGGGTTGGATTGCGATCCTTCGTCTACCGCTAGCAAAAAGGAAGAACTGATGGCGCTGTGGAGATGGATCCACGAACGTGAACCGTGAGGGATGATCTCGTGAAGCTCGACATAGGCCTCCACCGTGTTGATGAGGCTCTCCACACAAGCCGTGCACAGCGATGTACTTGTGGTCCTCTGCCCTGGGCAGTTATTTGGTTTGACGGAACGTCGACAGATCTCCGAGATCAGATACGACGACCGCAGTTTGAGGGTCAGTCGTTCGATGTGGTTGGTGATGTTGAAGCAGTGGTCTTCACTGCGGAGATACGGAGCCGCATCTGCCAGGATGTGGTCCAGTTCCTTTTTGTACTCGGAAATGGCGGTGGACTTGATTCGAGCCGCAGAAATTGTCGCTTCACGGAGCAGTTGCAGTGTGAGAGAGATCACTCGACACATAGTTTCAAAGTATCCTCGATTACCGGGACCAGTGCCCTGTTTATACGGAATTTGGGGATTCGGTGCCAGTGTCTCAGCAGGTCGATCATATGAAAGCGCGAAATGACTGTCTTGCCATGCCATCGACCACCTGGAGTTCTATCAGACGAGATTCTTCGGGTGAACATGCTTGCCGGAAGTGACTTACCAGACTCGCCGTCTTACAAACAGCTCGTCCGATGGAAATGCCGTTGACTCAATATGCAAGCCCAACGTGAGTGCCATCCTTTGTGCCATCCCTGAGACGGTTAGAATAATCTTTCAATTTGCGTGCAAATGGCTGTCCTACCAAAAGTGACATAGGCCACACCAGGGTTCATATTGTACGACAGGGTATCTCCCAGAATCAAGAGGGTTTGGATAGCTTCGACGGTTGGTCGTGACAGGAAGTTTGCATTGCGCAAGCATTGATAGGAACATGATACTGTGCATGCATTAGCATCGAAAGTGGAACTGACAGAAACAATCTCGTACCGTAAACCTGGCATAGCAGAGTCTTCTCTTTTTTGGGCAGGTCGGACAGTTGACAACCAGAGGCCAGAACGGCGAAGAGAATCCCTATGAACGCGATACTCATCCCGAACGGCTCTACCGCTTCCAAAACGTGACTCGTGTTGAGGCTGTTTAGGGACCGATTGCGCAGCAATTTCTCCATATCCCTTTCGAACTGGTCGATATCCGTTAGGACGGGATACAGCGTTGTACGGACGTCTCGATAATATCGGAAGAGCCTGAAAATCAACAACCAAAACTGTTAGTTTCATCTTAGGCAATGAGAACAGGAAGGACAACCTTCGACACAGGTTATCGTCAGGCAGCGCAGCGCAGACAGCGCCACTGCCAACTGTCATCAGATCCGACGACCACAGATCCAAAAAGGGATATGTCGCGGCCTGATTTTCCAGGGCCAGTTGGGGAAGGATGCCGTCCTCCCGAAAGACCGAGCCTGCGGTACTGGATCGTCTGGATCGTTCGAGAATAAAGGCTAACACCGAGCTGGAGCCAAAGTGCACAGGTGAGCCTCCAAGGACATTACGCATATGAATGCCTTCTGTTTCTGGATTATTAGACCGGGGCTCAGTTTCCCCTCCTGAATCCGAGGCAGGTGAACAAGTTGTGGAGACTTCCTCGAGCTTGGAACGCAGAGTGGAAATGCTCTCGCTCATTTCAGCCAGCTTTTTGTTAATGATCTTCCATTCCTTAGGATCAACCAGCACTCTTTCTGGTTTCTTGTCCATTGTTAAACGGCCTGCAGTCGTGGTTTTGCGTCCGCTACTTGTCGTTCTCTTGCTGTCTAATCCCGGAGACGGCAGAGGGGACGGTTTCTTAGACGGATGAGTGTAAGTGCAAAGGTGGGCATGGCCTCTCTTGACACACAAGGCACATGGTGAGGTGCGATCACACTTGACTTTTCTCTTATAGCACTGGTAGCATGCCTTGGGAATGCGCATCTTGCGCTTCCCAGACATCATCGACTTGAGGTCAGACGGCTGGAGAGGAGATACGGCCGTTGCCATGATCCAGCGGGGAATTCAGATATGGGTTAATTAACGACCGAGAAGGTGGCTGACCACGAGATAGAGACAGCAGAATGGGGCATTGAAGTCCACTCCAGTCGAGAATGTGGGGAGTCACCACAGAGACCGTGTCTAAGTCTAAACAGGCATAGGGCTCAGCGGGAGATACAGCGGGAGATAGGGTCTAGAGGTGGCATGATGCGTGCATATTAGTTAACGTGCGACCGGCCATGACCCTAGGGCCTTAATCGAGTAAATCCTGGTCAGTGCATGTGTGACCAGAGAACGGGCCAGCCTCACAGACGGGAGGAAGGATCCTTCCGAGAAAGACCCGTCGGTGATGTTAGCGTGACACTAGGCTTGTGCTGTCACTTGAAGGCTTGTTCTGGCGGCTAACAATGACGCGGCCGGAGTTGGCAGGGATCGAATGCTTGGCCGTGATCTTCGGGGTTAACTCGGCGGCACGAAGGCCTTCTGCAAGCACAACTAGATATACACATGCATCGCACGAGGTTTCAGTTGCCTGGCTAGAATGTTTCGACAGCTCCGTCTCGCCAATCAGATTGGACGTTGCCAATAGGCTCTCGCCGGACTGCTGTCGCGGTTGGGTCGGTGGAAACTCGGGAAAGGGACCCGGGATCGATAAGGCTATCCCATGCTGTTGGATAACAAGTATCCCCGCAGGAATGAACAGATCGGCGGGGTTGAGTGGCAATCTCCCATAATTCATTCCAGGAAATGCACTCATCTGCGCTACCTATTCCAATCCAGAAGACATCATATCGATCCAGATCGATCAGCATGCGAGTACCAGGTATACCCTCACCTGCCCGAATAGGCAGGTCAGTCATGTGATTTGTGCTTGCCTATCCACGTTGAGACAATGTGCCCTTGACTGGATTGACATTTGACATGTTAATAATGCATTCTGGCATGAAAACCTGTGGGAAGCGTCAATTTGTATCCTATCGTCGTATCTTCCGCAGTACATGACGGTGGGTCATACTATTCTTGTACTGGAGCGTAGCAAGTAGATTGCTGACATGCATTGCTCTAGCGCCATTGGGTTGTCAGAAGGACAGAACTGGATATGCGGATAAATACCCGAAGGGTCAGATATGTCTCACATTCACGTTATCCCTGACATATCTTCACCGTGGCGTGTCATTCAAGAATCGCCCGCAATAAATTAGAACCAAATCGACTACCAAGCAAGGTCAAAAACTCTCTTGAACGTGTGAACAGATACGATAAGGACGATCGATGTATTTGTTTCGACTACGACGACTTGTAGCTCCGCAGATAATTCAGTTACTTGGTTCAGGCTTAGAGCCCAGGGCTAGGGCTGACGGCCCACGACCACTTGTTCTCAGAACACCTTTTGGATCGTTGTTTAGTTTTATATCATCGATACGTTTGTCTTCAGCTTCCTGAGTGTTTGTAGTCCAGTTACCATTTGCTGACATGCTGAAAGCGCATGTGTGTTGTTCTAGGGAGAAGCGATGTAGCTTCTTTTTTCTTTCAATTTCATTACTGTTGATAACGAATCTAATAGCTTTGATTCATTTATTCTGCTTTCTGTCTCATTATATATTATCTCATTACTCGTCTATATACTATATATTAGGTGAACAAGGACTATTCCAGTTTCTGGTCATGGTCAGCGTTATGGTTCTTCAATTCTTCATTACGAGTGTCCTCTGCTTGGATCCCTGATGACATGTTTGCTGTTGCTGCTGCTTCCTTCACGATGTCCACGTCTGCCGCAGCGGCCTGTCCTTCTGATGAAGCTGAAGCAGGGTCCTTCGCTGGCTGCTGTTCCGGCTGATTGCCACGTCGACGGCGTCCACGGATATCAAATCCGCCATGCCATCCAATCCAGCCCTTTTCGTGTGGCCCACGCAGGAGACACAGGACGATCGCCGCGCCCACAAATCCCACGCTGGCGCTGCCTGACCGCACCCATCCTCCCTGCGCATACAGGTTGTTTCCTGCTGCCGTCCCCATGAGCTGGCCGCAAAACACGGCGACCATGTACGCTGTGTTGACGCGATTGCTGGCCTTGGGCGCCACGCCATAGATGGCGGTCCGGTTGGCGATCTGGGTGATCTGCTGGCCAAAGTCCAGGAAGATGGCCTGGATAATGGGCCCCGCCACAGTGAAACGGCCGGTGTAGGTGCCGACAATGATGGCGGCCAGGATGGTGAACTCGCCCACCAGCACCGAGGTGTACGTGTTGAATCGGTCGATGAAGAAGCGCGCGAAGACGGGTCCGACGGTCATGGGCACGATGCCCGCGAGCGCAAAGAGACCGATGATGATGGTGGAGTAGTTGTAAAGGTCGCCGGAAAGGAGGAAGGTCAACGTCGTCCAGAAACTGGTGAAGGTGGAAGCGACGAAAAAGGCCATCAGGCAGGACTGCACCAGCAGGGGTTCCTTGACGACGAGCTCCGGGATGGTCCACAGGATGCGGAAGTAGCTGATGTTGGTGTTGGTCTGTGGGTAGTCGGGCATGAAGAGCCACAGGAGGATCAGGATGACGTATTGCAGCGCGAACGACATCCAGTACACGTTGCGCCAGGAGGAATACGCCGCGATGATGCCGGAGAGCAGACGCGCGATGAGGATGCCTAGCAGGAGGCCCGAGACGACGATGGAGATGGCGGTCGCGCGACGGTTCGGCGGTGCTAGTTCCCCGACAAGAGGGAGCATGATTTGCTGGGCGAGAAAAATCAGCGTCAATTTCTCAATTATTTCAGTCGGGACGATTTTGTTTAATACTATAACATACCGGCGTCACCGTCGTCACGGACGAGATAAACGTCAACGCCACGAAGGCGCCGAAGCTATTGGTCAAACACAGGCCCAGGCAGACGGTAGCTGTGAACCATGCCAGGAAGAGGACGAACGGTCTGCGCTTGACCAGATCGCCCAGGGGGCACAGGAAGAGCAGTCCCGCGGCGTAGCCAGCCTGCGCGACCGTGGGGATGACGGAGACACGTTCCTGACTGACGTGGAAGGCATTGGAGAGGACATCGAGGATCGGATGGCTGTAGTAGAGATTGGCGACCTGAAGATGTCAGCGGCCACCGCGTATGGTATTACATGACAACGAGGGGGAGGACGCACGGTGAACGTGCACGCAAACCCAAAGAGCAGATTGAGGGGCATCGTCAGCCGGGGAGGATTCTTTGGATCCCAACGACATCGGGGAGGAGTCCAGGTGAGGATATCGTAGACGCGATGCAAAGGTGATCTCGATAGCAGATTGTTTTCATCATGCGCATTCGCATTCCCGTTATCAGAAGCATTATCTGTGTTTTTCTCACGATGACCGTCCTCCAACGCGCGGTCTTCCTGGGTCACTGGAGCTCTAGCAGCGGATGATGACGAGGACTGAACCTGAACCTGGACCTGGACATCGTGACCAGTGTCGCCATTACTGGCGTTTTCTCCCATGGAGAGAGCGTCCGTCGATCAAAGTATATAATACGGTCCTATGATATGTGTCGAGATTAAGAAAAAGAATTGTCAGTGCCTTTAGCGAAGAAGAAGCATAAATCCCTCCTTCATAATCAGGTACTGTACTGTATGTACACCGTCAGCACCAGCCTAGCAGTCAATAAGGTAGACAAGAAGAGAGCTACAATATTAAAAAAAACGAAGATATCTTAGCTGGACAGATAACATCGCAAGTACGGAGTACTCGTAGAGTACGGAGGAAGACGTATTTGTAATCCATGGATAGATCAGCTAGCTCAGTTCCCATTCGAGTTTAGTTAGGTAGCTAGCTAATGAATTGGTTAGTTTGGTCTGTCGACATCCTGTTATTGTTAGCATGCTAGACCACGCCTAGCGACTCCTGTTCTCGTTATTAGCTAGCTAACTGTCGAAAACGGCGTGAAGACCGACCGACCGGCCTGGCAGGTGGCCCTGGGCGGGGCGGGGCGGGGAAATAAATGGGGATAAGCGCTAAATTCCGAGCGAAGCCAGAACAGAATAAACAGGACAGGATTATTTTCCAGACAAGACGAGACGAGACTAAACTAGACAAGCTTTTTATTAAGAATAAAAATACTCCGTATATGGTGACTAGATTGACTGGTTTATCTCTTCCTCCCTCCCTTCTTCGTATATTCTTACAGTATATACGGAGTAGGATCTGACTGCATCTAACTGGCGTAGAATAAATTAACTTGAATTGAGACAGGTCGCATGCATGATGGATGGATCTCGGGTTTTCCTCCGTCTTCTGCCGCCTGTGGGGTAAATATAGCTAGCAAAGACTTATTGGGAGTAGTTACAGTCAAGGTATTCATCTTTTAATTACTCTGTTCAGATAACATCGACTCTGGAACTGCAGCCCCAGTGTACACTGCAAGGTACTGTCTCACTATAATAATGCTACATGAGGAGTGCGTCTTGAGTCGTCGAATACTCGGATTCAGATGGATATTCCCGCTGAAACGACAAACCTATTGACAAACAGTATACCGACGTCCTGTGCCTATACATAAGTCTAGAGCCGAGTCGCTAGGATATAAAAGAAGGAATAAGAATAAGAATGGAAAAACACTTTGTCCAGTTCCGCATGTCCCTGCAGAAGAAAGCTCCCTGTAATCCAAAAGGTATAAATCCCACACTGACACCTCACAAAGGAAAAATATGGGTTAGTTCATGCTGGTTCATGGGTAAAAAGTGCCCTTTTGAAAGCTTTCCGGCGCGATGTCGCCCATCTTGCTCTTGATCTCGGGTTTGCTCTCCTCCCCCTTCGTCTTATCCGTTGTGGACAGACTCTGCGAGCGCGCTTGCTCTGCTCCCTTGTTGGTCAGGGTCGCAGTCCGGCTGCTGCTCGCGCTGGAACCCGCCGTGATGGCCGCTGGCGTCGGTCGTCGCTGGATGGTCTCGAGATACGGGCTGGGCAGGTATCCGACTCGGCCATCCCGCGCCCGGCACCGCCACCATTCAGAGGGATTGCCCATTGGATCAGACTTGCTCAGCACGGCGACTATGTCGCCCTTCTTCACCTCCAGATCAATGCCGGCAGTGTTCTGGGCATCTGGAGTGTAGTCATACAGAACCCGGCAGAAATCCAACTTGGAAGGATCCAAGGGAGTCACCTGTTGTTCTCCATTCGGACCCATCAACAGTTGCTGGCGTCTGGCTTCCTCCTCTTGCGACCGAGCCAGAGCACGGATCAGTTTACCCATCAGGTAGGGCAAGCCAAACACTGCGAGAAGGAACATAACGAACGGTTTCCTCGACGGGCGAGGCGGGGCCGGGCTGCCATCTGGGAGAGTGGCCGGGGCTGACCGGCCTTGGAGAAAGGCAGAAAAGGCGGAGGGGGTGAGGGACGTGGCATCGGCGGGCAGTGGACGGCCGGTGAGTTTCGCGATCAGCGTCTTGACCCACCGGATCATGGTATAGATACCCAGGACCGAACCCAGGGTGTTTCTGAGATGGCCGAACTGCTCTGCAACCGACACCATCGCTTCATCAAAGTCAGCTGCCATTCAGAGCAAGAAAAAAAAAGGCGATGCACCTACCGAAAAACGAGCTGTGGGTGGCCATGTACGTGCTCTCGAGCATCTGCGCAAATCCACCAAATGCGCCTACGATGCTCTCAATCATCTGAAAGGTGGCTGCGGTGCTCTGGCTGAACGAATGCGTCAAGCTGTTGGGATCGTTAGGATCACCCGGCATGCCCCCGTACATGCCTCCCATGCCTCCATACATGCCCCCGTAGCCCCCGTAACCACCATACATTGAGCCAAAACGAGAATAAGGCGATGAATAGCTGCCATAGGCACCGTATGCGCCGTACGGGGAAGCTCCAAACCGTGATGCGCCGTACGGCGAATAGTTCGATGCGGTTCGATTCACGACAGCATTCAAACTGCTCGGTCGCGATGGAAGATTGGGCGGAGTCGACGATCCACTGTTGCTGGAAGATGGAGTTGTCGACGATGGAGAACTGGGAGTTGCCGGCGCGACAGCCGTCGAAGTGTTTGTGCTGCTGCTATTACTGCTGGCGGGAGCTGCGGCTAACGGGGAGCCTTAGCGATGGTCAACATCGACACGCATCGGGGAACAGTTTGAAAGACATCAATATAACGAGCCGGTGTATCCGACCGTATCCTGGAAAGATCCGACTTACCTGCCGTTGCCCCAGCTCCCGCTCTCTCCCAGGGCTTGGGTGGCGATACGGACGCCATGGAGTCACCGCGCGCTCTTCTCAGCAGCCTCCTGGCATCGAGCAATCGAGTCGAACCCTGGAGGAAGAGTTAAGGAGATGAGGATAGAGAAGGGGCTGATATGGATGGCTCGTACCTCAGGGTGGATGAGAGCACGACGGGATGGTCGGGAGGAAGAATGGACGAGGCGGAGAGGGCATGGGGAAGAGAAAGATCGAATGGCGGATGACGGCAAACTAGCGGGGAACAGCGGCTGGGGAGATGCCGAGGACGAACTCGCCGGCCCTGTTGCCGAGAACACGGCCCAAGCCCGCATATGATTGATTACCTGTCATCATAGACAGATGCAATAATGTTTCAATTCAGCGTTCAAAACACAGGAACATGCATGTCACTGGCATCGTGACCCATTCAAGGCCTGTTCCCCATGCTATTAACCCTTGTCATGTGAGTTGCTGCATCCGCCACATACAGCATCCCCAGTACTACAAAATTACCGATAGATGGCACTAAAATAATTAGAAAAAATCAGAGTGAATAGCGCATGCAAAATACCTGGTGGTGATATATATACACATTATGCAATGCGAAACACTGTTATCCATGCAAAGTCCTACCACAACGCCATCCTCACCTACAATACAGCCCGTGAAACGCCTCTCCTTTGCGTCTATATACAATAGTCAAAAATAGCACAAATCAGTCTGCTCAGAGCTCATGATGATTGGGGATGTGTTGTCTGGGGAGCTGGATTTTCCAGGAGCGCGGTGGCACCGGCAGTCCCAGCCAGTAACTCCACAGCCGATTCGATTCCAGTACGAAGATTTCCCAACTGTATCGCCAGTCAGCCTGCGAATCCAATGCAGGATCAACCCGTGGCGCAGAGTACTTACACTAGCTTGGGAATGTTCAGCCAGCTCTTCAACACCCAGAGATATGTCCGCCAAACCACGAGGAACTCCTGCTTGATCGAGTCCATGACGTTGTCCGTCTCCATCCGTTGCTCCCACGGCAGCTCGTCATCTTCGTATCCGAAATCATCTTCATCCTCCTCCACATAAAAGGTCGACCCGCCATCCTTGTAGAAGCGGAGGGGTTTCGCATCCGACGAGTCGGACGAGCGCTTGCCGGGCGACGACGATACCGCCGGATGGATCACAATGCGGTCTTCATGACCAGACTCGACGGCGTTCCGGAAACTGCGCACCGCCGCGAGACTGTTGGAAATGCGTGCCAGGGTGTTGATGAGAGCGACAAGCTCCGTACGCCGCAGTGGGGGGTTCTCGCCGTTCTCGCTCTCGTCGTACTCGAACAGCACCTTCAGCGCGGTCCCGTAGCCATTGACCTGGAGCTTCCCCCACAGGCGGCACTTATCGCACCCGATGCAGTCCATCAGGCGGCTAACATTACGGAATCGATTGCGGAAATCCTCCTTCAACCCGACGGAGGTGGGATCCTGGAACATCGCCGTCTCGTCGAAGATCTGCGGCCGGCTTACCAACTGCTCCGTCAAGGCCAGCACCTTCGTCCTGGTATCGATATCCTGCTCAGGGTCAAACGAGCAGAACTCATACTCCTGGAGGTACTTGTGGAGCTTGGCGACGGCACGGGATACCAGCGCGTAGTTGAAGTACAGATTCGAGATCCGTTCCGGATGGTTGTGCAGGCGATCCTTGTAGCACTGCACGTTGGGTCCCCACTCCTCGGTGGTCTGGTTGAAGTACTCCCAGCAGATATGGGTCGAGATGGACGCATGCATGCCGCTAATGATCCGGTGGAAAACGCGCTTCTCAAGGCATTCATTATCCAACGGTAGATGTTGTAGATCCTTGTGCAAAACACTCCGGAAGTCATTGGCCGCCTGGACTTCCAGGCCTTGTAAAGGAGAGAAGGGAGTCAGAGATTGGGCCAGAGGCTTCAGGAAACAGTTCTCCTGGTAGATGGCATTCCAGACCTGATGGGCTCCAGGGCCCGCGTAGCCTGTAAACCGCTCAGGGTTGTCTACGAGACTGACGTAGTCGCCCTTGGCCGTGGCCCCTTCGTCCTCAGGGACACAGTAGTCTCGTTCGTCACATTCATCGTCGTACTCAACCACACAGCTCTCTCCGACCTCTTCACCCAGCATTCCCTGCAGGGGTCGGGTCTTGGGCCGCTCCTCCTGCTGCTGCCGCCCCGGATGGCCGGCTTTGGGACCCTCCAGCCTGCTCAGCTCTTCGACACGCCAGACGGGTGGTATGTCTTCTTCCGAATCGATGGTGTTCACCGAGCAGGCGATATTCCCGCACATGCTGTTTTCGTCCGACCAGAAGGGACAGGCCTTGTTGAACAGGTTGAGGCGGTAATAGGAGAAAAAGTCCGTGTCCCGAGTGAGGGATTGGAGCAAGGGGTGGATCTGATCGTTCATCGTATCGAGGGTGGCATAGCTGGCGCACGTATCAGAGACGGTCGCCTTGGGATCGATCTGAGCAGCGCGCAAGCAAGCAAGAGTTAGCAGAAGTCAGAGACATGGGATGAAAGGGACTGTTCGTTTCGTACAGCGCACGCATGAGGGGAATAAGGAGACGATTGCCCTGCGTCGTTGGTGCCGGCATGAGCCGAGATAAACAATGCGAACACCGCCAGGTAGAAAGTCCTCGCGGCGGAGCGCATGTTGGCAGAAGAGAGATCGAATATTCGAGTGGAACGAGTGTGGCCACCGATTGCGAATTGGTATGCTCTCGATTCTAGCAGATGGACATGGATGTAGTTGCAGTATCGGTACAACGATCTATGATGTATGTAGGTACCTGTACGAATGGAACGTAGATCAAACAACAAAGGACACAATCACATCACCATAGTCTGAAGAATTGAAAGAGATCTATTTCTAAAGAAGAGAAAAACAAGATGGGAAGCAAGCAATTAGATATTAGAAAAAGGGAGAACCATGTGTGCAACGCAGCTGGGCTGTCACAATGCCATCTGGCCTTCTTGGTGGCGGCATGAGGATCAGCTAACACGTTCAGCATCCATGTCATTTGATCGGCCAATCCAAGCCCTATGGGGCCAGACCCAACTCGGATTCGGTGGCGGTGCAGATTATGTAAGACCTGTCAGAAGAGAATGGAGATCTCTCCCGGCAGGATTATTTAATCATCAGCCAGGGGTACTGGTGGTGAGAATAATATATATGTTGTTAATTCGCATGATTAAAAATGGACGACCTAAGAGGGCTAATGTCCTCAGCAGAGGAATGTCATCAGAGGTTCACAAAGGCCAGTGACAAAGTCAGATCAGGTGACCTTGAGGACTTTCTGGCCGGAATCACACTTTCCGATTTCCCCAATGGAAAGACAGGAAATCGGAAGATTCCGCTGCAAGGGTTCTGGCTCATGTGATATTTTCTTTGTTGGCTAGAGTGAAAGTCACCTGACTGCTGGTCATGTGCACAGAAAGGCACTCTGCATTCTCGCCGAAATCTGGCATGACAATTACTGTGAGTGGCAAGGCTGGAAAACCTCAGAATCTGACAGGAGACCGATGCGAGGTTTCTGTGTCACGTGCAACTTCCTATTTAGGCTAGTGTGTACACTCACCGCCTAGCATGTCTAGCCAATCAAAGGTAATAAAGCGACACCGCCCTGCCGGCAGAAAGGACGTCGTTCTATGGCCAGAATCCCCAGCTTCCTTACTCCGTACAGTATCGAGATCTCTCATCATAACTACGTGTAGCTATCTTCTCAAGATTGATTTCTGATACCTAAAAGATTTGAATCAATATTTGTCGTCCTTATGCGTGGTCTCGAAGACTGGGTGTACAGCGTCAAGTTGCTATGTCATTATTCGATCACAGTTCCGTTGTGGCAGGTGTATTCTCCTCTGGCTAATCTACTATGGACATTTCGCATGATCAATGTTCTTATTCATCAAAGAAAGTAACATCATTGTTGCGAACTGCTATAGCCTCTCGCCTCCTTCAAAATCATGGCCAGCGCGCATCTCATCAATCCTCTCCTTCTTACTCCCAGCCAGGTCCTGACCGGCCTGCTCGTTCGTGTAGTCGTCCTCCAATAGCTTCTCAAAGCCCAGGGTGCTGGCAATGAATTTGAAGATGGTCTTTTCCGCCTCGACGGCGTTCTTGCTCAGGCCGTGGTCATCCCCCTCAAACAGGCGCAACTCCCTTTTCCCTTCCGTGCCATAGCAGCGATACAGTGTCTCCGAACACGCCGGCGACAGGCAGGTGTCGTCTGTTCCGTGGAGCAGCAGCACGGGACGTGGACTCATCTTTGATATGCCGTCTGTACCCGCTGTCTGGGAGGCTACGGTGGCGACGCCGTAGACCCGATCAGGCTGCTCTGCTGCCACTGTGAAGCACGGGCTTCCTCCGAAGGACCAGCCTACCAGGACGAACTTCTTGGAGGAGTATTGCTCATAGAGATAGTCCATGCATGCCACCACGTCTGCGGAGCAGTATGTAGACTGAGCAGGTTGGCGGTAGTCGAGCCGGATGCAGGGGATTGCGAGGAGCAGGGCGAGTTTATCAGCCAGAGAGGGATATATTCCTGGGCAACAGCAAGACTCATATATCAGCATGCGCGGTTCATTTTGAAGAAGAATTTTTTTTTCGATGGTCCAGACCTGCTGGCCCACTTGTTCCTCCCCCTGCGCCACTGATCAATATTGCTGCTGCTTCATTTGCCTCTCTTGCACTGTAACTGCGAGGCTCGTGTAAGATTGCCGGGGCCTCGTGATCGAGGGGGTCGATGACTCGGATGCGAATGGGTCTGGCGATCGCAGGTTTGATAGCCGATTGAGCAACCTTGGGGGGATGGATGGGGCCGGGATCCTGCAATCGATCTACCGTGGTGGCCATCTTTCTAGACGATAAGGAGGGATAAGCGTAAAAGGAAAAAGAAGAGAAGACAAAAGAAAATTCGTTCAGTCGTAAGTTAACGATAGCAATATGTCAATACGTATATATACTACTATTGGGAAACGTTTTTCGGGTTATGTATATACAAACACGCCCATATTTTAATTTGCAGTAGGAATATCTCGAAATCCAATGTATTATTTTGTCAGCTAGTGACCTCAGACTGACGAATACAGGGTAACTGATGACAATGACGCAGATGGCAAAAAAAAATAGTAAAACGGAACCAAGCAACAACGAACCGTAGAACTACAAGACGGAGCCCGAAAGAAAAGCAAAAGGAATAACCAAGAAATGTAGGCGGAACCAATTCGCAAAGGGATTGTCAAGCCCTAGAAAGATGTTATGTATACGATAGGCATCCCAGCATTTTATCAATGTTTTCTGAATCAAATCCGCAGGGCTGCACATATTGAGAAAGATTCTGCAGGAGGGCGAAAAGAAAGTCCGTCAAGTAGGGTGGCAGGGTTGACAGGTCAATCATCTCCTCTCTTCAGTCGTTTCTGCCCTCGCTGATCCCTGTCCGTTTCCAGGTCGGCCTGTGGTCTTTTACGCGTATGATCGCTTCTTAGCGCCGATTGCTTGGGACAAGGACCTTGCTATCTCGTAGGATTTAAGACGCTTCACGAATTCAGTCTCCAGCCTCGCAAAAGGTAACTCGACTTCTATGCCCTGGATCTTCAGATGACGATAATCTTCTGAGAGAAAGGGGCAGTTGGGGAAGGTCTCAGCAAACTTTCCGTGCTGAATAGGCCCCGACAGTGAGAACTCATATGTCCAAAGTGGGTTGCAAAGCTCTTTGCAGTCCGATGGGCATGTCTCCTTTGTGCAAAAGAACATCTGTGCGGTGAATATTCCTAGTAGATGGTCACCATGGTTCCGATGCCACTGGGCAATATGGTCAGCCAAGTCGTCTGTTTTGCGTTCTCGAATTTGATGGTCGGACAAGTCCCAGGAATGTTCCCGTTTTTGACCTCTCTCCTTGATGTCGATTGCGATGACGACCTTGGTGACATTATCAGTTCCATATAGCCACTTCTTGACCGCACGAAGAAGATGTTCCTTGCTCTGCGAGAAAGCAACTTCCAGAACAATGAAGGGACGCTTGGCACTTGTTTCCTTTACTTGTCCGTCACTTGCCTTCTCGCTGTCCTCATGGGACCCAGTGAGAGGAATTCCTGGTGGGATGACGGGTCAGTACGACTGTGGCCCAGGTAGGGGACGGTAACGATCTACCAACCTTTGTTATACTCGACCAGGAAATGGCGTCCACGACATTTTGCCTCGAGCTTTTTGGCTATTTCAGAGAAACAGTCATGCGTGATGACATCGACTGCGGCTCCATGCACATCGCCATCCGGGGCTTTGACGATAAGTCTTTGCAGTTCGCTATTATACTCAATGCCACCCAGCTCGTGTTGCAGTTTCCAGGATGCAAACTCGGCGGGTGTGACCTGGGGGAGGGAATTAAACACGGACTTGTCAACACAATCTGAAAACCTACCAGGAACTTCTCGATTGGCATCGTGCCAGCCATGACTCCTCGCAACTCCACAATAATATTCCTGTCCACATCCTGAATTGATTCCACACCATCAAGGATGCGATTGATAGCATCTTGTTGAGCATCCATACTGTGTCTTGCATACACCTCTCGTTCATGTTCGCCATGATTGAGAAGGGCCACGACATCGGTCTTTATCAGTCTGTTGGTTGGCTCAGACAGGGGATCGGTCATCGAACACAAAGAAGGGGCTGCCGGATGCGGTTTTCTAATCGGCCTGGGCTTTTCATTATTGCGCAAAGTTTGTCGAGGTGAAAGAGCAAGCAACGTATGACGTGAGAATGAGCCGTTGCCATTGTCGAGATTCGTCCACCTCGATGGAGGAGTCACAGGGTATGAGAAGAGGCAATGATCTGAATCACCAAAGAGACTGGCACTCATCGTTTCTTTTCTGGGCAAAACCCAAGATAGGTATGGATAAACCGGTTCTGGGATTCCTTCTGGCAGAGAAAGAGTACTTAAATACTGCCGTTTGCGGTTGCAATTGATACCACTCATCTATCGATGAGAGCTATTCTTGGATCTATAGTACTGCACATACAATACAATATTGTAGAGGAATTATTCGTTCCGTCACTTTCCCTCCACTTCAATGCTATGCGGAATCCTGTCAGGAAGCAGCATACGAGACAGAACAGAGAGAAAGACCTGCAAGAGCGTTTTTTTTTTGGGGGGGGGGGGGGGTAAGGGAAATGTTAGGAAACAAAATTCCCGATAGCGTGGACACTTGCAGCTAGTATATAACACTCTTCTTTCAATTTACGTGGGTGGGAATCTCATGCTGCAGATTCCTTTTTTCTTTCAAGAACAAAATGGAATGTTTGACCAATCTATCTGCCTCAAATAAAGAAAATTATCTTGTTTTTCCTTCTTTTCTGTCTTTCTTCTTCTTTGTTCTAGCTTTTTTGACTGAAGGAAACTAAAAATAGCAATTCCTGATGACGTACGTTTAAGATAGAGGTTGAATACGTACATTCTAGAAGTCTAGAAGTGTCAGACTTGTAAATTGTCACTAGTATAAAGTGAGTAATGGATGCAAGAGGAACTCATTATCATAAAGATTTTCATTTCCAGTAGGATAGAGACAAAGCTAGAGAGACGTTATGTACACATACATTCCTTTCAGTTTCCGCGAATGGTTGCAAGTCCCAGCCATGAGCTATTGCATCTGTCTCTTAATGTACTTCCTCACACATGTAGGCAGCTAAAGTAGCATCGTGTCTTTCTCACACGGTTCACCCCCTTGGAGGGATAATTGTATCGGCATGGTGAGCCTTTCAAGAATCCTTCGCATCCTTTCAGCATAGAATGGGACCGACTCCTCGAAGACCTTCTGCGGAACATGTTCGAGATGCATCAGCCTTTCCTCCACGCTGGAAGATTGGCTACTACGACCGCCGAAAGGGAAGTGAAAATCATCAGCACCACCGGGGCTCCGCGAACTGCGAAGCGAGCCGCCCTCTGGAAATCGTTCTCGGTCCCAGAAGACGTAGCCCTGGTCGCGGAGGTCGTAGTTTGCGTCGCGGTCAACTGTCACCAGGTTGTAGTCAAATGCCCACAGCCACCCCAGATTGCAATCTGTCAGGGAGTCTGCCTCCGCATGGGCAGGAAAGCTGGTTGCATCAGAGTCTCCCGGGACATGCTGCTGAGATGAAATTCCACGCCGGGTATTATTAGAGACGCATGCCAAAGTCACCTGCAGGTTTCCGATGAACTGCTCTCGATCATGAGCCGACTTCAATACCTCCTGTCGGAGGGGTAGCGGTTCGAGGCTCAGTAGCTTTTTCACAAATACTAATCCGCGAGAAATGACGAAATCAATATGGTCAACTCGGTAACGCTGCTTGTAGGATGCTTTGAAAAACCGCATGCATTGGAGGTCCAGCAGCATAAGCACGTGAATCTCGTCCTCGTTGTCGTGCCCGTTGTCGTCCCCGTCCTGGTGGCGTCTCGTTGCGACCGCTTCCTCGACAGCATGGACAAACTCGTCTTCGACCTTGTCGAAAATTTCTCCGACCAAGGTGACAACATACTGGGTGACACACGCGAGCTCCTCTTGTTCCCACGGAGAAAACATCTTGAGAAATTCACTGGGCGGTTCGGCGTCGGCCCGCAGCCAGTCAGAGGCCCAAGGGCAGGACAACAGTGAGAATATTTGAAAGATGTTGGCAAAAGTTTCGAAGCGAAAAAACGCACGCTGAAGGCGTCCCAGCTCGGTAGGAGAGAGCGTTGCCGAAGTTGACCCTGTCACCGTGGAAGGCGGACGAACTGTGTTGAGATAACGCAATGCGCGGTCACAGTAATCAGAGATAAAACCCTCAATAGACGAATAGAGACGAAACAGCTCCTGCAGTTGCTTGTGATCAGACTTGGCTATTTCACGGAGACTGCTGACGGGCTCCCGAGAAGGGTACTTCTTTAGGTAGTCGAGAATGTCTTTCCGGACCTCGATAAACTCGCTACAGCGCTTCATAGAGTTTTTGATCCGAACAGCCTCCAGAACCATCATGGCATCCAGCTGTGCTTCAGGATGGATTGCATTCTGGAGGACAGCCGCAAAGACTGAAGACTGGTAAGTGTTGAAGGTGCGATAACATGGAGCGGAGGCACGGATCAAGGCATGCAGGTCCTTCGACGAGGAGAGTGACTGCAGGAGTATGAGAATCACTTCAGTTGGGAGAGAATGGAGTCCGGGGGAGCCCATTTTGATAAGCTAACTCTGGACTCATGTGTCACACTAGACGCGACAGAAAGATTCAGTTGAAGAGCTTTCGCCGAAGCTCGCAGTAGTGTCTGTTGACAGGTACGCGTGAAACGATAGAATGAGATAAAAAAAAGGAGGATGAGTATGAGAGTCTCAAAGACTGACTGATTTGAGCATGAGACAGTAAACAAAGCTTTATAGGTTCGCGCTTTGTGGGCGAGAGAGTGATTTTTATAAGCAAATAAGCGAGAAGTGACGCGCCCTGAGCCCTATGTCTACAGCTTATCCAATAAGCGCAGACATATTATGTATTTACAAGCCCAGTTGGGCGATCGATTCACTGCTGGAAGACAGTGACGGACGGAAATTCACGTGTATGAAGGTATGCCCCGGATACTGCCTGCCTCACGTCATTTGTTATCTAGAAAGCTGCATATTTTGTATTCTGTAACCAGTCAATCAGGTGTGGTTTATTAAAACAGTAAGTGTTCTCAAATACCTACAACCAATAACTACTTTCTCAGGTTTGCCATGTCATAAGCAATTTTATGGAAAGGGATTTATGTGAAAGAGCACATGCAGGTACTGATCTTAGCAGATTTCAGTCACTTTTATTATCCATCATATCCTCACTATACAAATTTCATAAGACGATATACTCAGTTCTGTCCTGCCTGATCACCACTGCCAAAAATCTCATCTCTCCTCGTCGTGCGATCCCACACCACCGCCCCATCGCTCTTCCGCTTGAAATACACGATCCTGTGCTGGGGAATGAACTCCTCCTCCGTCTGCTCAGACTTCCACCGATCGATCCCTACCTCGCGGATACCCACGAAGCGATCTTCATATCCGACCAGGTAGTCGCTGCTGTCGATGTTGGGGTCCCACCGCAGGCGGTTGAGGATGTCTCCTGCAGGACGAAGCCGGCTTGCACCGGCTGGTTTGGGAACATTTGGGCGCAAGGGTGAGATTTTCTGCTTGGAATCGTCACGAACGGCATCAATATCACCGTCAGCACCAAGATCGTCCTCGTCTTCGGTATCAGAATCCTCCTCGACGAACGTGTTTCCCCAATCCCGATCATCGATTCGGAGGTGCTGGTCCTGCAGATCGGACTGCTTGACAAGCGTCACATCCACCCAGGATGAAGACGCGTCGAAATACACTTCATCGCCACGAATTTGCTCCGCAAATCCGTTGAGGACCGCCTGCAATGCGATGTGGGCCGACCTCTGGTCGGATTCGCTCATCGTTCCCGTGCCGGCAGTATCTCCCTTCGCAAGGCCAACCAGGTAGCACCCCTGGTATTCTCCCGCGTCCTCGTGGATCTCCTCCATATTCGTGAATCTCGCGGGCCAGATCCTGGCATGAAGATCGGGGAACTTCCGGTTAATGTCTGTTTATGTGTCAGCAGTAAATAGACCAAGAAAAGTCAGCAGAACGGAGAACGTCCAAACATACCAACAAGAAGCAGGACACATCTCGACTCCAACCAGCCAACAAGCATTTTGCCCTTGACAGAGGACATGCCCCAGTAGTGCACGTCGATCTTCACATAGCTGCTGTACGATTTCAAGAATTCACTGGCCCCGCTGGGTACATCGACACCTGTCGTAGTCCCAACGAGCTCCGTCCAGGTGACGTCCACCTTGGACAGGAGATTGTCTGCCCCCTTCAGCTCCTGCTCCAGTGTCTTCACCGATGGAAGAGAGGCAGTGTGGGCTACGTTGACCTTGGGAGCGTGAATCCCCAGTATGACCATTGGCTCCCGCGCAGATCGGTAGTACCGTGGCGGCTGCTTGTAAAAGGAAGGATCAAACACTATCTGCGTCCTCCAGTCAAAGTGGGCATAGTGACTGAAAAATGTGCAGATCAGGTCCGACGCCGTGAGGGCCCCCGTCTCGCGGAAAGAAAGCTTGCAGATGCGCGACAGCAGCAGGGCGATGTGGATGCCCCCGAAGTAGCCGAGCTTGGAGGAGTAGATGCCCCGTTGCTTCGCCCATGTCTTGATGAATCGATATGCCAGACGGAAGGCAGCGAGGTCAGGGATGGTCCGTTGCAGATAGTCCATGTCCCTAAGGCAATTCAGTCTGATCAATGACTGAATCGGCAAGTCGAAGGCGGGATCTGAGGGTGGCAATTCCAGGACTTGGGGCCATCTGCGAGCGAATTGCAAAGTATGGTCAGTGGTAACTGCCTATATGTGATTTGATAACTTCAGGGTATAGATCATACCTTTCCACGACACTTGTAGCAGGACAATAATGTAAATCGAGTCGAATGCCTCGAACGTCCAGCTCCAGCATGGTCCCAGAAGCGGCCTTGACCTTTCTCGAGATGTGTACACCCAGATCGGCCGCCTTCCGCAGTTTCGGGGTAGCAAGTGCAAAGAACGTCTTGGGACTGATCTGCCCGATGCACAAACAGTCGATATCAGAGGATGTGTTCCACACTCCAAGGCGATACGAGCCGACTGGGACGACGACAAACGACAGACTGGATCGGCTTTCTGCAGCGTCACGAGACTGCGGTTTCTGCGTCAAGATATCCTTGACAAGAGAAAATACTTCCCTGCGTTTGCTGACTTCTTCGTCTGTAGGGAATTGCTGGTGCTCATCCAGATAGGCCTTCAAGAGCGTGACATCTGCGAGGTTGGGAGGCGCCTTTTTCACCTGGATGGAAACGGATGTATGGGCCTCTATAGGATTTTGATCCAGATCCAGCGAAGCTCGAATTCCCCAGTGGTCACTTCCACAGCGTACCTGCGCTTCCTCGCTCTGCTTGTGATTGTCTCCCCCCGGGAAACCGAACATGTTGAAATTGGTCACGATGAAACTATCGCCCTTGAAAAATATTCTATCATACCGCTGTGGCCGACTTTGATAGCTTCTTCCGGAGACCTCAGCAGCGAGTTGGTTCGCCGTCGGGTCGAAGGTGGCGCCTTCTTCGCCTTCATACAGGTTCTCAAATTGCATCCTACCATGATACGAACCTGAGGTCTCGCTTGTGCTGGCTCGGGCGGCAAACCACGAATCACACAGTCCGGTCTCGAAGAATATTGTATCCAGAGAAGAAAGCTTCGATGCACTCTGGGGGGATATGGATTTTCGCTTCACCGCTGCGTCAAGCGTATACGTCGATGTTGTGATGTTGAAATCGCCGGCGACAATCCATGGGTTGTCGGGGTACTTCTCGGTCAGGTGTCTGAGTAGCGCCCTGACCTGGGACTGTTTGGCAGCAATGGCGCTGTCAGTCAGTCCGCGGGTGAGATGGACACCAGCGATGATGAGCGGGAGAAATTTCGAATCTTTGTACGTCCCGACAGTGTCGAGCACAACCACAATGGTGCCCTTGTGGCGCTTCTCAAATGGCAGCCATTCCCAGCGAAAGGGCCAGCGACTCAACACGACGGTATTCCGCAGGCTGGCCAACGGACCGATCCCTGGCTGGTCTGGCGGACCATGTGTGGCGAAAGGATAGCGGCTGCAAATGCCGTCTTGCTTTAGGAGATAGGACAAAAAGTCATCGGACACTTCCTGCAAGACCAGCATATCTGCCACTGCAGACTCGGAGAGCAGGTTCCGCAGGAGGATGGGATACCTATCCCGGGGCGGTGGATCGATGTCATCGATAAAGACGTTGTAGGTGGATATTGTCAATGAACCGGCTGTGACTCGTTCCTCTGACGGCAGGGGAGACGGTTGAACAGAAGCCCAAATGCCATCTGTCGTGAAGAATTGAAAGGTAACCCCAGGCTGTACTGCAGCCGACATGCTGGGTGTACTTTTTGGCTTCTTGTTTGATGAAGGTGGGCCAGCTTTTAAATCTGTCTCATCTTGGGGCAGTGTACTCCCAATGCTAGCACTTCTCTGCAAATTGAGTGGTTTGCCCATCGTGATGCAGAAGTCACCGGTCAATGAAATGGTTCCCCAGACTCTCATCGGACTCGCCGCGACACCACCTGGCAGCCTTTCCCGGACGAGAACGACGAGCTCTTCGACTCGCCAGGCAATTGGAAGCAGCAAGCCTGCTTTGGCCAGCAGATACTCGCGCAGTGAGACATCGTGTGCGTCAGTCTGACCAATCGAGAGATGGAGGCGATATTCATCATTGGGCTGGTTGAACGCTTCTAGAATGTCTTCTCGGAGCTGCACAAGATTTCGACTAGACCTGGCGTCACTGTCGCGGTCGTCCTCGGTAAGGAAGATGGTATTGCTGCGTTTGTGAGCAAAGTAGTCGGGTTTGTCAAGGCAGAGATGGATGGCTTGGTCGGAGCCAGTGCTTCTGAATTTCGACTGGATTACCTCCATTGCTCGAGGCAGACTCTCGACTGCGACGAACGGATAGAGGACATTGACATGTGGCGGCCATCGCCCGTACGCCTTGACATCGTACAATGCGCGCAGACGGTCGATCTCTCGACCCAGATGGGCGGGGGGGATAACGCACAGCGCGGTGTCGTAGCAACCGAGTGATGGAATCCTTTTTGGAGTCGCCATGCTGTTGTCGATCGATCTGAAAATGAATAAACAATTAACAATTATTAATTCTGTAAACGTTCAGAGCTCTCAACGTCTGGCTCAGCAGTGGCGAAGACTGAAACTTGACTGAATAAAATCTACGTCTCATCCTGATCGATGAGAGCTATCAGTCGATATTTAAGCCCATTTATCCAACGGTTTGATGAGCCGACAAGGCTGAATTCAAGTCCATAGTTACTGTGACTCGCACAAGCGTACTGTACAGTACCTGACTTCGGTTACTAGGCAGGTACCTGGGCACGGAGTACATGCACTAGTCAAGATGGCGCAGCAAGAATGGATGTGTCAGGATGAGTCGAAGTGATGTCTTGAACAGATAAGCATGAGGATTGACAGCGCTAACGAATCAGCTGGGTGCGATCAGTGATAAACGAGGTTGTATCTGCAGATCCACTGCGGAGTGGGGGTTGTTCTTGTTCTTGGGGCCTTGGATGAGTCATGAGCCGCCTTTATCCAGTTTGTTGCCACAACTCTGCACCCTACCAATATACATTTTTGTTCTTATTTTCATTTTCTTTGCGCACATGATGAATATTTATTTACTGAGACTATATAATTCCAGTTACTGTTCTTGAAGAAAAGAAAAGTTGAAAATAGACTGTGGGCTTTGCTCTATATAAACCCGCTAATATATATATATTCTACGTACCGAGGTAAAGAATGCGTTGAACGGCCTCAACATTATCATTTTTGACAGTTAAACATATTATGTATGATCAAATTGTATACTATGAAAATGCTAGATACTCATTTGCCATTCGCTCTTATTACCTGAGGCACACATTTAACTGAGTTTGTGGGAGAGAGAAACCATGTTCAGATAGAACTTTCTCTAGTCTCGCTGAGGTGTGTAAGGCGAGAAAGACTCTCGTTGCCGCCTAATTATGAACAGAATTGCCATCAAGTATCTACTAAAATAGTAATAATAGCATTGTCTAGTGGGAATACCAATATTAACAATACTCCGGAGAGGACCACAGTTCTAGGAGGTCTGCAATCATAGATCCCGCTTTGACCTCGCCTCCTTAAACGCCGCCACAATCTGCTCCGCTCGTTCAGGCGGTCTGGGAACGACATCAAAATCAAAATGCTTGGGTTGCACATTGACTCCCGCCGTGTAATCGTACAGCGGCAAGGGAAGGTCGTTGCCCTGCGCGTCCTTTTTCCTGCGGAGGTGGACCGCCCGCGCAATGCGCGCCGTCAGGATGTTCATCGACCGCTCCGCAATGTTCTGCCCTGGGCAGATCCGGCGCTCGAAGCCGAAACACGAGTAGTTTCGCAGGTTGGGGTATTTCGTCAGCGGCTCGCGGTACGTGGTTGGGAAGTCCCGGCTCAGCCATCGCTCTGGCCGGAAGTTGTCTGGGTCAGGATACAGCTCCGGGTCGCGGTGGATGGCCCATTTGTTCGCGTGGAAGACAGTGCCCGCTGGGAAGAAGAATCCCTCGTATGTGTCGTCCTTGGTCAGTTGATGGGGAATGCCCCCCGCGGTCACTGGCCGCCAGCGCAAGACCTCCTTGATGACGGCTCGCAGGGTGGGCAGGTTGGGCATGTCCTCGAATTGCGGCGTTCGATCGCCTACGTGAGCGTCGATTTCCTCCTGCATCTTGGACTGCCATTCCGGGAAATGGCACATGCACAGACAGAAGGACATCATGGCCGCAGCGGTCGTGCCACTGCCAGCCTCGAACAGAGTGCCAATGACGTACGCACCCTCGTCGTCAGAGAGCTGGTAGCTGTCCTGGTTCTCGAGGAACACGCGGGTGAACGAGCTAGTCGTGGTAGCCTTACCGGTTGCCATCTCATCGCGTACATCCTGCTGGAGTTTCCGGAAGAGACTGAGCTCTTCAGCATGCAACCGGCGCGCCTCCTGCTTGAATGGCGCCAGCGGCGTTGGTATGTAATTCAGGATCGGGAACGAGTCCACGAGATAGGCGCCTGGTGATGCCACTCGCTCGACTGTCTTCGCTACTTTGATGACCCTCTTGAAATCAGACTCCTCTCCGGTCTCGATCCAGCGGCCGAACCCGATGCGATAGACGACGCCAGAGGCGTACTGCTCGAACCATTTCTCGTATTGGCTTGGATTCCTTAGCAGAGAGACGAGAAGCTTCTTCGACTCGTAGTCCTGGACCGGCTGGTATGAGTCGGCAGCCGAGGACATGGTCAGGTGGTGCATTAGTTTTCGCCCTCGACGCCAGAGGTCTGTGCCGTCGATTTCCGGTCAGATCAAACGCAGCGCAGGGGGGAAAAAGATTACGGTGTTGTCAAAATACCATTATAAGGAAGAAGCAAAGGCCGGAGGTTGTTCGACAGCAACCCCGACGCAAAGGGCAGGTATTCCCTCGACGAGTACAGCGAACCGCGCTCGCGTAGGAGATCGCTGGCAATCTTCTCTGTGGACAGGACAACGTGTCTCCGCCCAACGATGTTCAGTTGGAATATCGGTCCATAGATGTCAGCCCATTCTTTGAACTTGATCCACGAATGGCATGGAGGAATGTCAAAGAGATTTCCGACGATGGGTTTGCCTGTGATACGGTTTAGCTGCAGAACTGACTGTTGGGAACGAGTGCACTGGATTACCTGGCGGACCTGGAGGAGATCTTCTCTTGCTTGCGAGTCTACGTTTGCTTGTGCTGCTGCAGGGCAACAAGTACGAAGACCAACAGTGCGATTGTGTACAGCCACATATTCAATTAAGAACAGAAGACTGACGACTCGCGATTTTTTAAGCAGTGACAGTGTCATACATCCCGATGTATGTTGATAGAGCGACAAGCCTAAAAAGTCCAAAAAGAAGACATACGGTGTAGAATGTTAAGGCGAAAACCCCACGTCAGAACTGTGTTCAAGTTAGCTCCGAATCCCTGCTCTGCCGGTGAATATTGAGAAATAGCAACCGCCCAAAACAGGAGATGATCCTTGCCCCAGACGTGTAATGTGGGGTGCTTGCAGGGGTAGAAGCGTTGAGTTGACACATGAAATGGACCGGTTTATCTTCGGATCTGCACGGAGAAGTGACAGGCTCGCATAATCTTTCGCCCTGTTGGCTGTTCCTGTCCATTAGAGAGTTAGACAGGTAGGCTAAACTCAAGGAGCAGCCTTCAAGCTGGAGGCCTGAGAAAGCAGATCAAACATTCATCTAATTATAGAAGTTGAATGGCCGGCGGCCAGCCGGAATCTATTCTGATTAGTAGACTTGCTAGCAAGAAGCTTTATATCGGCAACAGACAATACAGTTCAATAACTGTGCGTTTCCGCAGAGGACAGCATATTATTCATGCCATAGGGAACAAGTCTACCTGCATATGCGCATACTGTACTGACCCTCATACATTGCATGTTGGCTAGAAACTGTTCATATAAATTGCCGTGAACATCGCCCTCGTGCAGGCTCTATTAAATATTCGTCAGGACTGCCTCTGTCCTGGGTAGACATAGAATTGCGAGATATCGTCTTGAGTACACTTCATCTCCTGTCAATGTAAATGGGATATTCAATTCCCTGTCCCGCAGCAAGACTGTAGAAGCCAATGAAACATCTCTTGCTGCATTGCTGTATATGGACCAATCATTCGCTCAGCTGCAGCCCTGGGGTGTGAACACCTTTCGCAGGTGTTGCCAAGCCAGAATCGCAAGGCCAGAGCAAAACCAGAGCGAAGCCCATTAGGATGAAAACAGGCGAACCAAGTCAGTTCGTATAGACGATGATGTATCACACGTTCGATCCAATAATGGGCTGTTTGCCGTTGCTGGAACGAAACAGTCCAATCGATGGATGGCATCTGGCGGAGAAGATATCGAATAGCTCTGGTTGCGGGCATTGTAATGTGTGATTTCCAGACACTACATTGCGAACTGTTCTCATGACAACATGCCATCATTTCTCCATAACCAGTTATTCCATGCGTAGCGCTCGCTGAGTACGCTTCTGCAGTGTCTGAGCGTACTGTTCTGAGCAAACGCTGGACGGCGAAAGAAGGAATATCTTCAGCCAGTTGCCAGTTCAATTAAAATTCCTCCTTTATTCCAGGTCTGGATCGTGTCACCGAGATCATTGTCTGTCAATTCTCATTACGAATCGAATTCCAAAGTTGACTTTCAATCAGATCCGACTACTTCTTGGTTGGATTCTGACCCGTACTGTCCCCTTGCTGCGTGGTAGATACAGCTGCCGCTGCTACCGCGGCTGAATTGCTAGCACCCGCACTCGCGACGTTGCTGGCATGCGCGAGGAGAAACTTGCAGCAGGTAAGCGTGTATTTGCAGGCACGCGTCCACGTCTCGTCGTTTTGGTTGAAACCCAACTTGATACTGGCATCGCCAATCCGGTCCCGCTTGATTTCATATGGGAGCTTCAGGCCAGACGTGGTGACGCCAGTGTGTCCTCGACGAGAAGTGACAGGGACTGGAGTGTGCTCAACGTACTCGCCCAGCTGGCGGAGACACTCAAGAAACGCAACCATGCCCGCGTCAAAGCGGCGGTGTAGCCAAGGAAGGTTGAGTGGCAGATCCCCTGATGAAAAGAGATCCAAAGTAGTTACTTTCGGCGCTGGTGATGATTTCTGACCTCCGGCAGCATGGTCTGAAGATGTCTCCGGCGGATACTCGATCCTCTCGATCCTTGATGTTGATCCCATCGGCTTCAGGCGATAACCCTTGAACTGGAATCCCAGCCGCTCAGCGATCGTCGCCAGCAGGAGTGCAGTCTGACCCCAAGCAGCATTGATCTCAGCCCAGTCTACCGATGGATTGGCCAGACGACCCAGGCGCAACCCATTGATCGTCCCAAAGTAGCCGTCATGTCCGATGCAGAACGCGTCGTTGTAGACGTTGGTCCGCTGGAGCCGCTCGAGCTGCCGGGAGTCATGATCATACCGCATGTTGAGTGCATCGCGTTCGTTTTGAAATTCTGACAAAGTAAGCGCAAACGCATTTCGATCGCGCCAGAACTTTTCTTCTTCTAAATCCAGTCGGCGCGCCTCCTCTTCCAGTTCGGCAATTTCCTGGTCTACCGCAGCCTTCTCCTTCTCCAGCGCGAGCAGCTCCTCGTACGCCGCGGCCTCCGCCTCCAACGTCTCTTTCAGCGATTTCTCTGCCGCTTCCACCTCCTCTTGAGATGGAACAGTTGCGTTGAGCGACTTCAGGAATGAAATATAAGCATCGCGCTCTTTCGTCGCGGCTGCCAGCTTCTTTTGCAGCCCGTCCACCAGCATTTCGGTGCATTCGACACAGATCGGATGGTCGATATCAGAACGGGCGGAGAGGATCTCGAACAGTCGCGTCGCTCTCTCTACTTGGCTGGAAAAAGACTTATCTTCGCCGTCCTGCGAACTGCCATCAACGCCCTGTCCATTGGTGTCACCATTCGCACCGGGAGTCTGTGGCGGCGCAACCTGGGACTCGGTGAGCATGACAAAGGACATTCCGCCGCTGTCTCCTCGTCCCAGTCGAGGATGGGTGGGCGAGCCTGTTGATGCATGGCGTGGAGGCGGTATGGATCTCCTGTAGACTGGTGTCGAAGCGTGACGAGAAGCCCGATCGTAGAGCTCCCGTCGCTCGGGAGGGTATGGTGGTCGGTGAGAGGGTGAATTGTTCGGATGCTCTGGGAGGGATTTCCCTGTAGAACCTGCGGAACAATTGCAAAGCGTCAGTTATCACTTCTGAACTGAAACTAGTCGGACTCCTATGCATACCAACGAGCAAATCAAAAGCTGCGGGATTGAGCGACTCCAGGGAGCCGTCGAGCTTCAACGGCGTGCGGCATTTCTGGCAGTACATGTTGGCATGGGAGACTTCAGAGCCTTTTCTATCATCGTGGGAATGTCACTGATGGTTGAATGCGGAATCTGGCATGGGCGTGGTGAGAAGCTGTCGGGGCGGTGATGATGGACGTCATGTCAGGCACCGCCCTTGCATTAGCTAAGACTTGCAACTTCCGTCCACCAACAACCATCGCAAGCCGCGTGCAGCTGCCACGCGCCCTCTCCTTCCACTGGGCTCGCAGAGCATCCGTCTTGTGATTCAGGACTTTGCCCAAGCGCGCTTTTTCTGGAAGCCCAGTCTTCTTTTCTGCAGCCTAGGTAGCTGCCTGAGGCGACACAATTCACGTTCTCAGCACATCTGGTGTGCGAGTATGGCAGTTGCTACCACTTGACATTCCTGCTACATTCAATTGAACGTGATCCTCTACGTGCTAAAGCATGCTGCAGGCATTGTAGTCGAAGCGCATAATCTTTTGAGTGTTCCCGGTCCCCAAGCGACGCCTTCAGCGGTACAGGCTATGAACTTCGTCAACGGTCCGAATATACCTTCCCTCGCTAGATCATGGAGAGACCCAGCAAAAGACCCCGCCTCTCTGTGGCGGCGCCAGACTTGTCAGACGACGTTGATTTACAATTAGCCCGCGCTCGGAATGACATGCGTCTCAAATCCCTCTTCGAGGGCATTTTTGAGAAATACGGGAGGGACTTTAGCGATGTGGGGGATGAAATCGATCTGAAAACGGGTGAGATCGTGGTCAACAAAGGGCACATCTTGGGAATGCAGGATGAGGGCGATATTGGAAAAGGTACAGAACAGCTGGTGCAAGACCGGGACACGTCGTTTGCCCAGTCCAGAGATTCGTCTCTCGGGTCGGCTACTGGTGGGAAGGTTGATCCTTTACAAGACGTTGGCAAAGGGAGATACGTCGAAGCCACTACAGGGAAAGCAGTGCTCCATTCTCTCATGGCCAGAGAAGCAGAAAACGATTTCGGTGTCGACGGACCGTCTGATGCAGATGACGACAGGAGCAGCGTTGACTCTTTGCTTGGTGATGCAGTGACAGTCGCGGACAATAACAGCCAGGCCCTACAAGATCAATCGACAGGTATCTTGAAATCGCCATTCCCCCGTTATCCAGAAGGGACATCGACGAAAGATAGTGACCCCAAAGGTCAAGCAGTGGACCCTTTGTGGCAGGTCCCCGACATCGATGTCAAATTCTCTACTCCAACTACGAACAAGAAACCACTGCAACCCGACTTGGACATTCCGCAAGCACGCTCCGCATCTCCTCCGACCGCAGGGTCTATCTGGGCTCCGCCCTCCTCCGGCCGTAGGCGAAATACGGACGTACAAAAGAAGCGAAAGTCTCCGAAGCGAAAGTCTCCGGGAGTTCGTTCTAAGCGCAAGCGCAAGCTGCCCGTCGTGCGGGACTGGAGTTTTGCGCAGCTGCGGGATGACAGCGATTCGGATGACCCTTTGCAAGAAGACTTCCCGTCGCCGGCTTCCAGGTCAGCTTCGAGTTTTTGCAGCCCACGCCCTATGTCAGTTACACCAACACCGACTAAAGGGAAAGCAGATAGGATGCACAGTCTGGAAGGAAGAAAACAGAAAACAGACGTTGACGGCTTGGATGGCGTACGCCAATCAGGGAGACAAAGCTCTCCTGGCGCCCAAGACACACCGGAATCGAAGGAATCGAGCTCGTCGGTACAGGATTCTGCATCTATAGTGGAGATGGGAAAGTCACATCAGAATGGCATCGATGCAGATGCAAACGCCATTAGCCTGTTGACGCCCGATGAGGTTAGATTGGTTGTGCAAATAAGAAAAGTACAAAAGTCCAGTTGGCAAGATGTCATTGATTGTCTGCCGGGCCGAAAACTGGCCAATCTCTACAATTGGGATCGTCTTCTTTGGGTGAGACTTCGCAGTCACCGTCACTTCGCAGATCAGGTATGGTCCACAAAAGAATTGGACAAGCTTGAGAGGTTCAAAGATCAGTCGGGGCTCTCGTGGAAGGACATTCAGGCGGAACTCCCCAGCCGATCCCAAGAGGAGATTGAGTATCAGTTGTTGCGTCGTTGGGCCGGGAATAATGAGATCTGGGGAACTGAACTAAGGAAGTCTTCCCAGCATCCGGATGATCCGAGACCAGGCTCCGAGGATGGAGGTCTTGTTTCACAGACCAATTTTTCGACACCCCAGAGGCCCAATGACGATACCGCTAAATTTAAACAGCCAGAAGATCTTCTGGCAGAGGACTCGGACGATCTCCGCACGAAATCAGGTATTTCATCGATACAGATAGAAGGAAAACCGGGCGGAAGCACTGCTGGATCTCGCAGGAAGTCACCGGCGAAGGGCTCAGTGTCTCCCCTTGCGAAATATTCCGCCAAGAGACTGTGATGGGGCCGATGCCATAGGCCCCAGGTTCTGCCAGAACCGGGTTATTCACAGTCCTCCGGCGTTTTGCCCGCGCTTCCACAGTTGGTGCCTCTCCTGGTCTGAGGATTTTATTATATCCTGTTATCGTGTCGCATCTATTTAGCGTTCAAAACATCCTCCAATTTGGTGTCCACCGTGCCACCCACGTCTCCCGCCTGGGCCCAGAATTTGGATAGATGCCTTGATCCTGAATCGGTCAGCACCGTCACGATTCGGTGGCCAGGACCAAGTTTCAACGCGGTTTTGACAGCCGCGAAACCTGTTTTGATCAGTTTATTATACAATATCTTTCAAGCCAATGACTTACAGTTCACTGCACTGCTGCTTCCAATAAAGATTCCATCTTTCTCCACCAGCCATCGTGCCATAGCCAAGGCTTGCGCATCCGTCACCCGTACCGCATCGTCGATCAATTCTCTGCCCGCCTCGAAGTTGGCGGTGACGCGATTGATTCCAATGCCCTCAACAATCGAGTCGACCTGGCTTCGTCTGCGGGTGCCTTCGCGCTCCTTGATGTCGAACATGACCCCATACCGGACCCGGTTGTACAGCCCGCTCCCTTGGGGATCCGCGAGGACTATGGATATGTTAGGTATTCTGGGCTTAAGGAAAAGCGCCACCCCGGATATCGTTCCCCCGGTGCCCGCTCCGGCCACAAAGGCGTCGAGCTTTCCGTTGCATTGGGCAAAGATTTCTGGACCAGTGCCTCGATAATGAGCAGTCCAGTTGGCGGGGTTCTCAAATTGATCGGTAAAGAAGCCTCGTCCAGTCATCGCGCCGGGCTCGGATGTCGCGACGGTGCTCGTCAATTGATCTGCACTCGCGGCGGAGGGTCCTGCAGAAGCGCTGGCAGCAGACTCAGTCCGGGCCTGGGCAAGCGCCCTCGCTCTGTTAACAAAGTTCCCTGGTTCCACGATGGGAGCTGGGGGAACACGGTCGACAACGGCTCCGAGTTTGAGCAGCAGGTCCGACTTTTCCATTGCTTGATCCGATGGCATGCAGCTATTACCAGTGTCAATAGCCAGTAAATAATATGAAACAAATATTCTTTAGAATTTAACACGGCAGAATTTACCACGTACATGTGGGCCAAGTATCCTCGCGCCCGTGCCAGCGTAGCTAGCGAGATGCCCGTAGAACCCGAGGTTCCTTCGTAGATGACATCTCCGGAATGCGGTCTTAAGAAACCTTCTTTCTCGGCCTGTCCAGTGAGTCAGCATGCTCCGTACTTCTCAAGTGTAGCCTACACTAGTAGGGTTATAAAGATGGACAGGCTTACCATTTGAATCATGCTCAAGGCCACGCGGTCCTTGGGACTTCCTCCAGCACCGTTCAAGTACTAGCACCAAGCACGATGTTAGAAAGACATTGTAAACACACACATTATATGCTTGACAGCGGTCATACCTCTGCCTTGGCGAGAATCTCGCATCCAGTCGCGTCGGACAGCGACTTGATCCGGAAGAGGGGCGTATTCCCAATGCATCCTTCGACGCCGTCCACAATTGCCGGAGGACCGGTTCTGACGGAATTCAGGAGGTCGGCATCACTTTCATCAGCTAGAGCAGCAGCATCTGCATTTTTCTGGCCTGCTGCTGTTTTCTGCGGTCCGCGCAGGCGGCGCTCAATGTGTGGATAGAGGAGCTCTCGGACGCCGAGGGTCACCAGAATCCCGGCCACGAAGGCGGCGCCCACGTAGGCGCGATGATATTCGTTCATTTATAAATACAGAATACGCAGTCCTTGATCTGCAGAGAATACAGCCTCTCTTCCTGTCTGATGCACAGCGTGGGATCAATAATATTGCGGGCGGCGGGAGGACGAGAAGCTTGGACCAGCGGCAGCCAATCCGCACGGCCATCTTCGTCGTTCTCTTTGCTGTGCGGCCTTCCTCTCCACGCACCGAACTCCCCTGCGATTTCGCCTCCTCTCTGCGTCTGACCAGAGTCCAGCTATCCACAGAATGGACTCTGCTATCCTGAACCAGCTGTTTCGCCAGCTGTTCCGGCATCCCGCCTGCCAGTCCGTCAAGTCCCGTCCTGGCTCGTCCTTGCGGCGCTTCAACGACGCCAGACACCCAGGGCCCACACCGCAGCAGCGTCGCTCGTTTCTCACACGGAGGCCCAGCAATAGCAATGCCAGGCGGAAGAATACGGATGATGGGATGTTCTGGACGAAGAGAGACGATTACCCCCGGGATATCGAGGAGCAACTGCGGACGTTCCCGTTGGTCACGGCCAAGGACTTGCGCCATCATCGCGAGCGGCCCAGGCAGGTCAAGATGTTGACCCGCGAATTCATTGACGGTAGAGACGCAGATTTTGTCTTCCGGTAGTTGGTGTCCTGGCTTATATGTGATTTGTATGCAGACAGTCTTTACAATCCGCATTACGGCTATTTCTCCAAGCATGCGACCATCTTCAGTCCCGGCGAGCCGTTCGATTTCAACAACATCGAGGACGGCCCAGCGTTCCACCGGCTGCTGGGCCAGCGGTACACCGAGTTCGAGGATCGGCTAGATGAGATCCAGCCCGATGATGCGCGTCAACTGTGGCACACGCCCACGGAGCTGTTCAAGCCGTACTACGGCGAGGCGATCGCCCGATATCTGGTGTCGAACTACAAGTTGACCCTATACCCGTACCACGATCTGATCATCTACGAGATGGGGGCGGGCAACGGCACGCTGATGCTGAATATCCTCGATTTCATCCGCGACACCGACTACGAGGTGTACCAACGGACCAAATTCAAGATCATCGAGATCTCTTCGACCCTGGCAGAACTCCAGATGAAGAATCTGAAGGACTCGCTCAATGCAGGGGGTCATTTGGGCCATGTGGAGATCATCAACAAGTCGATCTTCGACTGGGACACCTACGTGCATTCTCCCTGCTTCTTCCTGGCGCTGGAGGTCTTTGACAACTTCGGTCATGATGCGATCCGATATGACTATCGGACGGAACTGCCCCAGCAGGGAGGGGTGCTCATCGACACCGATGGCGAGTTCTGCGAGTACTACAACACTCAGCTGGATCCCCTGGCGGCGCGGTTCCTGCGGGTGAGGCAGGCCGCGGCGCGGCGCCCGTTCCCTACCCCGCTGGGGCCGAAGTGGATGCGGGGAATTCGCAATAAGATGCCCTTCCAGAGCGAGTTCACGTTGCCGGAGTACATCCCGACTCGACTGATGCAATTCTTCGAAATCCTGAACGACTATTTCCCGGCGCATCGACTGCTGGCGAGCGACTTTAACAGTCTGCCGGATACGATTCCTGGACTGAACGCACCAGTGGTGCAGACTCGGTACAAGCGACGAACGGTGCCGGTGTCGACTCCATTTGTAAGCGCTCCACATATCAATCTCTGTGTTATGCAGCGGCAACTGACGAGATGCTTTGCAGGTCCACCAAGGTTACTTCGACATCTTCTTCCCCACCGACTTCAACGTCGTCGAGGACATATACCGTGCCATCACGGGCAAGCTAACGACGGTGATGAGCCATCAGGACTTTATGGAACGCTGGGCGTACATTGAAGACACGGAGACGCGGAGCGGCGAGAACCCACTGCTGACGTGGTACAAGAACGCCAGCGTTCTGTGCACGGTGTAGCAGGAGCATGTTGATTTCAGTCTGGTATTCGTAGCGACAGTATTTATATACAATAGTGTCATGTATTATAGGAAAGGAATAAAGGAATGAGGAATGGAAATTGCGTCGCGCTACACTGTGCTGTAGTTCCAAGAATAAATCATGGTATATTGACTACCTATAGTTGAGGGATTTATCAGTCGTCCATGGGACGAATTACCTGTCTTCTTGATATTAAACTCTATGTTACCCAATTCCACCGTCCTACCAGGATGAATCCTAGTAAAATAAGAACCTTGTTAGGGTAAGCTAACCTAGCTGCCCTGCTAATTACCTAAATTAACAGGTCCCTAACCAGTGTCTAACCAGGTACATACGTGCTTTTTTTTTTAAGAAAAAAAAAGTATTTAATGCCATTGACTGCCTTTTTTTTTCTCATTAAGTATTAGTTACATTATGCATTTCTTCCAACTCCAACTCCAATAATAAGTCTGACTCGTCGAACTGCAGAACATGGCAGAGCAGAGAAGAGCATCATATGCAACACAGCACACAGCACATAGGACACAGAGACAGATAGGGAAAAAAAAAAAAGATAAAAAATGACAATAATAAGAATTATAATAATGATGATAATGATAATGACAATAAACGCCCCTCAACACCCAGGCTGGTAGTCAAGAAAGAATCGGTATTATGAAGTCACTAATAATGTGGGTGAAAAAAAGGTTTTTGGATAAATACACGTATTATTTTTATCCATTCGTTTTTTATCCATTCGTGTCTCGCTGGCTGTCTCTCTACAGCAAGACAGCCGCACCACCCAGCAACCCAGCAACGAGCACAAACACGCCGTACACCTGCCCAATCTCCACCATCAGACCGCCAGGTGCCATGCCCTTGCCCGGGGCAGCCGTCGCCGCGGCGCCGAACCCGGTGTAGACGACGTTGCCGCCCGAGGCGCTGGCGGAGGCGCTGGGCGTGGGAGTCGTGGTGGCGGTGGTGTTGACGCGCTTCGGGTCCTGCGCGCCGCAGGGGTGGTCCTGTCGGCAGGCGGCCGCGCAGGTCGAGTCGGTGCCGCAGTTCTTCACGCACTGGTCGTTGGCGGTCGTGCAGATGAAGTAGGGGATTGTCTGGGTGTATTCGGACGCGTTGGGTGTCTGGCCGTTGCTGCAGACGCAGGAGAAGTCGAGGGTGGACTGGAGGGAAGTGTCGTTAGAAAAAGTGAAGGGAAGTTTTATTTTTCAAGACTTCTACTTACCGGGTCACAGCTGTTCTGCTGCGGTGTGTCAGTCGTGTTCGGCAGCTGGAGACAGATCAGCGGGCAAGAGGACTGCTGCGCCAGACACCAATTGTCTGCAGATGCGTGAGATGGGGTTCTCATGTCATGTTTCTTCAGAGTATCGTCAATTGAACGCACCTCGAGTGGCGATCGGGACGGTGTCGGGATCGATGGTCTGGGTGGTTGCCAGGCGGACCACCGAGCAGAGAAGGAGCAGAGCTTGTGCCAGCATGGTGCTGATACTGTATGTACTCTTGGATTGCCTGACGAAGATGACAATAGTTCGAGGGAGGTTTCAGGCGACTTCTTAGAGAGACCCTGCCCGCGTCAGTTTACACTGTGAGGAAAACATGATAAGAGCCAGGGTGGCTGGATGGTGAATTTCCTGGCATGTAGCTAAGGTTTCACGAGCACAACATACCTATTGCCCTTACACCACACAGGTCAGGAATGCTGGAAGCTTGCTTAGACCGAAGGCAACCCAGCAGAGAGCTGTCTGTGTCAGGAAACAAAGAACGGAGGAAGCCGGGTGACAGCAGCGGGACTGACAGCGGACACCACGGGAGGAGGGATAAGTGAGATGGAGAGAGAGGAGTGAGGAGGAGTGAGGAGTAAATCCTTTTGTCTCCTTACGGAGTCCGGAGTAGCCTTAAGTCATGGGCCCAGCCAAAGCCATGGCTCGTCGGGATTTCCTGCATGGAGTCGGAGAGGCAAGCTCGAGGAATTAGTGAAGCTAGTCATGCTGCGAAGCAATCAGTTGCCTTTTTGGAGCAGCTCGTCCTGTCTAGAGATGGCGCTAGCCGTTAGACAGCCGGAAGCTGCCCCAGATTCACCGTCGGTGCGTCAGGACTCGGTTCGTTCTCTTGTGCTTCGGGGGCTCAGCCTCGGAGTTGGCTGGCAGTGCAGTGGATAATTGTGTCGCCACTGGTGCGCACTCCATTGTGCTCTGATATGATACTCTGATATGATATCACGCTGGGCGAGTGGAGGAGATCCTGATGCTATCTGAGTACTGCAGCAGCCACGCATGACACGGTGGTATTGCTGCTTGTCTCGTTCTGCGCCTGGGCTGATCGGTCTATTTTGTCGTTTCCTGTTCGGGGAGCTCTTGGCTCTATCGGACCCTCCACAATCCCCCTTTTTTGCTCTTTACGCGACTACGCAAACCCCATCACTTCTCAACACAGGGCCTTCCACGACGGAATTCCACACTCCTCTCCTCGAAAGCGAAACAATTCGAATTGTTCTCTGCGCCCTGCAGAACAGCCGGGAAAGCGGTGGAACGCGCAGAGAGCCGTGGTCGAGGGTGGATGCCATGTCTCATATCCCACATCGCCTGATAGGAGGCCAGGCGCTAGCCGCAGCCACCAGGGCGCCGTCGCTCGCTGTCTCCGCCAGAATGACTCTGAATGACAGCCTCTGCTCGCCGTGATCGCTGCGAGTCTCACCCGCTGCGGAACGATCTTCCCTGTCGAACGCCTCTCCGCCAATCACCACGGCCGTTTCTCCAGCCGAGCACCCTGTCCGCTGTAGATCCTGCTTAGACGAAGAGAGAAAGGCGTGCGGACCGAACCATCCTTGATTCCTCTCATTCTTCATGGATGCCCCGGCATTGCATTTGAGGTGCTGAACGGTGTCCGGTCCCGTGACAGGCTGGTCCCGTGACCAGCACCCCGGCAGAACATTCGTCCCGCCAGCCTGTCGCTTGCTGGTCGACGCCTGGCCGTTGAGGTCATCGCTGTCCGCGGCCACGGGCATGTCTCATCAGTTGACGAATTAAAGAATTCGATCTTTCTACCATTTTCTACGAGGTCTCGGGGTGGTTCAGTCTGCAGACCCCTCACCGTCGCCAGTTGGCTGGTTGGAGAGCGATCCTGCGGGGGCTCGCGCCCAGTCTCCACGTTGGCCGTCAAGCTCACGCTCGTGCAGGGTGTCACCCACCGGTCGCCCATCTGACGAGCCCCCAGCCTGACTCTGGGACAATCAGCTATCGGCCCGTCCTGACGTCCGCTGTGAGCGATTTAGGTTGCGGCTTATCGATCGATCGCGTCTCTCTGATTGCCCTTGTTTCTCCAGTCCAACAGTTCTCCGGCAACAGCTGATCAGGACTGTTTCTAATGGATGGAGCATCCCGGTAATGAGGAGACTGGTCCGACTGATCCCTCCCCCGTCGTGCAGCACCTGCAGTCGCCCAGCGAGGAGCGTCAACCGCAGCCAGACCACCATGAGGATATCGTCATAACAGCGACTGCCGCCGGCGGGGTTAGCGCCAGCAATGGCACTGCTCTATCTGCGTCTTCTGTCGCCGATGGCCAGGCGACCAAGGAACGTCCGATCTCCGATGTCGTCCCTCCATACTGGCGTCACCATCGCAATGCCTCTCGTGCGTCCCAGACATCGATTGACACCGCCATCAGCAAGCCCGCGATAACCTTGGAGGATCACACCGAGGACCCGAATTCAGATACCAGTCGCGGCCTGTGGGCGAAAAGCGTCACCATTGACGACCATGTCGTCGTTCACGGCAAGACGGGAGTGGGAGCATACGTGGTGTGGATCTGCAAGATCGAGATGCTCGAGGTGGGTGGGTCAGACATCGTGATGGAGTGAGCTGCTGTTGCTGACAGTATATCTTGCAGGGCGGTCCCATGATGATTCGGATGAGGTATGCATGATCTCATTCGGGCTCTGTATCTTCATCAACTCATCTCCATGACAGATACTCCGAGTTCGACGAGCTGCGAAATCTACTGCTTGCGGCCTTCCCGCACGCAAAGAGCGCCTTGCCGCCTCTTCCTCCGAAGAGTGCTCTCTGTATGTGATCATATCGTTCCTGGCATTGCTTTCGACTGACAGACGACTAGTCAAATTCCGCCCTTCGTTCTTGGAATCGCGACGGGTAGGACTGCAATACTTCCTCAAGTGCGTCTCTCTGGCACCTCCGCGGCCTTGCCGAGCTTCATTCTAACAGCAGATCTAGCTGTGTTTTGTTGAACCCGGAGTTTTCGGGATCTCCCGTGCTGAAAGATTTCCTCTTCTCCCATTTGGGATGACGACCGAGTCGAGACGACCTACCTGATTGATACACTGCATTGAGCTGTGATGAATGGCACTGTTTCAATTCAATTTTTGTTGGATGAATTGCGTCATGGATAGACTGACGATACTGAAATTGTTCCTTGGAAACGGTTCCAACTTTTTTGGATGATTCTTTTCTCTGGGTACAAATTGGATCAGGTTCATGGTTTCTCGCCGGTAATTGGGATTATATAATTACAGTGGAATAAATACATTATGGAAAATACAGTTCCCAGAAGACTCCTGGACGCCGTGCTCCGTGTGATGCGCTGCAAATGACCCATGCATGACCAACCACTTTGACCCTATGCAGAATGGATATCAAGCAGAATGGATACCAAACCAAGGACCCCACAAACGCGATCTAGACAAAAGAAAAAGCGTCACTTCGGATAAGTGGTGAAAAATCAATCACAGAATGGCGACAATTAGAAAGGCGGGTACGTCGTGAATGCTCTATAAACATAGTTGACGTGGAAGGAAAAAGAACGAGAATTAAAGAGAGAGAGGCAAGTCATGTCCCGTCAACAGGACTATTCCGACCCGCCCTCATCATGTTCATTAGGAGTCTCATCCGACGACCGCGGAGATTCCCTAAGACTCCAGCTGCTGGACTTCTTCTGGGGCTTCTTCGCGTCGCTGAAGACGACCTTGCGGATGCTGATATTGGCCATGTGGGCCATGGCCGCCATATGTCGCGGCCCGGGCACGCCCCCCGGGAAGATCAAATGCAGCCCGGATCCCTGGTTCTCGTCGGGTCGGAATTTGTCGTGGTAAGCCTTCTTGCCTGCGATGGGCAGCCGCTGGAACGTGTGACGGTAGATCGACCTGGTCAATTTCTCGATGCTCTTGGGCATGCCGCTGATCGCGCCCAGCTCGTCCAGGGGCTCGAATCCGAAACTGAGATAGTCGATGCCGGCCTGGTTCAGCAGCGCCATGGCGGCGAAGATGAGGAGGTCGCTGATCCCCTTGGGGGCGCCCGGGGCGGCGATGCACGGATCGATGTGGTAGCCCTGGTTGGCGCCGAGCTTGCGCAGAGCGGCGAAGCCATTGGGGACGCCGTCGGGTCCGCGCGTGTAGATGTAGGTCATGAGCCGAGGCAGGGAGAAGGGGTCGTAGACGGTGATGAACGCCTGGGTGGTGGCGGTCCGGTTGCGCTCGTCGCGCCAGGCGTCATAGGTGCCGACCAGCTCGCGCTGCAGCTTGGGATCCTCGCCCTGCGAGGGGATGTACACGCCCAGCGAGATGCCGCCCTTGCTCTCGTTCAGGAGCTGCTTGTTCTGCGTGACGATGCGCTTCCCGGTCTGCTCGAGCAGGACGGGGTTGGTCATGGGGTTGAGGACGCGCTCGGTGCCGAACTGGAGCGTGGTCCATTTCTTCTCCCTGGCATACTGCAGGAAGACGTCGCTGGCGCCCATGAAGGCCAGCTTCCAGCCGAACTCCTTGCGGTATCGTGCGAATTCCTCCAGGAGGGCCGAATACTGCGAGGGCTCGCACAGCGGGTCGCCTCCGACAATGGCGACGCCGTTGTGGACCTTGAAGTGGAGGGCGGCGGTGCGCGCCTTGTTGACGAAGAAGCTGTAGCTCTTGTCCAGGATGCCCATGTGCGAGACGCGGCCGTACCTGGCGAAAAGGGACTCGAGGGCGACCATGGCGGCAAAGTCGTCGAGGGTGAAGATGGTGCCGATCTTGCGGTATTTGGAAGGCATGGTGCGACTGCGTTCGACAGGCGCCGACTTGGCCGACGAGTCTGATCCGCCGCTCGAGGCGATGGAGGGCACCTTTTTGGATCCGGGCATGCTGCCGCCCTGTTCGACGAGGGTGGAGGAACTGCAGCTGGATGCGGTCGCTGTTGTTGGCGGTGCCGACAGGGTCGCGCTCTGGCCGATGCGCAACCGGTCTACCAGATCCAGGCTGTCGATGTTGGGCTTGGGAGGGCCTCGCAGCTGGTCAGCCATGGACTGGCCGATCTCTAGGTAGAGGGCGCTCTTTTTGCTGGCTTTTTTGGCATTGTTCTGTCTCTGTTCCTGTTTCTGCTGCTGTTTTCGCTCGCGCTTCTGCTTCTTCTTCTCCATCTTGTGCTGTGCGGTCGCGTCGGCCTGCATTGCGACCGGCTGTGATGTTTGGGAAGAGGACTCCATGTGTCACTCCAACTCAGTTTGACTGTAATATGCTGGACTCAGATTAGTCAATCTGAGTTTGCGGAGTGAAGACAACGGGCCGGGCACGTTGAGGGCCTGGCAGAACTTTATACGGGCCGATCACCGCAGAAGTATGGCTACGAGTGCTGGGGGCTACGGACGTTTGTCCAGGATTCTCCATCCTTTACAGGGGCTGGCGAGCCATGCGATGGCGATGCTTCGATACGAGCTGCAGGCGGGCGGCAGCGATCGCCATGACATTGGGCCAGCGAAGATCCAAAATTGATTAAAACAGCTCGGCGACCGGCTTGGCTCCAGCCTAGCGCAACAAGCTTTCCTGGGCCCCCACGTCCAATTTCCAGGCAGGGCTGAGCCAGAATTCCATTGCTTGATTGTGTCTGCCTGAGGGCTGAAACACGAGGGATCAACAGCTGCGGCTGGCAGTGGGACGGTAACAGCGCTGATCCCCGGAAGATCCTACAGCTGCCATAACAGTACGGAGTACATGTATTCAAACAATCTTCACTCCCTGCTCACAGCTTATATACTCATTCAACTACGAGTGAATGATTAATGCAGCGCACAGTCCTCGACCACCTCTCCATCTAACTCAGAGAATCCTGGATCCGATTTGTGGAGCACGGGGAAGAGAACACTGCTGCCTGGCTGCATGGCGCCTGTTGGTAACTTTGTCAGGCAAGCAGAGTTGCACGATCGCCGTCGCGAAGCCCAGCTAGGCAAGCAGCTAGCAGTCTGACCAACTATTATTATCTCTCTGCAATCCAGATGGTGGATTCGGTCCCACGTTGCAGTTGACTGTCTACTATTACAGGGATTATTATAATGATTGCTATTAAATTGAGCTGACAGACAACAATAATCAATCAGCACGCAGAACCGGGATCACACCGCAGCGGCAGTCGAATAGAAAAGAATCAGACGCAGCACTCTTTCGAGCAGAGATTCCAAACGTTCATCATCATTCCTTGCGCAGGACATTCATTCGCCTCCTCGTACAGAGTACCACATGCCACACATTCATTCAATTCCCCCAGACAATGACTCGATTCAGTCGCATAAGAACAAACCTGAAGGCGCGCGCGACGGGTTTTGCTCGTAACGTCAATTAATTAAAAATTTCCGAATTTGGGTTGTACTGGACAGACAGTTAAACATGGGTGGTCCCGGGTAGTTTAGTCTTCACGTTACAACTTACAACTTATTGGGCCTGGAAAGTGGTAGAGTTACGGAGTAGGTAACCTACCCAACATGCGCCCTTGGCACTGTGCAGTGATTCACTCCGTATTTCTTTGGTTTGGTTGAGCTGTGGAGACTGGCGCGACCAGGGTTAATTTAAAGTGTAACCGTTGATCTCCAAACTGTACATACAGTACTGTACTGTATTACTCTGCAGTATTAGAACGAGGATGAGCACATAGTTCATGACTCCTACTGTAAATGCTGACAGGCCTGAAGACTAAGTAAGTATATGTAATATTTGGGATTTATATTCTGCAGGAGTTTTTTTTTTTTGAAAAAAAAAAGGCGTTGTGATTTTTTTTCTTTTTTTTCTTTCTGAACGACAAATGGGACACGAACATGGACACGGACAAGGCATGGGATGGGATGGGATGGGGGCCAAGCAAAGGCCAGCCCGACTGGCGATCGACTAGTCAGTCAGTCAGTTGGGTTAGTTGGCAGCTTTCTATTATTATTACAAGTGAAGACTGTATGTATGTACAGTGTCAATAATAGGTAGTCTCTTGAAAATAAAATAAAATAAAGAAATAAAATTATTCTTAAATTTCGTTCAGGGAGGCCAGGTCTTGATAGATAATAGAAATTATTGGTGAATTAATTAACTAGTGAAAGTACTGTTGAAAAGGGAACAAATATATATCTTGAGAATTTTCAAACTAACTCCTATGAACTGACTATTTACTAATTAATAACCTGCCTTAATAGATTGGTATAATATAATAGAGTACTGTCGATGGATGGGTACATACATACATGTTTTTTATTCTTTGTTTATTTATTTAATTGATGACAGTGCATGGTTACAGTTTGATGTTCGATTTGGATTTGAGTAGCGGCGCCTCCAAGATTATGATTAATTAATCAGTCAATCGATTAGCAGCATCTGACTTCCATGCTGGGGCTGGGTAACTGCATTACATTTGTTTCCTTAGAAGTTTGTTAAACAGAATTGGTATTGTATTTTTTCTAGGTAGGTATGTACTGTACTGTACATACTTAAGGTATGTAGTAAGTACTGTCCCGTATGGACTAGGTACAGAACAGAACAAATCACTGGAATAAACGTCCCTGGCTCGTCTGATTAGTTAATATATGAAAAATAGAGTATACTGCTTAGACTGGGTACTGTACATATATGTATGTACTGTGGTACGGTATAATATGCTACAGTGGAGATTTAACTGGATGGTTTGATAGACTCTATCCCTCCTAATGCTGTTTATCTAGCTGGATAACCAACTCGTTAGGTAGGTATAGTACATACGTAGATCATCATATTTTATCTCATCATAGAGAAATGTCCTCAGTGAAATATTGAAAATCTCAAGAGATAAAGAAACTTGTGTTAGTAATGAAAGCAAATAGGTTCATGTACTGTACTTAGGAGTAGATATATTTCAGGGCAAACACACGGAAGCAGCAAATGCAGGGTGGTTAGCAGGAGAGCGAAGCAACTTCTGAAATATCACCCGACTGCTGATTCCAATCATGAGGATCTTTCGGGCCTTTGGTCCAAGGCACATATTTGTCAATCAGATAGACCAGGTCGTTGTATGCCTAACCTCATCAACAGGTGCTTGCAGCGATATGAAACTAAACTTACTGCTGACGAGCCGGCGAGCCACGGACACAGGCAGAATGCATCAGGTTCGTCTTGACGCTATAGAGGCGGTTGCGATCATCACATTCCTCAACCGGCTCACTCGGTAGCATATGCCGAAAATACTCCTCGCGGTAGATCTCTGCTCGGAGTTCGTGCCGCTCTGCGCGCCAGATCCCCAGCTCCATTTCATGATGGGCGTAGTATGCGGCCGCGTCGAATATCCATGGGTCGCCTGTTTCAGCATCAGTCCCGATATTGCCTTCCCACAGGTCCCTGTGGATCAAACAGGGCTTGATCGATCGGCCTCCGGATTCAAGCACGCCGACAGGTCGCGGGATGAGATAATGGCTTTGAGTCCGAGTAAAGACCCTATCCAGCTCTTCCCAATGCCCATTGGTCTCCACGTCATGACGGTACGCTTCTGCAAGGAGCTTGGAGAAGAACGACGTCCAGCTCGAGTCCCATTCAACAGCCTGCGTCCTGGCACCGTCGTATGTCGTCATATGAAAGCCGAATTTCCCCGTCGAAGACACACTCTTCCTGTGCAGCGCTGCGAGACGACTGCCCAGTTTGACGGGATCAGGTAGGCGACCAGAGCGAAAATGCTTGAACTCGACGAGGAGGAAATAGACTGGAGAGGACACCCCCTTCAATGCACCCCATGCGTACGGCTTTGGAACCAATGTCGGCATGAGGTTGTAAAGCTCGCTCATGCCGGTGAATTCGCCTTCTAGTTGAGCTTTTCCAATTTCGCCGTCTACTTGCTAGCAAGTGTCAGTCATGAGAGGCTCTCTTTGATAGACTTTCTCTATTCAAGGTCATCCCCTTCAGAAAGAAAAATATCGGCTTGCCGCTTCTTCTCTCTTCTGCGATGATCTTTGCCGTTGTGGACCAGTTCGAGTAGCCATAGTGCTCAGCGGATTATGATTCTTATACCCAGAGGAATCTCTGGGTCGACTATGTCAGAGAGTCAAAAGCAATTTGAGCTGTCGAACAAACTGACTTTCAATCACGGCAATGTTGAGGTTAAATTGTTTCTCAATCTGATGGCTGGAGACATGTTCGCGATTCGAGCTGAGGACAACGGTTGGGCTGGCCATCTTGGCAAGGTATTCAGTTGCACTGATTGACAGTAAGCAAGCATGAGCTTTGAGTAATATAATTGTGCCACTATGGAGAATTTGGCAATATATGTGATAATATCCACATACTTTCCAGCTCGGGTCCGCATGCACGTAGCTAATACTGCTAGACTGTAGTGAATGCAAAGCGGCAAAGCCTTCAATGTATATATTAATGAAGTGAAAGGAGAAATTCAATCCAATTCTACAACTGACTCAGCGTAGAGGATCTTTCCAATCTGTGTAGGCATGGAGAAATACCTTACAACCAAGAGGAGAGACTGCGTGATCTTTATTTATCTAGGTATCCTCGTCAATCTTCTGGAGGAAATTAATTTCAAATCTTGCAACTAAGTTAACGACCCAGCTTCTCTAATTTTTGTGCAAGAAAGAAAATTCTTTATCCTTTATATGGATGGATATTATCGCCGTTAAAGGATATGATTTCCTGCCGTAGGTGGAACAAAGAGATCGATCTATCACTCTAGTATATTGCAAGTAAAGCGACAGGTCAATTTCTTCCCTGATCGAGGATTTTTTGGTATCATAATCAAGCTGAGTATGTACGTTATGGTCGCTATGAGATTAGTCAGTCATGTTGATCTTCTTGAGAAATAAAGTCTATATGAACTTTACGGAGTATCTGCTTTATTTCTCTCTTTGTTTCTTGTTTTTCGGGGGGATTACTTCCAATAATAGTTATGATGCCGGGTGTACTAGTGGAATATAAGGTAACATTCATAGAATTATAGGATTCTTTTTATAACTCCTACACAATAAGTTGTGCTTGTAGAAATTTATTCCTTATAATGGAATACAGTATCTCCGTCGTACTATCCTAGAGCCTGGATTCATACGTTAAGCGATAACAAGATAATTGGAAATGTTAGCCATGTTCTCAGTAACAGCTAACCCCAGCTTCGCTAAATGCTTAAGAATTCTACATGACTCATACATGATGGTCTATGTTAGTAAACCTGCCACTGCCAGCCGATAGCTGTAAAGAATGATATCCCTGCTGTTTTACCCGTACTGATCCGAGAAGAAGGTTCCTTGAGCCCTGTAATAAGAGTCAATGACTTCCGGCTTAGCACTTCACACTTGGCTAGTGAGCAGGCTCCACACTGACTCTTGATGCATGAATCGACATTGTCTAAAGTCTAACCGAGACTAGATGCGAGAGCAAGTCGAAATATCATGGCCCAAACTATCAGCAACAACGATAAGATTGAAACAAAGGACCAGCGGGCAGAGCCCACTTTCAAGAACGCTGCTAGTGATGAATCACCATCCTGTCGTCCTGCTCCATTCTCCATTTTCACCAGACCACAGAAAGCATGGATCACCTTCCTGGTTGCCTTTGCAGGCATGTTCTCCCCCATGAGCAGCTTCATCTACTACCCTGCCATACCCTCCATAGCGAAGGACCTACGCTGTGGAGTCGGTCAATCTCACCGTGACCTCGTACATGATCGTATCGGGAACTGTGCCCGCCATCATGGGAAGTCTGGCCGACACTGTCGGTCGGAGGCCGGTGTACATGGTTGCATTTTCGATATATATCCTGGCCAACGTCGGGCTAGCGATTCAGCGGTCGTTCCCGGCGTTGTTGACGCTGAGGATGCTGCAAAGTGCTAGAAGTTCAGGTGCGCAAGTATTAACTGAAAAGAAAGTGTCACTGGATGAGCTAAAGCAAAAACAGGAACTACATCGCTCGGTTATGGAGTGATTTCCGACATTGCGAGTCCGGCTGAGAGGGGATTTTATGTGGGGATGCTTCTTCTGGGGTTTGTCGAATGCCTTACACGGCGTAATACTTCTTTTGTTTATATCGACCAACTGATACGTCGAAAGACCGAATGTCGCGCCGCCTATTGGGCCTTTACTGGGAGGAGCAATCGCCGATCGTCTAGGCTGGAGCTATATATTCTGGTTCCTTTGCGGACTGTCTGGGCTGTGTCTGCTCACAATCACCCTCTCTCTGCCCGAGACAGCACGGTGCATAGATGGCAACGGGAGCATCTCTGCAAGGGGGATTATTTACAAACAATGGCTACCTATACTTCGACATGTAGCTGTCAGAAATCCTGCTGAAGTTCCTCAAGAACGAAGACAGCCACTCCGTCGCCTTCCGAATTCAATTCGCTCTCTGCGAATCCTTCTGGAAAAGGACTCGGCTATCATCCTGTTCTGCAACGGCATCTTCTATGCGACGTATTGCTGCCTCCAGGCTTCGTTGTCGTCGTTGTTTATCGCACTCTATGACTACGGGGAGCTGCAAGCGGGACTTGTCTACATTCCCTTTGGGGTTGGATGCTTGATAGCATCATTATTGTTAGGTTTGCTATCATTATTATCTTCTCTTTCTTCTCTCCTTTCTTCTTCTTCTTCTTCTTTCCTTTTTTTTACATCATAACTCATAAAGCAACAGGAAAGCTCCTGGACCATGACTACGCACGCGTTGCCAAAGCCCAGAATGCCAGGGCTGGAAATACAAGACCGAACGAACTGGAAAACTTTCCGATCGAAAAGGCCCGGCTGAGGAGCATCTTCTATCCTGTTAGCGTCAGCGTCCTTGTCATTATTGGGTACGGATGGGCGTTGGAAAAGAGAGTCGTAAGTCGATACTTACCATCGAATACGTCCTGCAAGTCCTGCTCTATTTCTAACTCAACTAGCATGTAAGCATCCCTCTAATCATTCAATTCATTACCGGATCAGCTATAACTGCCATTTTCACGGTGTGACTACAAATCACGCATTGAAATGTACAGTACATAGCTAACTGCCGTATACCAGAGTCTCGGAACCCTTCTAACAGACATCCATCCCACGACATCCTCAACCGCCGCCGCAGCAGCAAATATTGTTCGCTGCCCGCTTGCCGCTGGAGGTACATCAGTCCTGCAGCTCCTCATTGAGTCCGTTGGAGTGGGATGGTGCTTCACTCTTATCGGGGCTGTTTGTGGACTGTGTATCCCTTTGCTGGTATTCGAGCGAGAGAGGGGTGGGAAATGGAGGATGGCTAGAGCCATCAACACTGATCGTACAGGATTAGAGTAGTATTGCATAAAGGATGGAAATTGTATACCGGAGCAAGTCTTTGTCTTGTAAAATGGCGCAATTACGGCGACAAAGAAGGCAGACAGGTAGACTGAGAATGAATGTCATCCATGCCAAGTTACCAAGTCGATTGAACAAAGTGAGAGTTTTCATTTAACAAAGAATATTACTCTTCAAGTCAGGTCTGGGTAGGCAGCCAATCTAGGTGCTTGGAGGTATGGCAATGATGCTTTGTCTAGTACAGCCATAAAGTCAGCTAATAATACAACAGATTGACCTGATTCCTGCAGGTTTGCATACATGCGTATATAACGGGTAAAGTGAGGGCTTGAGTGGATGTCATATTTTTTTTCGTATCAACCCGAGATGAACCATGTAAAAAGTTATATTTTCATCTCCCATCTGATTAATTAACGAAAGTTGGAAAAAGTAAGAGTTTAGTCATTGTTATATTGTGACTGTCCTTCCACCCTGTCAAGGCAGACCAGGACCTACGAGACCCTGTAGGTGTAATTAATTCCTTGGCAGAAGTCAGACAAAGTGAGGATTTTTTTTTTCATCTTAGATATGCAACATAACCAGGTCAAGTCATCTTACTCATTTCTTGGGCAGGGCAGGGCAGGGCAGGTCAGGCCGGGCCATCATTGACTCATTCAAAGGAATCTGACAAAGAGAAGTAGAATGAAGTCAGGTAAAGTGTGCGTTTTTGGAATCTGGTCAAGAATATAGATATAGGTATTCCCTGCTAGATTCTTTTTCCCTCTGCTTCGCCACAGATAATGGACTGCTAATCTGGGACTATTTCACCCTGTTACCTTGCTCTAAAAAAATGCTGTCATGACTCAGCAGTGTTGTTAATAGTCTTACTGCATTCCTAAAGGGGAAGTTCGCATAAAAAACAAAAAAAATTAAAAAAGAAGTCCGCTGAGAGGAGCAACTAATTAAAAGAAATAGAGCAATACTTTCTCTACTTCCAAAAAAAAAAGAAAAAAAAGTAAAAATAAAAAACAGCTGTCAAATATCGTAAAAAACAATTGCACTGAGAGTGTTCTGACAAGGGCGCGATTCGAACGCGCGCGGAGTTTCCCCCACAAGAATCCAGGGACTGCTTTTGGATAATAGCAGTCCAAGCCCGTTGGACGAATCGGACTTGAGTCTTGCGCCTTAGACCACTCGGCCACCTTGCCTATTTTTAGCACATACTTTATCGGGAAATTTCTCTGAATGAGGCTACGCCGATAGGATATGTAGGTTAGGCGAATAGATGGCTTGTTGGGTGTTTGTTTCTATTCTGTCAGATATTATTATTTATTCGACGGATATATTGTAAATGGTATATAAATATATATCTATATATGTGGTCCAGTACCTACATAATGCTGAACTGCTCGCTGTTAGTCCGTTACACATGCCTCACATGCTTATGCTTGCTATTTGTACTGGCGCTATCTACCACCACCACAGCAAGACGCGCAGCATTGGCATCATCCTCCCTCGCCTTCTGCATACTCTCTGAATACGCTCTCCCCGCGACAGCCCACCAGAGCAGCTCGATGATGAGGAATCCGCCGACGCAGACGCAGGTGTAGTTCATGTTTTGGGCTATATACACATGTTAGTGGTTGTTACTCAGTCCTGACCAGGGCTTAGACGCACCCGTCACAGGCATCTCGAAAGGAAACGAGAAAAAGACAATCGCAAAAATCAGCCAGGCGACGGTGACGCTGTTGACCACCATGCCGAGGACAGGACCCATGTGGAAGGGTCCGCGGTGCATGGTTCTGCGGCGAAGGACGACGTTTGTCAGGATGGGGACCAGGTAGGCGATGTTGTTGATCGTGCTGAAATATCAGACACGGTTAGCATGCAGAGCAATGCATATGTGGCTCAACTTACACAGCAGAACTCAGCATGGCGTTGAACGCGGTGCTCGAGCCGAGATAAATACAGCCCAACAAGGCAATGATCACAGCCACGCACAGCTGCGCGTTAAACGGGACGCCGAGGCGGGGGTGGACTTTGGCCCAGCTGAAAACAAAGTCAGTGATTAGAGTCTATCACATCTGGTTGTAGTTTGGGCCCTACATTTTCGACAAAGGAAGACCTCCGTCTCGGGCAAATGCCCAAAAGACTCGACCGGTGCCTAGAACGAGAATACCAGTAAGAAATAACAGTGCAAACGCGTCCTGTCTACCGCGTACTCAACTGCGACCCGATCATGCACGGCCCAATGGCCACCCACAGGATGAATGTCAAGGCAAAGGCGCCGCCCACGCTCTGCGTCGCCTGTCGGAAGATCTCCGCCAGTGGCAGGCCTGTCCGGCTGTTGGCCAGGCTGGCGTAGTCCTGGACGGAGAACATCAGGCTGAGCAGGTAGGTGAATCCAGTGATGAATGCGATGATGAGGGTGCATGCTAAACAGGAGTCAGCAGCAGGCTATAGGATCAGCAGCAGATTCCGTACCCAGAGCGAGAGGCGCATTTCTTCCGGGCTGTATGCTATTTAGTATTGTTCAATAGTAAAAATGTCTAGCATCGTCACCTACGTTGGGCATCTCTTCGGTGATGTGCTACGTCAGTCAGCAATGTGTACATATGAAGTTCAGCCTGCGACACGCACCGTAATCCCGTCCAGTCCACCCAGCGAATACAGCGGGTTCACTAGCCCGGTGATGAAGCATATGACATTGTTCTCCCATCCCGTATTGTTGATCCATGTCCGAAACACAAACTTGGCATCGTTGTGCGCAGGGGCCTTCGCCGCGACCACGACCAGGATGACGAACCATGCCAGTTGCAGGTAGGCCACTGACATCAACCCGTCAGCTGAGCTCAACTCGACTGGACCGGCTAGCGAGGCCACCTACACGAGAACCGATTGATCGCAGGAATAATGCGATTGCCAAACATGACTATCCCTGACGTGAGCAGGTTGAAACCTTGGTAGGCGAGGAATGTCATCCACGGCTGGATGACCAGGTCAGTCTTGTAGAGGGCGATCAGGGCCATGAAGTTGGTGGCATAGATCAGGTTGGTCGATGCGGTCGTGAAGATCCCTACCGATCAGTCAGGCCGGAACTGCGGAATGACGAGAATGAGTTAGGGGCACTCACATCCAAACACCGTACTCCACCCCGTGCTGAAGCTCAAGAAGCTGTTGTACCGTCCCGGCGCGATGGCCGCAATCCAGTGGTACATGCCTCCTTCGACGGGGTATGCGGATACGAATTCCGCCAGCGACGCTCCTAGGAAGGACTGCAGGATGAAGACGAGGATGAATCCGTAGATGACTGCAGCTTGTTAGACATGAAAGTCAAGGACAAGTGCAAGTTCGAGACATACGCGCTCCCGGCCCGCCAGCATTGATGGCGGTGATGAGTCCTAGGCCCAGCCCTGTTGCCCGACAATCAGCCAGGGTTCGTCAACTTTGTGACAGAGACCTGCCTGTCCACGAGATTGTGCAATTCGCTGCGAGACCGATCAGGCTGAAAATGGTGAAATGGCGCTTCAATTCTTGTTTGTGGCCTGTCACGCATTAGCTGGATTCTGTCCTCTTTCTTTTTCTCGGACGTACCCATCTGCGCCAGACGCAATTCATCCTCATTCTGCACCTTGATGACGCTGGTCTCGTCGCCCGCGGCGACTGCCGCGGGCACAGAGTTGACATGGCCGACGCCCATCTGTCCTCAAATGAAAGGGGTCAATTCACGGTGATATACACGTGCCCATATAGATACCCCGGACGTATTGATGAATACGGCGCGGGGAAGTGAAGAAAAGGGAGGAAGATTCGTAGATTCGTCATGGTAAGATCCAAGCAGCTATGAGCTCCTTATCACTTGCATGGATATCTTGACTGATTATCAAAACCCCATCGGCAATTCAACAAAAGATTGCCGGTGCGCCGGTCAGATTCCCGGTGCTGGGGGGGACCCGGCGATCGCGACGAATGAGAGGCGCGGACCCCGTGATCTTCACGCTCCTCCGCCGTTCCACCGGGCCGCCATCACGAACTCCAACCATCTCGTGCGGAGGCGGAATCAGGGTGAAAGGTGAATTCTCCTCGATGGCAATCCAGGCAGCTAATATCAATGGTGTGCAAAGTCCCGAGTCTACTTACTCCTGACTCTTCTTGCAAAAGACTGATCGAGTCTGGAAAAGTCAGGGCTCTGGAACGCATATATAACATAGTTCTTGGCGACAGTGAGCATGCGACCCTGTGTGGAGAAGGCGCGGAAAAGGAGCTCGGCTGTTGCTATCTTGGGCTTTCTTCAGTGAGACAGTCTAGCCCAAACGCCGCCGCTTCTGAATTCCTCCCATCTTTATCTCGGAGAAGAACATGCTTTGATATCATTCCGGCAAATACAATAAAAGTAAGTGACACATAAAAGAAAGACCAGCTAGATTCGTTCCTGACGCAGCCAAGCAGTCAGTTCGTCGCTTCAAGGCAGCAAGGCTGATCAGGGTATTGAGGTTGCTCGATAAGGATCGGAATATCTCAATTCATCGCTCAATACCGAGGTAGGTAATCCCTAGTCCAGTTCCATCCGCGACTAGCCACAAATGCTTTGATAATGCCCGCCCATGATTGGTCTGCAGTTAATGACATCAAGGCCAATGGCATCAGGCACGTGGCTGAAGATCGATGATTGGCGAGATGCATGTGACATGTCACTAGAAGCGCAATTCTCTATGGATTGATAGGTATCTTTCAACCATTATCGATGCTTATTCTATCTGCCACCACCCTGCTTCTTCCTAACCAGTCCATCACTAGTCCACGCCAATAATCCTATTTATCTACAAACAGATGATATGAGAGATGGCCAAGTCTGATAGGTTCAACGGGTTTGAACTGGACTGATTAATTCCATAATTAGGGAACTACAGGGAGGTAGTTCATGAGACTCTGATGTTCACTATGCCTGGCTATTTCTGAACTCGAAAAATCCTCGATCTGTGTTTCCAGAATTACCGTCGAATCCATTATGCCAGCTCTATCTATACAAAGATACGATACTACGTTTGGCAAATGACCTATCTTCAATTCATCTATCCACAGACATCGCTTATCAAACCAGATCAAAAGACTGATGGACATCGCTCCTGACATGGTCTGATGACGGAGGAACAAAGTCTTCTCACACGCCCGTGCTAATGGATCAGTCAGAAAGTTTAAGGAACAGAGACTAGCTGCTTACTCCCTTCCGGACAAGAAGATAGTCACCACCTAGACCTTGTGTGTTGTTTGCACTTGCAGGTACCACACATGTTTGCTGCAAAATCCATGACAGTATTGACAATGCTATGACACCGCATCAGGACTATCTTGACAATAAACGGAGGCGTCTTCTTGATACACCGCCCTGGCTGTTTTCAAGAACAGCCACGAGAATAACGGAGATGTTCCTGAGGTTTTATCTGTGCTACGGCGACCTGAACCATCGGCACTTCATCGAGCCGGACGACACAGCGCTGCTGGTGAACCTGGCGAACGGCAAAAAAAAAAAAAGAAAGAAGAAGAAGAAGAAACAGAAAGTAAATAAACAGACACTTTGTGTCGCTTTGTATTGAGTGATAAATAGTCAAAATTCCCCTATTAGCAATCCTGTCCTGTCCTCTTCAATCTAGCCAGCCATTCTCTATCGACGGCCATACCTTAAGTACGCAGTTGGATCCTCCACCCCATCACGTGGAAGGTCCATATTGAAGCACGTGGACTGTCCTTTTATTTTTCTTACACTATCATCAGTCCTTATACACTTGCTTGACATCATTCTCCCCATTACAGATTTCCTTCATATGGCAAACAAGATGGTATACATTCAGCTCGACTGGGAAGATACATATATATATGCAACACTGCCATCATCGCGATCACTAGTACAGTACAATACCTATCCACAAGAATGATAATTATGTCCAGTACTAACAGTATTTACAGGTCGACCTTTGTCTTGTCCCCCATACTCCATCCGTATCCATGCTGCATACTACTGCCTGCATACTCTGGAATGTTCCCCCACGTGGGGGTGCATAGAGGCCCGAGCACGCGGGGAATTGCCGAAGCGTGGGGGTAATAGAGTCAAAGCTCCTGCTGTCAGTCAACGTCTGCAATCAGCGCAATGCAATAGAATCCAGTAATACGGACTCTGAGCTAGCTATACTGCTAGTGCCAGCCGATGATCGCCGCGCAATGCGGGGAACCGGAGGAATTCCGATGTCATTACTTGACTTGCAATGCTGCTGAACAGACATATAAGCCGGTATAAAACGTCGAGAGAGAACTTGGTCGTTTGTCTCCCATTACAACTTGATTACATCTAGTAATCGCTACCATGGCATCCAAACCGACCGTCACCCATGAAGAAGAGCAACCCGCCGTCCACGGCGACACGGCGCTCCGCCTGATCGGCCAGCAGAGAATCCCACTCACGGACGCCGACAGCAAGCGCATCCGGCGCAAGACAGACCGCGTCATCCTGGCCATCCTCGTGTGGGTGTACTTCCTGCAGATCCTGGACAAGTCGGTGCTCGGGTACGGGGCCACCTTCGGCTTGCAGGCCGACACGCACCTGACGGGCAACCAGTACTCGCTGCTGGGGTCGATCGCGCCCATCGCCCAGCTCGTCTGGCAGCCGTTCTCGTCGTGGCTGATCGTGCGCGTGCCGCATCGCCGCCTGATGCCCGCGCTGTGTCTGGGCTGGGGCGTCGCCCAGGCCGCCATGGCCGCCTGTCGCAGTTTCGCCTCCCTGATGGCCGCGCGCTTCTTCCTCGGCCTGTTCGAGGCCGCCTGTCTGCCGCTGTTCAGCGTCATCACCAGCCAGTGGTACCGCCGCGCCGAGCAGCCGCTGCGCATTGCGGCCTGGTACAGTACCAACGGCGCGGCGACTGTCATCGCGGCGGCCCTGTCGTACGGGTTGGGCCATATCGAGTCGCCTGTTCTGAGGCCATGGCAGATGTACTCCCCTTCTACCCCGAACGCTGACTGACTGACTGCTGACGACTGGCGCAGTATCTTCCTCACCGTCGGCCTCCTGACCATCATCTCAGTGCCGTTCATCTACTGGAAACTAGACAACGACATCCCCTCAGCGCGGTTCCTGACGGAGACGGAAAAAGCGCAGGCCATCGAGCGGCTGCGCGCGAACCAGACGGGCACAGGGAGCCGCGAGTTCAAGATCCGGCACGTCGTCGAGGCAGCGCTCGAGCCCAAAACCTACCTCTGGATCGGCATGGCGATGCTGCTGAACGTCGGCGCCAGCGTGAGCAACACGTTCGGCCCGCTGATCCTCAACGGCCTGGGGTACGACGCGTACACGACGAGTCTGCTCAACATGCCGTTTGGCGCGCTGCAGCTGCTGGTCATCCTGGCGGGGAGCTATCTGGCGCAGCGGGCGCGGATGAAGGGCGTCGTGCTGGCCGGCTTCATGCTGCCGGTAGTCGCGGGCCTGGCAATTCTGTACGCCGTGCCACGCAGTAATAACAGCACGAAGCAAAACTCAGTCGAACCCTCCCTCCTGGTAGGCTACTACCTGCTCGCGTTTCTCTTCGGCGGCAACCCACTGATCGTGACGTGGATCGTGGGCAACACGGGCGGCACAACGAAGAAATCGGCGCTGATGAGCCTGTACAACGCGGCCAGCTCGGCGGGCAACATCGTCGGCCCGCTGCTCTTCAGCAAGAAGGACGCGCCGGCGTATCGGCCGGGCGTGCGGGCTTGTCTGGCCATCTTCGTGGCGCTGGTGGCCGTCGTGCTGGCGCAGTGGGCGAATTTGGTCGTGCTGAACCGGATGCAGGAGCGGCGGCGCGTGCGGAATGGAAAGCCGGCCAAGGTGGTTGATTACTCGATGAGGGAGCGCTATCACGATACCAGCGAGAGTGATCCCGACGGGACGATCGGAGACAAAGCCTTCCTGGACCTGACGGACCGGGAGAACGATGAATTTGTGTATATTTACTAGCTACCTGAAGAAAACGGAGTATATCGTTATGCTATGACCATGTACGTATTTCACTGAAAATATATTCGAGATTGATCATAACTAATTGATTCAATAAATCATTATGTATGTATGTACAGGCAACTGCTCATGCACATATCCTATCAATCACCATGATAATCGATCGATCGAAAAATCATCTCCTACCAACCAACCTGGGCTGGAGGACGACTGGTCTACGCCTGAGCAGCAAAGCCCAGCTGAGGACCGTCCGAGTCAAAGACGACGTACTGGCTCTTGAGGAAGACGTCGCCGAAGATGGAGAAGCCAATGCCCTGGTTGGACTGCAGACCGCCGAAGCAGGTCTGGCTGCCCTGCGACACGGGCTGGAAGTTGAGGTACTCGGCCGGCACGGTGGCGGTGTACTGGCCGATGGTGAAGCTCAGCTCGGGCAGCTGCGCGTCGCACGGGAAGGTGTAGCCGCCGGCGTTCTGGTCGTTCTGCGCGCCCTGGACCTGCTGGTAGTACTCGTTGACGATCTGGTCGTCGAGCAGGAGGAGGGTGGTGCCGGTGTCTGCGAAATCAGCATCTAGATAACTCTGATGTAGGGGGAGTTCTTACCAGCAATGCCAGAAATGGAGCCACCGCTGCCGCTGCTGCCGCCAATCGAGTAGCCGTCGGCCGTGAACTGCCAGAAGCCCTGCGAGTTGTCGACCTGGGTGTACTGGATGCTGCCCTTGTACTTGGAGCTGTCGATGTAGCCAAAGTCGTAGCTGCCGGGCTCGTTGTGCTTGAGGGTGACGGCGAACAGCGGCTTGGCGAGCGAGGACTTGACCGTGTCGAAGAAGGTCGTCTGCGGCTTGGGCTTGACGGTGTTGATGCTGCTGAAGGCCAGGCCCAGCAAGCCGTCGCCCGGCTCCTGCGTGAACTCGGAGCTGACCTTGGTGGCGGCCTCGACCGCCTGGTTGGAGGCGTTGACGCCGCCCACCGAGACGCTGTCCTGGTAGACGTCGCCGCCGGCCGAGCTGCCGTCGCCGTACGAGATGCTCCAGGTGTAGCCGTTCAGCTTCTTGGCCGTCGAGCTGGGCTTGTAGATGGCGTGGTTGCCGCGCTCGCTGGAGGGCGTCTCGTTGGAGAAGACCCAGCTGGACGAGTCAGCTGCTCCGTTCTTGTTCTTGCGAGAGTTGGGACACTTACAGATCCGCAGAGCCCGTGTCAAAGTCCAGGTTCAGCGTGCTCTGGCCGATGGTAACGGGCGTGAGATACAAGCTGTCGCCGGCGACGGGCGTGTTGGCCGCAGAGCCGCTCTGCGTGCCGGACGCGGCCGTCCGCACAGACGACGGAATTGGAGCGCCATACTTGGCCAGAGCGCGCGCGTAGTCGGCAGCTGGGGGCGCACGAGGCTTGGTCCGGGGCACCGCGACCTGCTTCAGGGAGAACTGCACGTTGGGAGCTGGCCCGGTCGGGGCGGCCACGGCGACGGCGGAGCACAGCGAGAGTGCAGACACGAAGGCTTTGGACAGACCCATGGTGGTGAAGGACGACTGAGGACTGACTGAGTGAGGACTGCTGACTGTCTGATCGATGGATGGGAGACGGTACTTCGAGCAGCAAGTTGCGGCTTCTTATAGCCTCGCCGGCCGCTCGCAGTCGATCACGTCAGAGCCATGGCGATATCAGCACACGGCTCAGGATGCGACGTCTGACGGACAAGCTCCAGTAGGACAGACGAGGAGCAGAGGCCCTCGTCGGAGGCTCCGGACGCATTGACGCCCCGACGGCAGTCAGGAGAGCTCGAGCTCCCAGATGGTGCAAGGACCGCATGGTCTGTGATAGGCTGGCGGCGTGATTGCAGGGTATGATCGCGCCGGCGATCGCAGGCCAGCAGCACGGAGCCAGGGGAGACGATCGACCTCAATATTGGTCTTTTTGGCTGGAGCGTGCAGGCGCTAAATTAGCAAGGCAACCTTATCGCGGCGCCGCTCCACTTCCCCGTCATCAACAGGGGCATGAGCCGACGATAGGCGCAGCCAAGGATCAGGCTAGCGAGATGCTACGTCGGAGGCGCCGTCGAACGGTCAAATCCAGAAGACTGAAGAGTACGGAGTCTGTGCTGGCTGGCCGTGGGCCTCATCCATCAGACGATCTTGTTCCTGTCTTCAGCTGAGTAAATACTCCGTAGGATAATCATCCTGATAGCAGACGTACTGATGATCCCCCTCATTCTGTCATCCGCAACGTCATTGATGCCATTCTGGGTCTCGTTAGCAATACTACATCGGCACACGGACAAGACACGGACCAGCATGCGGCTTGCTGTTCACGGGGCATTGCTGTCCACTGGTGATCCGAGCATGAAACAGCAAACAATGAGAGATCTTGGCAATGACGATGGACAGGGTCTGATGGACAGGGTCTTGTAATACTCCGTACTCCGTACTCTCGATGGACGTTTCTGTCCTACGGGGTCCCCCGTGCACGTGCCCGGAGCCCGCCGTCGGCAGGTGATCTGCATTCTCCAGATTCGGCGATGCAGCTGCATAGCATCAGCAGTTTAGCATTTAGCACGTTTAGCACGTTTAGCACACTGGTTAACGCGTTTAAGCAATGACACCTCGGGAACAACGCTGGGGTATCATGACCTGCATCCTGGCGCTGATCAGTTGCAGATGGCAGTCTGCGATTGGCAAGCTTCAGCTGAAACAGGTACAGAGTACCGATAGATAGCAATGAGTGGATTGTTCAGTGCCAGGATCTCTGTCCAGACAGGTCTGGATGATTGTCTAATTCAAGGATTCATCACACCATCAGCAGTATGCATGTGATTCGATCTGTATCAACGGTATGTACTGTATGGATATCCTTGTCTAGTCGGACCTTTTACCCCTTCTGCCAATCCCGGGGTATGCTATTAATAATCCATAATAAATTCTCCGAAAGGAATCGACTAAATGTCGGCATGTAGGTAGTAAGCAGTTATACTTTCTTTGTTCATCTGCTTATCATCTGACAGACAAGAGACACATACTGTCTGTGCGAGAATCCTATTCGTTATCTAGCTTTAGAGAATCAGTATGTATGTAACCTGATGTACGGAGTACTTGCCAAGATGTCAGTGCGATGGATTATTATTATTAATATTCGACAAGATTGTAACAAGTCGACAAGTAGACAAGAAAGCACGCAATCGAAAGTTTCACATGACATACATACGTCTACTAGGTTGTTGTTATTAAAAATCGAAGTAATCAAATATGTAGTACCAGTCCATGCACGTAGACGCGCCAAGCGCCACTCTTTCTTAATAAGGAGTACAACACGGATATTTATTGATATCATTCCGTATATAGTATAATTTATTTCTTTATCTCCGTATTCCATGTGTCGAATGTTATGTCTGTTTCAGCGGATATGAATCTGTTACACTGTACTTGTAGCACACAAGAAAGACAAGACAAGACATAACAAAGACATGGACATGGACATGGACATTAATTAACAATATCAAGTTACTTCCTGCCAAGATGCTGTACGAAGAAAGAAAGAAAAGGTTATTTCCAGTTATGTTGATCCTGTCTGCTTCCATTCTGTTCCACACTGTGGCATATCCTGATTGGTTGTTAGTATCTAGTTCCCTTGGTATCTCTTCTTCTCTTTTGACTATTATTACCTAATTTCTACTCTTATCCTTAGATATCTTGTCTGATGGGGTCAAATGCCCAATAATGTACTGCGTATGAACTGGATGGAGTACAACTAAGTTAACTAACTCCACAGCACAATGCAATGCAATGCAACCACCCTGAGTTGTGTAAAAACCTAATTTTCTGTTCTAATCTGTACCACAGTAAGTAGGACGACTGATCCATGGGTATCCTGTGGGGATGTGAATGAACCCGTGATTTGGATTTTGTCTCTTTTTTTTTTTGGTCGGTATTCGGGACTGATCGGACGGACGGGAGGACGGAACGGGGGATTTGCTTGGACTGAGTATGTATCGTTTGGTAGGAGCTGGCTAGGTGGTTTTGGAGAGGATGGAATTGTGTGATTTATGATTATTATTTTTTTGTGTATACCATATCATGGATCTTGCTATTTTTATTTTTATTTATTTTTTTCTGTGACTATTAATTATATTATATCTGAGCTATATATCTAGTCTGCTGGCTCTTAACCACCTAAATAAAGTAAAATTTATACCCCAATAAATCAAGCGTACTAGCTGTTCTGTCATAGAATCATGATCATTTTTACTCACATTATTTCATTGACCAGTGTACGACTACCGTGATAGTAGTTTGTTGTAATAGAGTACAGTATAGGTCTGCTTGATTGGCACTATGCTTGTTCTCATATGTATATGTTCTAGCTTGCTGTTGCATGAAGGACGTTTCTTCTGGTTGAATGTCTTTAGGCCTCTGCTTATTGATAATATAAATCCATGCTATCAGCAGAATACCTGTCTCTACTGCTTCGCAATCAAGTCCAACCACGCCGCCAACCGATATCCTGCCCGGGCAAGCAACTCCTCAAACACCGGCTTGCAATCGTCATAGTACTCGCCCGAGAGGTCATTCTCCTTGAGATACGTCAACCCCGGCTTCAGCACCGTGCTGCAGACGTAGCCATTCGCATCGCTCGCCCAGCCCATCGCCGTGCCGATCGGATCGCTGAGATTCATCCCCGAGAGCCACGATGCCTTCTGCGACGCGTACTCGCCGCTCTGCAGGCGCGTGGTCAGCGTCGCCGCGAAGCTCTTGGCTGTCGACAGAGACGACCCCCCTGCGTCGGCTTCTAGCATGTTCGTGTCCCAGATGTGGTGCAGGTTTGTGCTCGTGCCGTTGAACGTCACGTCGATGTCGTTCCCGCCCACGTCGAGGTTCTCGTCGTGCAGCGGCTGGTGGATGTCGCCGACGAACTGGTTTCGTTTTAGCAAGAAGAAATAAAATGTACTGTACTGGGACTACTAACGTGGACGATGAACTTCAGCGCGTCCAACGCTTCGGAACTCGACGTCGATTTGTCCAGTAATTGCGTCGTCTGGATCGTGAGCCAACTGACACCAAGAAGATACAGTAATGGAGAGCGTACATAATTATTAATCGCGCTAACAACGCATCCCTTATCACCGCAGTCCCTAGCATAATCGACGCCACAGCTCGTTGGCGGATCGTCGTGCGCATCGATAAAGTGCAGCGGTTCCGACCAGCGGCCAGCGGACGTGTAGCGGTACGAATCCGCCCAGGTGGCCACGCTGGCCAGATACGAGGAGGACGTATCGCCCAGGATGCCCTGGCAGTAGGACGCCGTCGACGGAGCGACGAAGCTCTGCGCGATGTAGGCGATGGTCTCGTGGCCGAGATTGCCCCAGGCGTAGCTGCGGGGGAGGGTGGCCAGGAGGGCGAGAAGGGATGGAGAGAGCATGGCTAAGATACAATTAATTCTGGCGTGCTAGTTAGTGATTGTTGTGATTGAAAGAGAGTGAGACAGGACTATATATAATCCTCCAGGATATGTATGTCCAGTACAGTACAGTACAGACCTAGACAAGGCATCTATAGGCACTAGCCCGTACTACGGCAAGCCTGTTTAGAGATCGATGCAACTCTGCATCCGCCCCCGCATTAATCACTCACTGAATGATAAGTCTGCAGAGGCACGAGCAGGACAAACAGATTCTGATTCGCTGATTGGAGATCTCCGTTGAAGCTGTACATACATATAGTGTTTGGTCTTATCATGCAGATACGACGCCAGCCATTCGCTACTGCAATATCCTAGGTAGAATAAGCTTGTCATGCTAAGTTTACGGCTATGGTTATTATCCTGTCTGGGAATAGCATTGCAACACGGCAGTTTAAATGAAAGGCCTCCTGAATGGCATACGAAGGGAGAACTGTGTAGCATGTCAGCATACAAACAATATATGTGTCTATATCTATCTATCGAACAAGATGCCGGTATAATATAGTAATTCTGAGTCTTGTCCTCCATAAATTTATATCTAAGGAGTATTAAGAACCGTTTACATGGATGATATATACCTACAGGATTGAGCCTAACATCGTAGAGAGCTTCATCATGATACCATAGACGAGCTGCTGCAGATACCTTAATAATAGAGAGTTTTGGCTGCTAAGCAGCCCCTGCACCAAACAAGAGTATTGTTGCAGAAACGCCCTCTTCTTCCCTGTTAGGCTCTTCCAAGCAATGCAGGACTGTATGTACAGTACAGCTGGATCTTAGACGCCACTGGGAAAAAAAATAATAGAAATAAAAAAAAAATTCCCTAACAATACTCCAAGGTCCTCAGTGCCCGCTTACATACGTATGTACGTCCTGTCACCTGTATCTATTTAGGGTTATACATTCCTAGGGAGGCCACAGAAGGTTAGGGCTGTCTCTCTATCTCGATGTCTAGTCCTGAAAAAAGTCTAGGTATCAAGTCTCTCATTCCCTTGTATCCCGACCAAAAATCATCTTTTTAATTTTTTTTAGCAGCGTATGATTTATTAGTCTACTTCTGCATGAACGCTCCTGCATAAACGCTACTGCTAAGAATACTCGATAACAATACTTCACGCCAGTCGATAGCTCAACGCTGTGGCGGAGGTCTCCGTGCGTTCAACTCCCGCACCAGGTCCGCTCGCAAAGCGGCCTGTTCGGCCTCACTCAGCCTGCGCTCCCCCCTCCCAAGTCGCAGAATCGTCGCCGTGGCCAGGTCCGGCTTGCTTCCGGGACCAAAAAGACGGTACTGAGCACTGGTAATCATGCCAAAGTACACGTAGTTGAGAACAGCCGCTGCACGCAGCGGATTTGACGTGAAGATCCTCGAAACCAGCCGCCAAAAGCTCGGGTCCACGCCAAGATCCCGCGCCAGAGAATCGCAATACTCGAGCAGGTCGGCGGATTGCGCATGGCGGTCCGATCGAACCCACTGGCGGTCGCGTCAATCAGACAATACAATAATCAATCACCGCAGGAGCTTACCCGCTGAGCTCGTCTCTTCTCCGAAGCCGCAATGGCCTTTTCCATCTTTTCAACAGATGGAAGTTTGATCCTCCCCACCAACACCGCCGTCGCCCAGCGCGCCTGCAATTCAACCGCCGGGTGGATCGGCCCCAGCAACTCGAGCAGACCCAAAAAGAACAGATTGGGATAGTGCGGAGGCACCGTCAGCCGGTACAGATGCACCGCGTTTGGTGAATCGATAAAGTTGCTGCGTTCCGCGCGATAGCACTCTTCGGAGATGAAAGGATAGTCGATCCGATACCCGGTACACAGAATGACCGCATCGAGCTCCAGCAGCTTCCCGTTGGTCAGGAGCACCCCTGTCGCAGTAAACCGCTCGATCTCGGCCCGGTGAGCAGTGATGCGCCCCGTTCTGACATTCTCTATAAAGTCAGACCGGAGCACCGCGTTGGATTCCAAGATCCCGTGGTCGGGTCTGAGTGCGGCTGGAATGTCCCCCATTACAAAATGGTACAACCGGGCATTGGCCCACTGCACCAAGGACATCGGTAGGACACTTTGCGTGAAGCGACCTACATGCCGTTAGATTCAGCCCACACAACCGCGTCTTCGTCTGAACCCACTCTGCCACGCTTCCGCCGGTTTACCCAGGACGTAGCGCGGGATAACCCAGCCCCCCCGTCGAGTGATGAGATGGCATTCTTTGGCTTGTCCGCAAAGCTCGGACGCGATATCCACCGCCGACGGCCCAAACCCAACTACGGCGACTTTCAACCCGGAATATCCGTCGGGTCGGCGGTACACCTTGCTGTGGAGGATGCTTCCACGAAAGTTTTCCATTCCCTTAAAGATCGGGACATTCGGGTGGCTATACTTCCCAGTGCAGACGAAAAGCGCATCGTAGCTGTCGTTTACTGGTCCGGCGCCATGTTCGGTGTACGTGACCTGCCATCGGCCGTCGTACAGCTGCTGACACAGCTCGACATTGGCGTTGAACCGGACGTAGTTTTCGAGCCCAAAGTGATCCGCGTACGACTGGATGTATCGCAGGAACAGCTCGTGGCCGTAGTAGTCGGGATATCGAGACGGATCGATGGGAAAGTCACTGAAGTTGGAGGTATCCCGACACGAGTTCGAGATGACGCCGTGATACACCGATGAAGGGGTTTCTCCGGTGGCCGGGTCGGGGTCTTCGTACGCCCACTGGCCACCAATTCTGTTGCGTTTTTCAAAGATGGTGGGGATGAATCCTTCGTCCAGACACTGCTTTGCAGCGACCAGTCCGGAGATACCTACGCATGCTCAGCAAAGGCCAGGCGAGTGCACAATCGTCTTACCCGCCCCAATAATAGCAACCTGCAATGTCATTGTAATCCGAATGCGAGAATAATCAAGGGAGAGACGATAATGGTACGCTGTATGAAATGCGAGCAGAAACTAGACGACAAAGCGAAAGAGAACGGCACAGCTGGCTTGGTTGCGTCAAGCAATTGTTTGGATTCGCGTGGCCGCGGCTCCTTCCCAAACGGGTCCTGTACGTACATCCAGCATGCAGCTGCCAGGCCTCCAACCGCATCGCTCTGCGCCGTCCAGTTTATTTCTTGACGACAGCCGCATTCAGCCGCTCACGGGCCTTCTGGAGAAAACTCTCCTCGCCGTCCTTGCCAATGTCCAGATCGGTAATGCAGAGCGTTTTGTCGCGAGTTTTGCCGCCGCGCAGGACTTCGACGTTGGACTTGGGGACGCCGAACACCTGTCCGTGTGAGATTGGTCCAGGATTACTAAATCGACGCAGATCATACCTCTGCAATGACCTTTGTCACCGCCGCATTTGCCTCGCCGTCCTTGGGTTGTGCAGCCACGCAGATTTCCACCTGGTCGGCGCCTACGGCAGCGATACCCTCGCGCTGGCTCGACGCGTTGGGCTTCACATGGCAGGAGATCTGCAGGTTGTATTTGGGGGGGCTTTTGTTGCGAGACTTGGTCGCGGTGCTGACCAGACGGAGGAGAGGAGCGTTGCTAGACATTGGAACAGCTGGACTGGCAAAGACTGGACTGGCAAGAGACTGGAATCTGGGAATACGATCGCGTCTGCAAGCAATGTTGCAGACAGTGGTCAGTCATGTGCGGGGCATACGCATGCTTAGTAATGGCTTAGTCATTTATGCAGCATAACTATGTGCACAAAGTCAATACGACCAGGATTCTGTGGATTGGCTGGTATTTTCTATCTCTAGTGGAATGCTCGACAATAGTATTCCTCAGGTGTGAATTGTATCGAGAAGTCCTGACGATCATAAGCTGAGCTGGTGATTCCCAACACTCCGCTGCGCAATCATGCTGAGTACAGCATTCTCGTCGACCAGCCATGTTATATACAGCCTCTCCTGCAGACTTGGTGCAAGAAAAATGAAGGAATTCCATCGTATTCGCTTCTCAGCGAATATGCAACGTCTCAGCATTCCACAACTACCTAATAACTGGCAGCTACCAGTCAAACCCTCCAGACAGACATGTCCTCCCTATCAATGGCATTCATTCGACCGTGCCAGGTCCCATGCCAGCCACATCGAGTTTCTCCATGCGTCGTCCGCCGTGGGTTTTCGGGACCACTTAAAGTCGACGATGTAGCGTGGGAGAGGCATATCTTGTCAGCATAGCATATAGCATGCGTGGGACTGGTTCTCATACGATAAGCATACCATTTCTTGGCCTTTCGATCTCAGAGGAGATTGCTCCGGCCTCTATCAAGGGTTATGATGTCGCAGGCCATACGCTCTCTGATAGTAAAGGCATGTTCACGTTAAAAAAGGGGGCAAAAAAAAAAGAAAAAAGAAAAAGAAAAAAGAAAGAAAAAGAAAAGAAATTGAGTTTCTTTAGCAAGACCAAGCAAAAGAACCAAAAACACTCGTACGCAGCCTTAAAAGCGTCCCTGACCTCCCTCCGTTCGGCAGGATCCCATCCTAGAAAGCCCTTCAACAGCACTCCGGGAAGGTAGCTCATCGGGATATAGACGATATACCCCTGCGAGATGAGATACTCGAGGATATGAGATGAGACAAGGAGAATAGTTTTTCTTTATAGCATAGCTAAGGAAAGAAAAATTCTCTCCATTTCGATCAGTGATGTCAGTACTGTAGGCACCATTCAGTATGGTATGTAATACGTAAGAAAAAAAAAAGGAAGAAAGAAGAAAACTGAAAGTTAAGAAATCCAACGAGGGAAATTCATTCATTCTGCCATATTCATGCTTTCATTCATGATCAAGTAAGTTCTCAGGTATAACTATCTAGTTCATCGATGTAATAGTTCCCCAGTATTATATATACAATGTCTTCTGAACATCCCCAACTGAAGTGGAAATAAACGTTTAGTCAAAGGACAAACAAATAAATAATCAATCAGCATAAGGAATAGGGACCTTTCTGTAGAGAAGGAGAACATGGCGTTTCGCCTTGTATAATATGTATGCTATCGCAGCATCCTTCCACCTTTAGTATTCTCGTAACAGGCTCAATAGATACCCACGGATAATAACAACAGTTAACCTTGAATAATAATAATCCATTACCGATATCATTCCCGCTTATCACCATCACCATCATCGTCATAATTATTCTTTTCAATTATTTCGACCCTCTATCAAGATCCCTTTCACGAGGGTTAGGCGTGGCCCCACCATCGCGTCCACTTTCTCCAACAGGAAAGCATCCAGAACATCGACCGATCGACCTTGTCGGGATCGGGAAAGTTCTGGCTATCTATCATGCCTTTCCCCACGGGGTTGAGTCAGCCGATAATGTAAGTACCTTAGGTAGTAGGACTCGGCATACGGAGTAGGGATCTCATGAGTCACGAATGCAGGAAACGCTGCCTAGGTCTTTACATGCGAGTATTTATAATGGGTTCCGGTCGCGGCTGGTTGATGCTTCGCTGGTTGAAATGATATGTACAGTACACTACGTAGCAACGCTATATAACGGTATTTTTTTATTTATAAAGAAAGTCGTCTTCCGCCATGAAGCAAGAAGAAAAGACGCAGGTCTTCCAGGGCGTGACAAGCGAGGATGTCCGGCTGGAGAGGTTGGGATATGAGCAGGGTACGCTGGACATCATTTCCTTTATAAGCCGTTATATTATACTAACGTTATGCAGAGCTCAAACGCTCCTTCGGCCTGCTGGGCATGATCGGTTTCAGTTTCAGCGTGGTAACCTCGTCAGTATGCCCGTGTATCAATAGTATGTGTATCCTGGCTAATTTCGTCCAGCTGGACGGCGCTCAGCGGCGTCTTCATCGTCGGAGTTACCTCGGGTGGCCCGCCGGTCATGGTCTACAGTTTCATTGGGGTCAGTCTGCTGACGTTCGCCGTGGCTATTCCCATGGCAGAGATGTGTTCCATGTTCCCTGTCGCGGGAGGACAGTACTCGTGGGTTGCTGCGCTGGCGCCGCCTAGGATTGCGAGAGGGTTTTCATATATTGCTGGCTGGTTCATGCTCATTGGTGTGTCACCTTTCTCTCGCTTCTCGACTACATATTGACTGCCATAGGAATCCTCGCCATGGGCGCAACAAACAACTACATCTCTGCCAACTTCGTCCTCGGCATGGCCAATCTCGTCTTCCCGGACTACACGATCCAACGGTGGCAGATCGTGCTGGTGGCCTACCTGGTCGCTTTCATGGCAGCGGCCATCAACATCTGGGGCCCGCATCTGCTCAATCGCATTTCGCGATTCATCCTCATCTGGAACGTGGGTTCCTTCCTGATCACCATGATCACCCTGCTGGCCACGAACGACCACAAGCAGCCGGCGTCGTTCGTCTTCCAGGAGTTTGAGAACTTCACGGGCTGGGGCCCGGCCATTGCGGCGATCCTGGGCATTCTGCAGTCGTGCTTCGGCATGTGCTGCTACGATGCACCCTCCCACATGACCGAAGAGATGAAGTCTGCTTCCCGGGAAGCGCCCAAAGCGATCATCCTGTCGGTCGCTCTGGGGGCCGTGACGGGACTGGCCTTCCTGCTCACCCTCTGCTTCTGCATCGGCGACTTCAACGAGACGGCCAACACGAGCACGGGGGTGCCCGTGATCCAGATCTTCTACGACTCCACTGGCAGCAAGGCCGGAGCGTGCATCCTGGCCAGCATGGTGTCTGTCATCGTCATCACGGCGGGCAACAGTCTGCTCGCGGAAGGGTCTCGCGCCGTGTATGCGTTCGCGCGTGACCGCGGCCTGCCTTTCTCGAAAGTGTTCGCCAAGGTCGACAGCACGAGGCATGTGCCGGTCAACGCGGTGCTGCTCACGCTGGCGGTGCAGCTGGCCCTCGACGCGATCGACTTTGGCACGACGACGGGGTTCGAGACGGTCATTGCGATTTCGACGGAGGGATTCTGTAAGCAGTCTTTCACCCGTATGAAACACACCTAGCTGACTGATTGATTTCTCCAGACCTCTCCTACGCCATGGCCCTGGCCAGCCGGCTGCTGGGATACGTGACCGGCCACGTGACGGCGCTGGACGGTCCCTTCGCCCTGCCAGTTCCTCTCTCCATCAGCCTGAACGCGCTGGGACTGCTCTTCCTGCTGTTTGCGTCGATTACCTTCAACTTTCCCACCACGTACCCGGTCGACCACGAGACGATGAATTACACCTCGGCCGCCATTGGCGTCGTTGGCGTCATTGGCGTTGTGACCTGGCTCACGACAGGCAAGCGCCAGTTCACCGGGCCAGGGGGGATGTGTGTGCTGCGGGGTGAGCAGACTGTCGTCAACGAGGGCACTGAGATGAAAAGTGAGCACGGATGCAAGGGTTGATTGACTATTGTTGTAGGTAGATTCATACCAAGGGATGTAATAACTTCTTAGTTGCAATCTATCAAAGGCATTCGAATGAATCAACACACGATCGGTCAGATGACTCCACGTGACAGTGAGGGGTAAACAAAAGAGAGAATATGGAGTACGTGGGGAAAATAAAACGGCAAAATGGCACTTTTCTAAGCTACACCAGTGCTCATGGCAGCCAGTTATTGTGGTTTGTGCTTGTGGTTTGTGCTCGTCATCGCATTATGTTAGCTGATAACGATAATCGCGCGATACTATCGCTGCGGGGCTGGATGGATATCGTCGGAGTGAGTGGAGCAGTTCTGTCTCGATCATCGAGATCCGATGTGATTGATCGTGTCAATTGTCTGACCAGCTAATCTGGCTAGCTACTTAGCTAACGGAATGCACTAACAATCCACATGCCATACCTGGATGCTAGCTAGGCGATGCGTTGCGTGCCGACCCCGCCTCTCATCCCAGCCACGTCCACGCGCACGAGGGGTTGCAGTTCCTGACACTTTTTATCTCTTCAATCTTCGCTCCCCTGATCTCGTTGATCGCCATGACCATCCGAGCGGCCAAGTTCACGCCAGAGTATGCACCCAACCACGCGACCAGCTGAAATCCATCACTCACGCGTTGTCTTAGGATCCTCCTCGGCGCCCCGCGGCGCTCCGCCGCTGTCCCCAACGCCGCCGGCACGCTCGCCGTCTACACCCAGTCGACCTACTCCTTCGAATCGCATTCCAAGACGAACGAGATCCGCGTGCTCGACATCGCCACCGGCCGCTCCGCCGTCATCACCAATGACTCGGGCGCCAGCAACCCCCGCTGGCTGGGCGACGGCGACCAGCTCGTCTGGCTGTCCGAGAAGGACAACGGCAACACGAGCTTCGTCGTCGGCGACGCCCGCCAGCCGGGCACCTCGTACACCGCAGGCACCGTGCCAGGCCCCGTCTCCGACCTGAAAGTCACCACCCTCGAGCCCGGCAAGATCGGCTTCGTCGTCTCCGGCAAGGCGAACCCGGACGGGTCGCTGTACAATCCGAAGGACGCCAAGAAGCCCTTCAGCAGCGGGCGCTACTACACCTCGCTCTTCGTCCGGCATTGGGACGCGTACATCGAGCCGCAGAAGAATGCCCTGTGGTACGGGCTGCTGCAGCTCGCGCCGTCGGCGGCCGGCGGCACGACCAAGAAGTACACCGTCTCGGGCCTGACGAATCTGCTGGCCGTGTCGGGACTGGAGGGCGTCGAGTCGCCCATTCCGCCTTTTGGAGGCACCGACCATTTCGATATCAGCCCTAACGCGGTCGTCTTCGTGGCCAAGGACCCCAAGCTCGATCCGGCGACGCACACGGCTTGCGTCTGCTACTACTGTCCCATGTTCTCGTGGACCGACATTGGCGCCCGCGAGGCACCAAAGGTCTGCAGGCTGAATCCTCCCCTCGAGGGGGCGATGACATCGCCGGTGCTCTCTTCGGACGGAAGCGCCATCGTCTTCCTGGCGCAGAAGACCGACGGCTACGAGTCGGACAAGAACCGCATCGTGTACGTGCCCAATCCGTGGAGCGGCGAGCTGATCGAAGTCTTCGGGACGAGCGACGGCGTTGGGCAGTGGGATCTCAGCCCCAGCGCCGTGTCCTGGGCGCAGGACGACAAGTCGCTGTTCATCCAGGTGGAGGAGAAGGGCCGCGGGGTGCTGTACCAGCTGCCACTAGACAACATCGAGCGAGCAACCCCGCAGTCGCTGCGCAAACTGACGCACTCTGGCTACGTGACGGACGTGGTCCCCGCCGCGGCGAACTCGACCAAGCTGTTCGTCACCAGCAACAACCTCGTCGAGAGCAGCGTGTACACGATCCTCGACCCGGCCTCGCCGGACGACGCGACAGTCGTCTCGTCGAGCACGCGCGGGGGAGCGTCGCTGGGGCTGTCACGCTCGCAGATCGACGAGATCTGGTTCCGGGGCGCCAACGACCACCCGGTGCACGCGTGGGTGGTGAAGCCGTCGAAATTCAACCCGCAGGAAAAATACCCGCTGGCGTACCTCATCCACGGCGGGCCGCAGGGGGCGTGGAACGACCAGTGGAGCACGCGCTGGAACCCGGCCGTGTTCGCGGAGCAGGGTTACGTCGTGGTGACGCCGAACCCGACGGGCAGCACGGGGTACGGGCAGGCGTTCACGGACGCGATCCGCGGGTCGTGGGGCGGGCTGCCATACGAGGATCTGGAGAAGGGCTTCGAGTACATTGCGACGAACCTGGAGTACGTGGACACGTCGCGGGCAGTGGCGCTGGGGGCGTCGTACGGCGGGTACATGGTGAACTGGATCCAGGGGCATCCGCTGGGGCGCAAGTTCAAAGCGCTGGTGACGCACGACGGGGTATTCAGCATGGTATCGCAGCTGGCGAGCGAGGAGCAGTACTTCCCCTTACACGACCTGAAGGGGCCGCTCTGGCGGGTGCCAGAGGAGTGGGAGAAATGGGATCCGTCGCGGTTCACGGCCAACTGGGCGACGCCGCACCTGATCATCCATAACGAGCTGGACTACCGGCTGACGATCGCGGAGGGGCTGGCGGCGTTTAACGTGCTGCAGATGCGGGGGGTGGATAGCGCGTTCCTGACGTTCCCGGACGAGAACCACTGGGTGTTGAAGCCGGAGAATTCGCTGGTGTGGCATCATGCGGTGATCAACTGGATCAACAAGTATGTGGGATTGCCGCAGATATCGAGCGAGAGTACGAAAGAGATTCTTGAGAGGCTGCCACTGAGATAATGAGAACAATGAGAATAGAACAATGCAGCCGACACCCACAGCAGGGGCTGTCGACAGCAGGATGTCGAGAAGAAAGAATGCCGAATCTCAGCAAAGCAAAGCACCTTTTTAGGCAAGCACCTATCAGGCAGTTGTACATACGTACAGTACATATATACATAAAGACAAATAAGCAGAATCGAACAAACAAACAAACCCACAAAGAGAGCCAGTTTCCTCGCAGCATATGATATGATACGGCATATCCCGTACAAAGAAAACTCCTTACAAGAAAACTCCTTACAAGACACGAGTTCAACAGTCTCTACATAAATAAAGAATATAAAGAATAAAAATCGAACAATGACAACGACCATTACCAATTGTCCTCCCTCCCCCCATCTTCTCAATATTCCAATTCGAGGCAATGCAAGCATCTTGGTATCTGGATGAGGCGTCTCGCCACGGTGGCTGATTAATTGATGTCACTAGCCAGCAGCAGCCAGGAGGCAGTGAATGAAAGAGATTCAATGAATGAAAAAGAAGAATGAATGAATGAATGAGATTGTTGACTCATACCACACCACACCACCAACACTTTCCGCAAACTCGTATGGGATGATCCTTGTACTGCTTATATATATCTAATATACGGACGTCTGTCTTGCTTGTCAGTTAGTTAGTCAGGTTGAGATTTACTGCCGAGAGAGAGCAATTCGCTGAGAGCAATCAATTAGCTGCTTGTATCTCGTATTGTCTGGCTGGCTGAAATCGTTGAGATTGTTGCTATACTGATCAGCTTTTTTTTTTGTTTTCCGGGTCTGAAAGTATACCACTGGTTGTTCTCTACATTGATTCTATTTATTTTATTTTATTATATTATATTTATGCGATTGCCATGTCAGGCCACGACATGAGCGGGGAGTTTTCTTCTTCGCAGGGAGAGAACCAAAAGCAGACGCAGAAGCAGGAGCAAAACCAGAATCAGCAACGCTATCCAACACTCAAACTGAATCTGAACCTGCAACTCGAAACCCCATCACCATCCGACAAAAAAGTCCTCCTTCAGCCAAAAAAAGTGTTGCATCACCCCAACTTCTTTGCGACACTACACCACCTCTCCCGCCCCCTCTGCCCACTCGTCTCGATAACCACCGGCAGGGCACACCCCTCCTTCCCACGCACAATCCTGGCTTACCACCTCCTGACCTCCACTCAACTGGACGATCTTGCGCGACACTACCATCAGATCTGGCCTCCCGTGCCAGAGACATTCGGGTATCCGATCCGCGTACGCGCGTGGATTGGCACGCCGGAGGAGAAAAGCGTCGATATTGAGACGAAACGCCGTCGAATAGGGAGGTTTTTTGGGTTGAGGGGGTGTGAGAGTCCTGTCGCAGAGGGGTTTGATGACGGCGCTGGTACTGGTACGGGTGCTGGTGATGATGATGACGCCCGCGCTGTCGAAGAGCAGATGGAGAAGGAATGGCAGGAGGCGCTGCGCAGGGCGAGATGTGAGATTGATCCTGATGCTGAGGTTAGGAGGAAGGTGGGGGGTTATTAAAAAATAGGATTGTATTGACTTGCTGATTGGAAGGATATGTCCTCGACATGACGGATAACGATTTCTCGGTTCCCAGTCGATGAAAACCGAACTATTTCGTGGATGTCAGGAGCTGAGTTGAGTTGAGCTGAGTTGAGTTGGATTGGGTTTGGTCCAGTCGAGTCGATATCTTGCTATTTCACATATTCCCAGCAGCATGCGTTGTGTGTTGGATTGGATTGAGCCATTTCCTTTCTTTCTTTTCTTTCCTTCTTTCTCTTCATTCATACTGTTTATGTTTACGAATATGGTTCCTCACATTTTATTAAATTCGTTCGTGGTGGCTACCTGTCGACTCCTGGGTTCATCTCTTTCTGTCTCTCTCTCTTTCTCTCTAGTTTTTTTTTATTTTCAATTTATTTCCTGTCTGACTTTTTCTGGATGGTATAGATTGATATCCCTATTTTTTTTTATCTTTTTTTTTCCGGATGTTGGTGTGTGTGTGTGTGTGTGTGTGTGTGTGTTGATATTCACGTTATGTCAGAAATGATAGATAGATAGATACCCTTACTTAACTTAGTCTTAGGATAACTACCTACCCAAACTACTTACTAGATTGTTTTATCTCGTTTCGTCTCTGTCTCTCCTAGGTTGTGGAAACTACCCTGTGCATGGTCCACGGAATACAATATGCAAGACTGCATTAGATATTCATTCTGTCTTATACTAAACATACGTCGTGCAAGGTTTATTCCAATACATTCTATCTATCTACCATTATCGCACTCCTCTGCAATCAATGACCCATCCCCTTCTCCCGATTCTCCAGCACCAGCCTCCAGTACTTCTCGCGCGACTTGACGCGAAACGACTTGCCAAACTTGATCATGACGAGGAAGACAGCCGAGCAGGCCATGCCGATGAAAGCGGCGGAGATGAAGCAGTTTTGGTAGCCGAGGTTTTCGATCCAGGGGGTAATCCTAGAAATATCAGTAACACGAACGCATGCTACCTGTCTGGGGGGCATACCCATATCCAATCGCAAAAGACATGGTGTTGCGCACCAATATCACCGTCGTCATCGCATCCCCGCTTAGCTCGCGGTAGCTGTCTACCATGTAGTTGACGCTCAGCGTGATGCCGGACGTGTTGCAGAATGCCAGCAGCCACATGGCGAAGATCAGCCCGAACCAGTGTACGTGGTGCGCTGCCCCGACGCCCCAGAGGATGAGCGCGCCGGGCACCGCAATCACGCAGAAGGCGAACGGCCATAGTCGGTGCTCGGCTTCCATGACGCCGTTGTTGCGGCGGGCGAGCCGGATGGTGAGCCAGTCGCTGAAGTTGCCGGTGAAGAGGGAGCTAACGACGACAAAGTCAGTTGTTGACTAGGATATTCATTAAGGCTTGACTCACCCCGCAACCACGCCCAGACAGCAAGCAATATAGCTGAGACCGACGATCGACGAGCTGTCATGTATATTAGTCTGCGAGTAAATACACGTCCGGATTAAGTTCTACCTAAAGTTGTACGGCGCAGAACCCAGAATAATCGACGCCGTCCCGTTGAGCACATTGAACCATATCAGGTAGGACCCGTAGGAGAAACTGCAAATAAGTACCAAGCACAGCCAGCGCCAGCCATACTTCGAGACGACTCACCCAGAATAGAAAATCACCGGCCAGCTGGCAAAGTACAAGGCGTGCCATGCCCGGCGGAAGACGTTGTTCTTCTCCCTGGTCGACAGGAGGGACAGTTTCTGGATGTAGGTTTTCTTATTGTACGTGACTGGGCTGGAGCTCTCGACTGGCGGGTTGCCGCTGGTCTGGGGCGCTTTCCCCGGGTCTTCGGCGTTGTCCTTTTCGGATGCTGCTGGCGACTCGGTGACCACGCCCACCGTCTTTCTGTCGTAGTTGGTCTCCTCCATGAAGAAGAACAGGAAGACGAAACAGCCGCCGAGGAAGATGCTGGGGTAGTAAAACACCCATCGCCAGCCCTGGTACTGGGCGATGAAGCCGCAGATCACCGGCGCCAGGAAGTTGCTCCCGGCCAGGAAGAACGAGTACAGGCCCATGTACGTGCCGCGTTCGTGGGTGAAGTACTGCCGCTCATTCAGTCACCTGTGCTCATCCTAAATGGACATCGAATCTACTCACCACATCCGTGACTGTGATTTCAGGGAGAGCCTCGATGGGCGCGGTGAAGAAGCCCAGGAGGATGTTACGGGCAATCCACTGGCCCTCCGTCAAGCCGTATGGACTGGCGGGTTAGTTTGTTCCTTTATCTTTCGTCTTCTAACTTACCCCCACATGGTCATTGCCTGGATGTGTTAACGTCAGAAATGGACTAGCATCGACAAGAAGCACTCACCAACACGCCCAAGACCGAAATCAGATAGGTCAGTCGCTTCCCATACTGCATGGCCACCGGCTGCCAGAACAGCAGACTCCAGCCGGCCAGCAAGAACATGTACCCGGTGCCCTGGTTGAGCGTGGCGACGGGGATGCCCGTCTCCTCGGACAAGGGGACCAGCACGGAGTACACGACGGAGCAGGCCATGCCGGTGAAGAGGGTATATCTGGCGCATTTAGTTTACTCCGTACGCAATGTCTGGTGGATGCTTTGTTTGTTCCATTACTCACGCGCTCACGCATATGGTCGACAGCAGTTTCCGTCTAGGCGACCAGTTCAGCGGATCGTCCGGGTCATCAGACGGCGTGGGCACCAGGACAATGTCCCTATCGCCGCGGTCGAGGTGGCGGGTGTGCAGGACATGCTCCAGGTCAACCAGGGTGATGGTGCCTGGGATGGCCGATGTGTCGACATCAGACGTCATGGCGATGAGCAGGCTGTATGAGAAGACAGCGCAATGGCAGAGAAGTCGAGGTCATCAGAGTTGGACTTGAGGGACAATGCCGACAGTAGAATATAATATACGGAGGCCATAGCTCCAGCTTGCGCGGAGAAAGAAGTCGCTATCGCTTATCTGGGCGAATCATCTCGCCCGTTCAGGGAGGTCGCCAAGAGAGGATCCCCGCCAGCTATCAGCAATCTGCAATCATATCGCTGCTTCTTTTGATAAGACAGACGATATCTAGACCCTGAACATACGAGATCTGGTTATGATCTAGAATTAGAATCTCATTTTTCCCTTCCATGACCCAATGGCTGCAGAGAGAGAGATTGGAGCTCGAAAGCTCTATCCCGAGGTATCTAGCAGTACCCATCTTGATAGCGGTTATGCGGAGTTTACTCCGTGATGGTTGTTGTTTCCGTGTCTTGGCAGGTAATAATTCCGATCCTTCAGGCGTATTTATTTTTATTTGCCAACTAGGTTATTGCTTATTGCAACTGACCACAATCTCATCTAGAGGACAGAATAGCTAGGTGCATTCAATCAGAGGTAGTCGATAATCAAAGAATACAAGCACAGCTGCAGAGGCAAATATGTACTGTAATGTACTGTACATAAAATAGTGATACTCCCTTATCAACATCTTGCTTCGTATTTGGCCCCTTCTATACCACGTGTTAGCCACTGATCATTTATGGTATGACATTGTTTAGATTACTTGCCAAGTAGAGTAGCATACCTACGTATGTGCCTGCGGGGTTTACAAGCCAAGCCTTATACAAGGTTGGTCTGGTGTAAGCCTCTTTAAAGGCCGATGAGTTCGATTGATGATAAACTTTGTTGAATCCTCCAGCGGTCTAAGTTTAAATTTATAGTGCTCCTTTCCAGGTAGGTACTAGATAGTAGAGTCTTGACTCTTCCTGTCAGATTTGTGGATTATTAGGTCTGTTTTACTAGTATTCGAAAAAAAAAAGGAAAAGGAAAGAAAGCAAAACCACGCTTATATACATTCGCTTTAGTGTTAGAATCATAGTTCTTCTAAGTTTATCTGCTTGCTAGAGGGACATGTGTATTCTCCATGGTCTACCTCATCAACAGGATCAGCTCTCCTTGCTGGTGGATGTCAATTGAGCAGTGATAATTAGATAATTAATCAATCCAGAGTTGCTTTTTTTTTTTGAGAAAATGAGAGAAAATAAAAGAAGAAAATGAATGATGAGAAAATAAAATAAAATTAGAACTCATGGAAAACTACCACGACACTCCCATCCAGGAAACCGAAGGAACATTTTCTCAAGAGGATTTAGTGAACCAGTAATTACTAATTCCTCGACGTTGAAATCTGTCGAATTCTACATCTTCAACTCAGAATCTAACTAATTATTCTAATATCCATCCGCATTCCATAAATTAGTTGTTGAGCTGATATGTTCAGTAGCTGATGACTGACAGGTGCATGAAAATCCACTGAGGCCAGAGGCAGATTAGATCCTACCAGGTAGCCATGATTGGGATCCTGTCGGTTTATGTAGGGCTTATCAGCTTGATAACCTGCTTGGTTTGAGACTGAACAGGTATTTCTTCGATTCTAAAAGAAAGCCTTTGATTCGTCTATGGTACGGTGAGAATGTGGGAAAATGGCAGACAATAATAATAATATTAATTAAATAATAGCGAGTCAACTTAGGGCAGAGAGTGATCCTATCTCGTGCCTGGTCACGTGGTGACATAAGGCATGCATTTAGAGTAATGTATTACTTTATTGGACTTCTACTTTCTTATAGAATTCCATCTGATAAAAAGTAGGATCTGACACTATTATAAATAACTATGATTATAGCAGAGCCATCGAAGTAAATCCCTTTCTTCGTGCATAGATATCTCTTCTGTGATATGACCCATCTTCCAAGGGATGGCCGTAGCAACTGCCTCGGTAAAATAATGCATAAACGTACTCCGGAGTACGGAGTATAGACAATTTAATAGTCCTATTCACTAGTATAGTTAGTCATCACCGGATAAAAGATCCGAAGCAAGCGGGGTTGAATCCGAATACGAAGCAAAATCAGATATCATACCGTTCAACAAGCTTCTTTAAAGCACAACAGCTCACTCGGATCTTTTACCTAGGCAAACCTGCCAGGCACACTACTCCGGAGTATAATGTTTATGCCTGTGAAAGCGGGGCGCCGTGGGGAACCTCGGTCTCTCCCCGCAAAAACTTCACGCCAGGCAGCATCGCAGATCGTCTGCATTCCCCACACTCTAAAAAATTCTTCAAGGAGAGGCTAATTGTCGAACTAGTGCTCGTCGACGGGCGAAATGGATCAAATGACCAGCAGCAAGCGACTCCGGCTGCATTCGGAGACGAAGGAGAGTCCATTATTTCCAATATTTTTCCGGTTGGATGGATAGAAGCGAAATATGGGGTCATTCGAACAGCAGGTCTGGTTTGGATAGAGTATTTAATCGAGGAGGAGATCCTTCAGAAGTGCCAGCGGTGAAGGTCACCGTCAAAGAGTGAGACTATGGCCGCCTCTCTCCTGCTTCTGTTCCTCCTCCTCCCCAGGGTCTTCGCCCTGCCTGCTCGACTCCGCCGGGATGGACCTCCCCTGCCCACCGACGACCCGTTCTATGTGCCTCCAGCAGGCTTCGAATCCTCGCCCCCTGGCACGATCCTGCGCTACCGGACCCCCCCGTATCCCATCGCTGCGTTTGGCGCGGACCCTGTCAACATCGCCGCCGCCTATCAGATCCTCTACCGGACAACCGACTCCTTCGGCGATGCCATTGCGACGGTGTCGACCATCCTGATCCCCCACAATGCCGACAACACCAAGCTGCTCTCTTACCAGGTGGCCGAAGATGCCGCGGACCCCAACTGCGCCCCCTCGTACGCATTCCAGTTCGAGTCTGCCACCGGCGGCCCGCTCGGCCTGCTGATGCCCCAGCTCGAGCTGCACCTCATCGAGACGGCCCTGTACAACGGCTGGATCGTCACCGTGCCGGACTTCCTCGGCCCCAAGGCCGCCTTCCTGGCCAACAACCTGGCCGGGCATGCCGTGCTGGACAACATCCGCGCGGCGCTGGCGTCCTCGAACTTCACCAACATCTCGTCCGACGCGACTATCACGCTCTGGGGGTACTCCGGGGGCAGTCTGGCGAGCGGGTTCGCCGCCGAGCTGCAGCCGTCGTACGCGCCGGAGCTGAAGATCGCCGGAGCTGCGCTGGGAGGGACGGTGCCTCAGATCCTGCCCGTCATCGACGCGGTCAACAAGGGCCCCTTCACGGGGCTGATCCCGTCGGGCATCATGGGGCTGGCCAACGAGTACGACGAGATCGACCAGCTGATCGACGAGAAGATCCTGCCGTCGAAAAAGGCCGATCTGGAGCAGGCGCGCAGCATGTGTCTCGTCGGCGACGCGGAGAAGTATTTCGGTCAGGACGTGTACAGCTACACGACCGATCCGAACATCTTCACGGAGGAGACGGCCACGACGGTCATGAGCGCCAACGACATGGGCCAGCATGTGCCCACGATCCCGCTGTTGATCTACAAGTCTGCCGGCGACGAGATCAGCCCCGTCAACAACACCGACAGTCTGGTGGCGTACTACTGCGCGGCGGGCGCGAATGTCGAGTACAAGCGGGATGAGTTTTCGGAACACGCGACCATGGCGATCATCGGGGCGCCGGATGCGCTGATCTGGCTGAGCGATCGCATGCGAGGCGTGCCTGTGACGCCGGGGTGTACGACGACGACCGAGTTTACCAGTCTGGCGGACCCGGGGGCTCTTGCGGTGCTGGGGGAGAGTCTGGTCGAGATTCTGCTGAGTTTGTTGCAGGCGCCAGTTGGGCCGATCATGATTGGCTGAGTATTCTGCGAGGTAGTCGGATTGATATGATTGATGATTTTATGGGTATAGTGCTGAGTGACAGGATGATATGATGAGATGATATATATGCTCGTATATACCAACTTAGCTTACTGAATGATGATGCTTAATCAGTTCATATCGAATGCAATATATACAGTACTCGTGAGTTCTCTCCATCAACAATATCCAGAATAATCGCCCTATCGTACTTCTACCGATAAATCCATATCAGCTTCGCTGCTGACTGTTAGTATGTGCAAACGTCAATATCCGCCGGCGACGTCGCCTTCCCCATTCCCAACTCGGATCCAGCACACTTGTGTGCCGCAGATTGTTGACGCTCCAGAACTGGTAGTCGTCGTTGCGGAAGTCGTCGTCCGAGGTGGGCGGGCATATATGTGTTCTTGAACGAGATCGTGTGCCAGTCCTGGTGCACGGGATAATAGCCTTGTTATGAATGAAGGAGTGATGATATCCTCCTTCAGCGACTCTTCTTTTATATACCTCTGGAACTAGTTTTGAATGAAAACAAAGTTATTTTTAAACTAATGACACCTGCTTACGGCCTAATTCCTGCGAAAGCGCTTATGCTCGTATTTCTTTTTAAGGAAATGTGTCTTAACTTTCTCTCCATTTATAGACTCTATTTTCAGACGTATATAATACATACAGGCAAATCTGAGGATATATCGACTGCTAAACAAAGTATGCCCTCGCTTCTAAGATAGTCGCTATAAATATATTTCTAAAACGTCCCACCAACTCCCCACGTTCTCACTACCAGAAGCAGAAGCCTTAACTAGTCAGGTAATAAATAATATAGGCATATCTACAGCTTATCTTGTAAGAAACGGGACATGAGGCTGACATTACCGATTTGGGGGTTTGCCTATGTAACTCAGTCAGTGGATAAAATTGATAGTGCCATATTCCAGATTGGGGATTTGTGTATACGTTATACCGTAGGTACGTTGGTGGAGAGGTATCAAATAAGATTTTCCAAATTAGTTCTTTACCTGTTGAATCCCATTCTTTACTCATTTGGTACACAGTGCGATCAATAAATATCACACTTGCAGATTTCCTGTGCTGTTTACTTTTTCAGTATGATTGACTGCTTTTGCTAGACAGTACCTACGATCGGGATATCTGCTATTAGTATACGATTTCTGTCCGCATACATTCTTCGGAAGTGATTTCCGCTGTCGCCATCAGGATAAGCAGAGGATGCTGCAAATTGACCTGCGAACAGGGTGACATCATTCTCCAGTTTTGGGTTAAAGAACGGCCACCAATCAACACGGGCACATCGAAGAACCTAACCATGACGATATTCATGAGAGTACTCCGTAGTTCGTTCTGCTTCATTTCGAGTCCTTGCGAAGTTTTGAACACTTACAATTTCAGCTACAACGACTTTATCTGTGCCAGTCATTTTCGTTTTTACGTCCTCTTGTCAGCTTCCGCCATGTCTTCTCGCATTCTTGACACCATCAAACGGGACCATCGCGAGATAGAGGCATGCTACGATCGAATCATCAAGTCGACCGATCCGGACGAGCAGACCCGGTTCCAGAACCAGTTCACCTGGGAACTGGCGCGGCATGCCGTCGGCGAGGAATTGGTGCTCTATCCCGCGCTGGAAAAGCATCTGCCGGATGGACACGAGCTGGCGGAGAAGGATCGGAATGAGAGTCAGACGGTAAGAATCCATCCATCGGATACATCGCAGGAGAAGCCTTCAACCAGACTAAGTCTGAGGTGAACAGGTCAAAGAACGACTCAATATCTTCCAGAACATGTCCTGCTCCGACCCGCAGTTCCTGCCCACAATCCGGGCCCTGATGGACGACCTCTCGCAGCACCTGAAGGAGGAAGAAACCAACGACGTGCCCAAACTCGACAATGCGCTGTCCTGGCAGGAGAGCAACCGGCTGGCCCGCTCGTTCGACCGCACCAAGATGTTTGTCCCGACGCGCTCGCACCCGGGAGCGCCCAACAGGCCGCCTTTCGAGACGGCTGTTGCGTTGTTGACGGCGCCGATTGATCGGCTGGCTGATATTTTTCGGAAGTGGCCGGATGAGGAGATGTATGAGCCGGAGCCGAGTGATGGGATGAGCTGATCTGACTATGTACTGGGTGTATTGTCCGGAATAGTAGTATGAAAATAGGATGAGGTGAATAGGAATATAGAGATACTTCAGATCTCAATTTGGGACTGTAGTATAAGGATAATCGTTTCTTTACGGCAGGACAAGGAATTCTTGCGTCAGAATTTCTTGTACACACTAAGCAGGAAGATTGAAAAGAAAGAACAAATACGAGAGCCGAGACCAGAGTCGAACAAGACATAAATTATGCATAACAATGTCATGATAGTAATAATAATGATTATACTGCTGGTGGCGTCTATGATCCTACATTACACTTATACTCATCGTACTGCTAGAATTAATTCATCCTGTTCAATTCCCAGGTCAATCCTCAGGGGAGTCCTAAGTCCACATCCGCCCATATATCAAGTTCCCTATTATATACCTATCTATTATACAAGAATGAGTGATATATATAACGAATGTCTAGTCAGCAGCATTCCAGCTCAGCCGATTACAAAAACTCAATTAAGGAATGAATAACTCGTCTTTCGTGACATGGCGATGTAGGAGGTGCTGTCTACGCCTCCGACCACTCGATATCCCTCCGCACAGAGATAGAATTCATCGGGATCTTCGCGTCGTCATACTTGGCGCCCTCGACATTGTTCGTCAGCCCGACCTCGTCCTCAGGTGCCGTCGAGGCATTCCGGTTGCTGCCGTCGGGCAGGCGGAAGAACGCGCGGCCGTTCTGCGATGACTTGAAGCCGGCGGAATTGCTGTTGTTGGGCGTCTGTGACCGCTTGCTGGTGCTCCAGAAGAGATGGCCGAAGACGCGGCGCAGAAGCGGGCGCAGCGTCGGCAGACAGGCGCAGACAATGCCGATGCAGGGCTCGACGCACGACCAGACGAACGAGTCGGATATGTTCCAGGTCAGGTCTTCGGATTTGAACATCAGGGTGAGGAAGTGGATGCGGAGGACGCCGGCGATGCAGACGCTGTCATCACTTAATTAGTATGCGACAGGATGACCATGGAGGAGAGTTCCCTACAAACCACCCAGCGCGAAGATGCCACACACAACCAGCCTCTGCGACAACGGCATCCGCAGACGCATGACCATCGGAATCGGAATGAGCAAGATCATAAAGTCGGTCAGCACGCTGAGCGAGGCATTGCTGACGTAGAAGGCGTAGAAATTGACGCATTTCCCCTTGGCCGCCGGATTGACGTATTGCTCCCAGAAGTAGGTGTACGGTTGGCACTGGACGATGACGACGATGTAGATGGCGACCAACCAGCCGAGCACGAGAGAGGCGCAGAATCGCAGCGCGATGGTCACCGGCCGGACGGGGAAGACGCGGTGGTAGAACATGATGAGCGACATCTTGGTCGTGGGGATGACGGCGCCGTAGAAGAATTCGTATGCCCAGAGGATCTACAGTCACCAGGTGAGTAAACGAGACATATTGGACCGGATTACTGTACACACCTTCATGATCTGTTCCAGATTGACAGCGGGATTCCAGATATGTTTGCCGAGGCCGTGATGGCAAGCTGACTGGCATTAGTTCTTTCATACTTCAATCTTAGGAGAAATCCGAGGTATCCTACCGATGATAGTGAGTGCTCCCGTCCCACATGCGAAGACCTGCTGGTGTCAGAACTGAACTTGCCCTGCAGAGATAGAGGAGGAGGATGGCTGCTCACCAGCGCCAGCATGGCCAGATAATCATCCCATTGCAACGTTAGCTTTGCCGTCACTCGAGACGTGATGCGGAGTGCCACTGCTGACGAAGACAGCACCATCAGCGCCACGACCTGGTTGATGACTGACTGGCTGATGTCCTCGTAAATGTTGAGACCGGGGGGAGGGGGGGCTGCCATGGTGTTGATCAGAGTCAACGGCAGCGGAAGTTGGATGAGTTCGTTTTTCTGGCCTGCAGAGACGGGCGTCTTGATATCGATGCGGAGATAGTGACTGGACTCTCAGCACGAAGGACGATTGTGGATATTCCGCTCTTCATATATCCAGGCTGTTCGAACTTCGGACGGTTCGAGTCCAGCCCCTCGAGCAATAGACCCTTCTCGCACTTAAACTGCAGCGACAACTACGCCGAGAAGGAAATATGACAAGGACTTGACAGTTAACTATGCCCGGAGGAGGGGTGGTATCAGGACGATCGCAGACCCTTACCTGTCCACTTCTCCGCACGAGGCTGGACACGGACTCTGATCGCTGGGTCCAGAGCACGAGGGTGCGAGAATCGGGGCCAGCACATTATTGAGTATCAGGCAAGACCTCCACTCTCTTGAGACCGCTTGGACCGCATGAAGGGTCTTGTCGTCGTAGTCTCTGGCTAACGAGTCAGTACACAGCTCGGCATTGGTCTAGACTTGCGAGCACTGTTGACACGTCCAGTAATCTCGTTCGGACAGGGATGTCAGGACCGGCAGTCGATCTGTCAGAAATTTAAGGTCTTCTGACTCAGGTCGACCAGAATCGAGCGACTGGCTCTCCTTGTCGTGCCAGTTCTACTCCGTAAATCTATGACAGACTGCTGCACTACGTACTCCATACTCAGGAGTATGAGAAGAGTGAATGCTAGGAGAGACGCCCTTAAGCTGTCAAATTGACCTGCGTATTGAAAGCTCGTCTACAGACGCGGTCCTAGTAGATTCGTTCGTACCTCTACATACATACAAATAAAATATCGATTCACACAAACATTCAACTTCACTAATTGCTGGTGACATCTCCCGCAGCATTCCGGATCAAATTGACGACCGTCTCCGGCATTGACAGCATCGGAGAGTGCCCCGCTGAGCATACAACTCTCGTCAGGTTCTCGCCTCCAAAAGCCACCATCGCCTGCTGTCCCGGCAGAGGGATCGCAGCGTCCTGCTCACAGATCAGATAGGTCGAGGGCACGTCCCGGTAGGCCGCATATGACAGCGGCGTGGTGAAGGTGGGCCACGCGTGGTGTTGAAGGAGGGAACCGAATTTCTGGGCCGTTTCGGGTGGAACGTCGTTGTAGAACACAGGTCCGGGGTTCTCTACTGTCATGCGGTCGCCCTAGTCGGACCGTTAGAGATCTATGACAGATTTGTGGGAAGAATACTCACATCGAAGGTGATCCAATCGGGCATGTATCCCAGGAACGAGGCCAGAGACTGTCCTGGCAGGATCAGGAACGCAGAGATATACACCAAGGATATGACTCCTCCCTTCTGGCCGGCGGCTTGTCTGTCTTTCTTTGCCAGGCCTTTGACACTCTCAGTGCCGGGGATACCGCTGTACGAGTGTGTGATCAAGACCACGTCCTTTCCCTCTTCGACCAGCGGTGCCACAGTTTTCTGGATATGGGCAGTATCGTCGGTCATGGTCGTCGTGAGCTTGCCTCCGACTGACGGCAGATGCAGCCCTATGCACGGGTAGCCCAGACCCTTGAGCAGGCCGATGACATTTTCGAAGACGGCGGCAGTATGCCAGGCGCCGGGGATGAAGACCAAGGTGGGCTTTTCAGATAGCTCTGCGATGGCCATTGTTTCCAGACAGGGAAATAACTCGACTCAATTCGATTGTTGAAACAATGGTAGGGTATGCTCACACGTGTCAAGACTCAGACTCACGATCAAGGGTGAGGAGGGGAAAGAAGAAAGAAATCCCCGACAGGGCGACTCGCAAGTACATAATAAGGACCAGGAGCCAGGGCTAGAGCGCAACGCCGTTTGTCAATCTGCTGCAAGGCTAGAAGACATGGCGTTAGCTGGACGGCCTGACGCTCAGCTCACATCGACTAGACGACAAGAAACTTTCTCCGACTGTCGCGAAAAGTCGTCGATCAGGCTGCGCCGCATACTGCCGTGCCGCAAAGGAGACACAGAAGGAAGGAACACGGTAGTTCGTTCGAATCAGGACTGGATTCTTCGTTATGTCGAGCACTGGCAATGTTGTGCACCCTTGGACCAGTCGAATTCAGAAGAGGTAGGTGCCAGCAGGTGCTTCTCGAGGATAATCCTCCATCACTCGTCCGTCCGTCCAGCTGAAGACCTGTCAGTAATATTCCGGAGCAATGAGTGATCGTACTGCGTGCATACCATTTTTACTTAACCAGGTAATGACTCTCACATCTCGACTGTCGTAATACATGCAATTCCATTCCTTCACCCAAAAGACCATAGATAGACGAGAGTCGAATGATCACTAAGCTCCCCCTTCATTACTGCCTTTTCGGTGCTTTCTCAGCTGTCAACTGATCCATTTCTCCGTAAACCCAGCTCCGATCATGCAGCAAGGCTAGCGCAACGACCCTGGTCGTCTGGTAGTGACTGAAATTGGCCTGCATCAGGCCTGACTCGTGCTGGTCCCAAGTGACTTTGGGTCGTTGCCGATCATGTGATGTATCAACACGGCAGATATCGGAGGCATTTACTGTCACAGTTGTTGGCGAAGATGAAAATTAAAATGAAAATTCGATGGTGTGGGTTCTTAAATGGGCTGGCTGCGATGCGACTATTTGTACTCCGTATTTTGAGTACAGTACACTGCAGTGCAGATTGGGATTATTTATTGCAGTCAGTCAGACCGGACTAAAACCCATCGGAGGATATTTTGTGACACATACATTTTTTTCACCGCCGGAGTATTAATGACAGCATTAATGCTACTGTATGTTTAGTAATGTTACAGTAGGGCTAAGTTTGACAGGGATTTTGTATTTGGTGGATTCCCGTCCCAACAAGGCTGTCAACGCTGCAACCCTGCATGCCTTTCAGGCTATCCTCTGTACAACAATCACCTTGTGACCGTTCTATCAGCCTCAAGTCTCATCTTGGCTATAAGTCTATCAAATGTAGTCTGTAGGTCGTCATGGGACTGGATTAATAGAGTTTGACAGCCTGTCAGCTCCTAAATAAGGGGCCGGTAGACACACCGCTACCTGCGGCGCAGTACTCAGTTACTTCCTTAGGAAAGACACTCATGCACGATTAGTGAAGTTTATTGACGATGAATGGTCAACAGACGGATCCAGTTGGGTGAGAAGAATGTGCTGACGCTGTTGTGATGCATAATGTACGTACGAGCCGCTTGAAGTCAGCTTTTTATTATATTCTCAGACTACTTTACTTACTCTGTACAAAGGGATGGATCTGCTAGTTATAATATTCAGTATTATATGATCATTCCCGCCGTAACTCTTTTCAGTGTGTCGATCATATATGACATCTTTCACTAGAAAGGAGATGATGGGCAGGTTTCATGAATTAGTAGGAATAAAATTACTCCGGAGTAGGAACTTGAAGTTCGAGGATCAGACTAAGGATACGTAATCTGGATATTATATTTCCTTTTAAAGTAGGTGGTGAACAGAGTAGTGAAGCTCAGCCTAGCTATGCATTACCTGCATAATAATCGACTTTTTTTTCGCCTCCTTTATCTGTCTTCTTTTTGTTTCTTTTCTTTTCTTTTTTTTTTTTGTAGAAGACAAAGACAGATTCAGCTATTTTACGCCTCTGAATATTAACATATGTGGAAATTCGTTTAGTCAAGTGTGATTAAAAATTTATTTAAAAGGATGATGTGTTACATCTCTAAAGTAAGAGAAAAAAATGTGCTGTATTTTATCTATGCTTCATCTGCAAGAGCTTGTACGAGTTTAAAATTATAAGCATAGTTGTGTCTAGCTGATTAGGTTAATTGATAATATGGATCTCTACAAAATCCAGTTGATGGTTTGTTTACGATGGGAATCACTCGTCACATGATTCGATGTCAGAGAAGGCGTCGACTTCACTGAGACTTCTTTCCCACACACCCAGGCTAGCTTTGACAACTGTCAGTGTCAGCCTTGCCATATTGAATTGAGGAAACCTTCTGGTATTTTTGTGGCGCAGCAAATGCATGAGTATACTTGGACAAGCTTCATGCCCACTTTTATCCAAAGGATGCTATATCATTTGATGACAGTCACGCAAACATCGCTTGAGAGTCGCCACAAAGTTATATGCTGAAAGAGTCCGTGTAACAATTATTGTCATCCCTTCTCAAGCGTCGATGATCGCGGTATTGATATCGCCAGGTCTCCATTCTATTGGACAATCTCTTTCGACGCAGACAGATTGTGCTCCCACGAAGCTTGGCCGATGCCTTGACTCTGGAGAAATCCTCTGAGGAAACGTCGGGAGGAGAAATGTTTGTCAGAGTATTGTTGTTTCGTGGGTACCGCCACACAATCTAGCATAGAGAGTATGCAGCTGACCCGTTTCTTTCATCAACTGACTGCCAGACTCGAGGTGTAAAGGGTGTATTCGTCCTCGAGAAGATCCACGAAACGTCACCGCCTCATCCAGTCCTTTGGCTAGACCAACACAGCCAGATCGGGATGAGAGACAGCGTTCCTGATTGACAATTTGCACCCGTGATTCAAACGGCTACCGATGGTAGCGCACTCATTGCCGCCGACCTGCCATCCTGGTGACCTGGCCGTAGTCGTGAGAATCCTCGACCATTCTGGGGGAATCAGATGTCGACTCTAAACAGACTGACAGTCACGCAGGCCAGACTGCACCGTATCATAACTAGAGGTCGTTCAGATTGGGCTCTTGGCAAACTACCTCGGCTGTTGCCTAAACATCTTCTTTGTTTATCAGCAACGACATCATTCAAACACATGTGATTAACGACAGCCACGACAACGACAATTCATTCATTCCTGTAACGTGCGACCGCTGTTCTCAAAATTGTGCAAGTCAACAAGTTATGCACTATCAGCACAAGAATCTTGGCTCGGACAAAGATGTGTGCCCAACAGCCGCCAGCCTCATTCTTGGCAAAGGCAATATCCAGACGGTCGAATCCAAGACGTTGTGGATGTCATCTCTTCAGTTCTTGAACAACGGATTTGAACTTATCTCAGAAGCATTGCATAGTCCAGGGATTCCCGGCTTATTTCTGCTTCACCCTTCTCTCGAATACATATCTCAATTGTTTCGCAAGATCAGTGAACGTTCAACTTATGTCGTGACGAGCAAGCATATCGTCTGTCCAGATTCGAGGACACTGCCACTGCGATCTTGTTTCCACCCCTATCTTCGACCCGCTCTTGGCAGCGGGCCCGCTGTCGTGGACAGCGACGATCATCACGCCGCGGAGGCTTGGCAGAGAACAAGAATTGAGATTATAGAGTAGGAAAAGAGCTTTTCTGTGAGAGATTCGGAAGGCTGCCATTGATAAGAGATGTCAATTAGACCCTGATGTCAATTTGCAGTCTTTTAGAGACACCTATCTCAACGTACGGAGTACTCTGTCCTGTTTTATATTGACGAGGCAGTTTCAACTGAGCCTCACGACAACCAGGACATGATGAATTCTGCCAAGAGTTGGTCCAGTTATGCTGATGCGGTCAGTGTACGGAGTACCCCTTGAAGTCTGTTCAGGACTCAGTGGATAAGAACTATACAGCCTCTCTCTTGGCACTCGCAATGTTCCGACAAGTTGGGTATGCTGGTATACAGCCAAGACAAGAAGACTGGATAGAAGTACGAAGTCTTCTTGCATGGCAACCTGAAGAATTGCATCTTTGTGGCTATGACGCTCAGCATATGCAATATCCACCGATAATGTCTGCCAGGTCATCCTTACCTTTTATCGATTTCAGTTGAGGCCAAGCCGCTCGATAGCCCAGCCTCCGAGTCTGTCGCAACATCGCGCCCCTGATATCGATGTTGATCGTCTTGGCAACTGCCTATGTCTGTACATAGATACAGAGAGTGACTGGGCCCGGGTACAGGCACCTCCATTTCCTGGCCCGTCGAGATGGCAATGCATGAGAAACTCTTGTCACGGCATTGCCAGGACTACGGAATTTGATGTTTATATACACCAGCTGTTAAAGCCATAAGGCTTATCCGTTCCTTGTTCATTTCTCTTGCCATTCATTAGTTCGCGCTTTCTCGCTTCTGTACATATATCTTGCTGAACTAGACATATCTTGCTGCAGTCGCTATCAATCTCACATCAATCCTTCATTTACGACCGAACTATCGACAGTATGTTGGGGCAACCTGAAGCTGGAGCCGGTCCGGCTTCTACAACGCTACGTGTTGAGCCTGACCTCGAATGTCGCCCCACCTCCGGATTCAGCACAGAAAAAGAAATCAAGTCATCTAGACTGAGCATCCGGGAGAGATTGCGCCACTTCACATGGGCGTGGTATACCCTTACAATGAGCACCGGTGGGCTGGCGTTGCTCATCGCCAACCAACCGTACACGTTTCCCGGCCTGCGGTCGATCGGAATGGCCGTCTACTTTGTCAACGTCGTCTTCTTCGTGCTGGTCTGTTCGCTAATGGTGACGCGGTTTGTTCTCCATCGTTGCTTTCTCAGCTCGCTGAAACACGAGCGCGAGGGACTCTTCTTCCCAACCTTCTGGCTCTCGATTGCCACGATCATCTGCGGTATGCACAAGTACTTTGGGGATGGGTCTGGCCAAAGGGATTCGCCTCTTCTCGTGGCCGAAAGGGTGCTTTTCTGGACCTACTGTGCCTGCACGTTTGCCGTCGCGGTCGTGCAATACTCGTTTGTCTTCTCCGAACACACATACCACCTCCAGTCCATGATGCCCTCGTGGATCCTGCCTGCCTTCCCGATCATGCTCAGCGGAACCATCGCCTCGGTAATAGCGGCCGCGCAACCGACCACGTACTCGCTGTCTATCATCACCGCGGGCCTCACCTTCCAAGGTCTGGGTCTCTCGATCAGCATCATGATGTACGCACACTACATCGGTCGTCTAATGCAGTCAGGGCTACCAAACCGCGAGCATCGTCCGGGAATGTTCATCTGCGTAGGACCGCCCGCATTCACGGCCCTGGCACTGATAGGGATGGCGAACGCGCTTCCGGACGACTTCCGCATCCTGGTCAACGGCGAGATTGACGCGCAAGTCATGCAGATCCTCGCCATCACATCAGGAGCATTCCTCTGGGCGCTGAGTCTGTGGTTTTTCTGCATTGCCGCCATCGCCGTCGTCCGGAGTCCGCCAACATCCTTCCATTTGAGCTGGTGGGCGATGGTGTTCCCCAACACGGGCTTCACCATCGCGACCATCACGTTGGGCCGGGCCTTCAACTCGCCGGGGATCTTGGGGGTTGCCTCTGCGATGTCGGTGGCCATCGTTCTGATGTGGAGTTTTGTCCTGGTTAGCCATTTCCGTGCCGTCCTGACTCAGTCGATTATGTATCCTGGGCGGGACGAAGATGTGAGCGAGTAGGTTGCATGAGGCTGTCTTTTCTTTCCTTTTTTTTTCCTGCTTACCCTTCACTTCTCTTCAAAAGTATGTAGACCTTATCAGTTCAGCTCTTCAGGACATTGTACTCTCTGCTTCTCCTTGTTGGGTTTTGTCAAACGTCAAGTCGTGGGATAGACGGATAGACATAGCAAGATAGACAGGGTTATAAATGGTTGAACAGGATTGAAATAGAAATAGAATAATGATTTCGCTCCTCACTCCTCATTCGTTAGTTTATGCACATGTCCATTATGAGGATGATCAAGTCAACAGTTGAAGATGACTAGGAACGTCATGAACTCCTAGTTGGACAAGATTTGAGTATGCTTAGGCTTCTCTTCCTTCAAAATAAAAAAATGTGAGAGATTATTTGCTCGTAAATACTTCTCAGTACATACATGCCCACATGCGTTAGCATCCACACACAGCTCATTATAACAGTCTGTCCAGACATGCACATTAGTACAGATCAATATAGCTGGGCTGGAACCTACAGTATGTATTTACAGTACATGCATACTTGAGTGATAATCCATGACGTCTACAGAATAATATAGATTTTATATAAGCAACTGCAACTATAGTATAAGACATCTAAACCAATTACCCTGCTATATCTATATTGGCTTCATCATAGTCGGAGTATGCTTAAGATATTGTTCTGTGCATGTAAATACAGAGTGAGTTCGGTGAAGTAGTGGCATGCTTAGCCAGTGTATGTATGTACAAAGTCTAAAAGCAGCTTCAGGGTTAGGTTCAATTCAGATGAGCCAGCTTATTTCTTTATCTCGTTTTTTTCTTGGAGTTTTGATTTATCCACTGGTTTTTTTATCCAGACATCCATCAACAGTTTAAATCTCTCAGTTCAGTTTAACTCTCTGAATCTATACAAAGGAAAGTGGCTGCAAAAGAAAAAAAAATCATTGCACCATGTCTATCTACCTATGCAAGAAGATGAAGCTGACTGACCAGACTCAATACATTACACATTGATTGATTCAGAGAATAATAACAATAATCCGTCTAATCCTGACATCTGATTCTACATGACATTCCTACCTGGGTAAGATGACTATAACGCTGAGTAAGTGGTCGACACGCGGAGTTGAGTGATCAGTCCTTCCTTTCTTCCTTTCTTGCATGATACACGGCGCACGGCGCATTTTATTTTCATCTACCATTAGTCTAAGCCAATGTATGCTTCATGCAGCCATGCATGTCTAGGTACAGAGTATGTTTTGTCATGGCATGGCCTGGAGATGTGGTGGCATGATGCTTGGGTTCTCTATCTAACAGGCAAGAGAGATGCCTTATATCTCTGTGGGTCACGTGGCAGGCTAGGCAGCCTACCGAGCCTCAGGCACCGGTAGGGGCCAACATCTTGCTATGCTGTTGTGGGGAAAGTCTCTGCAATCAGTCGATTCCCTGGACGAGGACATGGAGGCTGATGTATGTACCGAGTTCTCTATTGATATTCGACGGATGTACTTTGTAGGCTGCCATTAAGACCTAAACCAGTCTGACAGATGGTTGTACCCTAGGTATACTGCCAAGAATACCAACAATGCATGAACCATTATCCCTCTCCATTGGTTGTATGTATGTATGTACAGCGTAGATAGCAGGGGTATACTCAGCAAGCGAAACTGAATGCAACCATAAGCCACAACAACTACAACCTGTATGTACATGTACTACAGGGATAAGCTGTAGACCAAATGGCTGAGCATACTAGGTACATGTATGTAGCTAATGGAAAAGTATTACCTAGATAGGCAGGCAGAAACGAAGAATTCACTACGGCAAGGTAGGTATGCCAGTCATTCAGTCTGCTGTCGACAGGGTTCTACCCTAGCAATGATCTATTCGTGCTGATAACCTCAGTTTGGTAGTATTCCTCGTACTTGGTACTGAGATATGCATTCTGGTTTACGCGTGTCACTGGCCTTGTGACGTACTGTAACTAAAGTATACTCCTAGAATATCCTGCCCTGCCTAGGTATTTGTACAGATACCTGAACTGTGCTCCTCAATGATAAGCATGGCGACGATCCCTCCAGTAGTAGCTCACTTCCTCCGCTTTACTTGCATAGGCACCGGCAGAATATCTTCACCACTTCCGAGAGTGTCTAGAGGACGAACCCTAATTCACTGAGAACATAAGTGTAATATCAGATACAGTTTGCCGTTTTTGAGCAGGGAGCTCAATGTAAAAATCGAAAATATATACATAACGATGCCCTCACTCAATATCATAGCTATATACAAGCAATCACTTTTTGAAATCCAAATGCGCTACCATACCTACCCATGACCGTCTGATGCTTTCATATTCATTACATTAGAATTATCCGCCAAAATGACAAAGTCCATCGAAAACGCGAAGTAAAATCAAACCCAACCAGACCGCTCCGACTCCTCGTTCTTCGTCGCATACGTCACGCCAATACTCGTCGTCTTCGTAATGCCCCATCCGCTAACGGCCAGCCATTGCCATTGGCATTGTCCTTATCGATGATGTACTCCTCACTGCTGCCTGAATGCGTTTTGTCGGCAGTGCCGCCGCCGGCGGCAGTACCGGTGTGGTGGTGTCTGATCGAAAACCGGTGTCTGCTCGTTGTGGATTTGTCGAAGCCGTACGACTTGCGCTTCGAGTGGCCGTATTCGTATCCATAGCCATAGGACTCTCCTGAGCGGATGTCCAGACGGCGGAGGATGTGCGTGAATGGGGCCTTGAGGACTGGGATGCTGGCGCAGATGAAGCCTGTGTTCAGCTCGGTGGTTGTCCAGTGGTTGCCGGCGCTCCAGGTGTCTGTAGCCGTCAGTATCATGATGTATTCTTGGGGATGGTGTATTGTATTCGTACAGTTTGTGTCCGTTGGAACGCTGTAGATGATCATCACGATGATTCTCATTACGGAGCAGAAGATGACGCTGCACGGTCATCCTTCCCGTCGGCGTCATCTTCTTCTGAGCCTTCATCGACCGCGTTAACATCGGCTATGCCAAGTTGCAGGGCCTCGAAAAGGACCTGGGCATGGCGGGAAACGACTACAACGTCGCCCTGCTGGTCCAGAATCGCGCCGTACATCTTCTTCGAGATCCCGAGTAACCTGGTCCTCAAGCATGTGCGGCCGCGCTTCTGGCTCGGCGGGATGAGTCTCTGCTGGGGGTTTATGACGCTGGGCCAGGGGCTGGTCAGTACGTATCCGGGGCTGATCGTGCTGCGCGTGTTTCTGGGCTTGTTCGAGGCGGGTTTGGTGCCAGGTATGCTAGTCAACCTTGGCGTAGTTGCAATTGCGCTTACTGTAGTGAATTCTCAGGCGCCGTCTATCTCACGTCCATGTACTACACGCGTTTCGAGCTGCAGAAGCGCATGGTCTGACTGTATATCGCGAACTGTATCGCGATTGCAACAGGAGGCGTACGGACACCACTCCAAATACATGGTATGGTGATGATGGCTGACCTTTTATAGTTGATTGCGTACGGCATCGGCAATCTCCAGGTCGTCGGAGGGTTGCACTCGTGGCGGTGGATCTACATCATCGAAGGCATCGTGACGATCGGCCTGTCGATCATCCTGCTCTTCGTCATCACCGACTGGCCCAGCCAGGCGCGATGGCTCTCTTCGCGCGAGAAGAAACTGCTCCTGGCGCGCCAGATTGTCGAAGACGGCGGACGCGCGCGCATGGACCGGCTGGACGGCAAGGCGCTTCGGCGCATCCTCACCGACTGGAAGATCTACAGCGCCATTGTCATCTACTTTGCCGTGTCGGCGTCGTCCAACGCGACGGCCTTCGTGCCCACGATCATCGCCCGGCTCGGCTACACCAACGCCGCCGCGCAGGCATACACCATCCCCATCTACGTCGTGGCGGCGGCGCTGGCATGGCTGGCGGCCGTGCTGTCGGATCGCCTGCGCAACCGCTTCGTGTTCTGCTTCCTGGCGGAGGTGCTCTGCGTGTGCGGATACGCGATGCTGCTGAAGCAGGACGTCATCTCTGCCCGCGCGCAGTACGGCGCCCTGTTCCTGTTCAACGGCGGCTGCTTCATGGTGCTGCCGACGCTGTGGACCTGGCTGAGCAACAACATGGCCGGCCATTACAAGCGGGCGTGGGCGAGCGCCGCCCAGATCGGCCTGGGCAATGCCGGCGCCCTCGTGCCGTCGCTGACCTTCGTCCCCAGCGAGGCCCCGGCCTACACGCGGGCGTACTCGGTTGGCCTGGCCCTCATCGTCGCGGCGGGCGTCGTCATGGTGCTGACGGGGCTGGGGCTGTGGTGGGAGAACAAGATGCGTGATGAGGGCAAGAGGGATTACAGGCTTCGTTTGCCGCCGGACGAAGTCGACAATCTGGGTGATAATCATCCCAGCTTCCGGTTTACCTATTAGTCTGCTTCTCTTGTTACTTTCATTCTTTATACCGGATTCAGGGCTTTTCTGGGTGACATTTTTATTCTTTTGGATCCATCTATATTCAATTATATTTACCAGACCTGTTACGCCAGCATGATTCATGTAATGCATGTATACTCCGTATAACGTGTATATCGGAAATCGGATATCAATTGAACCTACGGAGAACATACCGAACCTGAACCCCTACATTAATCGCGCATAGCACCTGTGCAGACGTCTACGGAGTACCTAATTTCCGTACTCCGTACTTACTCGCGCAATGACCGTCATCCCTGCCAAAAAATAGGGATTGTTCTGCTGAATGGAATTCTATGGCTGATCGACCAGGTCCGTCAAGCCCTAATTCCGTCCGGCTGGGAGCAATGGCCACACCCTTGCCTGTCTCGGTAGGCAGCTAACGTAAGGCTGTAGACAAGCTTCGCTCCAGCAGCTACTAAGCAGTTAGCTACCGCTAGGCGTGTTCCCTAGGTGGGAAGGTGACGTTTTTTTTTTCGCGCATGTTTCATGCTAGTACATGCCGGGTTCCGAACTGTCGCTCTATGGAGTAGAGCCTCCTCGCCAGCACCCCGTACAACCTACGACGTCGATCCCATCGCTTAGCGCAAGCCTTTTTCTTCTTTGAGCAGTTATTGACGCTACCTTACTGCATTTCCTAGCTAGGCTAGAGAATTGGCAGCTACCTGCCTGATGAGGGAATTGATGCTCGCCACGCCACGCCACGCCATGGCCACGTTTTTTTTTCTGTATTCCGTACGAAGTAATTCTCCGTACACCGTATTCAACGGCCTTGATTACTCCGTATTCATTATTCCCGACGTCTGTTCCGTATTAGCCGATTGGTGATTACGTAGTACCTAGTACCTCCATGTGGACGGAGTACGGAGTACTCTGTTCGCCATGTGTGTGCGTGTAATCCGGCTTGATGGTTGATGGTCCAGACGATTTCTATTTATGTATTGTACGGAGTATCCTGTACGGAGTACGGAGTACTACCCGTAGCTGCAGGAGACAGGGGTATAGAATGATCGTCAGCGGCTTATGGATTTTAGAGCAGCTTTCGTGCGGTTTTCTGCATGCAATTCCATTTTTGATCGATTGGATCTCTCCTATTCTCCTATCAACCTTCTATTTCTCCTATCAAATTATAGCGGCCTTGTTTATTTAGTTACATTGGGCAAGGATTTGCTCGTCCGCTCATTTCCTTTTTTTTTTTCTAAAACAAGCCTTCCAGGTCTCACTTCCCTCGACTGATTTGAAGAGAAAATATACCTCCTTATGCCAAGGACTTTTGTATCTCTGCAGAAGGCAATCTACCTCCCAGGCGGGCTCCCCACCTATATTCCGCACTATATATTATTATTATTTCTTATATTATTTTAGTAGTCCTTGTCATCATCTACTCTCTAGCCGGGCTTACTAACTATTATCCCCTGCTGTAATCTCTTTTTGCCCTAACTCTAGCTATATCCCTTCCCTAATATTTAGAGACGCACGTGACAGTATACAAAAACGGAAATTAATGTTTTTATAGTAGATGTTGGTCAGTACTCTGTGCAAAACACTAATCAAGGCGGAAAAATTGAGGCCTTTCGTTATGTTGGGACTATTGAGGGGGGGGGGGGGGGGGGGGGAAGGGGCAGTACTGCGATTTTCCAGGTTTCCTGTTTCTTATTTTCATTGCGCCTCGACCTATTTCCCATTTCCTTTTCTTTTCTTTCTTGTGTGTTTCTTTCTTTCTTTTTTTTTTTCTTTTTTTGTTTTTTCTTTTTCTCTTCTTTGCTCTGTTATTTCTCCCCCCTCCCTTTCTATAAATAATATCAGTATTTCTTCAATGTGAAGGGACGCTTGATAATAATTCAATAATAAGAACGATAAAAGTAATGGCTGGCTACACTAACGATTTAAATTAGTTGATGCATCTGGCTCTAACGCCTGATTAGAAGTACTTCCATCTCTTCGTTATCATTCAACTAACCCGGTTTTTACTCTGTATTTACCTGGACGATATTCCATTTACGGTGATGCTAATACATGAGGTAGTATGTTGTCTTATGAGCTAGTTACATATACACTGCAGGTCATGACTATTAGTTACTTGAGGAAGCATTGGTCGAATTATGCTCGTGGTATGTCCTACATATGGAGGATATCTGTCAGGAATACTTGGTGTAACCATCTGCTAGCCCAGCTGGACATATCATTCCTTAGGTATATACTAGTTGCAACTAGTCCCTACTTTTTCTTTTCGCTGTGAATGTTAACGCAATGCCTTTATGTTAGGGCTTTGGCCAGCTACCATTTGAAGGACTCTATATACATGAACTATATTGCATTCTTTCCAAGGATAAAGGTATCATACTCCGTAGATATACCTCTATCGCCATACACTGGGGTGACGCCGAATTTCCTGAAAGGGCATAGCCCAACAAGGCTTATGTCATAACTCTCATAACTTGAGGCAGCAAGCACCTTCCTTCATATTTGACCATATACTGGTGTACAGTTTTTGTGTTTGCATCTCCCATACTTATCTCCGCATCCGAGAGGCATGGCATCAGTCTCACAGCTCTCAGACTCCAGTGGGAGTAGTCTCTCAGGCGCTACGATAGTCATGAGTGAGACCGAAGGTGCTAACCGCAAATACTTCCGTCGACGTCTCCGAAGACAGTTCCTACAGATGAAAGTCAACAGAGCTGCAGTGAAACGATCTATTGAACTCTATGACTATGAGAAGCCGTATGATTGTCAGTCTCCAGATGTCATGAGAGAGATCACAGCTCTATTGAGCCTCGACTCTATCGAGGGCCTCCATAGCTTGTCCAAGCAAGAACAACTACAAATGGTCTCGGAGAAGGTTGATTATCTACTAAGAAAGGTTCTGAATTTCTTTGGGCATGTTTCCATATCATAATTTATCAGTTGTATTTAGTGAAAACTCACTGATGTCTCTCTGTTGTCTTCAGATACGAGGCGGGCTGGAACGTCACAGAAAACGACAAATACCGGCTTTAATATTTCCCTAAACTAGTACACGACCTGCCTCCACTTCCTGCGTGGCTTCAGATGCCATACTTGGTCTTAGTAGAGAATCAGCCATTGCATATCTTGCGAGAGACATGTGCAAATCCGACGATTCAAGGAGGTGACATTATGTTAGGCCTTTGCCAGCTACCTCATTTTATAGGCCTATATACATGAATATATTCGTTCTTGCCAAGTTACAGGTACAATAGGTATACCATATTGCCAATATCTTGCTAACGTGATTGATATTGTATTCCTCTCACCTTTTACTGTCTATATTGACGACAGTCACTTCAGCGCACCTTCATCATCTTCCACAGCATTATCAACCGGCCGATCTGGCACCAGAAACGTCACCGCCGTCGTCGTCGGCACAGCAGCAGCAAACAGCACAAACGAAACGATTAGATTTGTCATGGGCGAGTTGCTCGGGACTGCCCCCACGCCATACGACAGTGCTGATCCCACCGACTCGAAGGCGCGCAGGATTCCCACCGTCAGAGTTAGCGTTTCGACGTCGTTGTCAAAGGTGCCGATGAGCCAGTACACGAAGATGTAGTGGGATTCGTCCATAAATCTAATTCAAGTTAGAACTTTCTTCTCTCTTTGTTAGGAGTGTGTGCGATACCGAAACAGGATATTCACGGCAAACCCTCGCCCAAACCCCGGCGAGTCCCAGTCTAGATTGACCTTTGTCGGCGAGTGGTCGTACAAATACTGGTTGGACACCGCCCAGCCGAAAAGACTGAAGATGACGACCGAGAAGATGGCCCACGTCAGCTTGGCCATGGTCGAGCGCCGGACGAATTTCAGGTCCAGAAACCACCCCCAGAACAAGTCCGCCACCGTCGCCACGAGGGCGGCCAACAGCGAGCCCAGGGTGCGCGCGCGCACGGAGAAGTACTTGGTCAGGTAGATGCCCAGGTACGTGCCGTTCCAGGTGCCGGTGATCAGAATCGGGATCAGCAGGAAGATGCGCTTCGTCTTCAGCAGCCGCCAGAGCTTGCCCATCTCGCGCAGGAAGTTTCTTGCTCTGGCCGGGTTGCCGACCTGGGAGCCGTCTGCTCGGATGACTTTCTCGGGAGGGGAGAGGAGCAAGGCCAGTGGCAGGCCGAGACATTGCAGGGCGATCAGGACCAGATACGTTGCGTATCCGACCTTGCCGGTGTGGTTGTTGTTGATGTTCAGCGAGAGCTGGATTGAGGCGCCGATTATCTGGCCCAGTTCGCGGAGAGCGAGCCAGATGCCGGCTAGAGTCACAGTTAGTCAATTCGCTATGATATATCCAACGAAACCCGTGAAAAACGTAGACTGACTTGACCTCCCCCGATCCTTCGACGCTGGATATCCCAAAGCGATGGCCCCCTCTGACGCCCACAGCGCTGACGCCGCAAGACCGCACGTCGTCGCTCCAAACAGCACGAACCACTGCGTGCCATAGCGGTTGTTGACATACAGCGAGGCCGAGTACGGCGCATATCCCAGCGTGCCGAGGATGAGGACGTTTCGCAGGCCGATCTTGTTCGCCAGAGCGCCAAACAGTGGGCACCCAAAGACCATAATGCTGCTACAGTCAGTATATATTGTCAGCGTGAAGAAAGATAGGCTCTACCCGAAAGTGAGTGCATTGGCCGCATTGACGAGATACGGCTCTTGCTCGCCACCCGCGCCGGTGCTGTTCAGAGCATTCCATATCCCAGGCTGCGTGAAGGAGATCAATCCGACGAGGAAGACATTGAACAGCGGAGTGCGATACCATCGAAGCCATTTCGAAACGGGCTTCTGGATAGGCTCAGGCTCTTCCACTGCCTGGACGCTTTCCGCATCAGTGGTTTCGACTGCGCGCTCTTGGACCTCCGTCACTGCCATGTTGATATCCTAGGACTAAGTGAAGCTTCATGCTCGTACAGTATGTTTTTTGATACATCTATATACCTATTCCCTGCAAGATTGAATTGTCGTCCTGCCCCACATGTCGCGATCTGCCGGAAAATGATGCCATGCGCGATCAAGCACCTGCCATACAATTCCCAACCGCACAGACAGACACGCATATCTGTCGGAAGATAAACTCTTTCCTGACCCGGTTTAGCTGTGGCATGTTGCCGGCATGGACGCGGCTTGGGATATGGCATGTTCGGGATCCACTGTGACGTGCTCGTGGGATGTGCCGATGACAAGAAGATATATATTATCAGAGGAGATTGTTTGCGGGGACGGCTTGAATATACAGATTCTGTCCATCATAAGCCATTTGTATCATCATCATCATGGCGTCTGTGCAAGTCCAAGTTGCAAGCGAAGTTCCCTTCCTGAACAGGAAAGAAACTTCGGAAGAAGAGAAGAAAAACGACCTGATATCGTTCGCACCCGTGTCGTACAGCCCATCCATCACCCTGCAATACCCTTACCCTCCTAATACTATTTTCCCCCTCGCTCTCTCCCCCGTACAAGCCGGGCTGCCACTTCACGACCTCATCGACTCCATCAAACGGCTCTCCGCAGCCGGCAAAATCCGCGACCTGCTCAACGCCCACGGCGGAGCCATCTTCTTCAAGGACCTGGGTCTGCGATCCGCAGAAGAATTCTCGCAGTTCGCGCAGGCCTTTGGCTGGACGCCGCACGAGGACATCGGCAACCCTGTGCGCCGGACGGTCGTCGCGTACAACGTGGCGACGGCGAACGAGGGGCCCAACACGATGCCCGTCTATCCGCATAACGAGTTCGGCCTGAGTCCGCATTACCCGGCGTACGTCTTTTTCTATTGTCTGTCTGCGCCGGAGAGTGGGGGCGAGACGCCCATCAACAATTCGCTTGTCTTGTATGAGCGGTTGAAGGAGGCTGTTCCAGAGTTTATCGATGAGTTGGCTGAGAAGGTAGACAGCACGTTTACAAAACCCCATGGACTTTGTCCTCCAGAGACATTTCCATTAGATATCTCTCTGACAGAAATATTCCCTTACAGGGAGTGAAATACCAGCTCTTCTACCCCAACAAACCCCGTCCCGACACCTCCTCTCCGGGGACGTCCGTCCTGCAATCGTACGGCGTAAAAGTGCAAGACACGGATTCCGTCGACGAGGCGCGCCGCAAAATCGAGCTGGAGATCAAACGCCTGCCTACTGCGACGTGGGTGTGGGAGAACCAGTCGGAGGCAAACCCTCTGGGCGATTTGAGGGTTTGGCAGCGTCTGCCAGGTGAGAAGACTATAAACACCTGAGATAGGGTTTCCTTCATTTTGTATATATAAACAGACACTAATCGAAGTAATGGAAAGCCCTCCGTCAACATCCCCAAACCGGTCGAACGACCTTCTTCAACAACATGATATCGCGATTCTTGAGCGCCCAGGCTGCTGGGAGCTTGGAACCTCCACACATCAACAAAGATGGGAGATATCAACCGCCTGCTTTCGTCAGTAGAATCTATTTGACTTCTGCAGTACCTTGCAAATGCTAACTGACGGGCAGTACGGCGATGGAAGCCCTATCCCGCATCGATACCTACAGACTGCTGTTGAGATTGTCAAGTGAGTTGAACGTTCATATGTATCCTAGAAGGCATCTTTCAACGTTCAAGGGTCAATGGTCGTATCTAATGAAACTATCTTTCATTCATACAGACAAACCCGTTCACTGATCACCTGGAAGGAGGGTGATGTCCTTCTCTTGGATGTAAGTCATACGTCCTCACATACATTTGACATACTATCCTCTCTCGCCACTATTTGTAGCAACCATTCATCAAGCAAGCAAGAGCTATCTTAGCTAACCGCAGCGTCAAAATCCAGAATCTCGCCGTCCAACACGCTCGAGAGCCGTGGACTGGGTAAGTCGATCCCTAAAGAGAACAACAAAAAAAAAGAAATTGTACTAGAAGGTCAAATATTAATGCTAATGTTCTACTATATGTACTGTACATACAGGCAGAGAAAGCTCCTTGCGAGTTTGTGGGATGAAAATAACTGAAGTAATCAGCTGGCAGAGCCAAGGAGAGGTTGTTTACAAGCGATAAAGCGATGAAGCAGATCACGACTCCTACTAGCTAACAAGCTATTTATCCAACTTTTCTATTGAGATGTGTCTGTCTGGGTCATGAAATATACAGTACATACCAGAAGCTAGCGAACTAATTAGTTTCCTGCACGAATAATAACCAACCTGCAGTTATTTAAATGCTGCACGACATGACGTCTCCTTTCTTACTTAACTTGGCAATAATAATAATTTATTTTTCTAGTATCTGAAATGATAATTATTAATAACGTCTTTGATTTTCTTAGCTGTCTCCTTCTCTGCACAAATACATAAGTTTGAGGGTAAGAAATGTCTTGGTGTGTGAGCCGCTGGAATATATTTATCCTTACGAGTCTGAGTGTCCCTACTATGAATGTATATATTACTTCAATTCCAGTCGAGAGCACACTTTACTTTACGAATATACTAATGATTATTTATTCATTTTTACGTCGATCTTCGAGAGGAGGATATGAGTCTTGGTGACACACAACTGGTGACTTTTTTATCTACCCGAAAAACTGAATGAATCTACCTAGTATGAAACAGAAAACAGATCAACCCAACCAGAATACAATTTATCCAGACCTATAAATAATATAACAACCGTATAGAATTACAACAGACAAACAACAGTACAGAACAGTTCTCGAGACTTCAAATATAGCACAATCATCGACTTGTTTACTCCTCCTCCTCACTCTCCTCCATGCCTTCCGCCGCCGTCACGGTAAACGTCGGCGCCTGGTCAACGCCCACATAGCTGTCGCTCATCAGATACAGCGTCAGCTCGTGCTCGCCCGGTGTCGGCACCACGTATTCCAGACGCATCTCCAGCTTCCGCGATATCGTCACCCGCTTGATCGCCAACAGGCTCTTCGTCTTCTCCTCGCCGACTACCAGCCACCAGTTCTCCATCTTCTTGCCTGGGTAGAACGGCGCGTGCACCGTCGTGTCGGGCTCCTCGTCTTCCTCAACTTCCCGCTCCACTTTAATTTTCAGGTATGCAGGCTCGCCCGCCGTGATGTTCTCCGGATCTTCCACCTGGAAGTCCAGATCGATGTTCGGGTACTTGTCGTTCGTGAACGCGGCCGCCTGTGCCAGCTGCTTGTTGTCCAGGCCCAAGCGCTTGACGAGTGTCTGGTAGTCCTTGTTCTCCGACGGATCCATTGCCTCCATAAACTCAAAGATGTCGTTGATACCGAATTCGTTCGCCACCTTGATGACCTCGGGCGTGAAATGAGGGATCTGCTTCAGCGGGCTGTCGCGGTCCCACATGGCCTGGACAACCATCTGAGACATCTCCATCGCGTTCATCGCATTGAGGTGACCTTCAGACGACAGCACATCCACACACGCGCTGAGCAGATTGAGCACCTTGCTGACAATGACCTCCTGGTCTTTCGCCAGGTCCACTGGCAACTGCATCCGCGAGAAGTGAGCCTGCAGCAGCACAAAAGCCTTGAAGTGCGGAGAGTCGTAGGCTGGTTGTGCCATCTTGACAGGGACACGGTCGTACACACGACGCAGGATGTGTTCCTCGTGTCGCCGCATCTGGATATTTTCGAACTCTGTCGCGGACGTGACGATCTCCAAGATGCCCTTCAGCTTGGTTCGAGAGCTCAAAGACAGCAAGAAGGTCTGCATCGTGATAAACGAGATGTTGTAGTAAGCCGCAATCATGGCCGCGTTCAACGGGGAAACGCTGTCGTCTTCCTCGTCGAGGTCGATGATCTTGGCTTCTGACAGCTCCTTAAGCGTGTTCTCGACGAGTTCTGACAAGAACGTGCTCAATCCCTCGTGGCTGACATCGCTGAGACCGTAGAAGCTCGGGTTGGCAAGGAGACGTCGGTAGAAGTACGTGTATGTCATCCAGTCGACAGCATCCTGCGTCGAGGCAATGGTCTTGGTGCTGATTTCGGTGACAAAGGCGTCGTGCAGATAAATCTGCAGGTTACTTTCGATCGGAAGCGCTTCGTTGAGGAACTTCTTGTAGTAATCACGCTTCACTTGAGGCACCATCAGCACGCCCTTTCCAATCTTGTCCTGACCAGGTCGCGACGCTCTGCCAAACATCTGCAGGATCTCACTGATCGGATAGTCGATGTAGCGGTGCTCACGACCCTCGTAGAATTGCGTGCCCATGATGATGACCAGGTGAGCGGTCAAGTCGATCTCCCAGCACACATCACGGGACGCCAACATGACCTGGATCGCGCCGATCTTGAACAAGTGAGACACGATACGCTTGTCGTTGGTGCTCAGGGCCTCATGATAGTAGCCAATGCCGTGGGAGATAGACTCCGCCAGCGTCCTCTCGTGGATTCGGTCCAACAGAGGCATAATCTCCTCAACGTCCGCGTGCAAGAACCGATCCTCATTGTCATCCGCAACACAGGCACCCAGGAGGTCTATGGCCGTGGAACGGGTCTGTTTACGGTTGGGCACGAACACCAAGGCAGGCTTGTCGGGCGAGAGCTGCAAGATCGAGTGATAAGTGGGCTTGGCCATGGCCAGCATCAGAGACGGGAAGTGAGGAATATTGAAGGATTGGATATGGAGCTCAAGAGGCACCGGCCGCACGTGAGGGCTGAAATTGTAGATGGTATGCTTGTTGGCACCAATCCACTCGCCTATGTCCCGGGCGTTCGAAAGAGGAACGCTCAGCCCGACGATGCGCATGTCATTCTCGGTCTGCAAAGCAATGTAGTGCATGCGCGACACGACGATCTCATAGACGAATCCGCCGAGACCTCCGAGCATGTGCAGCTCATCAGCAATGAACAGCTGCACAGTCTGTACGTTCTTCCGTCTCTGCCACTGTCGAGAAAGCACATCCCACTGCACCGGGGTGGCCAAGACCAGGTCCGCCCTGTCGAGGAGCTTCAAATCCGCTGTCGTCTCGCCGGTCAGTTTGACAATGGTCTTGCCGCCCGCGAGATTGCTGAGCCGCTTCTGCCAGTCAGCATATCTCTGATCGAGGAGTTCTTGGAACGGAGCGATGTAGACGGCTCGACCCCGATTCTCCTGCGACCAGTGACGCAGAAGAGCAAACTCGGCACAGACGGTCTTGCCACTTCCGGTTGGAGCGCCGACAAAGACATTGTCATTCGTGTCGAAAAGCGACTTGAAGACCTGCGTCTGCACCTTGTTGAAATACTCCCAGTCTGGATACAGCTGCTGGAACTCTTCGCGTTTGAGCGCCTTAACGGGAACCCGCTGCATGTCAAGCAGCGGCGTATGGGGCGGGAAGCGTTCCGGCAGGATCAGTTTCTGGAAAGAAACTGCAATCTTCGTCTCAGCATGCATCCAGCGGTCCGACACCAGAGAAATGAAGTAATTAGGAGGCATCGGCTCAGTGATGGGCACAGTGAACTCGACCAGATGCTCGGTCATCTCGCCCTGCGCATATTCCTGTCGCAGGATGAACTGGTCGTGGAACAGGATCTCCTCGCCGTCGCAGTCTTCCACGATGATCCAGAAGGTTTCGGCGACACCGTGCAGGTTCTCGTCCCACACAAAGTTGGGCGTGATGGTCAGCTCGACACGAAGCATGGACCGGGTCATAGGCTGAACCTGGGCCTGTACCTCGAGTCGTGGGAACTTGGACACGAGGTCGCAAACGATCCTGCCCGCCTTTGGCATACCAAGGAGTTCACCCATGCGCGGGGGTCAATGTCAAAGTAGCTGGACCAAGGAACATCGATTCTTTCCGCCTTTTGCACAATATCCCGAGGACACGAAGGAAACTGGCGAAGCGGTGTCATCGTCGGCCACATACGCTTCTCCGCCATCTTACAAAGATCCAGCGCTGTCTTCGCAACAGACCAGCCTCTCTTCAAGCAGATTTCGAAGATTCCTCGGAGAATGCGGCCGGCGGATTGGGTGACGTAGACCATATCCGCCATCAGGGCGAGACCTTCCAGTTTCAGCCGAGATATGAATGCCTGCAGGAGGACATTGATCTTCGCATGGGGTTCTTCGATGCCCTCCTTGACTGGGATAGGGACGCGGCCAAGTAACTTGGCCAGCTCCAGCTTTCGTCCTGGCGGACGGGGATATACTTAAACTCATCACTCAAGGAGAAGACTCGGAAGAGTTCCACGGTGCTGATCATGGGCTGGAGATGGTGGTTGTAGGTCGACATCGAATTGTGGCTAATGTAGTAATGGGATGCAATACGGCCAAGCTCGGTAGATTGCAGCTTTCCCGTCTTCCTGTCGTATTTGACCAGCCCGGCCTTGTCCAGAACCGTGGCAGCTGAATGGATGAGGTCGACCCGCTTTTGTACAAGAGCCTCGTCGTCCGCGTAATCAGCGCCGACACTATAGAGGCCTGGAGAACGAAGCATCCGAACGAACAGGTAGGTGTAGCCAAGCCACTCCACGCCTTCCTCACGATTGCGGACATTGCCGAGGACAATTTCGGCGTTGAGATTGTCAGCGAGCTTGCTCACAAACTGACTCTCGATCGGAAGTTGCTGGTTGAGGAGAGAGAGGTAGTACTGCAGCTCGCTCTGCGACGTGATGATGATGCCTTCGCCGAAAGTATCATACTGAGGTCGACCGGCTCTGCCCAGCATTTGAAGGACATCCTGAGGACTCAACTCGACCCAGCTACCTTTCTCGGGAGAATAGACCTGCGTTCCCTTGATAATGACGGTATGGGCAGGAAGGTTAACACCCCATGCCAGAGTCGCAGTACAAACGAGGACCTGGATGCTGCCATCAGCGAATAGCGCCTGCACGGAATCACGGTCCGCCAGACTCATGCCGGCATGGTGGATACCAAACCCGTAGGGAAGGAGATCTTTCAAGTTAGGGTCGTCCACAGACTCTGCCTCTTCGGCCAAGATAGCTCTGCTGGCAGCATCACTCCGTAGAATCTGGCCGATCGTCTCCATCTCGACAGCCTTGTCCCGGATATACCGGGCAGTCTTGGCCGTCTCTTTCCTCGAGTGGACGAAAATAAGCATCTGGTTTCTGTGTTGACCAACTTGCTCGAGAACCTTGTTGTAGCAGACGTCGTTCATGGTCTTGAGCTGCTTGATCGCCTTCTTATCAGTGACACCAATGAACTCCTGCTTCAACGGGCATGGCCGGTAGGATCCGTCGAAGTGGAACAGTGCCCTGGTAGGATCTACACGTAAGAAGCTGGCGACATCGCGGTAGTTTGGAAGAGTGGCGCTCAGTCCGACAATCCGCACTGGCTCTCCGGTCTGTTCCACTCGGCGAATGGTGCGACTGACAATGCTCTCGATCACAGGACCGCGGTCATCGTGAAGAAGATGGATCTCGTCAATGACAATCAGACGAACAAGCCTCGTGTAGCTGGTGTCCGTGGCCTTCCTAGTGATAATATCCCACTTCTCAGGCGTCGTGACGATGATCTGGGTGTCCGCAATTTGTTGTTTCGTGAGCTGGCGATCACCCGTCAGCTCAGAGACCCTGATGCCGTAGGGCTCCAATCGCTTGCCAAAGTTCCCGACTTGCTCCTGGACCAGAGCCTTCAGCGGAGCAATATATACGATCTTGAAATCATCGAGCATGATTTCTCCAGTTTCCGGGTTTCGGTTCTTGCCAATCTCGCGCAAGATGGCAAGCATCGCCACATTAGTCTTTCCGGAGCCGGTGGGGGCGCAGACGAGCATGTTCCCATCTTCATGGAACGCGACCGGGAAACATTTCGACTGAATGCGGTTCAGTTCCTTGGAGGACCCAAAACCAACACGCGCCCATTCCGGGAGCTCAGTAGTCGGGATATTCTTCTCGCTGGGGTCTCTCTTGGGCTTAGGAGCGGGCACATGGATCTCTTCATAGCCCTTGAAGGTACGCTTGGTCGAGCCTTGAGGGAGCTTCACATTGGGGTTTGTCATGAGATGATTGCCCTGTTCGAAGACGAGGTTCTCCAGATTGATGAGCCTCTTCGGCTGCAGGCCTCCCGCGACTCCTGCCTCCTTGGGCTTTTCCTCTTCCTTGGGTCCGGAGGGAATGTCGATATCCATCAGGTCCATCTTCATCTTCTTGCCCGGCCGCTCTCCCTCTTCTCTGGGAGCAGCTCGGCCACGAATTTCGTCGAGGATTGCGCGGTGTCCGGCCTCTATCATTTCCTTCTCGACCTGAGCGCGAGCGTCCGCATCTTCGGCGACCCTCCTCCAGCGCGTCACCCAGACGATCTTCTCTCTGTTGGTAACGAACTTCGCCACCAGGTCAGGGTGCTCGTAATCAAACAGCTCCATCAAGTCGTTCTCGATGTCACGAAGAGGCCTGTCGGTACCATCCTCAGCCTTGCCCGCGAGAATGTCCAGAGCAGAGCGAGATTTTTCGTTTTGAATGTGCGCGTCAGGGAAAGCCGAGCCAACCTGACGCTGCAGCCAGTACGCATCAATCTCGCGAGCTGGGATAATGTTCTTTGCGGCGGCCCGTTCTTTGTCGGCTTCGGCGCCGGCATCAAGGATCATCTCTTCACCTTCGACGTCCTTCATGTCAGCGCTCTCCTCGGCATCCGCGGCGGCTTCCTCAGCTCTGTCCTCGGCGTCTGACGCCGCATCCTCCTCATCCGACATTTCATCCTCATCCCTCACTTCATCAACTCTTCGTATCCCGTCCTCCTCTTCGTCTGACTCGTCAAACACGACGGCAACACCTTGTTTCTCGTCGAGTTCCTGCTCATTTTCGGCACCAGCGCCGTCTTCCATATGCTCGTCCTCATCCTGAGCATCGTAGTCTGTAATCTTCTTGCCCAGATTGACGAGTTCGTTGAATTCCTTGGGGCTCATCGTGGTCCCTAGCAAATCGTCGATCTCCTTCTTCTTATCGAAGTCCTTCATGTTCTCATCTTTTAACGTTTCGAGAATGGCGTCGGCGGCGCTTCGCACGACTTCGTGGGAGACATCGCCAAGATGGTTGGCCGTCATCGTCAGGATAAGATCGTACGTCGCTCGCGTAGCTGGAGTTTTGGGGCGGTATTTCAGACCCTCGATGAGCATATCGGCGGCGGACAGGATCCCTGTGCCGCGAAGCTGGCCTTGCTCGCCCCTCTTGCGTTTGCGCTGTTCTCGTTCCAGCACATCTTCGCCTTCCCCGATCGCGCCACGCTCGATATCTGCTGGTCCCACCTGCATTTTCTTGCTCTTGGGAGCAGTATCGCGAGACACTCTCGATCCCATATCCCTGACGCTGATGCGCCCGGCGAGAGACTCGGGATCACCGGTCGGCTCGTCGTTGCGGCGGGTGATGAATCGGCGGTCCGCCTGGAGAACCAGGTTGGACATCGCCGAGTACTTGTATTGCGCGGCAATCTTGGGGTCCGTCGCCATTTTGACTCGATTTCGCAGTTATCTGCCTGCGAATGACTTTTCACTGGAGACGATCGCGGCCAGGACCGTTCGCGGCTCAATGGGCTCGGCGCTGGTGCGTGAACAGACCTGAGAAAGACAGAGAGCTCAGGATCGCAGATATATGTTCCTGCTCATACAGCGAGATGCATTCTCCTGCAGCAGGACACAGGAGGGTGCAGGTGGCAAGGCTGCCGGTGTTGTTGCAGGAGGAAAAGAGTGAAGATGAACGCGGGAGACTTTGTCAAGATTGGTCGCAGGCGGAAATTGGTGGCAAAACGGGAAGGTCTGGCGAGTCGCGGAGCTTGCTCGCCGCGCACGCGTCTGCAGCAGGATTGCCTCCAGCTCGCAAGATCAGTCACAGACAATGCGAGTCCAGGTCCCTCATGGCCAGCAGCTGATCTCAACGGGCTTGAGGCCGATTGTTCTGCGCCCAGGCGTGGTGCCTCGCTCCCTCCTGCTCCGGTTCATTGGGAGCTCCGCGCGGCCCACTCTTCGGCGCAGAGCTGGAGCTCCATGGATCGAGCATTGTTCTTCCAGAGGCGCAAAGACGAAGTCCACGACGAAGCTGAAGGACCTGCCGCAGGGCGCGCTGAAACTGGAACCTTACAATGATGGCGCGGACGATGCTCCTCGCTATCCGACGGTGGTGCAGGGCCACCGGAACAACATGGAGAAGTTCAAGAACTGCGTGGTCTTAACGAGAGTAGGGGGCTTCTATGAGGTATGCTTTTATTCTTAAGGATAAAAATGCTCTATATCAGAAGCTGACGAGAGAAGCTCTACTTTGAACAAGCAGAAGAATTGGCCCCCTTACTGAACCTTAAGCTTGCGTCCAAAAAGACCAACGCTGGTCCGGTTCCCATGGCCGGATTCCCTTTCTTCCAACTGGATCGCTTCCTGAAAATCCTCGTCCAAGACCTGAAGAAATACGTGGCTATTAGCGAGGAGTTTGCAAACCATGCTGAGGACAAAGTGCGTTCCGGGGGTCTTATGTTCGACCGCAAAGTGACAAGAGTCATCACGCCAGGGACGTTGATTGATGAGAAGTTCATGGATACCTCTCAGAATAACTTTCTCTTGTCGATACACGTGGATATTGACGGAGTGAAACCGGATCTGCAGGCGGAAGGTGAGGCTGCCTCGCTTGCTCACCTGTTATCGTCGGCGTCCCAGCGTGTCGGCCTGGCTTGGTTGGATCTCTCCACCGGAGACTTTTTCACCCAATACACCACGGCTCAGATGCTGCCCTCTGCAATCGCACGGATTGGAGCTCGAGAAATACTGGTTGATAAACGTCTCCAGGGCCTTGTCGGTCAGGAACTGCAGATGCTCGTGGGCCAAGACCACCATCTGCTGACTTTTTTCGATGCGCCCAAAAACATCAGTCCCATGTCGTCCTGGACCCCTATGTTGGAAGCACCGATACCTTCGGAGGCACAGTCCTTGTTTACGGATGAAGAAGTGGCGGCGGGATATAGTCTTCTAGAATACGTTAGGATCCAACTCCAGGGCCTCAACATGAAACTACAGCCGCCTCGCCGAAGACATCTGGATGAGTCAATGGGCATAGACCGTAATAGTCTGAGAGGGCTAGAGATTCTAGAAACCGCGCGGGATGGCCTAGGTAAGGGCAGTCTGCTGCACGCGGTTCGTCGGACTTCTACGAAGAGCGGTGCTCGCCTCCTGAGAGACAGATTAAGTATGGCCCATACCACCCGTTAGGATTTGGTTTTGCGCTAAGACTGTCTACAGCGTCTCCATCGACATCCCTTTCTGTGATCAATGAGCGTCTGGATCTGGTGGAGTACTTCCTTGAAGATGAAGACCTACGTGAGAATATAATAATGCTTTTGAAACGCAGCTATGATTCGCAAAGACTAGTCCAGAAATTCTCTCTTGGGAGAGGTGATCCAGATGACCTGATCTGCCTATCGAGGGCAATAGAAGCGTCGCGGGAAATTCGGCGAGTCTTGTCGGCACGAATCGAGGCAGACAAGAGTCCCAAGAAGAATCATAGGAGTCTTCAGGCGTTAGTAAACCGCATGTCTCTGGATGGCCCAACGGAGCTTGCGGATAGAATTTTTGCGGCCATTGATGAAGAAGGACTGCTGCAAAAGCAGCGAATCGAGGACAGCAACGCAGCAGAGGCCGCAGGGCTGGCTCAAGAAGTTGTACTAAACGAGGGACTTCCCGAAGACGTCGAAGCCATGCCCAAGAAGCTCCGTTTCAAAAACACAGGCAGACCGGGCATTGCGATCGAGTCTGAGCATGGCGACGTGGACACCTGGATCATGCGACGAGATGCAAGCGAGGCATTGCGGAAACTGCATGAGGATCTGGAAGCGCTGCAGAAAGAGAAATCAGATCTGACGCAGCGTTTGCGAGACCAGGTGGGTTCGACTGCTCTAACGCTGAAGTGGACGCCCAGTCTGGGGTACATCTGCCACATCAAGGGAGACAAAATCTCCCAACAGGCTCTCGAAGAGCTGGGAGTCACGCGCAATGTTTCCTCGACCAAGACCACGCGGTCATTTTACCTTCCGGCCTGGTCCCAACTCGGAGCGCGGATCGACCAGGCGAAGATCCACATCCGCTCCGAGGAGCAGCGGATCTTTGAAGATTTGCGTCGCGGGGTGATTCTGAATCTGGTCAAGATCCGCCGCAACGCTGCGGTCATGGACGAGTTGGATGTAGCATGCTCGTTCGCCACCCTTGCCAAGGAGCAGCAGATGGTGCGGCCGATTTTGAACACGGGCACTTCGCACCGGATTATCGGCGGGAGACATCCGACGGTAAAACTGGGGCTGGAAGAGCAGGGGCGGCGGTTCGTGAGCAACGACTGCTTCCTCGGGGACCAGGAGCGCATCTGGCTCATCACGGGGCCCAACATGGCAGGCAAGAGCACCTTTCTGCGACAGAACGCTCTGATCACCATCCTCGCGCAGGTGGGCTCCTTCGTGCCGGCTGAATACGCTGAGATCGGCATCGTCGACCAGATCTTCAGCCGCATCGGGGCGGCAGACGACCTCTTCCGTGATCAATCGACCTTTATGGTGGAGATGCTGGAGACAGCCGCGATCCTGAAGCAGGCGACGCCGCGATCGTTTGTGATCATGGACGAAGTCGGCCGGGGGACGACACCGGAGGACGGAACGGCCGTCGGGTTCGCATGCCTGCATCACCTCTACCACGTGAACAAGTGTCGCACGCTGTTCGCGACACACTTCCACGCCCTGGCGGACATGACGCGGGAGTTCGAGAAATTGGGGACGTACTGCACGGACATCAAGGAGACGGCGTCGGGATCCTTCTCCTTCGTGCATCGCCTCCGGAGGGGCGTGAATCGGCAGTCGCATGCCCTCAAAGTCGCGCGCCTGGCGGGACTGCCTGAGGAGGCTCTCAATGTGGCCAGGGACATGTTGCGCCAGATGAAAGCTGGGTCGACCAGCGAGGAAGAGGAGAGCGGCGGAGATGCGAAGCTTGTGGCGACGGCGACGTAGTACGAAACTGTTGGTCTGTCTATATCAACCTAGTTGGGGTATTTTGTACTGTACACTAGTGATGATCTTGTATTTCTCCATGGCCTCCTTACTTTTCTTTCAGATACCCATTATGATATTATATTAATTACCTAGCCAAATAAAATAAAGTATGTACAATACAGAAAGGAACAAAAAGCACTATTTACAACTTCGCCCTCCTCCCCAACAACCCAGTCAAATCCTCCCCCGTCTCTACATTCTCCAAACTCGCCAAATCAACGACTATCCCCTCCGCAAACGCCGCCTCCTGGCAGTCCTCCTCCTCGACGCCATTCACAAACTGCACGACGACAAAGTCGACGCGGCGGCGCCCGAGTACCACCATCGGGGCGTGCCACGTGCCCGCGGCGTAGGTGACGGCCTGGCCGCCGCGAGCGATGAAGGCCCTGAGGTTCTCTAGATCGGGAGGATCGCGGATGTGCACGCGCTTCTTGCGATCATCAGTATCATTGTTGTCGCCAGACGGCGACGATGACGCAGAACTAGTAACTGTCGCAGCGGCAGTCTGGCCCTTGAGCGTCGGCGCAACCAGGACGAGAAACACCGGTTCGTCTTCTTCCGGCACCTCCTCTTCGAGCAGGATGTCGCTGTGGCCGCTGCCGTCGTCGAAGGACGCTTTTCCACGAACGCTGCTGCTGCCGCTGCCGCTGTCTCCGTCGCTGTAACTGCCACTATCGCGAACAACCCGCCTCTGACTCGACAGGTCGATGGGGATAAACGTCTGGGTTGTGAAGGGGTGGCGTTCGAGGATGCGCACGTCGAAGACGGGAGTAGAAAAAGAAGATGAGCTCCCTCCACCACCAACACCAACGGCAATATCCTCTGTGAGGTACTCTTCTGCTCCTCCTCCTCCTCCATGCCTGCTGCTTGTGCTCATGCTTGTACTTCTGCTGCTTCTGTTTCTGTTTCTGTTCCTGATAGACTCCCTCCTCAACTTCCGCGGAAAGCACGAGAACATGCTCATGCGCGCCTGGGCGCGTTTCCCACTCGGACACGCCTCGTAGCCATTCTCGAGCGGCGAGATGGGACTGTATTTCAGCGCGGAGCCCTGGTTCGCGAGCACGGGGGGCGCGGCCAGCGAGTGTGGCAGAGGCAGCGAGGCGAGGGCGCTGGCTCGTGGCGCGGCGGACAGGTCGCGAGGCAGAGGGCTGGAGATGACGGTGCCGAAGGGGGCGAAGGCGTCGGCCGTGAGGGGCTCGGGGATGATGCGCAGCGAGGGCGGAGGGGAGACGAGGGTTGGGGCGGGCATTTCGTTCAGCGGTAGCTCATGAGGGGATATCAGGAGCAATTAATATTGCTGTGATTTGAAATTATTCTGGAGGTAGTAATAATGATGTCAAGAGGGAGTGATGAATCTTATCGTCTTCTTGCCTCGGCTTCTATTCTAGACCCGATTAAGCTTCCCTCCCCGCTTGTTCGCCGAACTCCGCGTTGACTAGCGGAGATGAGCGGTTATCAAGCAGGGAAATTATTGCTATTACCTAGTTATCTAAAGGGCAAGCCAAGAACTCAAGAACTCAGAAAGAACTCCATTATTGGCTGGTGATATGACAGGCGTCGCAGCTGAGAGCATCCTCGTCTCGATTCTTGTCACGTGACTTATAGAAAGCTGGCAATACACCAGTTGATCGAGCTATAAACGAAAGAGTACAGCAGTGCAAGGTTGAGGTTGTACTGTATCGTCTGAATGTCCAAGATCTTCGAGTAGAACAGCTTGCAAATATATCTATCCGCAACGATTAGCTTCCGCAACAATACAATACATCAGGGCTACTTTGGATATGCTACTGCAAAGATAGAACGTATTGAGTACTTAGTCCTTTCGCGTGTAAAAGGAACAATATCAACATCTACTACATTTTCAATAACGGTCACTAATATTACTTCAGCACATTTACCTCGAATTGTATAGACTTCTAGGGTTATAAATTTACGCATCGAGATTTGGGATGGAGAAAAATCAATAACGTTCGCGGCACGTGGTCTCGTCACATGCTCACCATCAACAAGGACGGCATCATGCCCTGCAAATTGGCAGCCAAAAAGTAGTTGATTGACAGCTTGATCTGTTGGACCTCGACACATCCTGGACGAGTCTTGCAGCTGGAGGGGTAAGTCCTGCTCTCTGATAACATGGTATTCTTGGTTCGTGTTACGGGTCCTCTGTAGTCAGTATATCCGGAAGAAAATACGTATATTAATTCCCCATGCTCTGTGACCTAAAAATGACCCACAACATTCTTCGGCACATAGAGTTCCTCTAGGTATTTAATCTCTTCATCCGTCAAGGTCTTGCCTCGAACCTCGACCGCCTCATCCAGTCGCTCCAGATTGCTGAATCCAACAATGGGGATGGTGCCCTTCTGAATGATCCAGGCCAGTGCCACTTGGCTCATCTTCCAACCCTTCTTCTCCGCCAGCTCCTGCACTCTTTGGATGATCTTGATATCGGTTTCCGTGACATCTCTTGCCAGGGGATTCGTCAGGGTACGCGTTGTCGGTTCCTGGCCCCAGGGCCGGGCAAGGTGCCCTCGGTAGAGAGGCGCCCAGGGAATCAGCCCCACGCCCGTCTCACGGCAGAATCGGTTCATCTCCCGTTCTTCTTCGCGGTAGCAGAGCGAGTAGTGGTTCTGCATGCTGACGAACTTGGTCCAGCCGTTTTTCTCTGCGATGAACTGCAGCGTGGCAAACTGGTCTGTTTTGAACAGAATCAATAAGCTTTAGTATTATACACAGACAAAGTTCATGAGTAGGAGATGAGATTGGATGACTTACACGTCCACATCGAGCTCGCGCCAATGTAGCGTACTTTGCCGGATTGGACCAGGTCGTGGAGAGCTTTCATCGTCTCTTCTGGGGGGACCGTGTAATCGTAACGCTGAAAAGGATCTCGAGTCAGCTTTGAACAAAAAAAAAGAAAGAAAGAAAGAAAAAAGAAAGCCACCAATACCGCAGAGCGTAAATGAGATTGAGTCAGTTAAACAGTAGCTAATAGATACAGGAGTTGTATATATTTATCGAAACAAGAATGACAATAAAAAAAGGGAAGTCAAAATCAGCATTCCACCTACATGAATTTGAAGCAGGTCAATATAATTCGTCTGCAACCGTTTCAAACTCGCATCGACAGCATTGAAGATGGCAGCACGCGAGAGCCCACCCTGATTAACGTAGTCCTTGCTGCTTCTAATCTCTTTGGGGAACAGAAGGTCCCGAACAGCAGGCTCTTCACCCACGTAGCCATTGCACTTGGTCAGCAGAACGAGCTTGTGTCGGGGAATGTTGAACTTCTTGATCACTCGTCCGATCATCTCTTCGCTGACCCCGTTCGAGTAGACGTTGGCCGTGTCCCAGGTGTTTAGACCACGGTCATATGCGCCTTTGAGAAGGGCTTCTACCTGCTCTTCGTTGTCGACGACCCATGGCTGCCAGTCCTTGTGGCCAAAGGACATGGCGCCCAGGATCGGAACCGAGACTCGAAGGCCGGACTTGCCCAGCTGGGTGTACGAGACTTTTGTGGCCTCGAGGCTCTGCTTGAGGCTTAGGGGGAGGGTTGTTTCGGTCATTGTGTAAGAGCGATCGATTGCTAGGCGAAATTCAGAAGCGTGTACGCGAGAGACGCAGGTTCTCTGAAGGGCAGTGAAGAACAATCGCAGGAACGAGGCAAAATCGACGTAGTATCCGGCATTTATTTCAAGTCTGGGTCGCAGACTGCGACTAACCCGCAAATTGCCGGAATTTATTAACTGCTGTGCGACTGTCACCAACTGTTGTCATTATTTACGTTCAACAGGAATCTCGCTATCAACCCCGCTTCTGGACGGTGTTAAGCGGACTTAGGAGTCGACGTCAAGTTTCACGACAGCGTCTAGAATACTGCGGCTCATCCTTCTTCCGACTTGTCTGCGGGCCTCTAGGTGAAAATATATTTCCTCGCCAATATTATTTGGGGCATGTGCCTGACTGGTTCATGTACTGTACCTGCCAGTTGGCTTCTTCTAGCCTTGGCTTCATCGGATTTATCCAGATAGCCTGAAGCCAGGGTTACAACCAAATTAGCCTGTGTGGCTGTATTCCATGCAGGCGTCCGTTACAAAATCGTGAACTCCTCACTCACTGACAAATGAAAGCAGATATATGCGCTGATGTGCTCCCACCTGATCCAACATTTCTTCTCATTGTGTACCGACCATCCCAGTATCATCCACTTTGGAATCACTCGAAGCGTACTAATCAAATAAAGGCACAAGCCCAGGTCTGTATTGATGTCAGCCACTTACCTTTTGACTTATTCAATAGATAAGGGGTATATATACCATGCGATAGACGATGAATACCTGTTGATGTCAGTTGTTGTCCACATGGATTATCCCATGAATCCCACCAAATGAGTCTCTCGATTTGTCCATATGAATGTACCCATGGACTAATATTTGCAATGAAATCGAATAAAAGAAAAAAACAATAGCAATCAATAAGGCTTTTCCATATATTTGTTGGAATTCATGGCATACCGGTCTAACTGGATTCGGTAGTCATATAAGCTGATGTGATACATCATATTGGAAGCCGATACCCCGCTTCTTACAATAAGGCTTATACGCCAGGTCGCCCACATCTGATTAGAATCAGGAATAAAGTCTCCTTCATATCATTATATTGTCTTCTATAGTGATGCTTGTAGAAGCTTCTCCCCTACATGCTTATAGCCATAACCTCAACAATATTTACCTCATTAATGATCAAGATCATACTATGCTAATTACTTTGTAGAACGAAAACCTAATACCAGGACAGATGCCTTCATAGTCGCATCTTTAATACTTTGTTTAGCTCTTTCTATGCTATTTAATTTCGGGTCATTTTACCACTTCATAGGTTTTTCATAGTATGAAAACATCTGAAAATAGTCATTTGACGGTTTTTTTATTACAAAATGTTGGATCATTATAACATGTCAGATTTTATGAAATGTGAGATCATAGCAGCACTACGGAGTACTCCGTAAATACTCCGTAAAGTCAGGCAGTGCGCGACGTTTCGGCACAGCCTGCGAGCCGTTGTCCGAAGATCCACGTGGAGAAACACGAGGAGGCCGACAACAAGATTATTATTAAGGACCTCGACAAGAAAGATGCGCGCACCGCTGACGTCTCCCCGTTCAGTTACGCTGCCGTGGAGAAGAATATACATCCGGGTGCCGGAATATGAAAACGGCGCACGAGAGTTTGCTTTCAAATCGAACTAACTACCCTATAATATCTTAGGATTGATTAATTAAATTAACCCATGTCCAATTGCTGTTCACATGGAACCTTTCCCCACTTCAGCGCTCAAATCTCTCATTTGAGTAGGTATTTGCTACTACCTTACCACCAAGACTTCTTATTCAGCTAACCAATAACCTTATAACTTATCATTCAGCTGAATGATAACCTTATGCCATAGAAAAAGTTATCTTGGGCCTCCTAAGTAGTATAATCCGAGTACATTGTAGTAGGAATAACTGTGATCATGGCTAGCTAGGGGATATTGTGCTCTGATGGAGTAATGCTGGTGAGGGAAGCTCACAGACGTGAGAGTCGCGCCTTAACGGTCAGATCAGGAGCGTTGCGACACCGTGGGGCGACAGGACGGCGGCCGTATCGCCCAAGCAGGTGGCGACCCACACTGGCGAGGCTACCTACCTAACGGTAATAACTCTTAACCCTAATTACTCGGAGCGATAAATAATGTCAAGCCGCGAGAGCTTACCTATGATGTTCAGTACAGTAGGTTAGGAAGACTACATAGGGTTTAGAGCCTGGCCGCCATCTCTGAGACGGTCTTTGTGCCTTCATTATTACTCCATAAGTTCATGTATTTCGCAGCAATCACTGCAAGCCTCGTCTTTCGACTTAAGGCTTCTTCTTCGAAGTCATCTTTGATTACTGGACGGAAATCCTGAACGGACAGAATCTCAAATTGCTCTATCTAACAAGCACTGCTAACAGCTTCCTCTGGGCCGTCACATGGGACTCTTGCCATGCAGAGTATCGAGACAAGAAGATAGAGACAACTGAGTTCCATCCACAGGCTAAATTCCATCAATGCGCCGAAGCTCAGACAGTTTATTTGGGTTCTGGTTTTCTTCCGTAGACAACATAGCTTGTGGTAGTCAGCAGTCATATTCATTTGGAAAGAGGCGAAGGAACAAGAGGACTTACACTTTGCTATAGGCATGTAGATTCTTGTCCCGGAGCTGCTCCTTGACAAGCGCGAGATGGATCTTTGCCGCATCAGGTTCCCATCCCAGAACTTGCGTGTAGAGACGCAGACCATAGGCATCAACGCCATCAGGATTCTCAACATAGGCCCATCTTCCAAGCTCTTTCAATTTTGGGTCCTTTGGCCATGGCCCGAGTGGCGCCACATAGACCCTTTCAGTAACATCTTCAAATCCTGCCTCCTTGATCCAATGCTTCAAACTGGGAGCAACGTCCATCTTCCTTCCAGTCTTTTCCCCAGCCTCACGTAGGTTTCTTAGGTATTGCATATATGGCGAATCATCCTTGAGACTGCCATCATCACTCCATGCCCATACGTCGATTTCGGCAGCCTCAAAGTATCCATTAGGCTTCAAATGATTATATGCCTTGCGAATCAACCACTTCCAGTCCTTGACACTCCCTATAAGTGTGCGGGCATGAATGAAATCGAAGTAATTTTCATCATAGATCCAATCTTTCTCGAAATCGTCAATAACGAACTCGACGTTCGGAGGAACCCAGGAAGGCTGAATGGCACTCAAGTCATTGCCAATAACACGCGCTGAGGGGAATTTGCTGGTAATCTGTAAGTACAACTACGCGATTCCCTTATAGGGAGCAGTTTGCCTGACTCAGCTATATCCATTGCCCAGATTCCTGTGCCCGTCCCCAGGTCCAGGATGGCTTGCGGTTGTTTGATGGGAGCAGCGAAAAGTTCCCCATCAAGGATAAGTAAAAACCTTCAGACGATCAATGGTCATCGAATGCACCCCATTATAGAAGGACGCGACTCACACGTGGTGCACCTGTATTACTGGTTAGCAGTCTCTTTCCTTGGGGAGGAGCCTGCCTCTATGATACCAGGTCAAGACGGTCCTGCTCGGTATCATCATTTGGCATCCTTGTTATCAAAGTCAGCTCAACGGTGTAGCGTGAACCTGGAGGGCTAAACGCGATGATACAAGTATTTTCCCTTTTGGTTAATATTGTCAGCGAGCTGGAATAGTATATATGGAGACAGAGACCCTACCTGGCTATAGGCATGGTAGCGTCTTCCATTCTCATACTGATAATTCAACACACTCGAGGCAAGGGAAGTAGTGTCAGACCGTGCCGCTTCTTCGTAGGCACTGAAATCATCCTTGAGTTCTGTGTGAGAACGATTCGGAGACCAGCGGTTAAAATAAAACTCCTACATCGGCAGCAATTCCTGCAGTGGCATTGAAAAATTGCTCGACAGGACGCTGCGGGGCTTTCAAGGACTGGGAAGTTTCTGCCATATTTCCTCCTTCTTCCTTTTTTTTGTTTGAAGTCGAAGCAAGCAAATCCGTTGAATGAACGCTTACCAACCCATGATGAGGGGAACAAGTTCTGGATGGGGAGACAGCAGCTATTTATCAGTTGCACTGACAGTAGTTAGCCGCGATAAAACCCATTGGATGTGACCAGCGTGCAGATGCAAGTCAGTGTAGCGGAGCACAGATGTCGCAGGGGCCAGAGCTGTGATCTCAAAACTCTTAAGACCAAAGTCGGATGCTGTTTGTGGCTGTATAGCAGCCTGGTAATGTTGCTTGCAAGACCTCATTGGCTCGTTCCCCTGCTTCTCATTTGAGACTAGTGCCTCCTCGTTCGAGCCATCTTCCATCTTCTTCATGGAGAATATTTGTAGCCGCTTCCCAGATATCTCGCACAATCAAGCAAACCTTTGGCCTCCTTCACCAGACGGCTCTTCCAACGAACCAGAGCTTTTTCTTTTTTTGCGGGGGACAGTCGTGCGGTAAAGAAAGATGTCACGGTCGTGCCAAAACTGATGGAGTCCTGTAGCGTGATTCGGAAGCGCTGCCATATTTCCGCGCGAAGCCTTCGACGCAAGCAACTAATCGTTGGCAGCAGGCGAGAGGGGATAACAATCCCAGCGACTCAAAAACAAAAAGCGGATTGGCCATTGATAGTTACGTCATATCCTACGGAGTATGGATTAATGCTAATCGTAGTCCGTTCCTGCAGCTAAACCAGATGGGAAATCGTTAGACCCTTTATAAAGTTATCCCTCCCTAGACGATTTCTGCTGCGTTTTGCATACTTCAAGCTGCTTCCATTCGAGCTCGCCTGCCCTTCTAACCATCGATAGGCGGATACAGAAGAAATGGCGCAATGTCTACCGACTGAGAATACACTGGGAGTAGATGCAGGCATCATATGAGATATCCTCTCGAAGAACCCAGTTTCCGTTGACAACAGGATCAACCGGCCAAACGACCTAAGGACAATGCTTCTGTCAACCATCAAGCAGGATGGCCTGCCTGTTCTTCGCATACAAATGCTGAGGGGCTCACGTATCTGCTTCAGCTAATACTACTCCGGATGTTGAAATAGTAAACAAGATCGAACCAGATTGGCCTCGGGAATGGGGACCTCGAAGGCTTCTCCAAACGTCGAATAAACACTATCTGCTTCTTGTCGACTCCATCTTGGATTACTTTGATTCCGTTGCCGTGATCATTGGCGACACCCGCCCGGGACGTACTGGGTTCCACGACGCAGTTTCCAGTCGCTCTTCAGTGCTGTTGAACACGCAGAAAAACTACTCTCAGGGGGCATAGGCATGTTGTATGAACTTGGTGTCGATACCCTCGAAACATTCAGATCTTTAGTGGAAGACTGGCTAAGGCGACAAGTTTCCCGCCTTCAGTCTTATCAGCGGGGGCGATTCTGGATCTTCGACGCAGGACCGAAGTGGGATTGACACTCCGACAAATTTTGGGACTGCGGCGTGGATTGAATGATGCGCGAGATACGTACTCCGAACAAATGATCTAAAATGACCTGAGATTAACTGGAGAGACTTCATAAGGCCTGAAGATATGCTGTCCCAGCTTGAAGCACTGTATTATCGGGCATCATTAGTTAGCATTAGCATTGAGTCTCAAGATAATCAGAGAACAAACACATAGCATTACCAGTAAATGGCCATCCATCATTGTCACTTCATGTTGTATCAAACATCAGCATTGATTATCTTCAGCGACCTTAACAGGAAATGGGCTTGGTGGAATTCATAAGCACAAGGAAAGGATTTTAGAATTGCCAGTTTGCACTACTTATAGGACTCTGCTACTTGTTACGAGCCCTGATGGAATTGTATGGCGTAGATGGACACTGATATCCAGCCTCTCTTCGGGATCAGGTGACTGATTGGTCGCGTTGTGTGGCAACGAAACCAGTCCCGACTAAGCATTTAGGGCATCGGGCTTAGGACCTGGACTGGTCAGTCTGTTGGTTTTATTTCATTGAAAGCTCACCTATGTTGCCTAGGTAGACAGTCCACGAAACGAATTCAACTACCTATCATTATCCTCCTTGTCATCGCCCTACTTGTTATTCTCTGTCTGAACTGCATACCAGCTTTTCTTCGCTAAGAGCGCTCTGGATCTGCCACACGGAGATCTATCCGTCATATACCTTGATCGGACGTTTAAAGCACGTGTTGCACCCGAACTATTCAGTCCCTTCTGCTGTTGAGCGTATATGACTACTCACATAATGTCTGACACTGATAAAAGACTTTAGTCCAGGCAAGTTAATTTAATATCGACGCATTGCATTGTTGACCTTTCGAAATGCGAACGCAGGCAGATAGCCTGTCCGGTCCCATGCCAGCTCCGATTCAGTCTTCAAGCGGCCAGATTCAAGACTGCCTCGACTCCGCAAGTTGATGAGGCGACAAGACTTTGACAAATGGGTGTTGTGGAGGTGAAATCTCTCCTGAGAGGAGTTCTCTCTTTCGGGTCTTGTCGCCCAGACGATCACCTCATCCGGAAAACACGCATGCGACCTACTGTACAAAAAGTGGAAAACAGCGTCACAACTCGTGAGGAATGCCCTCGTATGTATTTCTGTTCTATCCCGATGTTTGGCTGTTGTGTGGAATATGTCACCATTTTCAGGGCTCAAGAATAAAAACCATTGTTATCGAATTTCAGAAATGAAATTATTGATGCTTTGACAATGCACAATTGGGTGGACATACTAAAGACACCTTTGCGGAGAATGGTTTGTGTTTTAGAAATCATTTCCGATTATATATTTGTCGAACTTACTGCATTCTACAACCACCTTATGCCTGAAAACAAGAACAAAACAACAAATAAAAATAATAGCAAGGAAAGGAAGAAAATTAAAAAGAAAAAGGTAATGAAGTATACAAATATTGTTACACATAATTTAACTATTTTTAACACCACTGATGAATGTTGCGTGTTGCGGGAGTTGAGAGCGGGTGACCAAATCGGGAAGTTGAAGTTGTTACGAGAGGTTTAGCAGAAGCTGTTGCAAGTTGCAACAACAACTTCAACTTCAACTTTCCCGATTCGGAATAGAACCGCGGTCACGCACACCGCGTCCACAAAGTTTGACACGCAATACTCGGACTTCTGTCCCTGGAAAAATTTTTCAAAACAAAAAGCAAACTACTTGGCAGCGTCTTGCTTCGGACAATCAGTCGACAGACACTCTTTTTTTTTTTCCGCATTTTTTCCACCTCCCTCCTGACTTCAATTCCTTCCAATGGCTAATAATAATAGTCCCTCGACGCGTTCACCACGCGCCACCACGACGCAAGATCCTCCCCCTACCGCCGCGGATTTGCCTGAATTCTCGGAATTGGAGAAAACGCGTCTCGTCCAGATTTGCGTTTCCAAACAAGATCTCTATCGCGAACTCTACTTGGGATACAAGAACCTTAAGCCATTTTGGATGCAGGTCGCAGCAGAAATGTCTAATGTTTTTGGCGGGGACTACTCATGGCTAGACTGTGAGCGGGTGGTCAACCACCTTACCGATGCACGGAGAAAGGAGTTGGCGGGTTTGAGGGAGCCCAGGGCGAAAGACAAGTCCGAAATCACTGCCAGCGTCATGGACTGGCTGAGAGGACTGGACGACGACCATCGACAGCATACTCCTGAACCACTCGCGTCGCAGCCATCCCCAACACGACGCAAAAGGAGGGCAGTCGACTTTGACGATTTTGGTCCGAATTATCCTTCCTCTTCTGAAGATTCAGCCATGATCGACCTCCAGATCGAGCGTGACAAAGCGATGATCGAAGCTCTTCAAAAAATCGGAGACGCGATGGCGCAGAGACAGCAACGCGTTGCAGAACTCGAGGCTCGGGTGGACGGACTCACGCGAGTCGTCGAGAGTCAGATGAAATTATTCGAGGACGTATCGCAGAAGTTAAATGAAATTATCGTGGCACTTGATCGCAGAAAAGAGCCCATCTCTCAAGCGAACTAGTGGATCAGGCTGAATACTGTGAGTGGGTGCTTGGCATGATCGGGGTCTGGTTAGTCGACCAGGGGGAAATGGCTTCATAACAGCCACTTCATTGACTTCAATGGTGTACTCTGTATATTAGTGTCTGCCAGGTAATAATAGCAATTGATCATGTGCCAGCCACGTGCTGAATCGCGCAAGAGCTCCGAGGTCGAGATCTCGGTCACGTGCCGAAATTCTCATCACATCAGACTCGTTATCGCAGCCATGGACGCTGTGCTGCAGACTCTGTACACTTTTCAGCCATTGTGCGACGAAGATAAAGCCGAAAACCTCACGTCTGACATATTTCCTTGACACTGCGTAATTAGCAACATTGGTTGTGCGACCGCTGGGTCCGCCCCCGCGGCGGTTATCGGTCAAGCTTGGATGAAACTATGCGGCAAAATTACTCCGTAGCTGATATGCGGGAATTATTAGGGGGCATAGAGTCCTCCAATAGACGACGGGGCACTGCATACCAAGCTCGTGGATGGCGTGGGAGCGCAGAGTCTCGCTGGCGCCGTGTGGGCCCGCAGAACTTGGCTTCAATGCTTGTCGCGGACCCTGTTGGAAATCCCCCGCCGGCCCTGGAGTATCTAGCAGCAGCAGTCTTCAGGCGGCCAATCTCTCGTCGCGCCTTGTATCTTATTCTGGTCAACGCGATCACTGACCAATTCCACAGGACGGGCGCTCTGGAGGGCATTGCTGCCAGGGTGCAGTGACTGCGAAAGGCTCCATGTCATGGACGAGTCCGACCCATCTCGCTGGTCTCGCCATCGCGCCGGTGCTATCATCATCATGGCTACTCTGTGCACGCTACCTAAAGTAGCTGGATCTAGCGCTATCTCAGCAGCTCTCGCAGCCACCAATCATGCGCGAAACTGATCACAGTCGTTGTTTGACGTTGCACCGGTCCAACCTGCAGCGAGATCAGCCAGCGACAAGCTCCATACAGCTGCTACTCACCTGCCGCATTGGTCTTGGTCGATACCCAACCAGTCTGTCACAGTCCCTCCAGCGTACTGAGTTCTCCGCAGTAGGTGCCCTTCCCTCGAGCGTTGCTGGCCTTATCGCGCTGCTCTGTTATTGCTATCACAT